ATTTGAAGCGCCCAGACAACTGGGCAGATGTTAACAATGACAACAACAACGACAACAACGACAACGACAACGACGACGACAACAACAACTGGGTAGATGTTGATAACAATAAGGGCACTAAGGACGCTGAGCAATCACCAGAGGCTGCATCAAGGAAGAAGAAACACAAGGAGCGCGCAGAGGCAGAGCGCCTAGTGGCCCTGACATCTTCAAGACTAGCAGGGCATCAAAAACAGAGCAAAACCCTGCCAAAATCTCGAAAACGAATGCTCGTACGGTCAGGTTCATATCTGCAGAAAATGACCCGTTGGCTGCACAAACGGAGCTGCCATATAGCCTACCTGGCGCGCCGCGCCGTACGCGCTCAGCTAGTAGGGCAGCAGCGAACCAGACTCATTAAACTGGTGGAGCTACACCAAATATACGAGTCTCGGAGGGGGCAGGAGAGGTTATCAAGTAGCTACATAGTTGTGTGCCGAGCTGGTGGCGTTTGGTGGCGTATTGAGGCTTAAGCCACATTTTTTAGCGCGGCAGAAACTTTTGAAGAGAACCTCTGTACTGCAGTAGCATTTCAACTTCCTTGTCAATTTCCTTGCCAACTTCCTTGTCAACTTCCAACGCTATCATACACGTTCTTATTCAAGTTCTCCGCTTTCGCTGAATAGAAGCAACAGCTCCTGCGGGTGATCGGCCTTCTCTCCGAACCAGCATGCAGCCATCACGGCTCTGTGATATTTGTCGCCATCTTCAACTCAGCCAAGCTTTCGATGAATTACGCGACGGGGGTCTCAAGGACCTGTATACCATCCCTCAGTCAGAATTCTTCAAGTCAGCCTCGTCTTGTGATATCTGCCGCATTGCAAAAGAGGCTCTCTTGGAGAAGGCAAGTCGTCAACACGACCATCTAGGAGATGAGAAACAAGCTTCCATCCTCGTTTCTATCCGAAAGGACGGCGGCAACCGCAGACTTCTATTTTTTACTAACCCTGGATGGACAATGATAACTTGGATGGTATGGACAAGCAAGGGTGGGTATATGCTCAGCGACGTTTCTCCTTCAAGTCGTTGTTGATTAAACTTATAATGCGTATCAGATGCGCTTGTTGATTCAGACCCTTTGTCTGCCAAATCTCTCAATCGTATGCGGGGCTGGATCCATGAATGCGACCGAGGCCATTCTCACTGCAAGAAGCCAGACTCAACATTCATGCCAACAAGACTTCTGGATGTTGGCATTCCGTCGTGCAAGCAAGTCCGGCTTGTACTCTCCACAGATCCAGGGTCAGCACGAGACAATTATGTCGCACTCAGCCACTGTTGGGGACCATCAAAGCCACTGATCACCACTTCAGCAAATATATCCCAGTTTCAAGCCGAGATCCCTTCGACTACCCTTCCACAGACTTTTGACGATGCTATTAAGATCACACGACTACTTGGTATACGTTACTTATGGATAGATTCTCTTTGTATCATTCAGGATGTCCCCGACGACTGGCTACGCGAATCGGCGACCATGTTTTCGGTGTACAGCAACGCTGATATCACCATCTCTGCATCGAGGGCGTCATCCTCTGTCGACGGCTTTCTGTCCCTAGACACGGAATTTGCGTCTCTAAAGATGAGACTAACCCATCCAGCCAGAAAAAGGAGCTCTTCCTTGTGCTTCGAGACTATTACGATAACAGCACTTCTCGGGCTGCAGACTCACATCCGGAAACTCTATCGAAAAGAGCATGGGTCATCCAAGAGCGTTACCTCTCTCGACGCATATTGCTTTTTGGATCAGCTCAAACATTCTGGGAGTGTAACGGCATGACGGTATCAGAAGACACACAGCTTAGGATTGTCTCCAACCCTGCCGAGCCCCAATGCTCGCTCCCATAGTACGATATTGTCGAAAGCTTTACCGATTGTGCCATTACATATGAATCTGACACGCTTCCCGCCATCTCTGGCGTCGCCAAGGCCGTAGCCCAAAGCAACGGCCTCACCTACTGTGCCGGTATCTGGGTAAACGACAGTCAATTGTGTAGCAGCTTGCTATGGTATCCGAAACGTAATGGCCCATACGTTTTTAGAAAGATTAGAAGGGACACATACATCGCTCCTTCGTTCTCTTGGGCGGCATCCCAGGGCCCCATCTAGTATCGCGCTGCTTCCAAGGGTATCATGGGTGGACGTCTCTGCCAATACGTCGCACACGACCAGACGCTTCGAGTGGGGAGTTCAAATCCATATGGGGCGGTTGAGAGCGCCTGGATCATGCTGACTGCACCACTTGTTGAAGTACTCCGCCTTATTAAAAACGATGTTTCGGGCGTCAGCCTCACCGTGAAGCTGCAAAATGGGACAAGATACGCCATTCCTGCAACGTTCGATCATGAAGAAGCAAAGCTCCCCCCAGGCACGTCCATCTTACTGCTCTATTCGGACGAAAGTCGGATGCAGGCCCTGATAATTACCCGCGTTTCTGAACTTAAGACCTGCCAGGCCTTTCGCCGAATTGGTATCTGTTGGGTACCATTCGAGCACCTGTATAAATTGAATTGGTGGGGGAACGTTAGCAGTATGAATCATAGCGAGAAAGAAGAAGAACTGCAGCGGTTTTTACAGCAAGCGAAAGGCCAAATGGAGACTGTTGTTCTAAGGTGAAGCTCGTGTCTAGTTCGGTACAGGCTCTCGCACTTTCAACACTAAGAAAGAGCTTATTGAGACGACACTCATTCTATAACCCCCAACACTTGTTCCCGCAAAACCAAATTACGACTCCTCAGCGGTGTCGACGTACGCATGATTCGCAAACGCCGGTGGCAGCGCGGTCCCCGCAATCTCCGCCGACTCTAAAAAGCGTCTGATCTCCTTCTCATCCTCATCCTCGAGCTTCACATCGAGTGCCGCCCAATTATCCTCCAAATACTTCAACTGCTTCGTCCCCGGAATCGGAATCACATCGTCACCTTGTTTGAGCAACCATGCGATGGCTAGTTGAGCCACCGTACACCCCTTCTTCTCAGCCACCGCCTGGAACTGGCTGATAACCTGGATATTTTTCTCCCGGTTACCCTCTTGGAACCGCGGCATGACAGCCGGTCGCTTGTCCTTTTCGTCGCCCAATGGCTTACCAGCCGCGAAAGTGGACGTGATCATTCCACGACCCAACGGCATAGCGGCCACAACCGCGATACCGAGTTCGCGACAGGTAGATAAGATGTTGGTGCCTGCTTCGTTCTCGATCTCCCGTACAAACGGTGAGTAATCCATCTGTACCGCGGCCACGGGTCCGATTACCACGGCGCGGCGCAGTGTTGCGGACGAGACAGCCGACAGCCCGATGTGTTTGATCTTGCCCTCCCTAAGGATCTCGGTATTAGCACAAGGACAGGTTACACTCATCGACAAATTAATCGTGAGAGAGGAGCGGGATAAGAAACTCACGCCTTCAATTCCACTAACGCACGCATCGTCTCCTCAATCGGCGTCTTGGGGTTCGCATGATGCATGTAATAGAGATCGATAGAGTCAATCTCTAGCACCCTCAAACTCTCGGCACACGCCTTCTTGCAGTACTCGCCCGAGCTGTCGAGCGCGAGGCTCTTGCTGCCTTTGACGAAACCGAATTTGGTCGCGAGGAAGATCTCGTCGCGTTTGCCGGTCCGCTTGAACCATTTTGCGAGGAGCTCTTCATTGTCGCCGTATAGACTATATACATCGAATAGTCAGCAAATGTTTGTACTTCTGATTATCGACGAGATGAGGAGAGAGAACCGGGGAGGGGAGCGGTTCGTACTCAGAGCTATCCCAGTTTCGAGCACCTAGCTCGTAGGCGCGGTCGAGGATGGCGAAGCGTTCTTCGTCGCTGGGAAAGGACCCGTAGGTATCATAAGACATGCCCATGAGGCCGAAGCCTAGTTGTGGCACACTTGGACCGTTCTTACCCAATGGGACGAGCTTAGTAGTCATTTTGAAGTGCGAGGGGTTGTAGGATCTGATGGTCGGGTTTGGTAGGACTAAGAGGTCGCGATCTGGACGCTTCCGAAGAAGATGGGAGTGAGGGCTTTATAGCTTGAGCTGTTGACCATGACCAGCTGATAGGCGAATAAATGGATACTATAAGGCTCCAACTATCCGTCTGATTCCACCCGTTGCAGCTTGAGTGTTTCTTTAACTCCGTTGGAGTTGGAAAGGTGTTCTAGAGGTGCTAGGTCAGACGGCCAATCGCCGTACAGAAATTCCGAGCAATCAAATAGAGTTAGTATATTGAGTAGGATAAGGCATATAACCGGAAGACGGATCGCAAGCAGCGCTCCTTCTAGTGATCCTTTATGCTAGATGGGATACCATGATCGTTGCCCCTGACTAAGACGTGGCCAATCAAATTACAGCGATACCGAGCCGATCGAATCGTGGATACTTAAAGGCTTACTTTCCCCTCTCACTCCACCATGGACTCTCGCACTCCTCGCCCGAGTAAAGCAAAGGCCAAGTCCGGCTGCCGCACCTGCAAGTGAGGCTTTTTGTCATTTGTAGGCAAGCAATCGAAACTGATTAGCCGCCAGGATCCGAAAAGTCAAGTGTGACGAAGGCCGCCCCGCCTGTCAGCGATGCGTCTCCACTGGCCGTGTCTGTGACGGGTATGGGATTTGGGGCGGCGGGGGCAACTATTATGGGAATAGACAACCTCAGAATGCCCCTAGTTCGAAGGACTGTTCTAGTTCTATCATCACCCGACCGCCTGCGCCCTTCTCAGTCCTCGTAACCGGCACGGAGGATACGTCTTACTTCGAATGGTTCACGCACCGGACCGCCCCCAAACTCCCTGGGAGCTTTATCTCCGGCTTCTGGACAACCCTGCTCTTCCAAGCGAGCCTGAATGAGCCAGCGATCTTGCATGCTGTTCTGGCTCTGAGTGCTGTGCACAAGGGCGGCATCACCAATAGTGCGGATGACCAAGAGCAAATTACTTTACAGCACTATGTCAAAGCTATCAAGCATCTCCGACCGCATTTCGAGCTCAAGGATAGAGCCTCTTCTCGGGTCGCGCTGATCACGTGTGTTGTGTTCGTGTATGTCGAGTTTCTGAGGGGGCATCTCAAGACTGCGCAACTTCATCTGCTGAGCGGGCTCAAGGTACTACAGCAGATGGGAGTACTTTCAACTGGGGACGATGGGGTGCTTGGGTTTCAGGCCTCAAGGGAGTCTACCGACGATTGGATTATCTCCGCGTTCTCTCGACTGCACCTCCAGGTCGAGCTGTTCAAGTACACGTATCAGCACCCTCGTCTCGTATCCCAGGGGCCTGGTCGAGATTACCTCATTCTACAGACTTCAGGGCCCGAGCACCCAGCCAGAGGCTTTTCTTCTATCAACGACGCTTGGCATCAGCTGGAACGGCTGCTGAATCAGATCTTCCATCTAAACCACCAGGCCCGTCAGCACGCCGCTCCTACGATCGAAGCCCTCCAGCTACCACCCACGCTTCTCGAATCCCAAGTATACATCCAAATGGAGCTTACGCAGTGGCACCACAAGCACGAGTCTTTCAGTAACAAGGCCCGCTCCGCGGACGAAGAGAAAGTCTACAGAATCCTGCAATTCTACCACACTATGGCAACAATCATGGCAGCCACCTGCCTACGACCACATGATGAATTAGTCTTTGATGTTCAGACACCCTTGTTTCGACTACTGCTGCAGCAAGCTACGCGACTAGGGCCTGGCTTTCCTTGGCCGAAGCCACTGTTGAGCCTGCCGGGGCATTCTGTGAATATGACCAGCACCATCATCGATGTTGGCTGGATCCCGCCGCTGTACTACACTGCGATTAAGTGTCGCGTGCACCCGCTCCGTCTCAGGGCGATTCGGTTACTCGAACAAACCTCGCACCGCGAAGGGCTTTGGGACTGTATCACAGCTGCCTGCGTAACTCGGAAAATTATGGAGGTGGAGGAAAGGGGATTTTACGATGGTATGGTTATAGGAGATGAAGCTGAAATTTTAAGTGGGCTAGATGGACGGGATTTTGAGTTGCCGATCCTGCCAGAGGAGCACAGGTTGAGGGAGCTGGAGGTGTCATTAGAGGGGTCGCCGATGGACAAGATTTTGGTATTTTGTAGGGGGAGGAAGGGAGAAGGGGATGAGAGGGTGCTGGTAAGTGAGTATGATGTGTCTCTTGGACGGTGGAGAGATGAAGATGGTTGGTAGGGATGTGGATATCCAAGGGGGCGTCTTGATTCAACCTTTGGTCACGTGAATAAGAACTGGTCAAGACAAGACGGACCACTAACGTAACGTTTCTTGCTAATGTTAGTAATCACTTTCAAAGCAAAAGATACAGAAGACAGTGTTGTTGCCCTGGCTGGAAGCAAGGGTCACGTGCCATATTATCCATGCACTTCTCAACAACCTCTAACAACTTCTCCTCTTTTTTGCTTGCACTGACCGATAGAGAAGTTTTGCAACATGAAGCCCCCGCTTCAACATTGCTAAGTGTCAATCGTTTATGATGCAAGCCACAGCTCTCCGAACCGTCCAAGCCGCGGCCTCCGTATCTTTGGTCCAGCCTCGCAAATGCAATTTTTTCTAGGCAATGTTCCTCTCATATTTTCTTCCGATCTATATATCAAGACCTTCTATCTCTGGCCTCCATATTCTACCTCTTCTTTTTTTTTATTTATAAATAAACGCAAGCCTTTAGTAAATACTCCTGTAGCATAATTTCCCTTTCACGCTCCTGTTATGGAAGAAGGATCAAGTTAAAACTAGACTGAATGTTATGATTATCGCGATTTCTCCACAGTAGTAAACATGTACTATTCCTTTGAGGAGGATCGATTGAGAAAGTAATCTATGCTTGCTTATACTGCGCCATGGATATGGCGCGCTTGATAACCCGCACACTTTCTCTCAGCGCCTCATCCGTATTAGAGCTGGGAACTTCGTGGCCCCCTCCATGCACATAAACGTTCTTCTGGCGGCTTGCACATAGAGCCGCAAGTTGGGGAGGGTAGGGGGAACCATCCTTTTCTCCCCAGATGTGTGTAGTCGGCAGTTGGATTACTTCCCCATCCGCTTCATGCGTCATCTCGCGCACTACGCCTTCGTCGAGCCTTGCCGCATCGCAGGGAACCGCCGCCCCCAAAAAGACGGCGCACTTGAACACAGGACTGAGCAGATCACCGGGCCGGTCTCGCTGCTGGCTGCGCACCATCAAGGTCGTCGCGACAGATGCGCCTTGAGAAAACGCAAGGACTCCATCAAAGGGGCCTTCCACTGCAACGAACGCCTCCAAGTCGTTCACCGCTTTCAAGCAGCTGGCGGCGTCGTTTTCCTCGAAGTACTGGAAGTAGCCGTCGGTGGCGGGGAAGAATCCTTTGAGTGAGTCGTTCATAGCCGCGGGCACCACCCCTTCTACGAATTCAAACGTATGGTGGTCCCCGAGCGCGTATCGGAGCGCGGCTGGACACCATATGTCAACTCTAGGGTTGGTTCATTTCATGAGGCGGGGTTTTACCTGTCTGGATCTCGAACACCTAGGCGGTCCGGTTATTTGCTGGACTCAACACAACCACGACGCAGCGACTGACCTTGTTGTTGGTGCCCATTCCATGAAGGCATAGGAACCGCATGGTGGATGTTGGAGGCTTTTTCCTCGTCGTCATCAGTGATCTTCTGCAAAGTTACAATAGTGAAGCCCGCCTGAATAGTAGCTACGGAGATTACGCCGGGCGCTCACGCTGCATTGACCTAGTAGAGTTTGCGCTAACCAGGAACATCCATTGAGGGCAGCCTTTTCCCCCTATAATAGTGCTAGGCACCTTGGTGTTTTGGTTTTTCCGGCACGTGACCAGGCTTTGACAGCGGCTCCAGATTTGACTGGCCGGATCTGGTCACGCGCCGGAAAAACAACTGAAAAGACTGTCTTACTTGCGCGAAGGCCAGCCACGACAGCGGCATAACCGCTAATTTAACACGGTTGCAGAGATTCCTTGGCCCCGGGACGATCCCAACCTCGCAAGGTTAGCCAATCATACGTTCCATTACATTAAGTGTGGGGAAGACTCGACCACTGTCCACTTTCGTCCAAGATATGCACAACATGATCCACAGTTGTCCACGGCTATCGACGCAAGCGCTGAAGGCTGCATTGTGGGGGGTGGAGGCCGTAATCTCAGGTGCCACGGCATACGAAGGAGTTCGTTTCTTTTGAGTCACCAGCAAAAACCCCACTGCGTCGACAGCTGACAGCACCCCAAACTATGCCAAACGATAGTATCGAAAGAGTGGAGGCTTTCGAGCGTGTCAAACTATACCGATATAGTGAAGCTGGGATTTATTTTGAGTTGTGGTGGGGCTGGGCATAGGTGTGAAGGTTGTTCATATTGGCTGGGTGGTTACACACTAAAAACAAACTCCTTCGTACCCGTGCCGCGTCTAAGCTGCTAGAAGTTTAGCAACGTAATATCGGGCTTGGACATGGTCGAAGCTCATAATGTAGCCTGCCGGCCAGCTGGCCATGCGGGCATCGAAGATACACCCGTCCGCTGGTACTCCAAGCATACGTTTCATGGATCAGATTTTTGTTTCTTACCATGTCTCCACATTTTCTAGATGAGAGAGATGCATCGGTGCAGGCATCAGACAGCATTCCCACCACTAGCCATGACGAAATACAAGACGCAATCGCAATCACCGGCTTCAGCATCGACTTTCCGCAAGCCAGCACGGCAGATGAATTCTGGGAGCTTCTGGCAAAGGGTCGTTCTGCTGCCCGCCACTTCCCTTCAGAGAGATTGAATCACGGTGCCTGGCACAATGCCGCTGAAGGTTCACAAGGATCTGTAGGGAAATTGAGTCTGTCAAGCCGGTCTCTGTTCTAATGGTTGTTTTCAAGATACGTCCACAACGATCGTATTTTCTGGACCGCGACATTGGAGCGTTCGATGCACCGTTTTTTTCCATCACAGAAGCTGAGGCGGAAGCAATGGATCCGCAACAGCGTGGGCTCTTAGAAACAACGTACAGAGCGCTGGAAGATGGCAGGTCTCCTGTTCATCAAAACTTCGTATCCAGTTGCTGACCTCTTCTAGCTGGCATGCCAATTTCAACCATCAGTGGCACCGATGCTTCAGTCTTCACCGGCTGTTTCACTGCGGACTACTTGCTGCTTGCCGCAAAAGATCCAGAAAGATTGCCGAAGTACTTTGCAACGGGTTCCGCCGGTGCTATGTTGTCCAATCGTATTAGCACCTTCTTCAACCTGACTGGTCCAAGTATGACCATAGACACCGCATGCTCAAGCAGTCTCGTAGCTTTGGACATGGCCTGCGAATCTCTTCGTCGCGGTAGTTCTTCACTGGTACGTACAGGAAATAATTACAAGCATCTATCATAGGCTTATGCAACTGCTATAGGGGATTGTTACTGGATGCAACTTGATCTACTCGCTTGATTTCACCATTGGCTTATCAAACATGGGATTCCTGTCCCCCGAGGGTATATGCCACAGCTTCGATGCGCGAGCCAATGGGTACGCACGAGGCGAGGGGTTTGGTGCTCTTATAATCAAGCCGCTGTCAGCTGCATTGCGAGATGGCGATACTATCCGAGCCGTCATACGTGCAACTGGATCAAACCAAAACGGCTACACAACCTTGGCGCATCCTAGTAAAGATGCTCAAATTCGGTTAATCCAAGACACTTACCGGCGTGCCCGACTCGACATGTCTGTAACACAGTTTATCGAGGCACATGGCACGGGCACGTCAGCCGGGGATCCGATTGAAGCAGCGGCGATAGGTGAGGCGTTCAGATCTTCTCCAAGGAAATCGCCGCTTTTGGTGTAAGTCCCTACCGCGATTGGGTAAGTCAAGCTGACATAGGGATACAGTGGCGCCTCAAAAGCTAATGTAGGCCATCTCGAGGGTACTAGTGGCATAGCTGGTGTAGTGAAAACTATCCTAGTCCTCGAAAGAGGCATTATCCCTCCAATCGCAGATCTTGATCAGCTCAACCCAGCGATCGATGACGAGTTCTGGAACCTAACCGTGAGCATTGATCTATTGATAAGCCTGATTCAAAACCTGACCTACCCATGATAGTTCCCTATGGCATGCGTTCCGTGGCCGACCAAGGGCCTCCGTAGGGCGTCAGTGAACTCGTTCGGTTTCGGTGGCTCTAATGCCCACGCCGTTCTTGACGATGCGCACCACTTTCTAGCCCAACATGGCCTGCAAGGAAATCATTGTACCTCTACATCTCCACCCGGTAACGCGGATATAGATCGCTCCAGCCAATTACCCTCAATGGTTTCCACAAATCGTACGATGTCAGTAGAGCGTCCTCAGTTGTTTGTCTGGTCAACAGCGGATGAGAAGGCCATATCGAGGCTTTTGGAACTATATCATTCGCATTTAGAAAACATGACGACGAGCCACGCACAGAAGGAGATTTACAACCTGTCGCTTGCAACAACCCTAAGCGACAGAAGAAGTATTTTGCCATGGAAAAGCTTTATCGTTGCCAACAATATGGATGAGCTAATCAAAGCGACCGAGACTGTGCCGGTATCGGTTAAGTCCAAGCCGAATGCGCAACTTGGTTTTGTATTCACTGGCCAAGGTGCCCAATGGGTTAACATGGGTGCAGAACTTCTACTTTATCCAACCTTTCGACAGCGTTTGTTGCAAGCGGAACAATATCTGCAAGCACTTGGTTGCTCGTGGCAAATTATCGATCTCATCGGCAACCACGAAGCCTCTAGCACTGGCGATATTCATGATGCTCAATTTGCTCAGCCATTGTGCACAATCCTGCAGATGGCGCTTGTAGATCTGTTGCAGACTTTCAACATTACACCCTCGGTTGTACTCGGCCACTCCAGTGGAGAAATAGCGGCAGCGTACGCAGCAGGTGCAATCTCGTGCGAATCTGGCTGGAAACTGGCGTACTATCGTGGAACACTGTCCTCCGAGCTCTCGAAGAAAAGCTCTGTGTCAGGTGCCATGATGTCCGTCGCGCTCAATCATGATGTAGCAACATCATACATGAAGACCATTGCCCCTTCCACTGGGTCTAGATTTCTGTGCGTGGCTTGCATCAACAGTCCTAGCAACGTTACAATCTCTGGCGACACTTCGTCAATCCAACGATTGAAGCTATATCTGGACCAAGAGGGTGTCTTCAATCGTGTATTGACTGTACCGGTGGCATATCACTCGCCGCAGATGGAAGGTATATCCTTGGCCTACGAAAGAGCTATTAGTCCGCTTGGCAACGAAAAAAAGGACGGTCGAGGATGCCCCATGATCTCTACTGTGACGGGAAAAAGGATCTCCCCAGCGGAGCTCCTTCGCCCATCTTACTGGGTCGGCAATATGGTGTCCCCGGTCCGATTTGCGGATGCTATCGAGACATGCTGCATTCCTTCAGGCCGTAGAGCAACCAGGAAGATTGATCTCAGCCACCGTAATACAGTTTGTGCAACAGAGTTGCTGGAGATTGGACCACACTCTGCATTGCAAAGCTCCATTCGGGAAATCCTAATTGACGCACCAGGCGGAAAGCCGGTTGGTTACGCATCTCTGCTCATCCGTCACAAGCATGCAATAGTCACCTTAATGAATGCCCTCGGCAGATTATACTGCTTGGGGTACCTACTGGAAGTTACGCAGCTAAACGCGATTGGAGATAAACCTCAGCGGCAGGCAGTAACGCTACCCGGTTTGCCACAGTATCCTTTCGACCACTCGAAAACCTACTGGACCGAGTCACGGATCAGTAGGAATCTGAGGTTCCGGACGCACGGTTCGAACTCTTTGATCGGTGCACCGGTAATGGATGGGAACCCTCTGGAACCCCGTTGGCGTAATTTCCTTAGCGCGTCACCAACCTCGATGTGCGCTTGGGTCCGTGATCATAAGGTGTGTGTGCGCAATTCGCTAATGAAGCTTCCACTGACGTTTTCAGATCAACGGTACCGTATTGCTACCAGCTGCTGGCATGATGGTAATGGCAATCGAGGTTGTTTCTCAGATTCTAGAAAGCGGTCCGCTACCAATCGTCGCCTATGAGATCAGGAACGCAAAGTTCCTCTCAGCCTTGGCGGTTCCTCTAGAGGAAGAGGGAATCGAAACGCACATCTGTCTTAGACATGCAGCCGACTCATTACACCCGGGGTTCGAGTTCTCCATATGCACGCGTGGAGATTCATCTACGCTAGAGATCTGTCGGGGACATGTTCACGCAATCTTTGACGACCGAAACTCAACCTCTATTGAAGACGCCCATGAAACCGCTGAGGCAGCACGCATGATCTCAACGAAAGTCGAGGACTTCTTACGGCAGTCTCCAAAAGAAGACAGTGGACAAAAATTGTACAGTCGTTTGTATAATCTAGGCTATCACTTCGGTGAGAGCTTTCGACGCATTCAGAATATACACTACGACGATGGTGGTGAGGCGGTCGGACAAGTCTCAGCATTTCGAGACCGATCCGCGTAACCTGCAGTCATTCATCCAGCAACTCTAGACGGAATACTGCAAATGATGCTTCCAGCTGCGACCTTAGGTGGCAACCGCGACATCAGTACCACCGTTCCGACGCGGATAGTCCGACTTCGAATCTTCAAAAACGACCGTTTGCATAACGCCAGTCACATCTCTCCACTTCAAGCTCACGTCTCTTTGCATCGAATCAATTCTCGTACGATATCTTCAAGAATCAACGCCTACGATCCGGACAGTGGTACCCTGGTGGTAACCGCAGATGGAGTTGAAGCTACTGCAGTGACTGATTCTGATTTTGATCACGCAGACCAAGAAAAGGCTCGGAGGCTATGCTTTGATCTGAAATTCCGACCAGATATTTCTCTCTTAAACAAGACAGAGCTCGAAAAACTTCTTTCGGAAGCTCGCCCTACGTGCCCTGATCCTACCGAATACTGGCGAGATATTATGACCTTTATCTCTGGGATCATGCGAAAAGCATCGCAAGAAGTCTCACCTTCAGACGTGGCGTCACAAGCACCACATCTGAGGAAACACTTCGCATGGATAACCGAGCACCCCGCGAGTAAGATGGAAAGTGACGTCGCGCTTGATGAGCTACATGTTCGCATTCGGAGCCACGGACGATTAGGAGAGATCTACAGCAATTTTGGGCAGTACTTGAACCAGATTCTCAAGGGCGAGCGTGATGCCCTTGAGATTTTGAGCGGCGACAACGTCCTACGAGACTATTATGATGTTGCTAGAGATTCATGGAAATTCATGTCACCTATGAAGACCTACATCGAATTATTATCGCACAAGAACCCAGCATTGAAGATCCTTGAGGTTGGCGCAGGTACTGGCTCTACAACCAAGCATATTTTGGAGGCACTTGCTGCGTCAACGTCACACGGCATCTCGGCAAGGTTCTCACAATTCGATTTCACGGACATATCCCGCTCTTTCCTCGCAAAAGCGGAAGACGAGTTCAGAGAGTATCCAAAGATGAGATATGGCATTCTCAATGTTGAGGAAGACCCGTCTGCGCAGGGTTACGAACCGGAATCTTACGATCTCGTCGTCGCAGCAAATGTTCTTCATGCGACTAAGTCGCTAGACGTCACACTTAGCTCGTTGAGGAAAGTGTTGAAAAAGAACGGGAAGCTTGTACTCATTGAGATTACGGAACCGGAGTTCATCGCTGCGCCGATCATCTTTGGGTGTCTATCAGGGTGGTGGCAGAGTAAGCGAAAATTGACCGCCGTCTATCTGACGACATGGCTAAAACATAACTAGGCACAGATAGTTATCGGACCCAAAGTCCTTGCATATCAGCGCAACAATGGGATCAGGTTCTGAAACGCAACAACTTCTCTGGCGTCGATATCCTCTCCCGCGATCATGATAACTCTTACCACAACGTCAGTCTAATGATCTCAACGGCTATTAGCTCGGCAACCCCCATCAATATTGCAACAGCTAGCGAACTTACTCCAGTTACTGAGCTCGAGTCAGCGACGAGGCTAGAGCTACAATCAACAATAGCCGTTGACAATCGATTCACGCGTATAATTGGAGGTCTCGATACTTCATATGACAGCGGTCTGGCCCAGACTGTGAAAGAGCAAATTGGGAACTCTCAAGTTGTCATTGGATCTTTCCGAGACGCCGCCAGTACCTCTGACTTGAGCGACTGCCTCGTCATTGTTGCTTATGAACCGCCTTGGCAGCAACTAGACCAACTGTCAGATGATCAGTTCTGTCACTTCCAAACGGTGCTTACAAGAGCGAAAGCACTTCTATGGATTTCTGAGGCTACCGCTTCAGATATAAACTGCCCACAGCATGCAATGATAACTGGCTTTGCGAGAACTCTGCGTACGGAGAGAACTGGCCTTATCTTCACACATCTGATATTGAGCGGCGAAGGCGAAGACTCTCGGAGACGACATATCTCTCAAGCTCTCGAGAATACGCTAGTTGGCATCAAAACTGGGGCTTATGAGCCTGAGCTATCAGTATCCAATGGTTTGCTTACGATTCCACGTATCTACGAAGACGACGACCTCGACCAGACTGTTTACAGTATGACTGTACCTCAACCCCAGGAAACGCATTGGGGGCATCGAGACCTTACCCTGCAAATCAAATCACCCGGGTTGCTGGATTCACTATACTTTGCTGAGTTGAGTCAAGATGCCTCAGTTCTCGCACCTGACGAATTAGAAGTCGAGGTCAGAGCCACTGGCGTCAATTTCAAAGACGTGCTTGTCGCAATGGGACAGGTCAACGACAGCACTTTCGGCACTGAGTGTTCTGGGGTCGTGCTCCGAGCCGGTAATCAGTGCAATGCCAGGCCCGGAGATCGCGTTGTAGTCTGCCACTTAGATGCGTTCCGACGAACAATTAGGTGCAGGGACTTTGCCGTCGCTCTCGTGCCAGAGAAACTGTCCTTTGCCGAAGCAGCATCAATTCCAACGAACTTTATTACAGCTTATCGGGCGTTGTTCGACACAGCACGGCTACAGTCCGGGGAAACCGTTCTGATCCACGCGGGGGCAGGCGGAACGGGGCAAGCGGCGATTCAGGTCGCTGAGTACCTTGGTGCTATCGTCTTTACTACTGTTAGCTCCGAGAGTAAGAAGCAATTGCTGATGCAGTTGTACCAGATTCCGGAAGAACATATCCTATATAGCAGGGACTTATCCTTCGCCAAGGCCATCCAACGTCTTACCAAGGGCAAAGGAGTTGACGTCGTTTTGAACTCCCTGTCTGGGTCCAGTCTCTTGGCTTCCTGGGAGTGCATTGCGCCTTATGGCCGTTTCATTGAGATCGGCAAACGCGATATTCTAGATCGTCGTAACCTCCCCCTGGCTCAGTTCGAGAGAAATGTGACATTCAGCGCTATTGATATTGCTGCAATGGCAACAGAGCGTCCGGATCTAGTATCTCGGAGTCTTGCCAACGTATTGCGGTTATTCGAATGCGGTGCGCTTAGGGTTGTGCGTCCCTTCAAGACATTTCCAATTGCTCGGGTAGAAGAGGCATTTAGATATCTTCAGACGGGAAAAAACTCTGGAAAGGTCGTTGTTGAGATGACGCCTTCTATGCAAGTCTCGGTAAGCTCTCGCACATTACACATAGAAATCATGTTTACCTCTAGTAGGCTTTGGTACCAGCTCGAACTATGTGGACGTTGAATGCAAAGAGCACATACGTGATTGCTGGCGGTTTAGGCGGCCAAGGACGGAGCATAGCCAAGTGGTTAGTATCGAGGGGTGCACGCCATCTGCTTCTCCTTTCGCGCCGTGGTTCAAGCAGTACTGTCGCCATCAAGTTTGTCGAGGAGATGAAGGGCATGGGCGTTACCGTCTCCGCGCCGACCTGCGATATCACCAACCGAAACGCGCTGAGCAAAGTGCTGGGCCACTGCGCGCGGTCGATGCCACCTATCAAGGGCTGTTTCCAGTCTTCGGCGGTTTTCCGAGATACTTATTTCGACAAAATGACCTGCAACGAATGGAATGAGGCTCTCCTGCCCAAGGTCACTGGGTCCTGGAATCTCCACTCCCTCCTACCCCATGATATGGACTTTTTCATTTTTCTCTCCTCTCTCACCGGCATAATTGGCTCTCAAGTTCAGACCAACTACGCAGCGGGAAACACTTTCGAAGACGCGCTGGCTCAATACCGTGTCTCCATCGGCCAGAAGGCAACATCGATAGATCTGAGTGCGATGCAGTCCGAAGGTGTCCTTGCCGATCATCGCGAAGTCTTCGAGCAGATTGTCAACGTCAAGCAACTACTTCCAATGTCCCAGGAAGAGCTCTTCGCCATCCTGTCTCAGTACTGTCAACCGACAATGACTCGGGCTCAAGTCATCACTGGCCTGGAGCTACCAGCGTCCGTCGCGGCGAAAGGCGCACAAGAACCGGCTTGGATGAGCCAGCCGATGTTCAGCATCCTGCATCAACTGTCGCCCACGACTACCTCGGCAAACACGTCAGATTCGAGTGCCACGGCGCAGGATACTAACACACTGCTACAGAGTGCTGAGTCGCCAGAGCAGTTGACAAATGTGCTTTTGGCCGCTCTCAGGCAAAAACTGTCAAAGTTCCTTTCCATAACAACTGAGAACTTCGATGTGGACAAACCTTTGCACTCGTACGGCGTGGACTCGCTGATCGCAATGGAGCTGAGGAATTGGTTTTTGAAGGTGCTAAAAGTTGAGGTTTCGGTGTTTGAGGTGCTGGGTGGGAGTTCGACACGAAGTCTGGCAGCGACGGTTGCGCAGAAAATTGAGCCGGGCAGAGACGACGTTGGTCCGTAGAGGGCATATGTGATGCGTAGCAAAATAGATTGTGCCGTATAGTAAAAAGGGGTGTAATGTTTAGCAACATCCTATCTAAAAGCCCGTCTAATTGACTGCCCCGTTTCGCACGACAACAACGAGCCCAAACACGCCCCGAGTGGCAACTGACGGGCATTCTTCACTAGGTGAATACGGAGTTGAGGATTCTGCACTGATGGCTGGGGTAGTGTTGCCGGCGTTTCCCTGTCAGGTTTTGGTAGTCGGAGATTTTGGAGATTGAGGTTCAGCATCCTTTTCACGCTCGCGCATGGAAGGTCTGTTTGGATTGGGAACGAGAAGCGGCGCGGATGGCCTCGGTGTATAATAACGCGCGTCTCACCCTTGCTGGTCTCTTGGATACTCAGAGGGATCTTGATTCAAGGCTCTAATCACGTGATCGAGAACCGGTGAAGAGAAGAGAGGAATGCTCATATAACTTTGTCCTGCTAGTAGTTATAAGTAACCACCTTCATGGTGAAATATCTATGGATGGAGGTAAAAGGTCACGTGCCGTATCATCCATTCACATTACGACTACCTCTCAACTCGCGTTCTCAAACTTACCAACGAAGAGATTTCGCATCGCAAACCACCCGGCCTTAACTTTTGCATAGCCCCAATCGTTTAGGACGCAAGCCGCAGCTCTCCGAACAATCCAGCCACATCTTGAACCCTATCGGCGGCCTCCGTATCTTTGGTTCAGCCTCGAAGTCAAAATCGCAAATCTAAACCAATCTTCGTTGGTCATTCAAAAAAGCAAATTTTTGCTACGCAATGTTTTTTTCATATCTTCCTCCAGTCTATATATCAATATGTTTCATCTCTAACCTCCACATTTTAACTCTCCGTACTTTTTATCAACACGAGAAATCATTCTGAGTCCAAAATTCCCATCAGTCTAATGCCGTGAGCCTATCTACAGTATCTCCATGGCGCCCCCAACTGCAATGGACAAATTTCTCGACCTCAAGACTTCAGAAGACCCTGCCCCAATTCGTCGCTGGCGCACCACCTCCGCCCCCATCGTCCCCTCAAACATCAACTCGCAACCCTTCGTCGGCCGCCTCGGCGGCAACCAGCTCCAGGCCGTCTCTCAATCTGACCCCGAATACGAAGCCCTCCAACACACGAACCCTGATGCCGTCCAATCGCCCAAATGGGCTGGCATACTCTCCCTCCGCCCCTTCGCCGACGTCCACCTCTGGCGCAACGCTTGCCTTGAAGGCGTCGGTCTTTGCTGCTGGGTTTTCATAGCCGGACTCGTCTCCCACGGCACCGCAAATCTATCCTCAGCGACGCCACTTGGGCCTATCTTACCTGTGGCCATTGCGGCAGTGGTGCAGTTCCTCATCATCACGCTATTCATCTTCAGTCTCGGCCCCGTGACAGGCGCGCATCTGACACCGCTGATCACATTCGCGACCTTCCTTGCCAAGCTGACGAGTTTGCCGCGGATGGTACTGTACATCACTTTCCAATGCATCGGAGGCGTCGTCGGCGCCTACATCCTCCGCGCTTCCCTCGGTGGTTCTCCATCCACCCTCGTCTTCTCCCCGGGCTGCTACGTCGACGCTGCACAAGTCTCTGCCAAGCAAGCGTTCGCGCTGGAAACCATGGGCTCGCTGTTCGTGCTCTTCCTCGCCTTTGGACTTGGTCTTGATCCCCGGAACCAGGGATCTTTTGGGCCTGCGCTGGGGCCGTTTCTGGTAGGGTTTAGCTCAGCGATTGCGCTGTTCGCAGGAGGGATCGCGGTGCCAGGGTATTTGGGGTTGAGTTGTAATCCGGCGAGGTGCCTAGGGTTGATGAGCGCAGCGCATCGGTTTACGTACCATTGGGTGCATTGGACGGGGGATTTGACGGCGTGCGTGGTACATGCGTTTATCTATTATGCTGTGCCGCCGTTTTGTAATCAGCGGATTCAAGATTGAAGTACGAAGTAGTACCGGAGTGGTCCCACGTCAGCCACGTTACAGTTCAAACTCGAAAATGCGCTGCCGCAAAATGCCGACTATAATTTCTTTCAGTCCAACTCTCCCAAGACGGTGATTTTCCCTTATTATCTTAGCGTAGATGCTGCCTAGACGATTCGCTTCACTCCTCAGCACGTCGCCAATACTAAGATGCTCGATCTTAGGATCTTGTTTGAGAAGAGCACACTGCGTTCCCTTTCCAGCACCAGGCCCACCAATCAAGCCAACGATGCGTGGCTCGGAGAGAACTTCAGGTCGCATTCTATCAAATGCGACCACACGTTGTCCAGTGAAGGGGGAAAACGAGAGAGGAAAGGCAGCTTGGGAGCGACGACAAGATATCCTCGCGTTGAGTGTGGACTGAGAAATGCAATTCGGCTCAGATCATCGCGCAAGCTGACTTAGATAAATAGTTGTAACAGTATTAGACCAATTGCGGCTGCTGTATTCTAAGAGTGTAAAAGACCACGAATTTTATCTGTGAGCGTTAATACATATAAAACACTGGAAAGAAATTACAAGACCACCTGGGTAGGAAACCATAACAAACCCTTTTCAAATCCTTGCACATAAAATATCCAGCTTAAGTAAAAATACGGAAGATGATATAAAAAGCAGACTACCACACATCGCAGCTGTCACGAGCTGCAATACAGGGCGTAAGGGCTTGTACATTACCCAGGCATTGCCATAAGAATCCCACACGTGACTAGCACATTAAATCTCGGTCTTGTGTAATTCCGTGCTTGCGAATCATGGATTTGATCTTGAAGTTAAGTTTGAGAATCTGCAAAAGTACACAAGCCACATTGTGATTGTGGCCAAGTCCAAATAAGTTTTGCACGCCACGTCATAGCCTGTTATTATTGCCCCGCAGTTGCAGCTTTTAGAGGGAGCGTTTGCGGCGACGAGAACCCTCAATCGACTTCAATATATATCATTTGGTTAACTTTCAAGTGTCTATCATGGCCCAATACCTTTTCAGTGCGCGGACTATCGACTCGCCAGACCATGATGAGGAATGCGTGCCTGTATTCACCTCACTGGGAATGATAGTGCTGGACGAAATCCGATTTCCTGGCAAGGCACCGATGTTCAATGTCATCGGCGGCTCCGGGGCTTATGGTAAAAGCTCCCAAATTTTCTTCACGTCCAAGGCTAAGACATGGCTCCTGCTACAGCTACATTGGGAGCTCGCTTGTTCAGTAGTGGCGCCTATTCCAAGGGAATTGGCTGCCTGGTTCTGGCCGGCAAAGACTTTCCTCAAACCGCCGAAGATACTCTTCGTAATTGGGCACTGTCACTTACCTTCAAAAGAAACCGTACAAGCTTATCGACGAGAGGTCTTTTGGAGTATGAAGATACGACTTTCGGGCGTGAGTGAGCTCTTCTTCACAAACCCGCACCTAGCTGAATTATCCCAGCGAAGAAGTTTAGATATACAACAGAACCATTGAAAGCTACGCCGAAGCATCTGCAAGATGAACCCCGGTTGCTGCACTCCAAATCGTTTCACTTACTGGCCTCGACCGCAGAAGTTGAACAGCAGGTACCAGAGCTCATGTCTTTGCGCAGAGAACGAGGGATAACAGAACGACCGTACATCATATGGGAGCCAATCCCCGGTACATGTAAGCCTGAGAATCGCCAGGCGTTTTTGGATGCCTGCAAGTTGGTGGACGTGTTCTCACCCAACGACCTCGAAATAACTGCCTTATTCACGCCCGAGCCTCCGAAGAGCTTTAGACCAGCAGAATTGCAGTCATACGCACAAACTTTCTTGGAGGCCTCCATTGGACACTCCGGACAAGGATGTATCGTCATCAGGGCAGGTGAGTATGGTTGTCTTACTATGTCCCGCTCGGAATCTGCGGTCTGGCTGCCCCCATTTTACGAGCTGAATGCCCCTCAAGTGATTGATCCCACCGGTGCAGGAAATGCCTTTCTTGGTGGCTTTGCATTTGGGCTCCAACGGACAAAGACCCTGGCTGAAGCAGCGGCGTACGGCAACGTAGCAGCGACATTTGCACTGGAGCAGATTGGCTTGCCACGACGGGAATCCAACGGCAACGAGGAGACTTGGAATGACTATACAACCATCACACGATTAGATGAATACAAGTCCCGGTTGGAAGAGAGGAAGTTGTAGTCAAGAGCGGGTGAAGCTGACTTGCCAACCTGTTCTCAAAGAGGCACGATTACTAGAAAGTTGAAACAGGTCAGGCGCTGATATCTCAGTCCGGACAGAACGTTCTAGAGCTCTAGATTCATATCGTATTATTCTATTTACGGGCAAGCCTAGTTTAGCGGGATCGACGGAGTCTTAAAGACTACTAAAGACGGTCCAAGTAAGCATCCCAACCCTCCTTCTGGTGCTGCTTCGCTGTCTCCACGCGATCCACTGCTGCGTAGATTCCTCTTCCCGAGATAATGAAGTCTGCATCACCTTGAACGGCCTGCGCCGGAGTCTTGTATTGTTGGCCGAGTTTATCACCACTGCTCGACCAATTAATACCAGTAGTGAAGATGATGAAGTCCTCGTTGGGGATAGCTGGGAGGCTGGCGTTGATATCGGCCAACGACTTCATAGCAACGAATCCAATGACACAATCGCTATGCTTCCTTGCAAACTCCACAGACTTCTCTGTATAGGTTCCAGTTGCGAGGCTTCCTTTGGACGTCATGTCCGCGAGGATGATGAATGCTCTTTCGTTCGAGTAGGGTAAATCCTCCGCGGCTACCACCTAGGACAAGGCTTCGACAATGCTTTCGCCACCCAGAATACTGACGTTAACAATGTCCGCAAACTCGGAGATACGAAGCGCACCACCATGATATTGCTTTTGGACAGTGTTGCCGATGTCCACAAACTTCTGATCCTCGAATATCATGAAGTTGTGTTTTTTTGAGAAGAACTTGAGTCCCTCAACCGTCTTTGGCTCGAAGTCGGAAAGCAAGTCAACATGCGTCTTTAATACGTCGATGTAGGGCCCCAGAACTAGAGACTTGTTAGTCACATCCTGGGAATCGGTATGAACACCAACCATATGCGCAATCAAGAAGCTCGGCAGTGGTCGTGAGATCTGCGGAAACTATCAGGTTTGACTTCTCAGCGTCAGCGGTTTCGAAGAAGCGCTTGGTGACAGGGTGCTGATGTTTTGCAGCACGATTGCTGTACGAAAGGCTGGAAGATGAAGCCATTCTTGGTGGTGAGCTACTTAAGAAGGTTGTCCAAGATAGGAGGTAGGCTAAAGCGATGAGTGCTGAGAGAGCCAAGATATAGAATATCGGAGACTGCTGGATTGCCGGGACTGACGCATGTAAAGATGTTATACCAAGTATACAAAGGGAGCCGTCCAGGAGCAAAAGAGTCTACCTGCACAGATACCTTTTATGTAATTAACCCATTTGGTCAGCTAGCTTGTTACTAGGTTCCCCACTTTTCCGGCCCGTCCCCGTTCTGGGCCCCGATTCCAGATCTTTGGGCGACCAATAAATCGTGGAGAAAAATAACATGCTGCTTAGAACAATTAGATTGGGGTATGTTTTTCAATACCCACGGAGCTTTTGTCATTTCACCTACCTAAAACAAGGCAACTAATGAGGCATTTGGCTCTAAAGACACATGAACGTGACTGACACAACGCAATGGCCGAAACACGCTAACGCCGTTGGGAGTTTCTGTCAGTGAAGCCTGGAGCAGTTATGGCAAAGACGATCCACTTGTTCCCAGCTTTATTGATGGATTGTCGAGTGCCCGGCCTTGTGTTGAGATGATTGAAGTCTTCAAAGAAGGTATGGGGTATTCGCGGTCTTAATTGACTAGATAACTGAAGATAGCAGACTCTCCGCGTGTCATTCGAATGGTCTTCGATACTGTAGATGCATTATCGAGTATCCTATGCGAGAAGGTTCCCGCTGAAAACTCATACGCTCGTGAATGCACGCTGACGAGACAACTTAGGCACCTAACAGTCAGATCATCAGGATCTTGAAGGAAATAGTAGAATTTCAAGAAAGCAATTACCGCCACTGACCGTAACCTAGAAGTGTCAGTCAGCTTTCAGGTCCTCTTAGCCTAGTATCTTACTTGCTAGAAGCTGGCTGTCGCCAGACCCCTCGCTATAAGGGCGAGACACTTGAGGTCATTGCGATGAGCATGAAGAAGGATGATTTGGTAGAGCTGCTTCGGATATACCCACTAGATCATGGCAAGTCTTTCTCATGACATGAATTTTAGAATGTCTAAAAGTGCTAAGACAAATAAGGAGACGACAACGCAACGATTGAGAAGAACGATGAGAAAGAAGTTGAAAGAGAAGACAGAGAAGAGGAAGGGCAGTTCAAAGAAAACGCAGAGGAACAGGCTGAAGAGGTGGATAATAAGACTTATGTGGAATTTGATGAGCAGAAAATTCCGATTTCCTTGCACTGACTCGGACAATACAGCTTGACGACTTGGAGGGCTTTGAAGAAATCTACAAGGTCGGAAGACATAACCCGTTATTTCCCAGCACCTGCGAGGTCTTTCTGGACGCATTGAATCGCCGGAAGCTCAGAATCTCCAAGTGGTTGATTGACTCGAGCTGCTTACTACAGGAAAAAGTAGGCTGGAACGGGCCTTAGAGAGGATTCAGCGCTGTTTATATCGCGATGCAGCATAAGGTCGTGTCTCTCCAATTTTTAAGCCAGCTCTTGGAACAGGACGAGCACTAGAACTGGAAGTCCTCTCCTCTAAGTCCTCTCCATGTTGCGGTAGAATACAGCAATACGGTCGGGTTTAACTGTTTCTTGAAATACTACGCATGTAGATGCGGAGGACTGGTGAAACCCGAAGATGCAGAACTAGGAACGCATCTTTCGCCCCAGATTGTGGACTAACCGCTGGAGATCAACCAAAGCAACGAGGATCAATACACCAATATGTCTAGCGCAGGTTGGCTAAACGTTCCGGCAGGAGCAACTCCTTTAGCTTTTGCTGCATTTAATTGCAATTCCGAGGCTGTAGACCTGTTGTTGAAATTTGGAGCAGACCCCAATAGTAAAGACAGCGAGCTGTGCACGCCGCTATATTATGCTTGCTGGGGAAGCGGGAATCTCTACATTATCAACCTCTTACTGCAATCCGGAGCGAAATCTAACGTCTAGGACAGGTGGGGACGTTCACCATTGATGAATGCTGCAGATGTGGGACATGTTGAAGCAGTCGAGGAATTACTGAGGTGTGGTGCGGCGTGAATTGAGCTTCAGGGTAGTGATGGCCGAACTTTCAACCAAAGATGTCAGGGAGTAGCGGTGAGGGCTACGGCAGGCACGTGTCACCTCTTGTAGATAGCCTCACCTTCCTCCAGACCTCTCTCCCCCCTATATCATCATCTCCTAATACATCACGTACACGGCATACGGCTCTTTGTTCTGTGACAAAAGACCAAACTCAACAATACTCTTCCACTTCCAAAATTCGTATACCATCATCCGGTCTAGAGACGAAATATCTCTCAAAATTGATGACCTAGTAATACGGCCGCTGCTTGGTTTCAGGCTGTTGGATATGCAAAAGGCTTTACATCACGTGACAGCAATGAGCGGAGCTGCTGAATCCCAGAACGATTTGACAAATGATGATGGCGATGACGATATTGCAATCGCCCTGCTGAATCGGCACGACATGTACACAGAGGACGACTGCAATAGGGATATATAGAAAGGGCCGGCTATACGCTCAGGTACAAAAGCGGGAACGAACTCACTCGATACATGGGAACATAAACATCGTTCACTCACGAACGAGGTTCACCCACCTCCGAGGATTAGAGGAGTGTGCCGTAAGCAGATTTGGTCACGCTTAGAAGAATGTGGACTAGCGGATCGGCCCCCAAATCCTCACCAATCCTCGGAGGTAGGTGAATCTCGTTCGGGAGAACATGTTACAATATTCTCTGAGGATACTTGCCAAATTGGAAGCCTCCAAGACTGCAAGAAATGGTTCCGGATATCGGAGCCCTACCAGTTCCTAGATAGCCCACTAGGCGCCGGCGAGGCCCGAGAGGCTGGAAGACGCATGCACAGTCGACTGGGCGACGGCAATCTCACCAAATGACGTCGGCTACTCCACCAAAACACCTTCCGCATCAGCTCCTAGCACGTCGCCCGCACCCCGACATCAACCACTGTTCCTTGCGTGCCTTATCACACGCCCAGCTTGGACGATGCGATTGGGGAAGGAGAACATGTCTCTCCGCGAGCTTGGAGACCCCGTTCCTGGACCGGCGGCCATGGCGCCGGGAATATTCCCCAGCTTCCGGACGAAGCTACCCTGGCCGCGAGCGTAGCAAGGTGCTGTATTTTCATTTAAGACCTCTCCCCGCAGCTGTTGATCCGCGCGAGTTTCTTCTGTCATGTCAATTGCGCGTGTGAAACTTCCTTCTCAGTCTCACGATGCTTTTCTCCTCTTCAATTGCCCTCGCGGCACTGTCGTTGGCATCGGTCGCCAATGGACTGAGCATCCTCATGAGCAATGATGATGGTTTTGGGAGTGGGAACCTCCGGGAGCTGTACAAGATTCTGAAGGCCGATGGACATGATGGTAATACAGCTCTGAAATACATGTTCTCTTAATAGCAATCTAATTGCCATAATAGTATGGATTGTCGCTCCAGCCACTGACCAGAGCGGCCAGGGTGGTCGAGTGAGTTTCAATCCAACACTGGAGTCTATCAGACCAAGATCGCATCACTAACATCCAGCAGTCCGACTTCAGCAAATTCGCGAACCTCACCGCACCCTCCGAGTTCAACCTTATCCCCGCCGGAGCTCCTGCAATCGGCCCAGACCCAATCGACAACCAGATCTGGTACTACAACGGCACGCCAGCTGCCTGCGTTTTCGTCGCTCTTGACTACGTCCTACCACGCTACGGCTCCTTCAAGACCCCCGACCTCGTCGTCTCCGGTCCCAACTTCGGTACCAACCTCGGCCCCTTCCTGTACACCCTCTCCGGCACCATGGGTGCCACCTACGCCGCAGTAGGTCGTAGCATCCCGGGCATCGCGTTCAGCGGTAGCAACCCCTCAGTCCCCTACTTCAACGTCACGAACTCCACCAACCAGGCCACCTGGACCGCCGCAGTCTCCGCCAGGGTCATCAAGTCCTTCATCGAGGCCACCCCCAAGGGCCAGGCCATCTTCCCCCTCGGCTACGGCGCAAACGTCAACATCCCGCCCCTCAACGCCTCCTACACCAACCCGCCGATCTTCAAGACGCGGTTGACCGGCAACGCGGACATAGACCTCGCGGCGTGGAACGAGACGACTAAGACGTTCCACTATGCGAACCTGGAGCCGCAAGCTGCCGGTATCAACTCGTGTATTAATGGCGACTGTAGTTTGCCTGGAGAGACGTATGTGGTTGAGGGAGGTGGGGTCAGTGTGTCGATCTTTACGGTGGACTATGATGCGCCGCTGAATCCATATACGACGATGGTGTATAACAAGTTGGATGGGATTGTCGCGAATGCGACGACGCCGTCACGGAGGAAATTCAAGAGGAGCTCGGTGTACACACATCCGTAAAGGGGAGGTGTTCTTGCGAAAGCGGAGCTGGTTAGGCACGTGATAATGACGGGGAGAGGGCATGAACTTACGAGTAAAGATAAATGTATACGAATACTCTTCGAGTTCAAGAACAGCTTTGCAATTGTCAACTTACATTAAGGTCCTGTAAGTCACGTGACTGAGAATCACGTGACTATAACTAAAGACTTGACGCGTTTGGTATGGCTTTGATGCGTTGGGTAAGAAATCATCGGTTCATGAATCTAGAGAGCTTTTGCTCTTCCATGCCATACCTTCCCCTACATTAGTTAGTGTTACATGCGTCAAGTTGGTCATTAGGTTTCGCGACCATGTGACGACACGTCGATGGTCGACCGGGAGACCAATTTCGTACTACCAACAGCTAGGCAGTCGTTAAGCTCTATTTTTCCCACTTCTGCTTTATCCCTCTTTCCTTTTGCAAGCTCTACTCCCACATACTACCCCTCATCCCAGCCATCGTGGCAGAGAGCGGACATCGGATGATGAGGCCAAGTACAACAGCGAGGCGTGGAAGGATGTCTTGAGCCATCTAGAGAAGGAGTTCAGGAGGACCATAGGAAGCGAGCAAAGGACGATAGTGCCAATCATTGCAAGATTGGTTAGATAGCTGGGATGAGAACTGGACGGAGTGGAGACGTGTCGGCCCATTTAGGAACAGGTTTAGGATTACTATAGGGAAACTATCCGTACTGTCATTTCTGTCTCACGTCAACGGATAGATCATAGGGCGGGAACAACGAGGCCGGCAGGTTAAGATGATAGCAAACCGCGTCATAAATGATCAGACTCCGTTTCTAATCGATACGTGTGGCGTGTTGCTGTGCGACGAAGACAACTGACATTATATCCACTCATGGGGCCCACCCAGCCTGGCGGCACTGGCTCAGTTCTCCTTCAAGGATAATTTTAAGCCCCGGTTGCGTCTCCTCCGACGCGTAATTTTGCCATGGAGGACCGCCGTCTGTGAAGTCATCTAGTAATTCATCCCAAAACGCCTCGTTTGGTTCGTCCTCATGCAGAGCATTCAATGAAAGAGAATCTTCGGGTCTTGAGTCGACTTGGTGTGAAGGTCCACTCTCATGTCCAGCCAAGGTTTGAAGATTCAGGAAGGAGTCGGAAGGTTCAAAAGAATAATTTTCTCTCGTAGTTGGATCATGTAAGAAGGCTGACAGATCGGAGTCGCCCATTGTGTCCAAAGGATTCGGGAAGTCAGGCCACGCAGTATCAGGTAGTATGTTTAGATCCACTGAGACTTGAGGAGGTACGAACCCTAAGCTCTGGGCAGGAGCTTCTAGGTGGTGCGTCGGACGAGTTGGTAGATGCTCTGACATGGAAACTGGAGCATCGGGTGCAACATCAGCATTATTCACGTTGGAGTTAACCTCGTCGCGAATGAAGGTAGCGATAAGTTCTTCGATTCCTACACGTATAGCTTGTTCGATCTGATCTCTAATCTTTGGCTCGAAGTGTTCTTCGAGTTGCCGTCTGACAATCACCGGAAGCTGTTGCCGACCGTATGCTTGAAAGCGCGCGGCTAAGGACAAAGGAGTTGACGTTTCGTTCGAGTCGGCTTCCGTATCGTACTCGTAAACTAGACTCATGTTAGCGACAACCTCTATAGTTCATCGGTTCATCGCATGGACTAGAAGAAAGACACTCACAGGGAGAAGGCATTGTATCGTCATGTGGAAATAGGATGCGGTATACCTCCTTCCATCGGCAGACCTCCGAGCGACCTAACAGCCCTTTCCTACTTTTGAGTTGCTTATACTGTTCTGGCCCGATGCCATCCAGTACCTGATTCGGCTGGAGCTGTCCTAGCTGGCACCCTTGCAATTCTCTTTGGTGTGTATTCAAATCTGTTTCAGTCTTAAAGTTGCGGGAACATCGCCGACATTGATGTATGATGTGATTTCGATACAAGTGCATTCTGGAAAGGATCAGCATAAGTTATCTGAAGTCAAGGGAGTGCTTACTTCATGCGAGCCACAGTAGGGAAGCCTGGACCACTGCAAGAGCTGCATTGGTTGTGTTTACTAGGGTTACGCTTGAAGTACGGGCAAGCCAGCTTCCGATCTGACGTGTCTCCAGTAGCTGGAAAACCGGTATTTGGTTTGGGCCGTTTATGGCCTTCGTCTTGATCATCGTCAGGCGATTCCGAGCCATCATGCCCCAGGTTACGTTTCCGCTGCCCGCGTCCCGATCCTCGACCTGATATCCAGCTAACTTCGGGGCCAGTACTTGGTGTTGAGCTTGGCCCATAGCTATCATCTCCACCCGTACAAGTGATAAGACCACGCGCAAGGTCAAAATCGAAATGTAGATTGTTCATGATATGATTGACTACACGTCGAGTGTGTTGAGAGATCCTGCGGCCGATGGAAGCAATGCTCTCTGGGCTGGAATAGGGGCTCGTAGAAGCAGGTTGTTCGCTGTCAGTATCGGAATCAGTGAAGACTACTGCGACACTGCTTTTTGGGGACTCGTGAGCCATTGGAGTACCGATCGGATTACGGGGAACAGGAAAGTTTGCCGCAGACGAAGAGCGTTCGGCATCGGTTGTGGTACTCTTCTCAGGTTCGCCAGAGGAATGATGCTCGACCTGAATCTGTCCTTTGGAAGTACGGAAAGCGAGCTCAGTTGACTGCTTTAGTGACTGCGGAAGAAGAGTTGAAACATCTTTATCTTGGTAACCCGCTGTGTCAACAGGTGACTTTGGAGGAGGAAACAGGGTCGACACATCTTTTCCATGATAAGTAGTAGATGGCGAACTAGTCGGCACGACGGTGTCTGGCGTTGCGATGACTGAGTAAGTCGACACAGGATGCTGGCGAATTATAGAGGGTGTAGCCCCATTGCATCTCAAGTGCCCGCACATAGGACATCCAATATTAATCTCACTGAGTGGCCCATCGAAGCAGTTACAACAGTACCAAACGAAGTAAGGTTTTCCAGGTTCGTAACTACAGCCAGACATTGTCCTATAGTAGGTGAGTTGGGCCTTCAGCGACTTCGATGGCTTCGATACTTACTAATATTCGTTCGTCTTGCCCACGCGCAGTAGAGAACGTGACTTCAGCAGGTGTGGAGTCTTGAAGTACTTAGGTCGTGATTTATGGAGCAAGAAGATTATAGTGGACTTGAAATGTAATGTTGAAGTATGTAGCGAATGGCATTTATTCATTCGAATGGGATAAACTGAAAACAGCTCGAACATTTTGAAGATAAGGATTGAAGGACTTTATGAGACGGCACGACGCTCAGTTGAGCGTAACATCCCTGTAAATCGCGAGAAACGCCACAGATCGCCGACAGGCCAATTGGCCAGTTCATTGGTCGGGGCCTGGCCGTACCTGGGTACCTGAAGTGCGGGCCCAATCAAGCCGAGCAGTACGCAACCTGTCATTAGCATTTCCATCGGATTTCGCTCGGGAATGGCTATTGTCTTTTCTGGGCTAAATGTACCTGTTCCTGCTGCGCGCATAGTCCAAAGGCCAGCAACGTAAGAACTGCAAGGCTATCGACCTATGCAGGGCGAGATCACTGATCGGAGACTGATAGAGCATGATATTATGGTCTCTATTTTTGTTTTGGAAGGCTGCACACCTGCCTCTTATCAGGCAGCACGTCCGACGCCCCGCACTGCCGATATGTGCATGTCCGATGTACTGAAAGTTGTCTCTGTCCAAGTGAGCCCATAGCACGTCTTACACGCCACGACTGTAAGGATGTCCCAAGCTTATTATGTCTTCCCGTTTGTAGGGTCATCAGGGACGATGATATGAGGTCTTCAAGGAGTTATCGTGCGTGCCGCATAACGTCTCATTCGGTATCTATCGATGGATATCGCGAAAGGCGCGGGAGGGGATTTTCAGGGTTCATCTGGCGTTATAAAACGATAAGACTTTGAATTGAGATGCTATATATCACTGGTCCTGTTCTTCGCCGCCATGTTCGCATTTGTTCAGACAAGATGACAACCGATATGAAGACAGGCTGAGCTTACCATGACATAGATCCGCTTTCCCTAGTACAATCCCTAAAGCCAAAATGGTGTAGAAGGCTTAACCCCTTCCGTAGGTTGTTAACGTGTTGCGGATTGTTCTACAGCATCCTAATATTTAAGTGACTTCACATTGCAGAGAGCGAATACTCGTGCTTTTTTTATCGTGTCATCTCCTGTTTGGAAATTACCACGTCTTAGGGAAGTCTGCGCCATGGAAATCATCGACGCACATTGCAGAGGCCTAATATTCCAGATTGATGGTTGCAACGAATGTCGAAGAGGCCGTGGAGACCTGAGATACCGCGTCGTCGGGACGGAAAAACCAACACCGATGCCTTACTTCACTTCGAGGTCTTCCAACTAACCGTCTTACTCCAAATAGTCGGGTCCTCGCACGACTTGAGCTCCTGTATCCCAAACACACGGATCCGGATCTATTTTAGATGACTTTACTGCGGCGCTGATGGCAACCTAACCTCGCTCTTGAATAGCACAGCCTCCTAGACGCTAGGGACGGAGTATTAATTAGGCATCAGCATCTCTCTCTAGAGTCCCAACTTTACATCTCCGTTTTCGCTCTTCCCCCATCACTTTTAGCACAATGAAGCTCAGAAACCGGGATGTTCCCGAATCGACCGACGTGTCCGACTCCACCCCAAAAAAGATATCTCCCTTCCCCTTTTATGGCGAATGGAAAGGACATACAATTCCTCATCTCACCACCTACCATTCGATCGCATCCTCCCTCAGGCCAGGAAAACCAGTGATCTACCTTGCTGGCGATTCATCCTTGGACAACAAATTCTGGGTCCCTGGCTCTGGCCCAGGTGGCGATCCCTTGCCCGTGGAGGTTCCTGAAATCTACTATTCCATTCTTGATCGACCTAAACCTAAGCCGGATGTTGCGTTCTGGATGAACCACTATCTAGGCGACCAAGCCACTGTCATTAACACGTCTATCGAAGCATCGATGCTCCGGGAACGCCAGTCCGGGTTATTGCCGCAAGACGAATTCATTCGCGATCACATCACCGCGAACGATGTCCTTGTCGTGTCCGTCGGCGGCAACGACATCGCACTCAGCCCGACAGTATCGACCGCACTGCGCATGCTACAACTTGCGTGGCTGTCTTCGCGATCTTCTCTCGAGCGCGGCAACGCGTGGTCCCTCGGTTACTTTAGGCAGTTGTTCGGCACTCAGATTCAAGCATACGTTGAAAAGCTCGTGGAAAGGCAGAAACCCCGTGCTGTCATTATATGCATGATCTACTTCCCGCTTGAACAAGAGTTCAGTTCCCAAAATAGTTGGGCGGATCGACAGCTGAAGTTGCTCGGCTACAGCAAAGACCCAAAACAGCTCCAGGCCGGGATTAGGAGCATTTTTGAGACTGCGATGAAACAAATTCGAGTTGAGGGTACGGGAATCATACCCTGCGCGCTGTATGAGGTTATGGATGGAAAGAACGCCGACGATTACACCGAGAGGGTGGAGCCGAGCGTGCAAGGTGGTAGAAAAATGGCTGAGCTATTGAAGAGAAAGCTTGATTCTGTGGTGGCATAATGACTTGAATCCATGGCTGTGGCCGTAACTATACCATATTTATCCGAGGTCGACCACGGTTCGTGGAATATTCATTGGATGCACGCAGCCCACGTGGTACCTTGAATAGAACAGAATCAGATTGGACATGCCCAAATCCAGAATAATCATCAAAGATCTCAAGGTCTAAGACAAAATATCGTGCGATCCTTCCGTGTCCCTTCCCCCCACCCTCTTCGAAATTCAGACTCGTCAGAGTCGTCGCTGCGAAGACATCAAATCACCACAGAGTTTCAAGAGATGTGTGGAAACAACCAAGCAGTTCCGGTGTGTACGAAGGCTGATACCATAGCAGCGCACCACGCAACAGCTTTACAGTCCAGAGCTATACTCGCCGACCGCAATCCGCAATCCTACTACGACTGTCACCCCCCAGCTGTATCGATCGCCAGTATGCAGAAGCCTACCATAAGAAGAGCTCGTTCTCTTGAGGAGCCTACCAACCTTGTGAAAGACGGCTTCAAGATGGCCAGCTCGATTCTCGCCGTGATCTTCGTACCCGTCTTCGTCACCCTCTCCATCGGAGCGGTTCTGTATCCTGGCTTCTGGTACTTTAACAATTCTCTTAAGAGGCTTGGTTTTAAGATCGACAACCGCGATGGACATGTCATGTGTTTGTACATTAGTACCGGACTGGCGCTGATATTTGGGGGATTTTTGGTGCCAATCTACTGGAAGCTTGACCACATACCTGGCTTCCTAGAGCTGGAAGGCGCCATTTTGCGGACTGTCATTGCTTGGAACATTGTTTTTGCAGTCGTTTTTGGATTGGCTAGAGGGGTGATTGAGTTGGTGTTTCAGGTGCGAATGAAGGAGCAAGAGGAGGTTTAGTCCTCTGGTATCTCATCATAGATGTCCGTGATCTTCCTGCCACTACTTGTATAATTTCGACATTTCGGGGCGATGGATCGCACTTCCAACCTGTGTACACTCCTCTGCCGCTGCTTAGGTGGGCGCCGTGAATTTATAAGCTGTTCAGAAGCTGAATTTGCATCTGGTTCGGAGCTCTAAAACTACCACGAAGCGCCCCAATGAGTGGCGGGAAAGTGCGTGGATGTTTGACGGTGGAACCGCTTGCTTCTACGACCTAGCCGAAACATGGTTACTCGACGTCGACCACGGGTCGTTGGTCATATGAGGCGAAGTATATGAGCTGAATACGTAAGATCAAGTATATCACCCAAGGTTCAGAAGTCTCCAGATTCATATATCTGTGCGGTGTCCCTCTGCTGCGCTCGCCTCGAAACCTTCCCATCCACAAACCAGCAGCTTCATCTCAACTCATCGTCAGCAACATCAACCCTACACGTCGTCGCTGTCATTGCGTTTCTTATCCCCAGGAAAGATGCAGAACTCTACCGCCGCCCAATCCTATCCTGAGTCTACCAGCTTCTTCGATGAGGGCTTTGTGATAACGGCCTGGGCTCTTGTCGCGATCTTCATCACCCTGTTACTATTGCCTCTTAACGTCCCTACGTGGTGCTATATACGGAGTCTCCACAAAAGGATAAAGAAGACCGGAAAATGGGACGATATTATCGTGGAGACGTTTGAATCTTTCTGCTGCATCGCTGTGTGCGTGCTAATATCTACGGCCTACATCATCGCATTTGCGTTCAGATGGGATAAGGATTATTTTGCTTCGCCGCCTTCGATGCTAGAGGTCCTTGGGCTAGCTTTTCAGATGGTCATTTCACTGAACATCGCGTCGGCTATTGTGTTTGGACTGTTTTGGGGGCTGATAGGGTTGGCCGAGAGATTTCAGGCATCGCCGAAAAAGTATGAGGAGGTTTAGGACATAAGTTTACGTACACTTGGATAGAACGGTCCGAGGTGCCTCGATGCATTTTCAAAAGCCCCAACTGAATCCTTCGCACGACTTGTAAGCTCGCTAGGCCACCTCAGATATTGTCAGATATTTGTACTCACAAGTCATGATAGTATTCTTTTTTCGGGGGTCTGGTTGTATTAGACCTTCCCCCGCAGAGTATCATTTCGACGACCCTGTTATCTCTCTTGGCCAGCCCAAATGAAATGGCCTACCACTCAAAAGATCCACTGGAGCGAGTGTCCTGTACCACTACCACTGCTGCCCCAAACTTCCGCCGCTTCCTTAGTGTCAAGATAAACTAAATACGGGATCCTTATCAACGGATCTTCCACCCTTCCCGGACCCCTTCCATGACCGTCATTCAATAGCGGAGACTCCAAATGACCATACAACCCCACCGGTTCGACGACCATCGGTGTTCCGTGCGGAACTATCATCCAGACATACCTATCCAGCCAAAGCCAGGTTCCACTCGGGTACCAAGGAAAATCCTTCGGGGGCCGGTAAATAATCGGATTCTGATCATACTCCCATGATATACAGTCCAGACTAATTGTCTTCACCACCCTTCCTCTTCCATTTTGACTTTCCCTCCACTCTTCTTGTTCCAACCTCGTTCGCCTCTCCACTGACAAGCACCGCTTCCGCACCGCAAACTCGAACTTCGCCACATACTCCTTCTCCAACTCAACCTGATGATGCGTCCGCTCCCGCCAATCCCGCCACACCTCATCCCTCACCAAATTCGGCCTCCTCTCACTCCACCACTGCCTCCAAAACACGTCCGCACCCGCATGCAACACCCACCAATTCAACCACGAGCACCCATTCGAGATATTACTAATCTCCGCCTGCCAATTATGGCCCCCCTCCTCCCCCTCCTCCTCCTCCCCCTCCATCCCCTTCCCCTCCTCTTCCCCGGGCCTCCCATACGGCCTAAACACCCACAGCAACAACCGCCACACAAATACATAATCCTCACACTCGGCATCTGCCAGCCCCTTCACCAACCTCACCCGCTCCTTCAACACCACCTCCTCCCGCCGCCGCACCGCGTCCAGATACGCATCACTCCCCTTCCAGTACGCGCCCGAAAACACGCGCGACGCCGCGTGCTCCTTGCACGCCTGGTACGGGCACGCGACGAGCATCCCCAGCCGGTTGCACCGCACCGCGGCTCCGAGTTTCGATAACCGCCCAGCGGCGTGCGGCGGCGCGGCGTACGCGCGCGCGGAGACGAGGTGCAGGCGCTGCAGCACGCGCCAGCCATTCGCGACGCGGCGGCGCCAGTGGCGCGCGAGGGCGTGCGGGGCGGTCGAGGGGATGCCGTAGGGGAAGCCGGCGGTGAGGTAGGGGTAGCGGCGCAGCTTGTCCTTGTCAAGGGCGATGGCGGCGAGCTGGGCAGGGATAAGGGATTTGAGCCAGCGGAGGGAGGGGGTGGGGTGGGTGGGCGAGTGGGTGAGGAGGAGGGGGCAGTTGGGGAATGTGTGGTGGGCGACGTGGGGCGCGATGGCAGTGATGTAGGTGTCGATGACGGCGAGGGTGCTTTGGGAGGTTAGGCGCAAGGCGAAGAGGTCGTTGAGGCGGATGTTTTGGAGGATGGGGATTAGGATGTCGTCCGGGAGGTCGGAGAGGATCATTGTTAGGTGCTTGGGTGTTTGTGGTCGGTATAGAGATCGTATTGCGGTTATTGAGAGGGTGTGATTAGGCGGTATTTTGAAGCTGAGGCCGGAACTGAAGCTGAGATAATATAAAGCAGTGCAAAGATCAAGAATATGACCCGGAAACGGCGAGATCTTATGCTATACGGATGTTATGTGACCACAAGCATGGATAGAGTCTTATCGGTGGCATGATCTGGGTTATCTGAGAGGAATGAAAAGTTTCAGCTGCAGGACTCGCTATGATATACACCATGCCTAACCTTCCAAGGTTACCCCACAATACACACGTGCGGGCCCTGCATTACCTGTCATTGGGGGGACAAAGCAAGCCACAATTCTATGCATTGTCTGGACCTTTGACTTGGCTCGACTGGGCAATCCATGGCGAGCCTTGACTTCGCGCGACGAGACCTGGTAATTTGTGGTTCATGTCACGTGAAGATCATATGACGCGTCGTTTGGCTTTTACCACTTTGATCATACATCGGCCGTCTCCTGTGGAGATCTATCAAGCAATGAAGATGTTAGCTGCATAAATTCAGCAACAGTATCAGACTGACACTCTCAGTTCCGCACATACATGGCTTAAGCCTTCAACTCTGCCTGAATAGCAACCTTCTCTGCACTGCTCACCGAGCTCGTAGTTGCCAGTCTCGACTCTGCTGCCGCAATCGCACTATCAACAGCTGCCACAACATCTATATGGAAGAAGGGGCGATTCTTCCCGAGGACAGTCGTAACTTTCTCCGGGAAGCTCTTCTCTCCCCTTCCTACGCCCGGAACTGCGCTTTGGATCTCGTCTCCGCCATGTTCCTCATCTCTCAACTTCGGATCACTAGACCTCACCGCAGTGTCACCGATCGCAGCGAAGCTGTATACAGGATTCCAGGGGGCCCGGTTTCGGCTACGATCAGTGGAGAGATACCCGAAGCCGGCGGCAGTGAGAGCGCGCTTGGTCCACCGGTTCGTGATGGATGCGAAGTGCCATTCAACCTCCTCGGGAGCGGCGTAGCGGTCTAGCTGGTTACGAACGTCGACGAGACCTTGAACAGAGGTCGTGTCGACGTTGTTGACAGAGGAGAAATCGAGAACCACGGCGCGAAGGAAAGGTCTATCATCATTGAGGTTGATGGGCTTGCCACGGCGGGGGCCAGGGTCGTTCCAGGGACGATCCTATCGCTTGTCAGTGAACTGAACAGCCGGAAAGTACTGGTTGGACGCCCATGGGACATGGCTGAGAACTTACACCAATTTTATCATGTCTGGCTAACTTGGTAGGTCTTGCCGAAGCTTGGATGTGGGCGGTAAGTGCATCGAGGTATTGAGCCTGGTTGATGTACGTGAAGCCTTCACTGTAACGATAGACGAAGATGCCAGGGTAGGGGCTCTGCACTGCGATCTGTGGGTTGGAGCCATCTTGGTGCGTGACGGGCAAATACACTTCCCGAACGATGTTGGTGGTCTCTCCTATAGGGCCCTGCGACTCTGATACCCCGCCATCCCTTCGATAGACTGCATCGGCGCTTGCCGGATAGATATTGACCTTTCCAAGGAAAGTACCCTTTGTCTTAGCCAGGCGGTAGAGGAGGAGTGCAGCGGATGCGCAAATCGTGAGGTATATCCCGTTCTCGATGTTGGTGAAGATGGTGAGCAAGACACCTGCGAAGAAGATAACAACTTCCAATGGAGACGTTTCCCAGAATTGGTAAACAACCTTTGGCGGTGTGATCAAATCGCCAACAGCATGAATAATCAAGCCCGCTAGACTACTGCTTGGGATGTAGAAGAAGACACTGGTCAATGCGTAGATTGCCAGTAGCACAATAGCGGCAGTGAAGAGACCGGCAAGAGGTGTGCGCACTCCGGCTTTCGATTTGATCGCTGTACGCGAGAAGGACCCGGTTGCAGGATATGCGCCGAGGAAGGGGCCGAGAATGTTTGTGAACCCCACGGCCACGAGCTCCTGGGATGGGTTGATGACGTAGTTGTTGATGCGACCAAAGGACTTGGAAATGGCGATGTGCTCGAGAATTAGCACAATGATGGTGACGGGAATGTCAGGTGCAATCAGCGAGAGCACATGAGTAGTGATTACAGGTGCGCCGGCATGCTGGAAGCCTTTGAGGTAGACATTAGCTCTCAGGGAAATGGCAAGAATATGCACGCAACATGGTGGAGTAATTGAGGTATTCTTTACCTCTCGGAACTTTTCCCAGAATCTTGAACTTCGCCTTCTTAGCGTTCCCTTTGACGTGTCTATTGGCGAGCCAGCTGATCAAGATGTAAAGAAGGATCACGAAAGCCATTCGAAGAGTCGACAGGAAGAACCAGAACTTCTTTCGCTGAGGCTGCAGCTTGGTCATCCAACTGCAGAAAATGCGAATTGCGTAGAGCAGGAACAGGGCGGTCAACCCCATTGCGGCGTCCAGCTTAGTAGTTGGGAGAGCTTTCAGAGTGTTAATGATAACTTTGTACGTAGCTTCTCGAGCGTTGATGCCTGAAATTCCAAGCAGATTTGGAACCTGGCCCGCAGCGATACTGATGGCGGCGCCGGTCATGAAGGATGTGATGGCGACCAGAGGAATGAACTCGACGATCCAGCCCCATCTCATTAGACCGATGAAAAGGAGGACTGCACCGGCGATGACGGATAGAGCTCTAGCAATTTGTTCGGCTGGGATATCTGGGTCCTGGTCTTGAACTTTGATGACAATATTCCCAACGATGGTGCTCATAACTGCGACTGTCTAATATTTGTTAGAATGGACGAGATAAACATTCGTTTGAGAAGGGGAAACATACCCCAATTGTAATATCTTTTGAAGTTGCAAAAGCCCAGTAAAGCAAGAAACCGACGAACGAAGTATACAGTCCATATTCCGGGGGGAGTTTAGCTAGAAGCGCGTATGCCATTCCTTGCGGGATCACAACGAAGCCGACAGTTACACCTTTCACTATCAGTAGTGGCTCAAAGGACTTGTTCTCCACACTCACCTGCAATGATATCGCCCAAAAGCCATGTCAAATTGTAGTGGAAGATCCACTTCCAGAAGGGGAACAAAGATATGATGTATCGTTGAGACCCAGCTTTGGTGGGAAGGAAACGCGAAAGCCACTCTCTCGCTGTAGGCTCCCTCTCAAAATAGGTCTCCACAAAAGGAACTGAATCGGCGCCTGAGTTTACTAGGGGATCTTCCTTTCGATAGTCAAGGTCGATGAAGAGGATCTTGGCCAGAAATCGGCTAAAGGGGGTTGGGGCCATCGTTGCAATATTGAGCTGCGCCTGTTACCGGAAACCAGGGACGCGATGAGTACTTATACAAGCAAGTTTTCACTGATTGCCTGGGGAAAACGAAAGACTGGGGGATTGAAACTAAGAGTCCTGCACAAGTGGAAGCGGGAGGGCTGCATTCTAGATGCATGGGGACCATTGTCGGCTTTGCACACGGGCGTGGAGTATCAGGAAAACACCAGCCTGAGTGTCATCACGACCTTGGCGTGGGTATTTGGCGAAGTATTGGTCGCCGAGGACAACGAATTTGAAGTCTATCGTGCGAATCCGATGAAAATATGTGCTTTTTCAGACCAGAAACTGTCAGCCGCTGGCTATGGACTGCAATTATCTTACGATCTGGAACGGGATCTCCTCGTTTTGTCCTTGCGTGCTTGAAGGACAAGACAACTGTCGTCCTTGGAGGCTGGGGACCAAGGGCTTGTGAGTGCTGGGCACGATAGGAGAGAGCAAGAGCCCCATATGAGGCGTCGCTAGATCCATGGCACAGAACGAGCTGTTTAAGACGACTGGGAATATATAGTGATAGATGAGATGAGTACTGAGATGACGGCGCGACCCTTTTACTTGAACTGGAACGGAAAGCTGTATGAAGAGGTGAAGGATGGCGCAGACGAGATAGAGCACAACTGCGTAGAAGTGGCTGGCCGCTTAGCCCGCCATGAAAGAGTTTTGGTGATGGTGGAAGCGTGCTATCACGAACAACTGACGCCATTCTGTCCACCCATGGCGAAAGGGTTGGCAAACTTGGCAGTTGCTTGGCCGGAAATTCCAAGTCAATGCAATAATTTCGTAGCCTTGTCGCTACTATCGTAATGGCATTACTAGAGTTCATACGTTCCTCGCCATTTAGACAGATGTACCCTCGCAATCGACTCAAGAGGCGAGGAACGACGGGTTCCATATACCGTAAACATGTTATCAGAGCTCCTGAAGTATTGAGAGGCAACTAAAGACCCGAAAGAAAAATTAGGAATGATAACAACGACCACAAAAGGCGGTCGCAGAACGCAGAAGCGCATGCTCCGTACATACTCGGCCATCAGTATTGGCTAGTTGTCCCTCGCTGGCGAGAATGATGTAAAGACATGTAAGCCAGACACGAGTTAATACCATCCGTGCATGAGAGGAAGGTGATGATCATTCCCGAGATACCGTGTCGTGCATGAACTCCTTTTCGAAACGCCTGTCAGCATCAAGCAGTCGGGATTCAGCTGTCCCAGCAACCCGGCATTGGTTCTGCGGTGGTTCCTGCATCAGGACCGCACGGCGTATCTTGTAGGACCCATAGTATTTCGGAGTGCTGATTCGCTTCCCGATAACCCTGGCTGCAGTATGCTCTGCCAGTCATAAAAGGTCCACGATCGTCTACCCTGTGCTTGTCCGGCTGCCATTACTCCATCTCAGGGGTACGTACAGCACGTGTATAACTATCGTCGGCGGCGGAGTATAGCTGCAGTAGACAATATTTGGATACCGGACTAGAGTCTGGAGGGTAGTCGTGGGGCAAAGGTGTGTTGAGGATCAGCGCTGGACAGACACAATCAAACATCTACGAATAAGGAGGAGTCTAGACCTAGAATTTGTTTTCTTTTATGTTGGTAGTACCAGTTACATCTAGCAAAGGAGTGATATAGAGGCTTAGTTTCGCGATCAAGGTGTTGCTGTCAGCAATGGACAATTAACACGCGGAAGACTAAAGAGTCGGACCGATTTATATTAAGCACATGATTCCGACTAGTAATCAGTATCACTCTTTCATATTTCCTACTTCCAGTTCTTACCTTCAATGGAGCCACCCTCTTTATCCTCTACATACTGAAAAGCAGACAAGCAATGTGAGCTGATACACCTGCGTAAAATAGTCGTAAGCGCTATAAGATCTCACATGTCAGCAAATAAACAGAAGAATCATTTTACAATTCAAATTCCACAGCAGATACACTTCCAATTTTTATGCGCGAAGAAGCTCCATTCTAACAATACGGCCGAAAATTAAGTAATGAAACATGCAAGCGAGCGTCTTCGTTCCGTATCTTCTAGCCATGCTCCAGAAGCAAACATAAGAAACCACCCAAGCGTGTATTACCTAGTCCAGCCCACAGACTGCCATCTCTACCCATTATCTCTTCTATACCGTGCTATAAACCCAATAGAGTCCGTCTAGTAGTAGATAGGCTTGTTCGGGTCAGTCAGATCAAACACAACAGACGAATGCGGCTTTGCACCACCCCTGTTCGCAAACTCCCTCTGGAAATCAATGGTCCGGTTGAAGCTCAAGGCACCGTTGGGTAGGATATCGATGTACAGCGCCTTGAAGTCAGCCGGGGTGTTGATGACACCGATGTCACCGGTCTGGACGAAGTAGTCGGTGACGACGATGTGCTTCTGATCCGGCGTAACCTTGATGTAGTGGGGGCCGATGGTGGGCTGGTCTTCGTCAGGGTCGTCGAGGCGCTTCACGTTGTTGAGGTCGCTGATATCGAGAGCAGCAATGTGGTTGGCGGTAGTGAGGGTGAGGTAGATGAAGTTACCATCTTGAGTGATGTCGGAGCTGAGAATGGTAATCAGTGGTTAGAAAATGCTGGAGGGCCAGAGAATACATACTAGATGGCGACAGTGTCACGCGCCTTGGGTCCGAGATCATAAAGAAGCTCAGCGGTACCCTTATTGCCTTGCGCGTTGGTGCGGAAGGGGTATATAATCCAAACTTGGCCAAGGTGGACGGCGGTGGCGAGGGCGGCAGATTCGGGGTTGCCTGGGATGAACTTGATATCCTGGATACCTTGGCCCTGATTCGAAGTAAGCATGATGAAGGGATTTGTGTCGGCGATCTGAGTGATTAGGCATCTTGTCACTTACGTTGGGGATGGTGATTGTGCTCAAGATCTTCCTGCTATCCAGATCCCACAGCCTCAAGGTGTCAGCGCGCTGGATGCCTAAAGCAGAGGCTGGCTTCAGAATGGTGACTGGGACGACGAAGTCAGAGGTAAGAATGATCTTCTTGTTCCAGTCAATGCTAAGCCCGTGAGGGGAGAATTGCTCTCCAAGGATGTTCAATGTGCTGTCGACATCTTCGGGCCACTCGTGAATGATGTTGAAGTCGGCATCGGTTTCGATAAGGCGACCTGGAGAAGTTCCGACAGCAGATCCCATGTAGGTGATGAAGAATCCTCTGAATGGCTGTTAGCAAAGATGTTTAGAAGCAATAGCGGTGGAAACCTACCCGTCTGGCTTCGCGCGAATCTCATCGGTGATGGATGCAAGGATACCGCGGTTGCTCTTCTTGAAAGCGGGGCGATATGGGTTCTCGACGTCGAAATAATAGGCAGTGTCCTGAGATAGTCAGTTGGCGTTGAGCTCGAAGTTGGGTTCTGTAAATACAAACCTGCGTCTTCAAAAGCGAGAGAAGACCTCCGCCAACCAAGGTCTTGCCATCGAGTGAAGTTCCGAGGTGATGGGGCGAGTTTCCGCTGGACGGGACGTCGGTGACGTACAAGAGGGTACCAAAGGTATCCTACGGTGTATTAGAGGTTGCTAGTATCAGTGCACGAAAACGAAATCTTACATCATCAAGACTGTAGGTGGCAAGGAAGTCTAAAAGGCGAACCAAGATTAGCCTTGATCAACCAAGTGAGTAGATGATTGGTCCACATACCCTTGTGCTCGTTGTCTCCCGATGCGGTCCAAAAGAAACCAATTTTCTTAGGCCTGATGTTGCTGGGGGTGAAAGGCGGGCTTTCAAGCGGCGGCGTGGGGATTTGCAGAATTGGAAGTGGTGGAGCGTTGGAAGACAGAGGCTCAGTAACGCCAGGGATGGATGGAATTAGAGGAGGTAGAGAAAGTGAAAAGGCAGGGACTGCCAAAGCAGCCGCCAATTGAAGCGTGCTGAGTATTGAAGGCATAGTAGCGAGTAGTGATAGACCAATGATTAGGAAGAGCTGGCAAACAATATCCTCAAAGGGCCTTGTAAAGAAGCTGAAGAGTGCGATGGTATGAGCAAGTTTGAGACAGATAGTAGTATATATACTCTTCGCTGAGTTCCTTGGCTTGGATCGATTGCGACCCTTTCTCTCCTCTCCCGTTGTCGACATCGCGAAGAATGAAACAAAATGACACCAACAAGCCTCATTATTGAAAATCGTCTCCTGAAAGCACCTCGGCGACCTCATGGAGGGAGTCTGAAAGGGAGGTCAACCACTACGGCCCGCTGCTTCACCGTCATCAAACCAACCCGAGCGAAGCGTCAGTTCCTAAAGATATAGCGGCCTATTTCTTTGCAGCCAAGCAGCTCAAACTGGGACCGATCGTCAAAGTAGGATCCAACGTGTCATTTCGTACCCACTTGATTCGGGCTGTTCGCTCTTGGCGCGGGTCTCAAGCATCCATCTTCCAGGTTTCGGACCCAGCGGCATGTTCAGGTGACACTCTCAGAACTCTCTTCGCCACACTAGAGAGGCGCCAAATGGGAAGCAGACCCCTTCTGCCTCTCAAACATACTTCCGATCTGCAACTCGTCGCTTCATCTAGAGTCGTGATGCATGGAGGCTGATGGCAAGGTCCCCGAGACCCCGAGCTGGTTAGGAGCCTAGAGCATTCGACGAACCAGGATCGTCAGGAGGGTTCAGAAGCAACGTTGGCTAGCCGGCGCAAGTATGGTGATCTTTCGGCACTTCACTGCTGAATCTAAGAGCGTGGAACAGGGATCTCATGAGGGAATAGGTGGTGCTTGGCGCGGCTCAAGTAAAGAGAAAACAGGTTAGCGAAGGAAGAATGGAACCCCAATCTGGCGCGTAGGCACTGAAGCACGTACGGAACTGCATAGTCGACGCAGTTAGGTATGTGACTCAATAAGAGCCCTGGAATCGTGAAGTGTTCTCCCCCACACTTCTCAGGGTTTGGGGTTTGCCCCAGACAGGCCCATTCAATAATGCGAACAGAGTTCAGATGACTTCGCCCGCCTCTACCTTGTCGAAATTCGGATCTTCATGGCAAGGAGTCTCTAGAATGTTCAGGGGAGCCGGTCTCCACGCCTTGGCGGAAGGGAGGTAGCGGTGGTGGTGAAGGTTGCCATAAGCATAACCACGGGGCGGACCCTAGGGATCGGCAGCACCCGCCAACGCCTCGAGTTAAGCTTAAACCAGAAGCAATGCCTTTCCCGTCTAGGCATCCAACAATGACGATCGGGCTCGACATCCGTGTGGGGTGTGAGATCTCCAGGGCAGGTGGTGCATCGGTCCAAGCGCGCCAAAGCGGGCACGCGAAGCCCGGTTGCTGGCTTTCCCGCAGAAAGACTCCAGAATGATGGGAATGGTGCCATCGTGGCAATACATTGCACGAATGCTTGAAGAGGTTCGTGCTTCAGGCCGGGATGTTTGTAAGATTTGCAGTGCGCCATTGCACATCGTTCCCGCTTCCAGCGCTGCGGAGGTTGAAGTGCCAAGCATTCGCAATGCTCTCTCACAAAAACACCATTGTTGCATGCGTCTTGGCAACCGCAACGAGACAAAGTCGTCAAAACGCCGCGGGTCACTGGCCGTGCTCTCCCGCATTTCATCTTGCATGGCATCAATTGCATCGGGCCAGCGCGATCGCTCTACATTGGCTTCAATAAACCATCAATGGAATTGGACCAACCCGCGCCACGCCCCATAGATCGTGATTCGCAAGGACCCTGCAGAATGAGCATTGCTTGTCCTGGCTATAAACTGCTCGGCCTGCAGCGTACCTTTGGCGTTCTGCAAGCTTGGAACTGTGCATCAATCCCATCTCTTCACCATGAAGTCGTCAGTCATTCTCAGTCTGCTCACCCCCCTCCTCGTCCATGCCGCTGCCACCCCGGGCTTCTCTCAGGGCGAGCCAATTGACGGAAAGGGCAAGGGTGCTCCCCTCTCAGGTGAGTCAAGTTCGAAGCATTCTAGAGTATCGTGTTGGAGCGTGTGAGACTGACAAGTACAAGGCGGTACCAACAAAGAGCTTGACCTCCAGAACCCTGACAACCTTGGTCAACAAAGCACCGACAACGGCGTCGTACCAAACCTAAAATGGAGCTTCTCTGATTCCAAGACGAGGCTCTTGACTGGTGGCTGGTCGCGCGAGCAAGTCATAACTGACCTGCCCGCCAGCCACGACATCGCTGCTGCCCAGCAACATTTGACCAAAGGTTCCATCCGTGAATTGCACTGGCACAGAGTGGTGAGGGAAAGATTGATTTCTTGAAAATTCGCTTACTGATGGTATTCCAAGGCTGAATGGGGCTACGTGTACGCCGGTTCAGTCATTACCTCCGCGGTGGATGAAGACGGCAACTACCAAGTAGCGAAGCTCGAAGTGGGCGATATCTGGTACTTCCCCAAGGGAGTTGCCCACACGATCCAGGGCCTTGAAGATCAGAATGAGTATCTGCTCGTCTTCGACGACGGAAACTTCGACGCCGTGGGCACCACGTTCAATCTCGACGACTGGATCTCGCACACACCGAAGGATATTTTGGCTAAGAACTTCGGCATCAACGAGACTCTTTTCGCCAATGTTCCTACTCCAAACCCGTACATTCAGAACTCGACTGTGAGCACCCAAAACGTTACCGGGGGTCCAGGAGATACCGAAGCCTTTGGCAACAGTAGCTTCGTCTTCAAGCACACTCAACATTCCGAGGTTCCAGTGCCGGGTAATGGAGGCACGCTACGCATCATCGACTCCAGGAACTTCCCAATCTCCAAGACGATTGCTGCCACGGTCGTTACGCTGAAGCCAAAAGGCCTTCGGGAATTGCATTGGCACCCCAACGTGAGTTTCCTGAACTAGCCTAGCCTCGAATACTTACTTACAAATACTACAGGCGGAAGAGTGGCTTTACTTCCATAAGGGCCATGCCAAGGCAACTGTTTTCATCGGTAACTCCAATGCACGCACCTTCGACTTTAGCGCTGGTGACACTGGCGTCTTCCCCGACAACTCTGGTAGGAATCTTACTCATCGAAGAGAGAGCGCACCTGCTAATCATCAATGATAGGGCATTACATCGAGAATACTTCGGAAACTGAAGACCTGGTCTGGATCGAGATCTACAAGAGCGACCGAGTTGTAGACATTCCACTTACTCAGTGGCTCGCTCTTACTCCTGCCGACATTGTCGCCAGTCTGCTCAAGCTTCCCATTGATGTGGTCGAAGGTTTAAAGAAGGAGAAGCAAATCCTAATTGAAGGGTAATCGAGGAAAATGTGAGACCAAGCATTGTCAAAATGAAGAGGTTGGGCGATGGTCTGATATGTTAATACTTGAGTGGAGTACTTCTATTCTTCTACCCTTTTACTTGCCAATTATTCGATACTCATATATATCCGCTGTACCAAACCTCCAGACGACAAGAGACTATCTTGCCGTGTTGACATTCGCGATGTGACTTGGAAAGTTTCTTGAAATGGATGATTTCCGCGGACAGAAACTGTATTTCTGCACGCACTGAAGAAAACGCGTTTACTTTGAGTTGGACGTGCGAATCCCAAGCTCATTAGACAAGCACCGTCTCGAAGAATGATTAGATTATATTCCTTAGAGACGCGATGACGAACGCGTAGGTACTGCTTTGAAGATGCCGCGATGGATGAGTGATGATGGAAGAGAAGAGCAGACGTCGATGTCAGTTCTAGTAGTTGGGATGTACGGCGTCCGTGCGTAGAGCCCCACAATGAGCACCAGTCACACCGTTGGAGAATGGGAAGGTATAATATTCATACCTATCAAAAGATCAGTATGTGAGGCAATAGACCAACCATTCATGACATTATATTCTCCACTGCTTGTAAACACCAAAAGATAACGCTACATCCATCATATGTTCTGAACACAAGACCCTAAGCTTCTCTCCAACTCCAATTCAACACAGCCCGATATCACAACTCGCTATTTGTTTCGTCTACTACCGAAAGAACGCCAGTACTGATATCATACTTGACTCCAACGATCTGGATGTTCTTCTTAATCAACGGAGATGCCCTCAGAATATTAATGTCTTCCCTGATGCTTTCTTCAATGCTACGGCGAACAGTAAGCACGGAGAATTTCAGATTTCAGAAGAAGACATACGAGCTCGTGATTTCCCCAAATTTAGACGCCTCAATGGATTCCTTCTCCTCCGGTGCAATCTCCACTAACGCCTTCTTGATCTCCGGGTCATGCCAATGGGTCATACCGCAATCTGCGGCGAAATTAGTTTCGATTCGGCATCACAGGCAAACAACGGCCAAGTTCAATGTCTTGACATTGAACATACCAGTATGATGCATCACGACAATCGTCCCTGGAGCCCCTATGGTCTGCAGAACTGCAAGTGTTCTGATAGCATCAAACACTCTTCCGCCAGCATTTCGGACCATTGTGGCCTCTGCCAATCATTAGTCTCAGGTAGAGTATTGCAACTGGATAGTAGGACGTACTCAATGTAGGATCAATGCCGAGGATCTGGTATGGATTCAATCGAGGGTCGGAGCAGGATATGACAACCACGCCGGCACCGCTCGATCGCATGGTCGAGGCCATTTGGACAAGGCCAGGAGGTGCTTGATATGATTGTGCAAACTTGCTGTTCGATTGTAAGCTTCTTCTGCGAGTGTTGAATCGGTTGATTGGGGGCTTGGTGTACCTGTTGCGTGCCAGCATCTCGACGAGAGGACCGGTGACCATTTTGTTCTTTGAGGTTGTAATTTGGTCGGGCGTTGGGGTGGAAGAGTATGATAGTTGTTGACGAGAACGAATTTGAATATGATGTTGATGAGATTGAGAATGAAATCTAGAGGACAAGCGGCCAGTCTTATTTATCAAGGAGCAAGAAGCAATGACGCGCTGGCTCCCAATCATGGCTGTAATGATTTCTGTACGACATGCCGATGATGGCATATATCAACTAGAGGCTCGCTGGTCGGCTAGGAGTAATCAGTCATCACTTGCAGTCTTGTAACGAGACGTTTTGGGCTTCGTATAGCTGTCGGCAGTTCTGCCGATGCGAGGCTGTCCCTATCACGGTGCCGGATTGCGGCAGCCGAGGATTACTATACAGTACCTAGGTACTGCGCACCAGAACTGGCCCACATCAGCAGAACTGTATTTCCTTTATTACTCTAAGGAGCATGACATCAGACACCTTTAATAAATTGCTCAGCAGCTCGTCTACTCTTGGACATATGTCTAAGTTGCACATGCGTTGATTAACCACCTGCTTGAACTCCCTAGCATCTAAACATCAAAACCGATAGACCATGATGCGATAAGGAATTTTGAACACGTGGTTTTAGCATATAGCCTCGAATTTGCGAACGTTCAATTAATGATTGTTCTAGAGGTAAATGAAAGTGCGATTGGTGATGAAAGAGACAGAAATTCACCAACTCGGTCCTCGGAAAAGAGAAGCGCTCGGATCGGTAGATCATCCGCGCCCGGCATCCAGGTCCACCTCCTGACCTCACCTCATCCGTGTAACAACAAGATTGGGCATGCAACACCAATTAAGGGAGCTCGTCTTCCCTCAAGAGTAAGATCTCCAGGTTCCCCGCGGTCTCCACATTCCCACCCCACAGCGCTCGCTCAATCACGCCCCTCGTAGATACGGAGAAGCATAACCGTAACCTTAAAGAGCTGTTCGTCCCGCACATACGCGATGCAGGTGCTATTCGGCATTGAACCACTTCCTAATACATCTGTGATACCAAGACTAAATCCTCAGCTCCTCAAATAAAGCCTCTTCCACGTCTTTCTTTCTTCCTTCCTCTCAAAACATCCATACTTCACAAAGTCAAACATCCCGTTTTCTTCTCCCAGTCATCTACATCTCTTCTTGCCCGTATCCCAAAATGACCACAACACCCCCAACCTTCCTCCCCTTCAAAGACAAAGTCATCGCCCTAACCGGCGGCGCCTCCGGCATCGGCCTTTCCGCCACCCGCCTCCTCCTCTCCCGCGGCGCCACCGTCTCCATCGCCGACAACAACCCCACCGCCCTCGCCGCCGCCAAAGAGTCCCTCCTCTCCCTTTGCAGCTCCCCCTCTCAACTCTTAACCACCCAACTCGACGTCCGTTCCACCCCCGCGGTGAACGCCTGGATCGCCGACACCGTCGCGAAGCTGGGCCCGCTCGACGGCGCCGCTAACATCGCAGGCTTTCATCCACTTTGGGGCGGCGATGGCACCGTCACGGTGGCGGAGATGAAGGACGAGGACTGGGACATGATTATGGAGATTAATTCTACCGGCGTGATGAGGTGTTTGCGGGCGCAGCTGGGGAAGGCGGGGGGAATGAGGGAAGGGGGGAGTATCGTGAACGTGGGAAGTGTGGCGGGGTTGATTGGGTTTGCGGGGAATTCGGCGTATGTGGTGAGTGAATAGTGCTTCTACACGAAGGAAGGGTTGATAAGGCTAATAATTAACAGGCGAGTAAACACGCTGTCCACGGCATCACGAAAAGTGCCGCGAAAGAGGTGGGACCCAGGGGGATTAGAGTGAATGCTATAGCACCGTGAGCCTCTTTCCTTTACCCTTCCCCTCTCCTTTCATTCCCGCTAATCTTGAGATCTGTTGCCAGCGGCACCATTAATACCCCGATGGTCCGAGCGCTCGTGACCAACGACAAAGGGGAGCTGCCGCAGGTTGCAGGCCAAACCACTCCGCTAGCGCGCGAAGGACAGCCAGAGGAAGCCGCGGAACTGATCGCGTGGCTGCTAAGCCCACAGTCGAGTTTTGTGACTGGAACAATTGTGAGGGTGGATGGAGGTATGTTGAGCTAGGTACATTAATGTAAAAGAGCCCAGCAAAGGCCGATCGATTAGGTGAAGTGAAGTAAGAGTTTAGATTCGACTGAAGGATACCTTCCCAAGGCAGTGAACGACCGAAAAGAAAGGTAACCCGGCCCAGACGTGAAAAAAAAGCAACTCCAAGTAGCAAAACACCACCCTCTCTCGAGGGTGTAGCCACCCCGGATGGGGTTTCTCTATCTCCGCCCGCCCGCGGTATTTCAATCCGTCATCTTAACCGGCCACTCTCAGCCTCACGCACCAACTGCATACGTCCTCTTTACCAGGCTTCCAAACCTTTCTACTAACCAGACCGCCCGAAGTCAACTCGACTTTTTAACACCAGGGCCGAGTTGAGAATTAAACTCGGAGCCGAGTCGGGAATCGAACTCAAGACCCTGGTGAGGTTGTCGACGGTAGTGAAACGCTACCTCGGGAGGTATAATGCCTGCGATCCGGCCGCGGGCTTACACACGATGTGGCCGATTACCAACGGGGCTGCTGGGCAAATTAGTGGTAAGGATCGGAAAATTTTGAGATATATAGACTAGCTGAGGAGAGGGCCACATGCGAATGTTGGGAATTGGGGATCTTACACGTGGGAGTGCTTCACTCCACGTCATTTTATGCAAGCCGTTTCACAGATGTGGTTTCTTTCGCATTGCCGCGGGTTCACTTCACCGGACGCTTCTCGCCTGAAGCTTTTCGTCGCCCACAACAGCGCTTCACCAACAATTTACGCAAACAAAGCTCGTCACCACACGACGGCCAATCTCCCAGTCAACAAAAATTAAAGACGCAAACGGCACACCCCTTTTAACGATTCATAGCATAAGACAAGCGGATGTCCCGCGTTGAAATAATTGCAGGTCTGAGAAATTAGAGTTAAATGGAGATAGAAGGTATTTGATAGCATCACGTGATATACCAGGTACCACTGGCTGATAGATCTGTGGCTGTGCGAAGCCTTTCGCCTGCCACAACCTTCCCCGCATAATCGCACCTCACATAGCATTGGACTTATGGATAATCTCTAATCCCCACAATGAGTGAGAGCTTCGACTGGAACTACCCAGGCCTAAACTGGTCTCATTTTCACTCTCTTGCCAACCTCCTTTCGCTTCGAAATGGCGGCCAGGCCGAGCCTTCTTCGTTATCTGATACAGTGCTTGAAGAAGACTGGGATTCCGATGACAACGGAGTTGGGAATGCGCCTAGCATAGATACTAGATTCGCTCATCAAATATCAGACTCGGGGCATGGGAGGCTGAAACGAAGGTTTCTTGACTGTTTGGCTGAATTCGCGGCTAACAAGAAGGGCGGGACAGCAGTTGCTTGCTCCGCCATGAAGGAGGCTGAAGACAATGTCGTCATCTGGATTGCTCGTAATGAAGGCTTCGCAGATGTGGATAAGCCTGCGTTTGAAAAATTGGGAAAGCTGCTGGGTTCGTTATCTTGCAACAGTGGTACGTCCCGTGTAACTGCTTTATTTCTGCGTACTAAACTCATGCTTCTTGTCCAGCCGATCAATCCGAGACTCTCTTGTGGGAAGAGATAGTCTTGTATCACCAGAACCGGATTGAACACAGCTATATTCCTAACTTGAGGGCAAGCTTCAAAGCTTACGACGCTGTCCGCAGGAGGAATGATACCAACACACCAGAAAACAGTTCAGTCTCTGATACTACCCTATCCGTCCTGCGGTCTCTTCTCTTTGATGGTAACATCAACGGTATAAGCACCCTTGAAAAGCACATGAGGCTTGTTATCGCATCATACAACCTGCGTCGGACAAGAAACATTGAGGAGGTACTCTACAGCTCTCCAAGTGCGACTTCCACATCGAGGAGCTTGTGGTTGGATATCTGCCTGCTCGCCCGACTCCGAGTGGCATTCCAGAATTTCAAAGACATCGCTCTCACGCTTCCAAGCTTCGAACAAGTCACAATCATCCTGGTCCCTCGTCCTCCTGCGCCTGCAAACCCATCTCAGCGCCCGCTCAACTTGAAGCAGACCTTCGGTATCCTCCAACTTGATCTGGGTCATGCTACAACGAAAGCCGTCTTAGGCCAGAATTGGACTGTCACTAAGATTGAACGCGAGTTCGCAAAACGACAGAAGCAAAAGCCCAACGTACACGCCGAGGTTCAAATGCTGATGTCTCTGAATACCAACGAATTATCCACCTCAGGTATCTTCCCGTATTTTGGATGTAGCAAGCTCAGCTGCTTTATGTGCAATCGCTTTATTCAGTCGTATGGGCGATTCACGACAAGAGGGTGCCACGGACGCCTCTTCAAGCCATGGACCGTGCCAAGCGTGGATCGACTTCTGCCTGGTCAGGCCGATCGGACGGCAAAGGCTCTTATGTTAGTGCAAAAGGAGGTTTAGAAGAAATTGAAGGCCTCAGTCGAGGGCCATATTCAGCACGAGCGAACTTCGGTTATTGGAGGAAGCAGCGTGTTAGGTGGTGAGCGAGAGGAACGCTCACTGAGACAGTTGCAGATTGACCGGCTGAGGATGAAAGCAGAACGCGACAGAGTTGCAGAGATGTTCAAAAAGTGAGTTTATTTTTAGCTTATTTTCACTTACCCTTACCGAAATATTTGTGCTAAGGGTCAAAAGGCAAACAGAGGACACGATCAGTTCAACCAGGCGCACGTATTTAACTCCAGAAGGAGATGAGCCGGAATGGGACTGCGATATATGTAGGAGACCGACGACGAGAAGGTGCAACATTTGCAACAAAGGTTACTTCTGCAGCGATTCGTGCCAGGAGAAAAGATTCGGAACCCATTTGTTTACATGCTCTAAACGCCCACTCACATCCGCTGATTATCTCTGGAAGTCATTGTCGGAGGATCTCATGCCTGAAGAGGAGGATGTTCTTGAAGACTTCGGATTTAACAACGCCCTCCTTGGCGGGGAGAGCAGTTACCTTCTGGGGGTCTACGGAGGCCTCTATCGTTCCGGCAAGTTCTCAGCGGAGGAAATACATGAGTGGCGTGTTGGGGGCATCCTGGCCGATAAGATCAAGGAGTTCTATTACAGCATTCCGGAGAACTCCCGCGGGCAATACTTTCCCTGGTTTCTGAAGAATCTCCATGTCCTTGAGCGCCCTATGACCAAACATGAAGCGCAACAGAAGTTGATAGCGACTTTCTACGACAAGGCCAGGCCATACATAGACGTCGAGGATCGCAACAAGACGGCTAGGGAGCTGAAGCCAGAAGCCAAGGGAACTAGTTACAACTTGCTGGCGGGAGTGTTACTCCGGAGTAGTCCTAATCCGATTGACATAAACTGGTACTACTTCGGATTTGTAACCTGCCGCGCACAGCACGAAGAAAGCCTGCTTGTAGATCTCTACCAGCTCCTTCTCACCAACAGCGACGGAAGTTTCTTCTACGAGTTCCATAACCGCCGAAGAGGTGTTGTTCAGCCTGCCACGTTTACACAGTTCTGGAAAGCATACGAGGCGGGAACACTTATCCAACTCATGGATTCGAAGGGGCTGAAGGAACTACGATCCAGGCTCCCGTTCCTAGAGGGCTTTTTGTCCGTGCCGCCGGCCGGGCCCCGGCCGTCCGTATGGGGCCTGAAGCAATTTCTTGAGATCAGCGATCCGATGGAGTATCCGCCCATTCCATCGGTCAACGCTGACTATGGATTTATCAACTGCCACACTTTCGAGGAAACTTGCACACTAATGGAAATCTACGGGCAGGTTCTGAAGGCCGCAAACCCACTGGAACTCCACCAGGCGTGTGTGGCTGGTGATTTGTTTCAATTTGCAAGTGGTTATGTCCGGATGGAGGAGCGGTGGAGGTCGTTGATGAGGAATTTCTATCCTTTGGAGAAAGTGGTCGAGTCGGAGCTGGAGCCACAGCTGAGGCCAGAGGTAAGGTCAGAGGCAGATAAAGATTCTGCGGGTTTGTCGTCGCTATTGTCGAGGCTTTGGGGGTTCATTGGTGGATTTGCTAATTAAGAAGAATGTGCCACACCTCAGATGCATCTAGCATAGTGCAGAATATGATACAGCATCACTAAGCGCACACAGTCTTTCTGCCAAGACTAACAATCCACCTCTTTGTCTGGAGAAGCTTGGGGTGTACATTTTCATCAACTAAGTGTCTTCAAAATTAAGAGCAAGGTTCCTTGTTGATATAACTGCTGCCGAGTTGTGTTCAGATTTTAAAATATGGCGATGGCTGGAGTAAAGTAGGGGTGTAAAGCTGAAGTGGGTTCAGACGCTGTAAACGGATTGATCGACAACATAACCAACGTCGCTGTATTCGTATGCTGTTAGCTAAACTTTTAAGGATAAATATCTAAAGAGCGGATGCGTCTCGGCACGGCGGGTGTCTCGCTACGTAGAGACGGACGTTAGCTGATTACCTCTTCTCACCAACTCCAATAGGTCGCAATTTCAAGAATCATCTTTCTTCTCCTCCTGCAGCTCTACCTCTTTTTCGATGGGCTTCTCTTCCTTATTCTTCTCCTCCTTGGGCCTCATATCCCCAGTCACCTCTAGCTTTTCCTCTTCCATTGCTTTCTCGCCTGGATCTTCCTTATCCCCCGCTCCCTCCCCACCACCCTCCCTCGGCTTCACATTCATATTACTCCACACCGCGACCGAAGGGTCCGGCACCGCAGGCGGACTCGACAGCCTCGCCGCCGCATCCCTCTCCACGGCCCCCGACGCGTCATACTTCGTCCAACTTAAAACATGATCCCTCTCCTCTCCCTTCCCCCCCTTCCCCTCCATCCCACCCATCTCAACCCCACCCCTCCCTAACGTCGGCGAATCCAACTCTCCATCTCCCTCCCCCTCCCTCCCACCCCCACCCACATTCTCCGCCGACATCGCCGGCAACTCCGCAATACTCCCCAGCGGATTCGTCGCCATCTCGAGCGTCGGCTTCACCGGCGTGCCGTCCAGATGCGGCACCAGGTCCTCTTCCACGGCATTCTCATTCTCGCTAGCACTGTGACCGCGGCCCTGCTCCGCTTTCTCGTGATACGAGGGCAGCACGGAGGAGATGGAGTGCCGGAGGCGCGAGCGGCGCGAGCGGCGCGAGCGGCCTGGGTTGCGCGTTAGTAGGGTTCTGGGGTTGGGCGCTAGGGAGAGCCGTGCAGGAGGGTAAGACATGCAGGGTCCGGAGTTCGGAGCGGAAGGGCTTGTGCAACGGAAGGGAATTGGGTTCGAAGAAAGGGAGGGGTGCACGTACTTTGGAACTTCTCGGCGAGGTTGGCGGCGATACCTTCTTCGTTGTAGCTGGGTGGGAGGGTCGCGGCGCGACGTTGGGTTTCGCGCTTTTTGCGGTGGAGGAGGTAGAGGAGGGAGAGGAGGATGGCGAGGGCGGCGGAGGCGCCGATGACGCCGCCGGCGATTTTAGCGGTGGAGTGGGAGGAGGTGGATTGCTGGGTGATGGGTTCGCTGTTTGTGCTTGGGTATGGGGTAGATGTTGGGATGGGTCGGGTGGAGGTTGGCGTAGCTTGCGATGTAGCTAATGATGTCGATTTCGCGAAGGTTGAGGTAGAAAGTGTTCTTGACAAAGTTGTAGAGGTGTGAGATGACGTTGTAGATGCTGATGCTGATGCTGTGTAAGACACACCAGGTAATGATATAGACGAGGGAAAGGGCCGGGAAAAGGTCGGTATCGTCGTCAAGTCCATAGCTGTGAAGAGCGATGAGAATGAGAATGAGAATGGACTGAAACGTTGAGCCATAGACCTGATATGAGCTGGAGAAGAGGAATAGATGACATGGTGTACTGGTGATGACGACGCCTGAGGGCACTGCGGAGGAAGAAAATGTATCAATACGTACACTGTGATGCAGATTTGTCTGGGCATGCAGCCAGGTTACACGGATCTACCGAACAACAGCCCTGATGCCCGTTATTGCTGCAGACATACCACTGGGCTCCGACAGGGCACGACTGTTGCCGTAGAACGACCGGCATGGGCACGTTAGGCAAGCGGTACGAAGTCAAAGATTTGGCATCGTACAAAGCTGCGGGCGAGAAGCCAGATCGGTAGCGAGCGGCCTAAGGGTCTTATGGCACTGCCAGCCGTGCCGCCTGACATATTGTGGCCGAGTAGTACATAGTCCAACTCTTGTTGGCCTTATTGTGCCACCTGCGCCTTGCGTGGGATGAAGAAGGATACAAAGAGAAAACAACCAACTAGAATAGAAAGGCGTTCTCCAAACAAAGCGGCAAAGTCATTTGGAGCTGCGTTCGGCTTTGTACCACGTCTATTGTTCATATTGGCCATCGTTGGTGGAGGCGAGGTGTGGGTGTTTCGGAGAAGTCGACATTGACCGGCGCTAATCCCGAAGTGGTTCTGCTTGCTGCTTGAATTCTTCTAGAATTCATGAAAGCACGCCCAAACTCAAACCACGGAGCTCTTCATCTCTGCATATCGATGTTTCTAGATTATGGATTTTGCTAGAGTGCTCATTCTCATTAGGTCGTCGCCTAAGGCCCAAGATTGGGACGATGCCGCCGACGTCATAGACTTTGGTAGGACGCGTTCAGACGCGTGGAATGCAGCTCTGTGACACCCAACACCTGCACTCAGCAATGTCGAGGAAGCGAACCCTCGACGGCTTCTTCGCGCCAGCGGAAGCAAAGAAGCCCAAGATCGAGATCCCAGAAGAGGTCTCCGACCACCCCAGTTACCCATTCCCCATACGTCATCTCCCAGCAGTAATCGCAGACGGGCTTGGGTTTGCTCCATCGTCTGAAGGTCGAGAGATAAACGACCAGTCCGATCTCGATCTTCTTTACTTCGAACCATATGTGCCCAAAGACATCCATCGCGAGCTTTTCAAGTTCCTGAGACAGGAGCTGTTCTTCTACCGAGTCCAATACCACATCAAACGTGGTCCAGTCGAGACGCAGATCAATACGCCGCGATGGACTACGGTGTTTGGGGTAGACGAAACGTGCTCTTTCGGAGCGGACGGCAATCTGCTGGACAGCAAGACCAGACAGCCGGTTGCGAGGGACAAATACAAGTGCAAGCCTCGACCTATTCCACACTGCCTGGACACCTTGCGAACTATCACCGAAGGCACCACCGGAGAGACGTTCAACTTCTGTCTGGTGAACTACTACGCGACGGGCAATGACAGCATCTCCTACCACAGCGACGACGAGAGGTTCCTCGGTCCAAACCCTGCCATTGCATCCTTCGCGCTCGGCGCAAAGAGAGACCTTTTGATGAGGCACAAGCCGAAACCGCCATCAGAAGCCGCTCCTGCCACGCCTGAAGCTAAAACCATCAAGCTCCCGTTGGCTTCTGGAGACATGGTCCTCATGAGGGGGCCAACTCAGGCGAATTGGCTGCACAGTATCCCGAAGAGGAAGGGCCGAGACAGCGACAAGGGGCGGATCAACATTACCTTCAGGAAGGCTATGGTTAAGGGAGGGACGGAGAACTACTACCAGTACAATGTCGGGACGGGAGGTGTCTTCAGATGGGATGAGAAGAAGCAGGAGATGACACCGTGGCCGGCTTCGTAGGTAGATGTAGACGTATACACTCATTTCTTGCCCGTCGCTTCGCAGACAGGAATCTTGCAAGCTCGTGCTTTCCGATAAGCTCATGCGATGATGTCTGCACAAATAGTCGCGCTCAGTCAGCAACCTGGGTGTTCTGAGTGCGATCCGTGGGCGAGTAGCCTGTGAACCTGGGAAAGTCCTTGGTAAGTGCCTGGTAGCATTACAAAGCGTAATCGTCCCATCCATACACGCCCATTGTTTGAGCAGGAGGGACTTGAGCTACCATGGTTTCGCTGGCTGTACACGTTCTGAATCGAACGACGGTCAGATGAGGTGGGTGGCGCGGGCGTCTTCGTGCGGGCGAGGGGCAGAGTGCGAGAGCTGAGAGCAGTTCTGCGCTCAGCAACAAAGCTGGCCGACGCCGATACCGTCGCAGCAGATACAAGTAGCTGCAGCTGGAGTGTGAGTCACAGTCGTTTGCAGGGTTTATTGCAGCCCGAACGAGGCAGACTCTACCTCGCTATGTCATCTCAGATGACCTCTCTGCTGGAGCTTGGCGTCGACGAAACCTCGACGGAGTTAAGTCGAGTTCGTCGCTACCACAAAACCTCTTTATCCCCTCCCTTGCCATCCCCGCAACCTCCCGCCGACTATCCTCAGTGCCGCGCATTCATCGCTGGGACCAGCGCTGGATCATTCTAGAGACGCGCCATTGCGGCCGTGGTCAACCTGCCCTGCCGCTTTCTAGCAGAGATAGAGCTACGACGACGAGGGCATTGCGATCGGAGCAGGCTCCCGCCAGGTATTTGGCCTCGAGGATTGTGAGGGATGCTGTTTGCTAATCTGCTCTCGGTTTAGCATTTGAAGACCTTCATTGCGCTCGTCACTTTGGTCTCGCTACCCTATCATACCCGCCGGAAGAGTTCCTGCCCAGCACCCGATCTGAACGTTCGAAAATCCGGAGGCTGTATCCCTCAAAAGCTTTGCGACTTGGTATCGACCAGCGGGAGAGCCTCTTCCCTCAAAGATAGATACCCGCGGCTTCGTACCGCGAATCCGACGACAAGTTGAGAGCAGTGCAACGGCACATCGGAGGAGAACCACACAGGATACAAGACGTGCGATCTGAGCCCTCGGCCTCACCACGAGGGCGTCCTAGGCTTCTTAAGGATCAGACTGGAAAGGCTTGGCGCTGGAGATAGGCAGCTGGCCGAGTATTTAAAACCGTCGTGTCAGCGCCCCAACGTCAGGAAGAAGTGCTCCCTCGCTCTCCCAGGAAGAATAGCCCGACGACAGCTTGCTACTGGCCGCTATCTAGGCCTCTCTCCTCACCAATCCGCCGAATCCAGCCCCTGTCGCTGCATACACCTCTCCACCAGCTTAGCGGACTTTACTGCTAAGTCCGGCCACTCCACTATCTTCACCACACCCGCAGGCCTCCTCTCGCCATGACGCCTACACCACCCTCTACTGGGTCGTCCAGTGCAGGTCAATCCCCAAACGATGCTCAATATCGAGTCGTTCGAAAGAGAAACCGCGTCCCGCTATCATGCGGACCTTGCAGGCATCGAAAGTAAGCTCCTCTCACGGAACAGAACCTAGGAATGTGCGTTGACGTGGCCGTAGGCTGAAATGCAATCGAGGACACCCCTGTGACAACTGCACCAAGAGAGGCGATACGGGTTCATGTACGTACGCTACTCCGGGCAGTCGCAAGAAGAGTTCTTCAAGCTCTGGCTCCACAAACTCACCAGATGATATGCAAAATCGCATTGACCGCCTCGAAGGACTTGTTCTTTCGTTGATGACAAATGGCGCACAAAGCCAAGGACCGACGGCGGCAGCTGCTGCCATTGCGAATAGTATGAATGGAAACTCGATGGATCAGCCCTACGACCTCAGCGCACCCGAGTCTATCAAAGAAGAAACAGAAGACGAGGATGAAAGCGAGGTCAATCAGGTTACCAAGTCTATTGGTGTGATGAAAGTAGACAACAACAAGGCGATATTTGCGTCCGAGGCGCATTGGTATGCTATCTTGGGAGAGGTAACGATATCCCAAACGTGTTTCCCAAACGCAGACGCTAACTGGAAACAGATTTCCGAAGTCAAGAACTACTTCAGTGAGCATAAGAAACAATATGATGATCATTATCAAAAGTTCAAGGCCGAGCACCAAGAGGAGTACCAGCCAGGGACTGCTTTTCTTTTCGGGGCACAGAAGCCTACAACTCATGCTGAAATCTTAGCTGCGTTCCCTCTCAAGCCGACTGCAGACATATTGATAACCCGATATTTCAACACATACGATCCTGGGCTCCATATTATTCATGGTCATACTTTCCAAAAACAGTACGATAAGCACTGGGCAAATCCGACCGAAACTCCAATCATATGGCTTGGTTTGGCATACGCCATGATGTGCATGGCTCTACAGTCATATAGCAGAGCTGGCGACGAACCGCCTGAGTACCGAGGAAAATCGTGGGAGGTGTCGAGCGAATACAGGACCTTAACAGCCCAATGTCTCGTCATGGCAGATATTACCCAGCCCATCACGAATATGCTGGAAACTTTGATTCTGCATGTTTACGCAGACTACGGTCGAAGTGCGGATACCGAGGTCGGTGTGCTAATCAGCATTGGTATTATCGTACGACTTGCCATGCGGATGGGATACCATAGAGACTCCGCTCCGTATCCAGGGATTACCACCTTTCAAGGCGAGATGCGTAGAAGAGTGTGGGCTGTAGTGCGGTTCTCTGATCTTCTATTCTCTGCGCAAGCTGGTATGCCTCCAATAATTCGGGCTCGGGATACCAACACGGAACTCCCTAGGAATCTGTATGACGACGAGTTGTTTGAGGATATGAAAGTCCTCCCGCCATCCCACCCTGATACGGAAGCAACACCGGTGTCATACTTGATCATCAAGGCTCGAATGGTGGCACTGTTTGGCGAAGTAGTCGAGCTGACGTCGGCTCTGACTTGTTCATCGTATGAGGAGGTGATGAAGCTAGATCAACAGTTGCGAGATTTACGAGCTAGTCTTCCTCCTCATCTCGCTTTACGATCTTTGGAAGAGTCTGCTAGGGACACGTCAACTTTGATTATGCAACGATTCACCTTGGACCTGCTGTACCTAAAGAGTTTGTGCTTCCTCCACCGTAAATTTTTGCCGGCATCGCGAGTGAATACTCGATTCGCCTTTTCTCGGACAGCGTGTATTGACTCGTCAATGACGATGCTCCAGCATCAAGTCACGTTAGAGCAAGCGTGCCGTCCGGGTGGAAGGTTAAGAAGTGTGAAGTGGTTCATTTCCTCTCTCACCACGGTTGATTTCCTGCTCGCTGCGATGACAGTCTGTTCGGACCTCTACCACACGGCTCAGGCGGAGCGATCGGGCAGGCAGCCACCATCGGAGATATATGTTTGGTCACAGGATCGACGAGATGAGATGATGGCAGCCCTCGAAAGAGCTGTGGGTATATGGGATTCGCTGAAGGATCACTCCATGGAGGCTTACAAAGCTCACGGGCTCCTCAACGCGACGTTGGAGCAACTTCGACGACACGATACTCTTCGCAAATCTCAACAGAACTTCTCCGGCGCCGCCGGTACGTTCCCCAGTAACGGTCTCATGGAGGACCCGAACGTAGCGCCCGAGCATTCTGCTGCCATGACTTTGGGTATGCTCAGCACAGGAGGATTGACACCAAACCCGGGCAACCCTTACGAAAGTCGGCCGTACCCAGCCTCGATGGGGAACATCTTGAACGATGTCTCGAACCAGCCGTCCGGACTGACTGCTAATTACAACGGGGGCCTTGGAAACCCCCAGAGTGGACCAGAGAATGCGCCGAGTCCCTTCTCGTCTTTGTTCGGGCCTAGTCTCGGATTCCAGAATATCGACCTGCCGTCCACCAACAACATCGACTGGGTAAGCTAGCTAATTCAACTGTGTTCAATCTGAAGCGTTGAATTCAGGACAACTGCTAATCCCCGGATTAGGACGCATGGGACTCGTACATTCAAGGTCCAGGCTTGGATGCAACCAACCAAGGCGCTACATGGATGCCAATGGACTTTGGTGGTCTGCCGGCCGGTAGCGTGCAATCGCCGATGGGCATGCAAACCGATCAGAATCAACAGCATCAGCAGCAAAACGGCCAAGGCAGTGCCAATGCGTTTTCGGGCAACGGAGGGGTTTTTATGGGCGTGAGTACCCCTCCGCGCGGTTCCATGATGTAATGCGTTCTGATTTTCCTCAGGATGTGTTTAAAACTTCAAATATTTGAGTGAAGTCTATCGTGAGAGGTTCTTTGCGAGATATCAAAATGGGAAGGGCTGGGAAGGGCTTTATGGGAATACGCTGGACGGTTGATGGATGTATGAATGGATATAGGGGATGCTGGATTATGCTTCAGTGGAGTTTGAAGGTACGGCGATTCCACTAGAGATGGATGTCGGAAATGTAGGGATATTAGCCGTTGTCTATGTAGCTATTCCGATCTGAGAGTCATATGATACCACTTTCCACTCTGTATAAGCAATTTCGACGTGATTTGTTCACATATCCAACATGTACAGCTGTGCCAGTAAAACGCAGTGCATTACAGCTCTCCTCTGGCCTTTGAGATTGGCGTATGAACAGCTTCAAGCGGTGGTCCTCAAAATCAGGTCAAGGTATCAAAGCATCGAAATAACAGCCTGATTTCGCACCACTATCAAAAGGGTCCATATTCACACTTCAGATATCACTTATCAAGAACACAAATTCACAGCTGCCATCAGAAGCACCTCACAATACTCAACACTCCAGACATTTTCCATCCTTTTACCCAACTCGGCAAATCTTCTATCAAAGAAAGTGTCGACAACAGACAAGCTTCTTGCACTGCCCCGCCAGGGTCTGCGGGGTTGGGGTCCCCCCTGCAACGCGCTGTCGTCTTCCTCATGCTCCCCACCATGACAGCAGTCGGGCATCTTGCTGGATTCCTCTTCAACACCACCGTCTACTTTCTTCTTCGACTTATTTCTGCGGTTTTGTGACTGCTGAGCCTCATTTCACTCTAGCAGCGGACGACACCGACGACCTCTGACGCGTAGGCATTGCGTTGCCCGCCCCCAGCTGAGAGACATCCCCGGTACACCCCGACTCACCCACTAGCCCTCCCAGCGCTCGGTAGAGCCTCAGCTGAGCGGTTGGGACGCCAGCTCGGCGAGAGGTTGCGCAGAGCTTTAAAGCCAGTACTGGACAAACGATACTTAGGGCCAGACAATCCGCTGTGTCGTGAAAGACGCGACTCGTGCTCCTTTCAGCCTTCCACCTACGGCACAGCACGCCGACGGCAGCCTTGCGGCGAGGCTGTGAAGGAAAAAGGACACCTCTCCCACATACCTCTCTAAACCCTACAACACCACAGCCTCGCGTGTGTCTAGGACCCAACCATGGATCCCATCTCTACCTCGAACCCTCCCTCCGCGGTCACAGACACGGCCCCCGTCTCCCCCGTCGCCCGCAGCACCTCGTTCCCACATAAGACCTCTTCCGCCGTCGCGCCGTCGAAACCCTCCATCGACACGTCCACGCCGGCGATCAACACCGAGCCGATCGAAATGGACGCCAGCCCGACGGTCGAGCGGCGGGGGACCGGGGTCAGCGAGGAGGGGGAGGGGCGGATGTTCAGCCCGGATCAGGACGATGAGATTTTGGAGGAGCTGGGGGTGAAGGGGGAGGGGGTGGGTGTTCGGGAGGTGAGTCCGAGCGATGATACATTTGAGGGAGTGCCTTTGAGGGGTGGTGCTAATGTGTTTCGGTGTGACGCAGAAGAGAGCGGCTATGCTTGCGGCTCGAAGCAAGGACCCCGCTGTTCTGGTGGATATCCCGCATGATCCGAATGCGGAGGAGGTGGCGGCGGCGAATACGGTTGCGGGGCAGACGACGCCGGCGCCGGAGAGGGCGGATCCGTTGGAGAGGGAGGAGGGGGAGGGGGAGGGGAGGTGATGATATTGAGGGTTGATCCCAGGGCTCAAGAAGAGGAGGTAAAGGGGCGTATGATTCATGATTGAGCGGATGTTAGGTTGAGCGTTGCTAGCATGTTCTTAGAACCGGTTTCGTAGCGTATGTATCTCTTGATTTCATTGTTCTCCCGTCAGTGTGTTCGTTCATCGTTCCTCGCTCTTCCCATCTCTCTGATCCCAGAGCTCCAAATCGTCTTTCCCACCCCTTAATACCGCCAGTAACGAGGTCCTGATTCACCTGCTCGTCCACCCCCTGACATACATGTGCCTACCACCACTCGCGTGCCCTACTACAAGTTCTCCTATGAAACCCTCTCTACCCCCGACTCGAACCCCTTCCAGCATGGGTTTCAAGGCTCTGAGTTGTAAAATCGTCACTACGGCGAGATAATGGCTTGGGCTGCAAAACCGAGCATCGACCAGCCGCATGAGTGGAGTGGCGCATACTCCTTCAAACGTACGAAGACATAAACGTCATGGTGCGGGTGGGTGGTGTGGAGTGTACAAAATCCCAAAACTATGCACGATGGTGTGGTGGGTGGGTGCTGCGGAGTAAACCGCAGAAGAGCAGCTTCCAGATGGAGGCTGCAGCTCAAGATGCTTGGTGGTGACTGGCGTGGTTGGAGGATGGTGGTGAAGAGTGTAGAGGGGAAAGTTGAAAATTAGAAGAGATTATGGAAGGAAGTGAGGGTTGATAGGGGTCAGTGGTGATTAGTATCGGTGGAAATGATGATGATGAGAGCAAACGGAGGACATGATGAATGATAGCTCGCGGAGTTGCACTCCCACTCTACTCATTTGACGATGTCTATGAGGATGTTGATCCCAGGCAGGAGTTCCATGAAGTGGGTCTTGATACAGTTTTCATGGATCCCTTTTCCAGTTGTTCTGGGAGAAGGATTCCTAGGGAGAGCTGGGTCTTTATATGCCAATGCTAGAGGTGTTTTGCAAAGGTCACGTGGAAATCACATGACCTAATGCTCTCGTGAGGTGGATAGGCTACCGCATAACTCAAGAGCACTCCTGTTCTCCACGTGAGAATACGAGATTTAGTGATGTCGTCGTCGTGCTTAGTTTGCCCAAGCCGTAAGACCAAGAGACATTGAAAAGCAGTTCTCACTATTTATGTGATTCTAGTTGTGATATAATCAAGATTCTATTCCCATGAGAATAAGAAAGTGTGATACCACCTTCCTACTCACTTGCCTATGAAGAGTTTTAATTCGAAAAGACTGAATTCGAAGTGGTGCATGAACCACACCTGCACGAAAGCTGAGTACGTGTGGCGCAGGAAATGTATCGTGGGGGCCGGAGATCTGCATGCACAGCCCCTAATTCCAGGCACATCCATCTATGCCGACAGCAGGAGGCCTCGATGACCATGATGAATACTCAATTGACGTGTTTGCGCACACATAGGGGCCAATGTAGGTATACTCGCCCCGTGTCGCGAGGATGATCTGACAGCGATCCAGATATAGCCATAGAGCTCCCCATGCTATCCTAAGCTATACTCGACCCCTCCAATGCGATGGAGGTAGCTCTACGACCTGCGCCTAGTGGTACTATCGCCCATGGTACCGCGGTGGAAGCCTCCGGGGCATCTTGCGAGGGCAGCGAGCTCCAATACTCCTTAGAAGACATCACCGAGACCGACAGACGTCGCTTCAATACTACCCAAGTACTGGGCCACGGCGCGTACGCATGGGTCGAGGAGGTACAAGACCTGGTAAAAGGCGATACCGTAGCCATGAAAGTCATACCCACCCTGAAACGGAAGCGCGAACAGACCAGGAAACGCGTCCAGGAGGAGGTAGAGATACTCCGAAAGATATCAGGACACTGTCACATCGTACGGCTGCGACACGCATTTGCGGAGAAACGAGGATTCTGCATTCTAGTTGAACCAGTTGCAGAATGCGATTTGGCGGCTTTCTACGAGCATTGCGCTGCGGAGAAGTTCCCGGGAAAGATGATACGGGAGATTCGGATGTGGTTCTCGTGTTTGGCGCATGGGTTGGAGTATATACATTCGCATCGTATCCGGCATAAGGGCATGTTCAAATGCTCGCTTTGTAGGCGTTATGCTGACTGAAGCCCAGACATTAAGCCTCAAAACATCCTAGTAAAGGATGGGAACGTACTCTTCGCCGACTTCGGTCTCGCGAAGGACTTCGCTTCTTCCGACGGCCTGAGCAGTACGACGGAAGGCTACACACAGAAGACGCCAATGTACGCAGCTCCTGAAGTCCACCAACAAGGAGAAAGAAGGTACTCTGCAGATATATTCTCGCTCGGATGCGTCTTTGCAGAACTTGCGTGTCTCCTGAGCGGTGAGCCTGTGTCCGCCTTCTACGACTTCCGGGTCAAACCAAAGCCCTACGGTGCCGAGACTCATTCGTTTCATGAGACGCTTGATCTTGTTGACAACTGGCTAGAAAAGAGCACGCTCCGGATCTATCATGTTATTATGGACATGCTTGAAGAAGAAGCCAGCCAGAGACCAACTGCAGCCGAACTCCAAGTACTCATTTCACAAAACTTCCCTGATATGCTCCCGTGCGATCATGCTCAGCGTGAGTCAAAACGTGCGACGACGAGACCTGTTCGTCCAGGACATTACCAAGTGGATCCTAAACGCCGGAGCATCATCCCATGGCTTCCAGCTGAGTCGGAGCCTGTCACTTGCGTCGTGGCCGTAGATGACCAGCATTCTGCAGCCCAATTCACTGTTGTTGAAAGCATTAAGAGCTCCAAGGTTGAATACAATAATTTCAACCGAAAAGAACTCTTTGAGCAGCATCTTCAAAGGACAAAGCCACTCCTGATCGCTGAATCACCTTCAAAACCATCTATCCAAACTAACAAGAAAGTTCTTTCGACTCCGCCTAAAATGACTACCTCAAAAGTCATCGTCCTGCTAGGCGCCGCCGGTGCAGGCAAATCAGCCCTCGTACGCTCCTTCACAACCGGCCGCTTCTACCAAGACTACGATCCCACGATTCAGGACACCGCCTGCAAACCGGTTACCACACGCTCTCTGACTACCCTGCTCCGCATGGTCGACACAGCTGGTCAGGACGAGTATGCTGAATTACGCGAGACCAGCGCGCTCGATGCCGACGGTTTCGTCATGGTCTACAGCATCGAGGACCGTGGGTCCTTCGAGCGCGTGAGTGGACTTGTCGAGGATGTCCAGCGCGTGTGGGCGTGGGCACAGCAGAAGGGGCGGAAAGATGAAGGGCGGCTTCCACGGTTCTTGACAGTTGTAGGAGCTAAAGCGGATTTGAAGGGAGAGCGATGTGTACGGGTTGAAGAAGGGGAGAAGCTGGCGAAGAGTGTTGGCTGTCGATTCTTGGAAACTAGTGCGAAGGAGAATTGGAATGTTGATGTTCTCTTCCGTGATGCTGTGGAGAGGTTGGTGGAGGGGAGTGGCTGAATTATGAAAGAGCGCTGGGATCAGCTTGAAATGCTGATGCACTCCGGCCTCTACTTCGCTATGCTACGGCTCTACCTCACGCCTAGGCTCGAAGTATCTACGTTTTCGAAACGCCAGTAACGTTCATACAGACCTGTAAGTTGAACGACTATTTCCTCCTTAGCCTTCCACTGACCGATAAGCAGACTCCAGCGACGGATTTGGTGGTCAACTGTAAAACAACTATCTTTCAAGCTTCAGTACCGAGTCGAACTTGGCTTTTAGGAACTGTTGGAAACCGCTACTAAGGCATACCGATCACCGATCGAGGGCTGAGTAGGTCTACAAGGCTGAATGACAACCTCATTATGGATGAAACCCCTGCTCCGAAGTCTAAAGGGCTACCACTCTTTCGACAAGGTCACGCATAGCACAGCCGAGTCAACGAGTATCAGATGATAGGCGAAATAATGCCAGCCTCGGAGAGTATTCATAGGTCCTGTACTATACAGCGAAGGAGTTCGCATGCCTACAAACGCCCTGTCTAGTCAATGGCAGTCCCCGCCTCGAGACCGAGTAACATTATTTCCCCATATGCCGCACTGCAAGCATCTTCAAGTCGTCCGAGGTTGCAACAAGGCTCGCGGAATAGGCCTCATGCAGCTTGGTGGGCTGTGTAAGCGCTCGGGCCATCAATCCGACGACAACTCAGCCGGTCCACCACCATCCATTATCGCAACCATCAGTCAACAATCTTTGGAAAGTGGACAATCAATCGCCTTTTCTCTATTCTCAGCCACCTTGTGCAATCCTCATGGACCTTACCAACTCCTCGTCTGTCGCCCCACGTAGCAGTATACGGGCATTATGGAACAAGGCTGTGAAGCGCGAAAGCTGGACATCATCAACCTGTAAAGTCTGTAGCTATCATCAGCCTAAAGGCCCCTCACCAGTCCTATTTCAAAGGTTACAGATTCGAAACGCTCAAGCGTTTTCAAGACTCAAAGCAGAAAGGATGTGTGATGTGCGGTATAATCGTTGACGCCATTCTTTCAGAAGAGCTCAAAATCAATGTCAAGCCTACCGATCGTATTAGAATGGGGTGGGGGGCCAGGGAACTTCAGATACGGAAGAAAGATCTTTCAATGGAAACTTGCGTGTTAGATTTCTACACTACCAATAGTGAGCACAAACTTCTGGAATACCACCTTCATAGTGGAGGCTACTGCTAACATCTCCAAAGCCTTGAAGAAACGTTACCTTTTCGCCGTGGGTCTACGGTCTGCAGCAACCCTGGCTCACAAGAAAGCGTTGCGAAAGTCAGGCAGTGGATCACTGAATGTGATCAACATGAGCGTTGCAAACACGTGCGGATAGCGCCAGTAGCAGCTGTCGGCACGCCAAAACGTCTCGTGTGCGTGGGTTCTCACGACAAAACTCCGTATCTATACAAGCCTCAAGTGGGCAAGTTTGATGCAAAATATGCTGCACTGAGCCATTGTTGAGGAAAGAAGCAACCACTGCGAAGTCTCCGTTCAAATATAGCGACGATGAGACAGCAAATCGACTGGACATTGATACCAACGACGTTCCGAGATGCTATCTTCTTTACAAGAAGCTTGGGAATAAGCTACGTCTAGATCGACTCGCTATGCATTGTGCAGGATGATCTCAACGACTGGGCCGAAGAATCTCCCAAGATGTCATACATATATGCTACCGCTTATCTTACTATTGCGGCCTCCGCTGCCAACCACAGTTCAATTAGATTCTTAATTCCACGTCGATATCCTACATTGTCCCTCACTCTACGATTGCCAAGGAGTTCCAGAGATCATGTCATACATATCAGACGGCGATTGCTGAGTGGGGAAAATCTTAGACCTTTAGACACACGTGGTTGGGCTTTCCAAGAACGCATTTTATCGCGAAATACTGTACGCTTTTCGAATCGCGAAATCGAATGGGAGTGTCGCAGTCAGAGTACTTGCGAGTGCGGTACCTCATATCGTTCAACTTCGCAGTACACACAGTTCACCGAAGAGAATGTGTATTCGTGGTGGCATTTAGTAATAGTCACACACTTCTCATTCCTAGACCTTACGCAGGAGATGGATATCTTACCGGCTCTATCTGGCATTGCATCGTCCATGAAGAATCAAACTGGGGATGACTATCTGGCGAGAATCTGGAAAAAGGATCTCATACCAGGACTGCTCTGGTGTTACGAACCACGAACGTCCGCCTCGCTCTTCACACTTTCGGGGGCTGAGTTACCGTCGAGCTACCGAGCACCTTCTTGGTCATGGGCATCCGCGACAGCACAGGTTGCATATATATTCTACCGCACGCAGTTCGAATTGCATGTCGAGGTCCTCGGTGCCCATGCGTCACATCAACAGCAGATTCCACGGGACGTGTGAGCAGTGGGTTCATCGATATCAGAGGCCCCTTGCTTCCAGTGTTGCTGAGTGATTGCGATAGCCTCCAGAGGGGATGGCGATACGAAGTAGTGCGCAGAGACTCTACGGGATCATTTCCTTGTGACTGGCTGTGAAGTCTCCGCGGATACCTATATGCATACGACGGCTGTGGCAACGTCATCTGGCCTATGCAAGTCCCTAATTAGAGCTCGCAATAGAGATATACCCAAGCCCCAGAAAGGCATCACTGGGGAAGCCTGGCTTATGCTCTGTTCTGAGGAATGTGATTCAAGAGATTTCCCTCCCAACCCCTTGAGCTTTTGCTCTTTGAACTGTTCGAGAATAATCGATCTTATTCTAGGACGTTCGCCAAACGTGCAAGACGGGTATGAGCGGCTTGGCATATATAAGGGCCACTTACCGGAAGACAAAATGCCTGAGTTTTTTGCAATAGGAGAAACGAAGCGAATTATGATTGTATAATGGGATGGAGACTGAGAAGCGCTTTCGAAGTGGAAGGTCGGACATCCTCCAATTTATTCGAAATACTGGAAGTCAGAGTCACCGTGACGTACATACCGGAAAGGCAAATCCATGGTACAGAACTGCATTCTTATCGGTGATTAGGTAGTTGGTCGAGCATCATTGGAGAGCGACCTAGGTTATATTGGTCGAGAAAGCAGCTACCAGAATGCCGATGGATCAACAGAGTCCAACTCACACATATCCCAGTACACTACCCAGGCATCTTCGTCTTCATCTCCTTCTCTTATCTTCATGCCCACGACTTGCAAACAACTTTCCCACGTACCCCATAGCTCTGGAGTGTCGACGAGGTCCGAAGGGCTCAAACCGTACGAATCTAGGAGATTGGGATCACTGCCGGCGCGAAGAAGATCCACCAACCTCCGACGTAAGAGCCGGTCCCTATCAACCAAGCCGGGCTTTGGCTCAGACTCCTGTTCGAAGCAAACATGGATCGGGCCTCGTCCATAACGGTCGACAGCTCGTGTATTGGCCCCAAGATCTAGAATGGTCGTCAATGTAATGTGCATCATTAGGCTACGACGGATAAAGGCAAGGAGGACAGTCTCGCCTTGCCGATTCCGATCTTCTAGACTGTATCCAAGTGTGGTGAGGCTGCGAAGAGACCTCGAAAGAGGGTAGTCCTCGCTTACGGCCTCCATAAGATTACACAACATATTGAGGAGGCCGCCGTGCCTTTTCCATGCATGATCAGTGGCCTTACAGCCATACTGAAGAGCCAGTCTTGTCATTTTAATTGCTGTTCCGTGTTTCCGGCGGAGGGACGGTCGAGCTAAGTAAGGCTGGCCAGGAAAATTGATCGACCAGATGTACCATATGACATCTTCACCAGTGCTATCATAGTAAGCATTACCCTTGTACGACCGACGAGAAGGATTGGACTAGGACTCACAGTGAGCTTCGTAACGGATCTGCGCCTGCTTCTAGTAAGGCGCGGAATGTGTGAAGCTGGCAGTTTGAGGCAGCGTGCTATCGAATAAATTAGCTATGCATCACAACAACGGCTACGCTTACCCAGAGCAAAGTACGGCCTTCCTGATCTCTGTCGAACACACTGATCTCATTTGTTTGTAGCATTTCGAGAAGCGGTTCGACTTCGTCGCTAGTTGTATAATCTATGGCTTTAGAGTAACTCGGAATGACTAGGTACGGTGTGATATGGCGATCTGTCAAATCTTCCTGGAACGCGTGCGATTCAAGTGAGAGGGTGATCGTTAGGCCGATGTTAGACCGCTCAGGATCTGGCAAAAATGTGGCGCCTACTGTACAGGAGACCCGCACGCCAGTTTCGGCGTCATAGTCTTCGGCTACATGGAGGAGGGTCTTGTCGTTTTGGCCCATTACGGCCTTGAAATGGTTGCATGGTTGCAGAAACGTAACACGTCTCTCAGCAGTGGAAGCATGTGCCAATCCAAGACTCGGCATGCATTCCTTTGTGGATAGAACCAGTCGCTTTTCGTGCTCCGCGTCCGTGTTTCTCATCGTGACGGCTTGACTTGAACGCTTCGAACGAGTCAATGCGGCCTTCGCTGACGCACTATGGCTGCCTGCGAGTATCTCCTCAAACTCTGAGAGTATCCAATCAAGTTCAAATGCTGATCCTTTGATGTTCCTTGCTGTCTTCATTGACTGGAGCAAGTTTGAGAGCGGTTGTCGCATGAGCAAGAGAGGCATCGTCAAAATCTCCAAGCGAACACCACATGAGGTGCATTTCATGCGCGAGTAAACTACCTCGTCTGAGATAGTATCAATCGTGTTTTGGAGGTTGTCGACTTTCGATATCAAGGCAGAAGTAGAGAGCGCTTGTTTCGCAAAACTGCGTTTCTGGGCCGCTCGAACCTGTACTACCTCCTTAGAAGCATTGTGCACTTGGCGTGTTAATTTGGACCTCGCAGTTCTTGATCCAGAAACTTCGTGTCTAATTTTGGCTATGTTGGCGGAGTAGTTCTTGACCTCTTTCTCGAGGAGGGCAGTCCGGGCATCAGCGGAAAACTGAAGGTCGCCCAGAGTATCGCCAAGGCGTTGGAGCTTTTTCCGGATAGCTAGTTCTTGCTGCCTGCTAAAACGTTAGTTTGAGAGCTGAAGTCTGATTTGTGAGAAGACATACCGCCCAGCTAAAGACAGGGTTGTCATCAATGATACGCGATGCGACTCGAGTCGTTGACGTGCCGAAGCCAAACCACCCTCTTCCTCCGCCCATTTCATCGACTTTCCTACTCTCGCCGCTATCCCATCCGATCTCACATGCCGAGCTTGACTTGCGCGTTTAGCTAAATACTCAAACTCGGAGAGGCACCCATTGAGCGCGGCCTGGAAGTCGGGCAGAACCTGAAAGTCCTCAGACGTGAACGGCGACGACTGGAACTCAACAACGAACAGACGCGTCGCGGTCACAATCTGAGAAATATGGCCTATCTCGCGCAATAGCTCCTCAGCATCGGACGCAGCCTGGCATATGTCTGAAATGCCGCCCGTAAGGGTTTGTCCAGTTCGAGTTACGACGTCCGCGAGCCCGACGACGGAAAAGGCGTTCGCTGCTATGGAGAGAGCCATGGGTTGCGTCAGCTTGCATCTGAAGCCAAAGTTTCGCAACTGGAATGAAAGGGTAAGTTTGAAACGTTTAAAGATTGTTACTAAATGATCGATTCTCAGTCTCGAAGGAAGACTCCTTAGTACGAAGTATGGTGAGTTGTGCCTTGGAGGCTGTGCGAAGGCTGTGCCCAAAAGCCCTATCTCCAGTGACAGGGTAGTCTCTGTCGTTGTTACACAATGGTTGCCTTCTTTCAGCCTCATTTTAGAGATGGCTACCCGACTAGGCTTGACACCGTGACCCTACGTATTCTGTGGGACTATTGGTGTCAACTATCTATATCCTATTACTTTCCCCAAACGCTCAACACCTACTCAGCAGAGGTACCTATCTGCTATTTCAGATGAATTCAACCTTGCAGTCTTGGCAGGCTCACCGCCTTGCCCTCTAAGTGAATGCCGCTGGTCAGTAATTCACTTTTTATACTCACGTAGAGCACGCCTAAAAAACTCGAGATATACACACACTAGAGCTTCAGGATTCGGAGACTATTCAGTACTATACAAGCCTGTCAGCATCTTCCTTTTCACCTCATGGATCAAGCGACTAGTTATCAACCATCCCCGATGGTCTTCTCCTGCCCCATAAAGTGTGTTCCATCCACTAGCGTAACATGCGCTTGCTTGAGAAAATAACGTCCTATCTCGTCATTATCTCAACTAGGGAAACATGGTAGAAGACACTAATTGCCATGATGCCGATGGCGCACTAGTTATATAACATGCGCATTACGGGATTTGTGAGGGGTTGCTATAAGAACCTGTACTAACCTCAAATGGAAGGAGCTCAAATTAAGTTCCTCGTTTAATTTGTAAAAGCGATTATTAGTTACTTCTCGCTACACGCCCTTGGGAAGACGAGTCCATAAAGAAACTGCATATCTATACTAGAAATAGCAGCATCATGATCTCTTAAATGCGTTGCGTCTTCTATTTCACCCATTAGATATCAATTCAGCATTAGCCACCACATCTTATCTCGCTTGTAGACAGCGCGCCCTATGCCAATACGTAATAACTCCGCTATTATAAGCAGACTAGAAAGACCAATTTATAAAAAACCAGAAGACTAAGAAGAGGCTCATATAGTTTATTGCGTACTCCCATGAATTTACTCGTCAACGCTGACAATCACAAGAATAAGAGGAGTAAGTCTTGAAAGCAGCAAATCGTGCGAGGTTCCTAGAACAAAACAATACCTCCACCTTTCTCAGACACTATAACTCCACTCTGAATTTCTTTATGTTGACTTACTAATTCAGTAGCTTAAGATACTCAAGCTTTAGCTATTTTTTTAAAAATGACGAAGTCTATTATAGCCTCTAAATTCTCCCGGCCATGGAATACAAAACCATCACCATACTCTCCACCCGAGGAGCGTGAAACACACGCAACGACGGGATCCTATGGAGAAATGCGCCAGAAGACACCTATGACCCAATCAGTAATCCCTCCGGAGTTGCAGTCGGTAACGCAGAAAACGTACTTTCCATCCTAGCCTGACACCTACCTCACATCCGCAATAACATTCTCTTATAGTCTCTCGTCCACAGCTATATACTAGGAGAGGCCGAAGTCGTCCCGTTTACTTCCGTCCTCTTCATCGATCCCATGAATATCATCTCTCCTGACCGTTTGCACGTATTCTACGGGTTCAGCAAAGACTTCGCGGCCGCTGGTCTCCGCTTAGGGTGTCTGATTACCCAAAACACCCTCCTGTGGAAATCAGTAAAATCGAATACCCGCTTCCACGGCGGGTCGGGTTTATCCATTGCCGTCGCGGTTGCGATTCTTGAAGACGAGGAGTTCGTTGCCTCCTTTCTAGCGCTTAGTCGACAGAAGATCGGGGACGCGTATAGGTACGCTACAAGTTTCCTTCAGAAGAATGGAAATGAGTACTGGAGGGGGAGGTATGTTCTTTCTTCTCCTCTTTGTAGGCGGGATCTAAGGCGTGACATATGACAGTACCGCCGGCTTCTTCATCTATCTCAATCTCTCCCCCTGGCTACTCCCTAAGCTAGAAGATCCAGAATATGTATCGGAGTACGACTTCGCTCAGGAGCTGCTAGATGCAGGGGTTGAGATGCATCCGAGGGAAGAGCATTGGGAGGAGCCGGGACATTTCAGACTGGTGTTTGGGCATGAGCGGGAGAGATTAGGGGAAGGAGTGAGACGATGAGTCCAGGATCCTGGAGGGAGAAAAACAAAGACTAATAGTACGAGCATATTGGTTCGCGTTCTGGGTAGGCAGATACGCTCTTCTTGACATGATTCCAACTGATAGACTGACGATGAATAGAGGCTCGGAAGGCTCGTATGGTAGAGAGACATCGATAATAGGGGCGTTTCCTAGCTTGCCACACATACCTAAGACTGGCGGCTATCTTTTTTCACACACTGCTACAGTTATATCGCGCACGCATGTCCTCCCCCGTCGCTGATTTCCTGTGCCAAGCACCACATATCCCACGTGACTCCCTACTCCCCCACTGCGCTACAGCTATAAAACCTCCTCCACGCCCACAATCCCATCGACAGAGCTGGCGGACCTTCTCGCCTTGCAACCCCAACCAGACAAATGTGACATGCTGGCGTGAGACTTTGAGCTTGGTTCAAAATCGGAGTCGCGATGAGCCCATGTTTGGGTTGGTTTCACTGGCGTGACGCAGTTTGTCAAAAGAAGGATTCGAAATGGCTCATGGAAGTTAGTTCTGGAGGAGGTAGAAAATATCGGCATAGAAGACACCATAATGGCTAGCGGGACTGGAGTTTATGGAGCAAGCGAGGTTAAAGGGTTGTGTAGTGGTGCTGAGCGTATGTAGTAGTAGGTGTTGCCAAGTAATCTTGACCTCAAAAAAACAGCAACATTACGATGGCTAAATCACGTATTGTTGGAAGGCAAACCTCACCAATATCGTCTCTTCCAAGAGCCAGTATCGACCGTTGTGGAGGCCCGCAGATGGTCCCCATCTCCAACAAATTCCATCGCGTACCGTGGCCCAACCATCTCCGCCTCCACTCCATAATTCGAATAGAATTGAGTTTTCAGCCCTCTCCTCCCTCCACCTAGCTCCATCAGATTGGGGTATCGTGAGTTTTATTCGAACAACCTCCATAGCGGGTCGCAGAAAGGCCTTTTTCACACCTCCTAGTCTTGCCCTTTTGCTACAAACACAATATATCAAGCAGCGAAGAAGATTTATACCAAAAAAAGAAGAGCAAGTAACGTGGCGAGCACGTGATATTTTATGGTTTTTTCGTGACTTATAGTCTCGTGCGCTACTGGGACTGTCAAAGAGTACACGGCCCATAGCGTAGAGCGGAAATAGATGTGAGCCGACCAGAATCGTCACTTCATCTAAAGCAGGAACTGATTTTAGTCTCATATTTGAAGCCATAAGTTGGGCATTCTCACGTACCTTTTGCAGCATAAAGAGATGATCATGAAGTCGTACCAATATATTGCATGAATAAGTAATACGTCGCAGTACAAATATACGCTCAGGCTCGCCAAGTAGGTATCAAGAAAATACAATCCCTTTTCCAACCCAAGTGTATCCAGTTCAATCCCACCGCCCTCATCATCCAAATCATTACCTTCCAAGACCAACCCAAAATCAAGGGAGGAAAAGCGAAAGAGAACTTCGACACTCTCACTTCCAGATCTTCCAACTCGCCCTCTTCTTTGGCGGCGGCGTAACCGTCCCATCTGTATAATCATCATCGTCGTCATACCTCCCCGCCCCGTTATACGCCTGTCTACCCGCATACCCAGCGCCCGCACCTGCACCGCCATCAGCTCTCGTACTCGGCGTATGCGTAAGCACATGCGCATCGCGCTCAAACCTGTCATCCCTTTCACTCCCCAAAATCCCACCCATCGTCCGAACCTGCGGCTTCGGCTGCTGTTGCTGTTGCTGTTGCTGCTGTTGCGGACGTGGCGGCGGGGGCACTCTCGCTGGCTGCACCGCCCGCGTCGGCGGTGAGTCAGGCTGCGAGTACGAGATGCGTCGATGCCCGCCACCACCCAGAGTCATGATAGGCTGAGCGGGCTGCTGCGGCAGCGCGGTAACGTTCGCGCCTTGGGCGTCGCCGCTCATGGGCATCTTGCCCTTGTTCTGGGCGGGCACAGCGCCAGCGCCAGAGCTGCGGGGCGGGACGGCGTAGCCCTCCTCATCCTCAGTCATGTTGTCTTCGGTGTCGATGCCGGACTGGCTGTAGCCGTCGTCGCCTACGGTGCGCTTCTTGCGCCCGGCGAAGCGACCTCGCACGGAGCCGAAGACGGTGCCGATTGTGCTTTTACGACGTCCTGGGACACCTGCTGGTTGTTCTGCGGATGGCTCCTCGTAGTCTAGAGCTGGGATGAGCAGGCGATATGGCGTTGTAATACCCGCTGGGTCTTTCTGGCTAACTTCGACATTCAAGACAATGTCGAGACCACCATGAAGGTCAACCATCGGGGCGGTCGCAGATTTCCTGCCTATAAGTGTGGGCCGGCGGTGGAAGGGGTTTGGTCGAGGCGGGTTCGATGGGTCGGCAGAGATGGAGTTTTGAGAGAACGAGACGCTGTTACGTGGGTTACCGGATAGGCTATTACGAGGATCACCGGAGATGCTATTTCGCTTGGATTGGGAAGACCCAGGCGGTTGTTGAGGGATTGCGTCTGCCGAGTGACCGCGACTCATGAAGCGTGAAAAAGAGTTACGGCGACGGCCTCCGGTTTCCTCGGCAGTAGCATAGGATGGATTGTTGAAGTATGCTGGAGGGGGACCAGTTCCAGAACGCGAGAGTCGCCTGACGAGTTTCCCTGGGCGTGAGTCGGAGAGTGTTCGCATGAGTGTAGGACCATTGCGAGCAGCTGAAGGTGATGGCGAACGCGACGTTGGGGGAGTGGTCCCGGGATGATATTCGCGGAGGGAGCACCAATTGCGGCGAGGTAGCAGATGCTTGTTGTTTCTCGGTTTGCCGTCCACATCGTGGGAGAACATGGGTATCATGTCTTCATCAGTTTCCGCGTTGAGATGGTGGATCTTGTTGCGTTTGTTGAGAACGTCGGCCATCATGTCTGGGGGCGGAGTATTGACAATGGCAGAAGATACAATGTTGGGCATGTATCGGTGGTCGCGGTCTTTCGGAATGCCGAGTTTCTTGTTAGAATAGAATTGGCCCACTGCTCCCAGATGCACGTCTCCGCCGAGGATAGTGATGCGGACAGACTTCTCAGCAGCAAGATGCTGTAGTTCTTCGATGAACCAATTGCGCTCTTCCTTATGGTGCTTAGCTGTCCAGTGGTCATCAAGGTCATCGAGAATCTCGACGCCTCCATCAAACTTGTTCACGAATCCGCCTAGCATTCCCATGCGTCCCATGGCCTTGACGGGATCCATCAGGCGAGACGTCAGAACCATTTCTAGGAAGTTGAGTCGAGGGTATGCAATGGGCTTCATACTGTTAGCTAGGAAGGGAGTGCGAGAGATAAAGGTACGTACCACGCCAAGAAGTACGATGAGATGCTTTGTTTCTCCTTTGATGATTTCACGATCTAAGCGATCAAAGACGAGGTCGTAAGTTTTCTCGCTAACAATCTCGTCTCGCTAATAAACCTGTCAGTAACGGCATTATAACGATGGCGAGGGAAACGTACCTGTCTTTCGGTCCGACAGTCAAGACCCAAGAATGCCACCTTTCTTCCTAAGAACATGAAGAGACTGCGGCTCAGCTCATTGATGTAGGGACCGGGACTAGATCCGAGCAACCAGGAGGGCTCTGTCTTTTCTGTTTCATCAACAACACTCTGGTGTTGAAAAAGCATATAGTATTTGAATGCAACTGCACCAACACCCGTGAAGACCGGGGTGCTCATAAAATGATGGGGGTATGATCCGAACCCCTATGAAAGATGTTAGCAGTTGCTCAAGGAACAGGAGAGAACTTCAAGCTGGAACTCACGTCAATGATGTCGTGATCATCCCAAATATTGACCATGGGAATCTGCGAGTTTGCCATGCCAAATAAACCTTGTGAGAACCACATTGAGTATCGGCTGAGATAGAAATCTTCCATCTCATTTTGCATTTCTGTCGAGAACTCTGCATTGTGCTTGTGTACAGCGTGCTTGCTTTCCGTCCACTCACGGAACAGCTTCGTATCTCGCATCGCGGCATCGTTGTAGATCTGGTCACCACCTCCGATCATAACATGGAACGGCCGAGTTTGATGATTATTCAGGACATCGCGCCACATCGGATCAGGCCCACAGAATTCGTTCGATTGAACGCTGAGACTGAATCCGTTGCAGCTGTGGAACATCATGTTCATAGTTTCACCTCTGGCAGGAACCCAGAAACCGATGGCGGGCCCCTGATTGATCCTGTATGCCACTCTGGTCTGATAGGCGCTAAGTTCGACCTCCAGGTTGAATCTCCAGAATGTAACACCTCGTTCAGCATGCAGCCGAATACCTGGAATCTCTTTCACTTTGCCAACTCTCTCCCCGTCTCTTTTCTTTAGACGCTTAGATTTTGACTGGGCACCACCAGAGTCATTTCCGTACGGTGATGTTCGCTTCTCCTCAAAAAGACCAGTGTCATCTTCGACTCTGGACAGATCTGCTTCCTCTCGAAGCATGTCGACAGGTTTTACGAAAAGCGTTTTTCCGGACCGGGAGACCTTGACTTGGCCAGCCAAGGGATCAACATACTCTGGGTCAAGTTGCTGGCCGCTTGTGGTATCAAGTTCCACTGGTGGAGGAGGCAACAAGTCCATGGGTTGTTTGAACAGGCGGAGGGTTGGTGGTGTTTGGTACGATGAGTACTCATCGGTAGTCACGATCATGACACTACCCCGCCAGATATCCCTAGCCATATCTTTGCGCATGCCCGAGTACCTAAGTAAGGGGCCGCACTTGAGATATAGCGGAGGATTAAAGGAAGTCTGACCCGTCGATTCCTCATATGATCCATCGTTATTGGCGTCTTTATAGGAACTAGAGGCTCTCCTTCTCTGAGATTGGTTCTGTTCCCACCAGGCTTTATTCGCGGCGTTAGAAGCAATTTCAGGAGCCTCTAAATCGAGATCTGGCGCCAAAAGAATTGCTGGCTTTCCCATTTTCCATTCGTCCAGAACTTTCGGAGCTTGATAGCGGCGTTCAGGGTCGTGGTGTCGGTGGAAAGGATTAGGTAAAGAGGTATGACTATGTTGGTGTGATGCAAGATTCTTCGCGGCCACATCATCTGGATTCGCGGTGCCAAAGCCAACTCGATCGCGCGCCACTTGTCCAGCAGCAGTTTGAGGCGGGATTTCATAGGTTGGTCCGACTTGAACGTTTTTGACAGCTTTAGCAGGCACCGGATCGGGAACCCGAAGCCCTCCCGAATGCTGAGACTTTTGAGCCTGCTCCATACGTTCTTGCTCCATCTGTCTCTGAGCGGCAAGAATACCTCTGCTGTCTCTACTGCTTGCTGCTTCTTTCGGTGCTGGGGGAAGTTCCTTGTCTACTAGGCGTTTACTATCGTGTCGGCTGACGGGTGCTCCAGATGACCGCCTCTGGCCTTGTGCTTCATTCATGCCATACAGGCCTAACCCAGTGGCAGCAGCACCGCCTTCTATCATACTGTTCCGGTCGCGTCGATAGCTTTCCTGACCAGCTACGTCAGTGCTCTGCGTAGGCGGCCCAGATCTATCACGGAAGCTGGCGCCTCTCGAGACACCAACGGGCTCTTTCCCTTTGGCACTGGCCGGGCCGTGTTGGCCGTCAAAGTAAGAAGTGGGAACATTTCTACGTTGTGAGCCAGACGAAGCCACAGGGGTCTGATATCCTCGGTCTCCGGTTTGTGGTATTCGAGGTTGCTGGGTGTTCGGTGGAGGTGGTTGCGTGGGGTCCCACGGGGGTGTCAGGTCCACGAGCTCGCCCTCTTCCTCGCCAAGCTGACGAGCTACCTTGGAGGGCATTGAAACATGGCGTCGATTACTGACTGTACGCGTGGGCACTGAACCACCAGTTGGGCCTGATCCCCCAGATACCGTGCGTTTTTGAGCATTTGCAGCCGTCAGGGCTCGTCGCGCAGCCCTCTCAGCTTCAACTCTCTCTTGCGCGGCTAGCTCGATTTCTTGTATCCTCGCACGCTTCTCCTCTTTGCTTATATCGTCGATTTTCCTTTCCAAAACTTGAAGTGGCGAGCGGTCAGGTACAGAACCTCTCCTCGCAGCAGATTCTCTCCGCGAAACCGCACCGGCAGTTGGGGATACGGGTGAGGTAGGCGAGGCTGCTGTAGCCCGTGAATCTAGAGGTCGACTAGAAGGTATCTGTATGGTGGGTAGGTCCCGGGACACGTCCCGCGTCACCGGGGCTTGCGCCATGGGTTGTGGTGGGCCTCGTGACCGTGTCGAGTAAGACCTCGAAGTCCCCTGAGATCGAGAGGGGTTCGTGGTGCCATACGGATCTTTGTAGGAGGACGGAGGAGCTCGAGGGACATCAGGTGCTGTCGGGAGAGGGACGGAGTTCGCAGATGGGGGTGGCGCGTAATGCTGGCTGTCCCGCCTGCGGTGGGACGATGCCCTAGATACTCCATTGGTAGGCTGTGTACCAGAATACTGTCTGGTAGTATTACTGGGAGTATACCCCGGGATAACAGGCGATTCGCTGTTGGGATTTACGGGCTGCGCCGGCTCGGGTGGACGTCTGTAGGAGGATCGCTTTTGGGGGTAGTTGTCGGGAAGTGCGCCTGAGGGGGGCAGACCCTGTCGAGGGGCATAGGAGCCGGTGGTCATACGTTCGCTCATGTTGCATGAAGATCATGCAGGAATGTATATAGAGTGCGAAGGGTGACGGAGGCTGGATTGGGCGACGGAGATAAATTGTGTACGATGCGGAATTGAGACAGTCGCAAAAAGGTCTCGAGGTGCGATTTACAATGCGCTAGATACAGGAATGTATTAAGAACCATACGGTACCGTTGGAATATCAGACAGAGTGGCTACCTATGAGTTACGAAGCATGGCGCAAAGGACGCTGACGGAGTGCATGCCCGAGATGCGGAGGTGCGGGAGAAGTGGCGCGGTACGGAATGACGGCAACAATTAAAATATCAATTGACGGTAGAAATGAAGAAGTGGGCAACGCGCAGAACCGCAGGGCAGAGAAAGGGATATGTACAGGGGAGCGAGGAGGCTGGGAGTCGCAGTTCCCAGCCATCGCGAATTGGTGAACAGCTCAGAGGCGGCGCCAAGCCCTGTCAGGCAGAACAGGCGGCCTGAGAAATACCTAGCGCGCCAGCCCGGACCATTGAGGACAGATGAGGCGCTCACCACCAACCTCATTCACCATTCATCCACCCGCCGCTGCTCCTCTGGACACGGCCGCACCCGTCCCGAATACCCTCTCTCTTTGCTCCGTCTGTACTGCTCCTCGTGCCCTGGACTGGCTCTGCACGCCGCCCCCGCTCCTTCTCAGCATACTCATCGCAGGCCGGCCTCCCTTCCGTAAATCTTGAATACCCTATTTGGCCCGCCTCCTACCTATACAACACCCTCGAGTCATACTCGCGTGCATCCAATCATTGGCGACTGTAGCACTCCCCCGGGCCCCTACCGCTCTTTCGAATCCTGTCGCCGTCTCCAATACTCCCTACATGGGGCTGATATCGCTTTCGCTCTCCTAGCGTTCTCGTGAAGCTCCCTCACCATGCGAAGTTCATTATTGTGGCAGCTGCTGGCAGTAGCATCACTCAGTGCTGCAAAATCCCTACCCCCACGAAATTACGCGACCCACGACTATTACGCCATACATCTCTCGCCCTCGACCTCGCCTGCCGAACTAGCGGAGAGCCTAGGTTTGGCCTATGAAGGAGCGTTGGGTGAAATACAGGATCATCATGTCTTCAAGACGATAAAGCAGGACGCCGATGTGGTCCAGGACGCCGTGGAAGAGCTGAAGAGGCGGCGGAGGAAACGAGACGTGCCATTCGAGCTTCACCCGCTGGATGCAGTTCGATACACCAAAAAGGCAAAACTAAAACCGCGGATGTGGAAGCGAAATGTGCCTCCGCTTGTGCAAAGGGCAGAAGGCGGTGATGCCGTAACGCAGCAGAGGGAGATTGCGAATAACCTCCAGATTAAAGATCCAGAATTCAATGGGCAGTGGCATCTGTTCAACACGGCGACGCCTGGAAACGACCTTAACGTTACCGGCGTCTGGCTACAAGGCATCACCGGAAAGAACTCCACTGTCTGTATTATTGATGATGGTCTGGACATGGATAGTGAAGACCTGAAGGACAACTACTTTGCCAAGGGTTCATACGATTTCAACGACCACGTCGACGAACCGAAACCACGCCTTTCTGATGACAGGCATGGAACGAGATGTGCTGGAGAGGTCTCTGCTGGGAAAAATAATGTCTGTGGCGTGGGTGTCGCCTATGAATCACGTATCTCAGGAGTCCGAATTCTTTCTGGTGAAATCTCGGACATTGACGAAGCCCTGGCACTCGATTACGAGTTGCAGGAGAACGACATTTACTCCTGTTCCTGGGGACCTCCTGACGATGGCAAGACTATGCTAGCCCCGGATGCGTTGCTTGAAAAGGCTATGATCACAGCAGTTCAGACTGGCCGTGGCGGAAAAGGCTCAATCTACGTATTTGCAGCCGGAAACGGGGCTGCTAGCGACGACAATTGTAACTTCGACGGATACACCAACAGCATATATAGTGTCACCGTTGGCGCTATCGATAACAAGAACAACCACCCCTACTATTCCGAGGCGTGCTCTGCTCAACTTGTAGTTTCCTACAGCAGCGGCGGTGGTGATGCTATCCATACTACCGATGTTGGGGTGAACAAGTGTACCAATGGTCACGGCGGTACGTCCGCAGCTGGACCGCTCGTAGCAGGCGTTTATGCCCTCGTCCTTGAAGTTCGGCCCGAACTCAGTTGGCGGGATATCCAATGGCTTACCGTCATGACTGCTCTACCTTTCGATCAACCTAGTGATTGGACCACCACTAAGATTGGGAAGTCTTTTAGTCATCAGTTTGGATATGGCAAAATGGATGCTGGCGCCATCGTGGAAGCTGCTAAAACCTGGGAGCTTGTCAAGCCTCAGGCCTGGTATTGGTCTCCCTGGATGCATGTCAAGCAAAAGATTCCGCAAGGAGACAAGGGTCTTGCCAGCGTTTTCGAAATCACTGAAGAGGAAATGAGAACGGCAAATCTCGAACGATTGGAGCACGTTACTGTCACCATGAACGTTGAACACACTCGCCGCGGCGATCTCAGCGTCGAACTCATCAGCCCTTCTGGTATGACCAGCCATCTTTCTGTTACTCGGCGCGACGATGACTTCCGTGGCGGCTACAGCGACTGGACCTTCATGACTGTAGCACATTTCGGCGAATCTCCCATTGGTAAATGGACTATTGTCGTCAAAGATACCAAAGTCAACGAACACGACGGGACTTTCACCGACTGGAAGCTCCGCCTCTGGGGCGAATGCATCGACCCCTCAACCCAAAAACTCCGCCCCATGCCCACCGAGCACGACGACGACGATCACGATGCCATCGCGGCCCCCCACCACACAGTTTCCGTCAGCGTCCCATCTGACTCTCCAACCGCCGCCCCTAATCCCTCGGACCTCCCAACGCGCCCGGTAAACCAGAAGCCAACCCCCCAAGGCCCCTCCTCCACCGCCCCCTTCGAACCGCCTACCCAAGTCACCTCCGCTCCCACCTCTTCGCCCACTTCTCCCTCTGATCAAGAGCACGACCACTTCCTCCCCCACCCCTTCCCCACCTTCGGCGTCTCCAAACGCACCCAGGTCTGGATCTACGGCTCGCTCGCGTTAATCCTCTGCTTCGTCGTCAGTCTAGGCTGCTACTTCTATCTCGCGCGGCGCAAGCGCCTCCGCAATAACCCGCGTGACGACTACGAGTTTGAAGTTCTCGACGACCGGGGCGAGGACGACGAAGGCGCTGCGTTAACCGGTGGTCCCGGAAGGAGGGGGAGGAGGAGGGCGGGCGAGCTGTATGATGCGTTTGCCGGGGAGAGCGATGAGGATGTGTTTAGTGATGATGATGAGCACGTCGCGGGTGTAGGAGGTGTGTACAGGGATATGGATGAAAAGGATCAGGGTGCTGAGGAGTTTGATGAGAAGGCGCATCTCAGAGGAAGAGGGAGTGGGAGTTTGAGTGATTTTGAGGGCAGTGGAAGTAGTGGGGCGAGGTAGTTGGAAGATGAAAGGGTGCGTGTGTTAAGATTATAGAGCATTGTTTGAGTCGCGGTTTCGTAGCGGCGTTTTAGGTGGATTAGTATAGCATTGCGTAGGTAACGTCCGTCCCTGCGTGGTGAGAAACCCACCGTGGCGCGAAAAACAATAGGTACATTGAGTTCAAGTAACTCAGAATCTGTGCACACATCAATATTTCCCACAGTTCTGTATAAGTCCTTTGCGGTGGCCACTCCTGAACACCTCGAGACCCCTCCTACTAGAAAATTACGGTCGCATCGTCGCCATCGCGCCTGATTTGCGGAGAGCATCCTTTCATGGCGTAATAGAATTCCTTCACCACAGCACCACTGTCGAGCTCTTATCACTTCTAATGCTTATAAAAGGGCCTTATCCGAGCCTCAGAGCCTCACTACCACATTGGGAAGTCGTCATCAGCCTTGTGGCTACTATCGCACGCAAATTCATACAAAGTCGCCACGCCGATCGGTACCTCCAACCGAAGCAATCACCAATCCCGGCTAGTGCGAAACAGCCTACATAATCATTACTATGTAAGTTAATTTACTTACAGTGGCTGTTAGACTTGTGGCTGTGCGCGGTCTTGGCAAGCGGGCCGACCTCAGCCCTGCAGCCTTGCGATCCAACTTAACTTTAGCTATGTGCCATGCCTCTGGTTAACCAACTCAACACCTACAGAATTCGCCACCTCATAAGGGTATAGCCGGAGCGGGTCGGCCGCCGCCCTGCTCGTGGTGGCGACAACAGTGCCAAGTCACTTTAATTACCGTTAGATATTTCTCGTAAGCATGCTTATGCAGCTCGTCCGTCTTGAATAGAGTTTGGACTTGCTACTCTAGAAACAAGAAAGTACCTATATAACCCACCAAACATAATAACTTCAAAGTCCGGCCTTCATGTTCTCTATCTGCCACTTATTTAGAGTTTCAAGCGACTCCTCTGTGTGAGGATGCTGAGGGCCAAGAATCTGTTCTTGTAGCTGGCAGCACTTTCGCATTAGTGAAATGGCATCTTCGTTGCGGCTTTGAGACTTCAATATGTGTGCTAGGTTAGCCATACTAGTCAGCGTGGAAGGATGCTCCTCCCCAAGCACCCTCTTTCTTGTCTCCATCACTTGCAACCCTAGCTCTTCGGCCTCCTTCCACCGCCCTTGATTCCAGTACGTTGACGCCAGGTTGGCCATGCTGGTCAGCGTGGAAGGATGCTCCTTCCCAAGAACCCTTAAACTCTTCTCCATCACTTGCACGTCTAGCTCTTCGGCCTCCTTCCACCGCCCTTGATTCCTGTACGTTGACGCCAGGTTGGCCATGCTGGTCAGCGTGTCTGGATGCTCCTCCCCAAGCACTCTCTTTCTCGTCTCCATCACTTGCATCCCTAGCTCTTCGGCCTCCTTCCACCGGCCCCTAAAATTGTATGCTAACGCTACCATTGCCATACTACTTAACGTGTCCTTATGCTCTTCACCAAGAAGGGTTTTCCTGACTTTCATTGACCTTATTGACATCTTCTCCGCGTTAATAGGAGTTCCTCTTGCCCAGGCATACCATGCTGCATGGTAAGATAGGAGAGCCCACTCCCCAAGCGAATCTTCGCCCTCTGGCTGCTGCGCTAATGCCGATTTCGCATGAGGAAAATACGTTTGGCATATCGGCCAATTCCCGTAGGACCCATCCGGAAACCCGATGCAAATATTCTTAATATACTGCTGCCTCCATTCTTCTAGTTGTCCCTGACCTTCCAGCCACTTCCGCGTGGCCAGCTGCACCAGCATGTGCATTTCAAACGTAGTCGGATCTTTAGTAAGGGAGATGAACGAGTAGTCTCTTAATATAAGAATATCATCTTCAAACCCGTCGTCGGCGCTAGCTTCCGACCCGCTATCTTCATCATCCCTCTCTTTACGGTCTTCACTATGCGCCCTCGAGTTTTCGTGTCTGTTTCCCGTTTCACTTTGAGGCCGAATCAGAGCTTCAGGAATCCCTTGTCGGTCAAAAAAGCTCATGAGTGAAAGCAGGCCAGCTGCCGACCGCCTGGTCTGAAATATGTAGTCGAACGATATTTGCCACGTTATAAGAATAGAGTTTTTAGCCTGCCAGTCTCTGTAAATATGACCTGCATCGTAGTCTAAGAGACTCGTCTTTGCCCTGTCACTCCTCTGGAACTTCTCAATATATTGCCGTACCGAAAATCGTGATGCTCTTGCCTTGATGTACGCAGCCGCCTGGATGAGAGCAAGGGGCATAAACTCGAGTGCAGCCGCTAGCTCCGCAATATCCTTCTTGTTACTTTGCTTTCCTAGCTTTGTTTCAATAAGCGCCAGCGCCTGCCTCTCATCCATTAGTTCCACATCGATTATGTTTCTCTCTCCCACCAGTTTCAGCGCTATGTCCCTGCTTCGCGTCGTAACGAGGACCGTCCCATTTCCGCTGCAAGGTAAGCATCGCAAGAGTGGTTGCGCTATACCGCTATTTAGGCCTCCTTCCTGCGCTCTCTGGCTCGTGGTTTAAGGCTTGAGAGGGAAGTCGGCATCATCAACGTTGTCGAGGACAAGCACCCACTTTCCCTTTTTTTCATCGTGAAGCCAATCGTAGACGAGCTGGAAGATATTTGCCTTGGGATTCCTGCGGCCGGTAATCTTGACTTGGTCTGCAACTTGCCGAAAACTTTGCTCAAATCGGGCGGCGTTGCTGCCGTGCACCCAGAAAACCCACGTATCTGGCGATTTCTTTCTAACTTGGTAGGAGTGTTCGATTGCAAGTTGCGACTTCCTTCGCGCAGGTCAGCAGGCAATTAAGCTGGAGGCCTTTAGAATAGTACCCCACTCCGACCAGACCAACAAGCGCAGCCCTAGATGCTGGCACGGATAGTTTTTCGCAAATCTGATCGAGTAGCGTTCCGCGGTTGACAAAGTCAAGGTCTTGGGGAAAGGGGACGTTGGCCGATGGGCTCGGAGGGGTCTCTGGTCGTTCTGGGCACGGGAGCTTGCTGTTAGCACCGTCGAGCTTGGGCTCCTCTGCTCTAGAGTAACGTACCAGGCGGGAGGTGGATCTCAGCGCTGATTGGGCCGTAGCTTTGCCCCACTTCAAAGCCGTGGTTGCTGTCGCCGAAGGCAATCGTCGCGCTTCCTTGAGCCATTTTCAACGTGCTGGTAGAGAATCGTTGTAGTTGCGGAGTTGAGGGTCGCAGGCTGCCATCCTTGGCATGTGCTCAGCTCAGCTCAACCTCGCGCCCTCGCAGACTTCTCCACCTCTTCACCTACACTAGCATTAATAGACTTACGAACGAATACTCGACTTCTAGCTTGAAATTCTTGGTACTCGTTTAAAAATTATGCCTGACCTGCTTAGCGTTGCGGCGAGTATCGTTGGCATTACTGTCCCCGCTCTGCACGGTACACGGCTTCTTTTGGATGACCTTAACAAGATCGTCGATGCCCCAAACGTCGTCCAAACCCTGAGAGAAGATATAGCGTCAGTTGGAATGGCCCTGCAATCGCTTCAGACTATTAAAGACCCTGAATGGGAGAACCTTGGTGAAACGATAGCCAATCAGTCAAAAGCAACGATTAGGAACTGCGAAAGACTGTGTAGCATGTTCCGGGGCAACCTACAACGCTGGACAAAGCATTCTGAAGGAAGACTGTCATGGCATGATAGGGCCAAAGTTGGCTTCTTCAAAGAGCGTCAGATTAAAGCCATGTCTGAGCAACTTCAGAGCTGCAAGATCGCTTTTAACTCAGCAGTTGGTACAGCAACCTTGTATGTACCACCTATAAGCATTCGGGACCTCCTAAAAAGATGATGTTAATCAAATTGCACAGGTATAGCTCCATCCGCCACACTCATATTACTGAAGAAATAAGAAAGACGATTTCAACGAACGAGGCAGAGATCTCTAAGGCTATCACATTGACAGCTTCGCAGCTGGCAGACGTGGAGGCTGCTTTACGAGAGGCACGCCTTACAGTCCCTACACATGATCAGGGTCAAAACAATGAGGATATAATAAGTTCAGTTAAGCAAGTTGAAGAGGAACAGGCGGCACTTAGCTGTTCGCGGAAATTGCTCGAAGAGTTACTGTCAAAGGCACGAGAGGATGTTATAGCAAAAGCTGCGAGTGAAAGTCAGGAACGGTTAACACGAGTGACATTTGGGAACAATAACAGCGGCTTTCAGGTAGGGATCATCAACGGTCCTATCAGTGGGATCAGTTTTGGAGGAAAGTGAACATGTTTCGGCGAGATAATAAGCTTCTTGAGCGTGGTTATCTATTTGTAACGTAATTACAAAAGGTCACTACCCTAAGCAGGGAGGGCGGCCGACCCGCACCGACTATACCCTTGTGAGGTGGCGATTCTGTAGTTGTTCTCAGATAGTTGAGTTGGTTGACTGGAGGCGTGGCCAAGTTGAATTACAAGGCTGGGGGCTGACGTTGGCCCGCTTGCCGAGACCCTGCACAGCCACAGGCTTAACAGCCACCGTAAGTAAACTACGCCCTGATGATTGATTATATGAGGCAGGGTTGTTCTCCACTAGCCCGAATTGGTGATCGCTTCTTTTGGAGGTACCAACCTGCCTGGCGACCTTGCATGAATTTGCGCGCTATAGTAGACACCAGGCTGATGATGACTTCCCAGCATCATAGCGAGGTTTTGATGCTCGGATAAGACCCTGCTATTAGTATTTAGAGTGGTAAGAGCTCTATAGTGGTTCTGTGGGGAGAGAAGTTTGTTATGCTATAAAAGAAGGCTCTCTACAAATTAGGCTTAAAAGCGAGGATGTGAACGTAACTTTTAGGTGAGAGGGGGTCCTGGATGTTTATGAATAGCCACAGTACACGACTTATATAGAACTATTGCAGATACCGACGTGTGCACAAAGTGTGAGTTGCTTAAAGTCAAAGTACCCCTCATATTTCTCGGCACGGTGGGTTTCTCGGCACGCAGGGATGGTCGTTAGTTTATTGCATCCTCATTTTTTCTTTCTTCTATCTGCTCTCTGTCATTGCCGACGTGGAATAGGCTCCGGTCACGTGACAATCACTGGTGCCAAGCGATAAAGTCTGCGCAGCAGCAACTCGACTTCAGCAGCGAGAAGGGCTGTTCGGAGCTTCAAAAATAAAAGTAGTACAGTTCTGTGCTTTCGAAATAGGCAGCTATGGGGCATATGGACTGGTGGGAAAGCAAAAGGGTAAAAGTAGAAGTCAATGGATTTGGAGCAGTGTCAACTTTGGAAAAGCTTACTCTCATGTGGTGGAAGTAGAAGAGTTTGGAGGCGATAACAAGATGAAAATGTCGTGCACCGTCAAACTACAACGATGCTTATAAGCTACCTCTATTAACGTTTCTATTCTTCGATACTGAGGCTAAAGGCCCTGATTTGGTAACTGTGTTGAATATCACAACTCTGCCCCGAGACCTTCCAACTTTAATTGACGCTGGTACTCGCCATCATCATCTTTCTTTGCTTCCTTCCACTCCATTCCTCGCGGTCCTCGTCCGTTTCGCACACCACCCCAGCAGCCATCATGCCATTCGATTATGTCTTTTACTCTCCCCATGAAACCGCTGGAGGTGATTTTTCTGCACTCCCACCCCGCAACCATGAAATGGCTCCGCGAACGTTTTAACTCTCCGCCATTTGCCCATCCCTTCCTACATTTTCCACTCCACCGCCTCCCCCAGCCATCAAAGTCCAGGGCCACAGGTCTGACTGCCTGCCATCTGTTTGCGGCAAGTCGGTTTTTGCACACCACCCACACAGCCATTAAGCCGCGTTGAGTAACGATTTGACTTCCCCATGAAGAATGTCGGAGCAACTGTTTGCACACCACCCAGCTCCCCCGAACTATGGTTGTCATTGTTGTCTATTTTGCTCCCCGAGACCCTCCGTACCTTCTGCCGAGTCCGGAGGGCAGCTTCGGCTGAGACTTTATACCTCCTTGGAAGGGGAATTCGTAAGGGTCTCGTGAGTAACACGTGATTTTGGTTTTCAGAAGAGTGTATACTAAGCTATCCGCACGTGATTAATTCCGGAGCTCTTGATGCAGTCTGGATTGAGATGAGAAAGCAACAGAAAGTAACGACCGTCAATCTCAGGATACAAGCGGATTTTGAAAGAAGAAGGTAGTTACACCCTATGCATAAACAATTCAATTCATCTAAGCTGCCCATCCACGAGACTGTCAAAAACTTGTTGACTCCGATTTTGAGGGTCGAATTTATCTCCTTGAAGCTCTCTCCGAGTCTTCTCTGCGTTCTCCAGTAGCTCTGCGGCTACCTTGCCATCTTTTTCTAGCATAGATAAAGCATACATGACTCGAGCTTGTTCACATGCTGCGGTTTCTCGGAATACATGGATATCGAGACTCTCTCGAAGCTTCGTTCTGGAGTCAAGATTATTAAAATGCTTGTTCGTGTTAGAACGCGCACGGGTATATCTTACCTAGCTTCATCTTGTCTCCTTGATCAGCAGGAATAAGGCCCTGCTTGAACAAGCAAATGGCATGAAGAAGGTTCCTGAAGTCCTTGCGTTTTTCCATGGCATCGACCGTAGCCTGGAACTCATCTCTGGCCGAGCTAAGCTTCTTCTCCGCTCGAAAGAGTAGAGCTCGATAGTATTTGATACTGAAAAGTCAGAAAGTATTTTGGGACTATGGAGGGTTTGTAGGGGAGGGAAAGCCTTACTGTATCGCAAAATTTGCATCAGTGTTGTCTTTGTCTGCTTTATTAATTCTGTTTTTGGCCTCCTCAAATCTACCAAGTTTAATGCAAATACGGCCTAGATTCAGCTCATTCAGCACTACGGCGCCGTTGTTCTGCCTCGGTAGCATCGCGGTGGCATCTGAGTGCATCTTGAAAGCCGTTTCGGCAGAACCCATACTCAAATGCAAGTTTCCTAGATTGTTCATGATGGAATACAGGTCAGCATTCAGGCCTTCCAGGATACCGCGACATTCTTCCATGATAGCCAAGGCATCACTGAAGTTTCCTCGTTGGGCCCAGACACGGCCAACGTTGCTGCATAGCCGAGCAAATGAATTCGGATGTCGATCTCAGACACAATCAGCTGTTGCATTACGCGGTGAAGGGATTGACTGGTTATCCATTTGACACAATCGGCAGATGGCAGCTTCCAGGAAGTCCCCGTCCAAGGGATTGGCTCTATTTTCCAGATATTGGAGGTGAGTCTACATTTCCAACCGAAATACATCGTATAGCTAACCATTAGATATCATAGCGTATTCCCAATCTCCGGTCTACGGCACTACGAATAGTACAGTGCAGTATATTTGCTCAGAATCAGAAGCGCGGATCCTTTGTAAACGGTACCTACTGGACAAGATGGCATCTACTAGCTTAGACTACTAGTGATTTTGATGGTAAGCGTTTGAAAAAGTAGCGATGGGATCGGTGCATTGTTTATGAGTCAGTCTTCAAAATGTGTACGCTGGAATGAACTCAAGATGGAAAGAAGCATCATAGTACCCATTTCTAGCCTTAGAGTGATACATCATTCGACGTTACACCTAGCTCACTTCCCCGATAGTATGGAGCAACTTGGATATTGTAATTTCGCTCGGTGTCCGGAGGCTCCCCAAGGAGAGGTTTCTGAATGCTTTTTCTTTCTTTCTCCGGTTCCTCATGGATCCTTCTTGATTCTTGTTCATCTGATCCCTCCCGGCGCAGGCTTAGAGCTTCGGCGTATTTCCTTTTGACACGCGCTACCTCCTCTCCATCGCCTTTGACATTCCGGTTCAATTCGGCAAGTTCTAGTGCCTTTTTGAGGTGCTGACTGCGACTCGTTAACGTCTTGAAAGCCACACGTTTCGAGTAAGTTAGGCTTACACGGCAAGATCAAGATTTCTTTGGGCTACGTGTACACAGTCCACCTTGTATAGAGCGGCGACAGTCTGCATACTTGAAGCGCCTTCGGATGAGTAAATCATACATGCTCTTGTGTAGCATAGCGTAGCTTGAGCGATCTCGCCTTTTCGGTAATGTAAGTGGCCCATGATGAAATCCACACTGCAAGTATTGGTCATGTTTGGCGGTTGGATATGGCAGAGGCATACTCTGCATCGTAGAATGTATCCTCCCCAAATTCGTCAACTGCAGCCTGGCGGCTTATGCCTAAATTTTGAATCGCTTTGTCGTACTCGCCCTTTTGAATAAAGGCTTCTGCGATGTTAGAATGGCGAATGTTGATTATCTGTTTTCGTTCATACTCGGGCTTCATCATGTCAATCCTTAGAGCCTTTGTGTTATGATTCGATCTCGTCATCCCATCTACAATCACATTGATATGTGTTGCCAATATTGTTGTACGAATTTGCCAATCCTTCGTGATCTTCAGAAAACAGATTCTTCCTTACACGAAGACATTCGTTGTGATATTGGTACGCTTGCTTGATGTTGTTCCTTGTTACGATAATGCCGGCAGTGTTTAGTAAACTCGCGTACTCCGGGGAGTTTTTGTCTCTGCATATCTCAAACCCGAATTGAACGAGAACATCGTTTTGATTGTAGTCTCCGATGTCTCGAAGGTACCTGTACAAGTTAACGAAGGTTCTATACACTGTTGACGGTCATAATTACCATGCGCAACTGTCTAGACACTTCACAAGCTCATCAAACTCATTGTCGGATCTTGACTTGCATTTCTCCGTTTCGTAGAATTGGCAGAGCGCTACGACGTGGGAGGCAAAACTCTCGCATTGTTTCCAAACGTGTCTGAATGAAAGTCCATTCACAAGTTTTGGAAAAGCTTCATATAGCAGTTTCGCTGCAGTCATGAAGCTCTCTCTTCTCTCTTCGACACTCAAAGTGCTGTGGAACTCGACCTGAATGACTCCGTGTACGTAGAGATACGATGTCTCTGGTTTGGCTCTCACTAGTGACGCTTTCAGCAGGGCTTCGACTTCTATTTGTAGGCTACGGGAATTAGTGCAGTAACATATGGTTTGGCTAGACTCAATTACTCACTCCCATTCGTCCCGGCAGAATTCCAGCGACTCAGGCACATTTTCTGAGTTCTCAAGTTGGAATAGTGACAGTGGAATGGCATCTGGCCCGATGATACATAGAACGCGGAAAAGTTCCCGCGCCGATGTGCCGTTGAGACTCTTGAAAGAATACTGGTATGCGCCGTGGAGGCCTCCGCGCGAATAGAATGGTTGAAGATGCAGATCCTTATCCGATTGTGCGTGAACTCTCGGCGTATATTTGACGTAGAGATCAAAAAACTTTGCCACCGATTATGACTTCTGCCTGATGTTCATGGCCATGATTACCAGAGCTAAAGGCAGGCCACCCAGTCTTCCCGTCAATTCTTCGGTGGCAGCCTCTTCTGCGGCTGGATACTGTTCCCTGTGAATAGTTTGGAATATTTATTCTTTGGACTCCGCCTCGGTCAATATTAGAACCCGGAAGCTTTTCCACAGAGTCTCCAACAAAACAATCTCGTGTCGAGCTGTAATGAGAAGGGAGCCTCGTGGAGTTATTGGCCAGGAATCGTTACGCAACGAAGTGAAGTGTTCATCAGTATCCACGTTATCGTAAATGACAAAAAATTCTTCGTCTAGTTCTAGTCAGAAATTGTGTTGCGAAATGAGTTACACTGACAACTCACTAATTTTGTCGAGAAACTGCAGCACCCAGTATTTGTTGTTGATGTGATTTCCGTGCCCGGTGGCTCCGGGAAGATTCAGTTCCACGGCGATGGCCGAAAAGCTTCTATCAACGGCAGCTGAATTCTCGCTATTCACCCAAAAGATGTAAGCAAGCCCACCATGTCGACGCTCCTCTGCATAATGAAGGACTAGCTGAGTTTTGCCTATGCCGCCTTCACCCCACAGCGTTGCTATTCTTCGCCGAGCCTCAGACTCGACATGATCCAAGGCTTTCCTCAGATTATCCATTTGTTCCTCACGCCCCACGAAATTTGGGACTTGTGGCATTGGTATATAGTAACATACTCTGGTGTAGCGGGATCTTCAGCCGCGTCGAGTGTTTCCGTCTCTTGGACTGACACGGGAGGGGCTGGCTGCGACACGGCTTCAGCAGGACCACGATGTTCGGCTCGTATTCGTACGTGTGTAACTCGTTTCGAGATCGCATCCAGGACGCGGTGTATTTTCTGGCTGACATCTAGCGGCCAAAGTTGCTTGGCTTTTCTAGCTGGATATCAGAAGTTAGTCAACGAGTCCAAATTTGTGGAGCGTGAATACCTACGTTCTGGATATCGGCGCACAAACTCTACTATTTCTATGAAACAAGATGAAATGTCTACCAGCGTCTCTACGGCCTCTCTGGCTATATTTACACTACTTGGGAACTATTCAAGTCCTGCAGACCGCTGTGCAGTTTTTGAAAGAAGTCTTCAATTTCTTGTTGAAGGATGGGAATGAGGTCGTACTCAATCTTTTCAAGAAGAATCACCTAGGCTTGATCAGATAAGTCTTCGAAAGAGAGAAACTAGGATTTGGACCTCAAACAAGTAGCAAACTATGCCCCCGGATATTTCTAGGTCACTGGCCTGCAAAGCTTCGACAATCATGACCCTGCGGATTGTTTGCTGTATCTCGTCCAGAAGCGGCTTCCCACTCTCGAGATATTGCTTCAGCGTAGTTTCAACACTTGCCAGGACATGGATATCAGGAAAACCCGATAATGGGGAGTAAGAGCGAACGTCGTTTGTATCTCCCCCGAGCCTCCCCACGCAGGTTGCCACTCCTTTGTTCCATATATCGAGACATTGCGCATCTCTATATGTATGTGAGCGAAAGTGCTTTTCTCTCAGTGTATCTCAACACCTACCGGTCCTCGGAGCTTTCTAGTGCGATTGAATGCGGTGCGCCACTTCCAGCAAATGATCTGATAGATAGCGAAGAGTCCGCCATAACCGGATACAACTAGGTACGGAATGACAAGCCGCTGTTTGAGAGGTGAAACTTGATGGATGGTTGTGGTAGGAGAGTTGTGCTCCGCCTCTCCCGAGTAGATGCCGGACGTACAAGGTGCGTTGAGTGTACTCACATTCCATTCGTTCTAGTAAAAGGTTCGATCACTTGACTACGAGCCAAGAGCGGGGGAGGCAATGAAGGATTCGAATGACAACATATCCTCAATAGATCGAAGGACGGTCTGTGTAGGGGGCTCACTTCTGTTTGCCTTCTATCTGCATGCCTTCTATCTGCAACGTGCACTGCCTGCCCTTACCTTACATTAGCGCAGCCCCTTTGTGCGGATTGAGACGAAGCTGCGTTTGCCGTGGCCAGTCAAGGCCATAATCTGTTTCTGGGATTGATCAAGTGCATCGCCATTTAAAACAGATCAGTCTTTTTGTTCCAAACTTGCCTCGCTGATTCCTATCAATATGGTTTACGTTCTAGCGGAACTGTCCTTCATTGCTGATGACCCTCGATACGAGCGGGAGAAGCCTTATGATATTGTATATGCGAGCTCTTCAGATCCACTGAAGTCTAATTGCCAATTCGCCACAAGCTCTGCAATCAGAATCACTGATTGCCGTTCCAAATTCGAGGAGTACAACCTGAAACACCATGGTTTCGCATTTCTTCTGTGTCCTTCCAGTGTTTCCTTGCGTTCTCTGCTCTCGGAAGATGTTGATACGGCGAAGGAAGCTGTTCAGCCGTATCTGAAAGGGACAATTGCCATTGCACGAGAAGAACTGAAACCCGAGCGAGTTATTTGTTTCGATTGGCGGGTAAGTAAAAACCCTCACTTTTTGAAGTACTGATAACAATGCTTTCTAGATCCGAAAGCGAAGCGTAAGCGAGGTTAGTAAGTCCTCTGTGTTACTCGCTGATCGCCATTATCCTATTGAGATCGTAAGGGTTGTTCATCTAGGTCCGCTTACTCATTGCTACACATCGCTTTAGACTAATAATCACAGATGTATCACACGACGGTGGGAGAGTCAAATTGCATCGCCATCTCTCTAGCGATGAGATCGCGAAGGTCACTGATGGGGAGTGGGAGATTCAGTTCGTAAAGTATGTACACCTCCAGAACCTCTCCCCCACCCCTTGTCATGTTGTATTCTAATTTGTGTAGCGTCTGGCGCCCAATTTCAGAGGTGGTCAAGGACGCACCGTTGACGCTATGTGACCCGAGCTCTGTTGCCAGGGACGATCTTCCGGAGGTCGACAAGGTGCACACTGACCATGTCGAAGAGAGCGCTTACTTGAAACAGCGCCCTCATCGTGAGTGGTAGTAACTGTCCAATCAAACAAGAGACGAGATCACAATCTTCACGACTGTGGGATTCCGAGGGCAAAAGACGGTTCAGTACGAGACGTAATCTTATCTTATGTACAAGCCACTTACGTCTTTCTTAGTCACTCCTCCGCACACCGCATTTTTGCATCCTGAGCGGCGTTCTACACACTTACCCCGGGAGAGTATCGAAGTTAGGCTCATAGTGGTCACCCGATGTGGTATAAAGACATAACATGCAAGCAGCGGTTTCTGTTTGGAGCAGACAAGGCATTGGTGTCATTGTTCAAGCAACATCAATGGAGTTGTGACTAGGTTTGAAAAGATTGGATCCTAAGCAGAACATAGCTGCTGATGAAGACTACCTCGCTGCCCCCTTGCGCCCGAGTGTTTCCTGCAAAGAATGAATTGAAGACCGACTTGTCCGTCCCCTCTGAGCTGAAGATACTAACGCTTCAGAAACGAGTGAATTCTGACTACAAGGCCTTGAACAAATGAACATGCTGTATCGAGTTAGGTAGGGTTAGGATGATCCTCACCTTGCAGTAACCATTTAGCGCCTGTCTTTGGTATCAACCACTAAGATCCTTGTTATCCAGCTCGGTCAGAAGCCTGAAGTCTGAGCCGTCCTGAGCAGCGGTGAGGCCATTCCGTTCGATGTTGGTTTCGTCGATGTTGATGAACGCCTTCCAAGGCTGGATTTTGGGAGGCGTAACCTTGGGCATCTGCGGGTTGTTTGGAGGAGACATTGGTCAGTGAGGCTCGAGCGTGAATTCATATTGAGATGGGTGAAGACTGAAGAGTCTACCTGAGCATGGAGCATTGGAAGTCTAAATATATTCAAGGCAGCAGCCCGAGTACGCCTCTCGCCGTGCAAGGTTGTACGGCACGGTCTACGTGACCGATGCGCCGGAACTGGAAAGCAGTCTGCCAGTAACCCACGTCGGGACGGGATATAGAGCGTGGGATAAACAAATAAGTGAAGCTTCAGACATAATGTAGACATTGATTGGCTGATCAGGGAGGCTCTACGTACCTTTGTAGGAGAAAAAAGTGGCCGTTTTGCGGCACCGCGCGCGACAGCGTTAACACTTGATTACAACACCATCCAAGTTCAAAGTCCAGAATATTTTTGGATGATTATGAAGCGCTAAGTCTAGGCTACACTTTGATACCTTTTTCAAAAAAAATTGGTCAAATAGTGGAGGAGTTTGACGTGGTTGAGTACTAGACATATGTTCGAACAGGTTAGTAGAATCCTCGGGTTTCGGAGTCTTAGAGCTGATCTGCAACAAGCGGAGCATTGCTACTCGATAGACTGACGGTGCAGGTTGGCCTCTGTCATCACGGTCTGCACAAAGTGTGCGCCAAATGGTGTCTGGCAGACTGATAACATCTGAGTGAAAGTTGCGAGAAATCGCTCCAAGGATTTCCAAACACTCTCTCGTCACGATAGCACTCGCTAGAATAGTCTCGTTGATCTTCGAGCTACGTCCCCAAGAATGACGCCACTGACATACAATGACCCATCACAGACCCCGTCGTCTTCATTTCTTCCCACAAAAACTTGAGGCGTCAATCCGTAGTGGGCATTGTAGACAGGCTTCTGATGGCTCCCAACAAACGGACTGCCATGTAAACGCTGTTTGGATCGCCGGGGGGCATCCCCGAAAGGTAAACTCTGGGTGCTATCCATGACGGGTATCTTAGTAGGATGTGGTCGGCTTGCCTGTCTTGGCCAGTAGCATGTACTATAGAGGACGAAATTGGTGCCCAAGGACGGCAAATGATATCCAGTGGCAGCAATGCGAAATGAAATCAACATAAACATCCAGCACGTTCTTCCCATAATTCGGAGTTATAGCGTCGGATTGATCGGTCTGTGACGACGCGGCCATGTCATTGGCCAGATTCAACAAACCGTAGATTGTATCTCGCTGATCGGTCGTTTCAGTGAAGGTCCCCAAATCCACAAGGGTTTCCAACGACATTCTATGATGTAGAATATGCTTCCCATCCGCAGACTTTCTAAACACATCTTCGATGGTATCTAGAAGCCTAATTGCTGGAGAGTCCTGGAAATCGGCCAGTATCTCTGTCCGCGTTGTATTTCCTGTCTGACTGATGGACAGTAGTATGCTGCTGAGCCTAGCCCGAACCAAGTCTATGGCCGTTGAAAAATGGCTCATATGGGCTCTACGGTCGCCACAGTGTATATCTGAATTTGTTGAAAATGCGGCTTCTTGGAGAACCCAGTCTCGTCGAAACCAAGGCCTTCCCAAAATCTGGGCCCAGGTAATAAACCCGTATTGCTCCCACCATGAACCAGTCCACTGAAAATTGCTTTGAATTGATTTGGGCACAAATTCCATGGCAAACTTGCTAGTCAGTCCTCCTCGCCTAACCAAATTATGACACTACTAGCCTTGCGGTAGATCGTTGCCATTTGTCTGACCTGCGCATTCCTTTCCAATTCATCGAGCTGATCGATGCAAAGGGAGTCTACCTAAAGTCGAAGGTGACCTGTTCGTAGCCTTATCCGTTGTATAGCATGGAAAAGATTTGGTCGTATAAAATCACTTCGCTATTGATGAACACTCGGTGTATTGCTGGCTCCTGGCCCCAAACATAACTTAAAGCGTTGTATGCTAGAGGATTTAACAGAATGAACTCCTGAATGCGGCCGGTGACTTTGCTTCCTATTACTCCAGGATCGAGGATGAGAATACGGAAACCGTGATCTGCAAGCGGATCCGAATACAAAGTCATAGGGGACACAGTAACTGAAATTTCATCTTCGGGCATTGACGAACGGGGCTCGGGCGAAAGGCTCGCAGAGCTGCTCTTATTAGTCTCGTGTCTAGATATTTCATCGGGTACCCACGAAACCTTGAGTTCCCACTGAAGCTTGGGTACGGGGCCTAAAGGACAGGACATCGACTCGGCGTGTTAGACTCACCAGGGTAGGAGTCACGAAGTCGGAAAGATCACGTGACGGAATTGGAGAATCGTTAATGATTCTTCGAGCCGACTCTCGAGAACTTTTAGCAATTTTTCGAGGCAAAGAGGTTTTTTAGGAGTTTAGTTTTGTATTTAAGCACACTTGTTCTTATAGATAGGAACTTCGTGTTTAACTTAAGATTATTCGATACTTATACAATTGGATAGTGACCCGTCTTATGCCTAAAATATATTTGTCTGACCTCCTAAAGACTATTGCACCCTAACGAAGAATTAACCTAATAATTGCCCTCTGTGAGCACAAGCATATATTAAAAGAAATGACCTGTTATGTGGTGGTCTAAATTCCTTAAACAGTTGATTAGGGTTAGGGTTAGTGAGTCAACTTGTTATAAAGTAGTGTGACTAGTATAGCAAAGTCGGAGCTGCAAGCATAATCTACATATCGACGCTTTCAATCCGTTGTCTCTCCAAGCGACACGGTGATCTTTGGTCCTCTTGTGAGTATGCCCTCAACAGTTCGTATCCCGATTCGGGGCAAATCTCCTGCCCATCCATAACAGCTATAGCGCGGCGGCCCGTCCCAAGATAAGCTGGTACACTTTTTATACCATCGAAGGATAGCTCATTCAAGCATACCCAATCAACGGTAAATCGCCTGTTCGCCGCAAGATTAGCAGCCTAATGCGAGCAATAAATGTTTCTTGATACTCACCCTTGGTAATCTTTGCCATCGGGTCTGGGTACCCAATCGGGATCTGTGGTGTTCCAATTCATGGGACTTGTCATTCTAGCAATGCCGCAAAATTTACGACTTTTGGCTTCCATTAGCGGATGTGATTACGATGGCAAGAGAGTCTGGGCGCACCTTCTAACAACTGAAAAGAAAATGAGCACGTTGCCACCTGATCTCCGATAACCGTTATCGAGTCTTTTGTTTGCATCTGGCATAGCTGTCCATCTGCCGTGGGCAAAGCATAGTTCCATGTCCGTTTCATTGTCGGATCGCAAGACAAAGTATTTTGTCTGCATGCGGGATTAAATTTTAGATTAGTTTTATGTTTGAAGGTGTGGATCGAACATACTTACCGTGTCCAGGGAGAGATGTCGAAATGATGAAGCTAGAAGCGTGGGATCAAAAGATCGACCATGATAAGTGCCCAGAACTGTAATTTCTGTTTCCGTTGTATTGCGTGAGCTATGAATTTCTTGGGTACTGCGAGAGCCTTTTGTGATTCGACTACCTCTTGTACTGCTAGAACTGCTTGTGCTGCGATTCTCTCTTTGGGACCTGTTGGTAAGCCGTAGGTTTCCGAAAGTGGACCAGCTGAGTAATGGCATGGGGGAAGCGGTGGCAGCATCGCGGCGTTGAGATGGAATGGCCTCATCTTGAACGAAGAGTCTGTGGATTGGTTAGAATCCAACGGAATGATGGGGCATCTACTAAAAACCTACGAATCATCTTGATCCAGCCAGAGCGCTACTTGAGCAAACCATGAATGGGAAATTGCAGCCTCCGCTGTTGGTCGATGCGTCGGATTTGGAGTTAATAAGCTCTTGATGAAATCTTGACACGATGCGGAGATACCAATTTCCGAAGGGTCGCTAAAATTGAGCGGCTTGATACCTCGGGTATAATCTTCCTGATCAGATGGGTACAAGAATGGATGTTTTAAGACTAGTTCCATGGTTATCACGCCAATGGCCCAAATATCGACGGATAGAGAGTACGCAGAAACACCGTGACTACTTCTGAAGTGGCCCCTTTGCTCGGGTGCCATGTATTCGGAAGTGCCAAGTTGTGTTTGCAACTGTGTTCCTTCGTGGCACTGCTTGCTGATGCCAAAATCTGCAATTTTGACTGTCCAAGGCAATGTAGATGCCACCAAGATGTTCTAGGTTTCTGTAAGTGCCTGGGTTGACGTTGAAGGTCAAGAATAGATCACTTACGCCTGGCTTCAAATCCCTATGGGCGAAATTGATCTCATGCATGAATCTTATCCCTTCAAGGACTTGTCGTACAATAAGCCCGGCTGATTTTTGGGGGAATGGGCCATCACGGTCCCTGAAGCGTGCCAAATCTCCAAGGCGCAGGTATTCCATCGTGATAAATACAGACTCTTGATTTTCAAACCATCCATAGCTTTGGACAAAGTAGTGCTCGTACTAAAGGAGAAGTTAGCAACCAATGCTTCCATAAAGGAGAGAACAAATTCCCACGTACTTGAGCCTGTGAAAATTTTGCAATAGCTTGGAGCTCTTTCATGTAATCTAGAGTGCTTAATTTCCTAATCTCTTTCACTGCTCGAACCTGGTTGTGAGTAGCCTGTGTACGATTGTCCATCTGCGGTCGACGTCGCTCAAAACGTACAATTCCAAAGGCGCCTTGGCCAATGATTGAACTTGGTTCGATGTCCCATGTCTCTTCAATTTCGATTAGCACGGTCTCCTCGGGAACAGAGGGCTTCACGATCTGGATAGCTGACTCTCCGTCAATTTGGTTAGGCGACTCCTCGGTCTGGATAGATGACTCTGCGTCGATTTGGTTAGGCGACCCCCCTTCGATTTGAACAGGTGATTCTTCTTCGACCTGCAAAGGCGAGTCTTGCCCGATTTGAACGAGATACTCGTTAGGTCTCTTGCGTTTCTTGATTGGTTTGGAAGGTTGGCTTGGTTCCGGCTTCGGTATATGTCTTCTGTGCTTAACACCTCCGGGCAAGAATTCCGTGTCCAATCTCAAAGCTGAGACGAGTTCTAAAGCCTGTTCCATCATGTTTCAAACTTCGGTAGTTATCGAAATGGCTGGAAGAAAATCAATATAATGATTGAGTTTCTTTGGAACCATGACTGTCGCTGCAGCGTTAGTGCCTGTTTCCCCCAACGCATCAGAAGTCCCGAATACGTACGCAATGATGACAATAGAAGATGCGAAAGCGGGTATCCAAGCAAATTGGCCCCAATAGAACACAAATGAGTGTCCACCACTTAAAAGTGCATGAACAAAAGAATGATTGATGCAGGTCGACTATCAAAGCAGGCACACTGAAGGTAGAGTTGATTTCAGACGAGAGGGAACAATGAGACAGGTACGCGACTGCGCTTGCATTTGTGCACAGCCCCAAAGTGGCGGGCTGGGCGTGGGGGCGGGCGCCAAAACGTGTCAAAACACAGCCTTCAGATGGGCGCAAATGAAGATCGCCGAGTCTGCCTCGCTGCTATTCATTCTAATAAAATGAGAGTACATCCTGCGCGGTGATTCATCCTCAAATTATCTGTCAGTTGTGATATACCCAGTTAGCCATGGCCGAACTAGCATGTGCGGTCGTTGGCGCCGTCGATGTCTGCATCAGGTGAGTTTGTGCTGATAGAGGACGTTCAAAGCTTACTTAACTTTCCTAATGGCAGATCCGCTCATGAAATTAAAGAGATCTGTCGAAGATTCAGGGCACATGACAAAGAAATCGAAGAGAAAACGGTGTTGGTGGATGCTATCTGGTTCAGAATCGAGTCACAGATGCGATTTCTCTCCAGAATCTCCAAGTTACTCGAAGAGGAGCTCATAAAAAGTCAACTGAGCTTGTTACATATACTTGAAGGCAAATTACGTCAAGCCATTACTCAGCTCGCGCTGGAGAACTCCGGTAATGACATAAACGACCGTTCGCCCAAGCAAAAGATCATGGACTATCTCAAAAAGTGGAAGTGGGCGATCAAAGACAGTCTGAGAGTTCTAGTTGTCGAGCTTGAGGCATGGCAAACCCGATTTGATCCGACCTGGTATTTGACGATACTCAACAGCGATAAAATCATGGATCTCGAACTTCGACAAGCGAACAGAGAATTAGCAAATGAGCTAGACATACCATTGGACTTACCGAAAAACCAACTGAACCCACTTACAAACATGTGGAAACTTCGCTCAGCTTCAAAACCGGACTACCGGGTCAGCCTCTACTTTGAGTGGGCAAAGTTGAAGAACTCGAAAAATATTCCAGTTATGTTTTCAACAGCGAGAGCAATCCTCCGAGAGAAATGTGGCCAAACCAAGCTTTATATTGCGGAAGCGGTGACATCCCCCGATGGGAGTTATGGACCGCTCGACATTGGCCAGATCAGGGCTGCCGTGGAATCATTAGCGGGAAAACTTCAGCAGATCGATCCGGACACATTCGGCCTGCTCAGTTGCAAGGGCTTGATCAACGATCGAGAACCCGCGACCAAGGCTGTCAAAGGGATTGAACTTTTGTATGATACTCCTCAAAACAGCGCTGTGCCAGCTAGCCTTCGCGGACTTCTCCTGGACAGAAGTCTTGTTGCTAGTCTCAGTTCCATTGTGCGGATCGCTAAGCATCTAATTCGCTCAGTCAGCTTCGTCCACACCTCCGGTTTCGTGCACAAGAATATCCGACCAGAAAACATCCTGGTATTTCCGAGCAAAGATTCATCGCTCGGCATGAGTTTCCTAGTTGGCTTCAACCAATTCCGACGTTCAAACCAACCAACCAACCTTCTCGGAGATCCGGCCTGGCATCGAAATTTATATCGCCATCCTGAACGCCAGGGAACCAATGTTATGAATCGCTATGTGATGCAGCATGACATTTACAGTCTTGGTGTTTGCTTGCTGGAGATTGGGCTGTGGCAGTCATTCGTCCACTATCCAGGATTGAATCCGACCGCCGCACCTGTTACGCCGATGTCTTCCGAAATTCAGATCAACAATGCAGATTTCGAGGCTGCCCATTTAAGTTCTCGACTCCGCATCAAGGAGCAGCTTGTGGACTTGGCGAAGAGGAAGCTTCCGTCACGAGTCGGGGACGTGTATACCGAGGTTGTACTAGCGTGTCTGCTGTGTCTAGATCCGAGAAATGGAAGGTTTGGGGATATAAATCAGGAGGACAAGGATGGAATTCTCGTCGGCATAAGATTCATAGAGCAGATACTGGCTAGGATCAATGGCATTTCAATCTGACTACATACGTTAGAAATAGAGCCATCTCAAATTAGCTAGTGTGGAAATTGTTGTAGTACGCATACCTCTACTCTACATAATGAAGCACTCCGTATTCGCAAACGCGTTGCAAGAGAATTACAGGCCGGGAGACATGGTGATTGCCGCTGGTGGAGTTGCCGCTGGTTTCCTGTAAGGGGTAAAAGCTAAATCCAACCCACTTCTTTGCGAAATATTCGAAATCCAACCACCTATTTCTTAATCTAACCCGCCCCCTAGTCCCATGCTAGTAATTCGTATTGCCAGTATCGTGAAATCAATGCGGTCACAGAGGTCTAAAAACTTGGCAGCGTACCCTCACCTTGGTATTGAGGGCGCCAAGAAACCCTATTACAAACTTTTGCTTTGATTTCTCCGAAATCAACTTCACAAGTATACGTGAAAGTCGCTTCCTCTTCACGTGTTTGTTATTAAGCGTAGTCTCAAGGTTTTGTCTGCTTTTATATTTACGGCATAGAATTCAGTAAGGACCAATAGGATTGTAGATAAAAGACAGCTAAGTAAGCATAGAGAGGAACACCTCGGTAAAATTCAGTTTCTAAAGCCCATCATTTCTGGCGGCAAATGCCTCCACTATTGTAGGGCATTGACAGTAAGGGTGGCATTCCTAGATGCAACAAGTGTCCACCCAGAAGTATTGCAGACCGTCCCTTCGAGCTTGCTCTTGGCAGAAGCGGATCTTGCTGCAGCCAGGTTTGTTTTTGCCCTCATCGTTTATCCAATCTGTGAAGGTAAATTCATCATGAGCTGCTCCCTAAGTATGCGAAAGGATAGCATAGGGTGGAATGTCATGGAGAAAGTCCTCCGTCAGGCTGAGAGAGTTGTCGTTTCGAAGTGTCAGGAGACGCATGCTGCTAATCAGCCAGTAAAAGAGTATCAGGTAATGTTCAGATGGGTTTACATAACAACTTACGATAATCAAGCGCAATGAATTTAAACTTTTCGATGTTGAGAATAACTTGAAGGATAGCTTGCGGAGATGACTAGGGACGAGCGAAATGAAGCAGGGCAATGTGATGAGGCTGCAGGTTCGCTCTCATAAGCACCATAAAACAAGGCTGAGTCACGACATGCCGAGGGACTGAGTCGTCTGCTATGGGTGTTAAGTATCGATGGCCTCAAAGGCTTGGAGGCCGATACAGTTTGCCTAGCCTTGCAGGGAAAGGGGACGATCTGCTCTAGCCAAACCCGTGTGAGCTTCAACTGCACCACATAGTGGCAGATCACGTGAATACTAGTGTGGCGGTGGGCCTCTTTAGTCGACTACGAAGGAGTTTGGATGGGTCTTGTAGGAGCTGTGACAGGCCTTCTATCTGCCCCTAGACTTTCCGAGGAGAAGTGCTTTCGAGCACCTGAAACCATGTAGTGCATCTAATACAACCTATAACTCTGCAACATATGGGGCCTTGATTCATGACCTTGGACAAATTTGGAGCCCTACGCTAAAACTGACAATTTCTTATGGTTCATCTGAGACTACGCAGCAGGAGTAGCCCGACTAACTTGCAGCTGCCCGGTTAAAAGATAATCTAATATGCACGGGATTGACAGCTATATTGCGTATAGAGGTAGGAAAAATTGGAACTCTAATATCTCCTTGAACAAGCTCCGCTTTGCTCGCTCAATACCACCGTCAGGAGTAGCCCACCTAGCTAGCAATTAGCCAGCCAAAACGCTCAGGTAGCCGCCTCAATCTTCCTCCCAAGCTCCTCATCTACCCGCCTAAACATAGCTAGAAACCGTTAGCAACATGCACGCACACATTCAAATGGGTCTGACTTACCAAAAGTCTCCTTCTGCACCTCCGGAACAGCCTGACTTAACGTCGCCGCGACATTCCCCACAAGATTCTCCTGCTGTCCCTCCTGTCTCCCTAACACCTTCCAAAGGTCCCTCGCCTGCACAAAGTCCTCATCCGTGACCTCGCTCGAGAAGTCGCTCACCTCGCCCACCCACTTCTCGTGCGGATTGCCCTTAGCGATCGTAGCCGTCTTGCGGAACGCGACCTCTTTCTGTGTAGAGCGGACGTAGTTCGGGTCGCCGCCGTAGTTGGAGCCGAAGACCATGGCGCCGTCGCGCTGGTAAGGGGAATAGACGGGGGATTTGGCAGCGTTGGGAGGGAGGGTTTGGTAGTTCACGCCAAGGCGGTAGCGGGCGGCGTCTGGGTAGGCGAACATGCGGGCTTGGAGCACTAATTCGAGTATCATTAGCGTCTCAATATGTTGGCTAGAGTAGGTGGGAACTTACTTGGGTCTGCAGATGGTGCTATTCCGGGGACCATATTCGAAGGCGAGAAGGCGGCCTGCTCGATGTCGCGGAAGTAGTTGGATGGGTTTTCGTTGAGCGTCAACTTTCCTACTGGTCGGAGTGGGTAGTCCTTCTGTGGCCAGACCTTCGTCATGTCGAAAATGTTCCAGCGGTATGTCTCCGCGTCCGCTGGGTCCATGACTTGCACGTAGAGGGTCCATGACGGAAAATCGCCGTGTTCGATGGAGTCGTGGAGGTCTTGAAGATGCGCGTCTGGGTTCTCGCCGGCTAGCTTCGTAGCTTCGGACCTCGTTAGGTTCTTGATGCCCTGATTCGTCTTGAAGTGGAACTTGACGTATTTGAAAGATCCGTCGTCCTTGACTAGCTTGTAGGTATGACCGCTGTATGAGTTTATATTGCGTATCGAAGCGGGGGTTCCACGATCGCTGAAAAGGATCATAAGCGCATGTATTCCCTCTTGATTCGTGTTATGAAAATCCCAGAACATAGACCAGTCGCCAAGGTGGGTTCGGGGATGTCGCTTGTGCGAGCGGTTGACCGACGGGAACTTGATGGGGTCTCGGATGAAGAACACCGGCTCGAGGCGCAGTCAGTATCTTGCTGGTTGGTCCGTTTGATGCAGAGTTCTTACAATATCATTGAACACGAAGTCCTGGTTCCCCTCTTCAGTGTAGATTTTCATCCCCCATCCTCGAACATCTCGGACCGTGTCTGCTCCTCCCGCCTCAGGCCCAACTGTCGATACGCGCAGGAGGCATTTGGACTTCTTGCCAATTTTGCTAAGGAATGCAGCCGAGGTGATATCAGTCACGTCGTGGGTGACTTCGAATTCGCCAAAAGCGCCAACAGCGCTAGCGTGGACCACTCTAGGATGTGTCAGCGAGCTATAGCAAAACGGGTATTTGATTAAAGGTAGTCTGTTGGCACGGCGTACCGTTCTGGGATTCTCTCGCGGGAGAAGTGGGCTAGGGTTTCAATTAGCTGCGTATCTTGCAGCAATACAAGCCCTTTGATTCCCTGCCCGCCGAAGTGTTGGGCCGAAGCTGGATCAGCTACAGGGCGGCCTAGTTGGTAAGGTGTTAAAAATCGCTAGACGAGAGTTATTTGATTTGAAGAGAGACCGTACCTTCGGCCAAAGTATACAAAGGAGCATTAGTCATGGTTGAGATGTTGATAAGTTTTGATATTGAGCCCTTCACTGCAACGAAGAAAGTCGAGCTGGAGGGATAAGATTAATATAGTAAGCGCCGTACACCACAATGCCGGAATTGTCCAGGATATATATCTTGAAACTCCTAGGGAACCAATGTGCATAACGACAGTCAAGCTGACAGACCCGGGCAGGCATCTCAATGTTGCCACCAGTGTGGAGAATTAGGGCGGGGTGGCCGCTGCAGCTCCGTGCTGACAATGCATGCCTGTAATGCTTGTGCAGGAAGCAAAGATCCCTCCGGAAATGACTGGGCTTCAGACGCTTAAAGCCCTTACTCCACGCCTTCTAGCAGATCCAGTAGCCTTTTCAACCGAGTGGCTCTCTTAACCTGCTCGTCATCGGGCTCTTCTCTTGTTGCACGGTCGTCCCCACCCATGAGCAGCCCGACAAGCGCGCGTAGTCGATTGCACTCAGTCTTGAGCACAGAATTCGCAGACTCCAAGTCTTCGGATTTCTTCGTCAAGTCTTTGACTTTGACTTCGAGTTCCCGAATCTTGGCCTCTTTTCTTTCTCTGAATGCTCGTTGAGACTGGCGATTTCGCTCTCGACGCTTCTGTGGCTCTGGTCAGTGACGGTTCACGCGGGGAGATAGATCATCGGAATCCAGGGATCAAAAAGGCAGGCAAGTGTGTTAGTAACGGTGAGTAACAGCATGAAGCACACACCTCGGTCACTGTTCCGTCAACCGAACAAGCGTGCTGCTCGTCTATTCGTTCGGGCGTAGCACTAGTCGTATTCGACATAGTCTGAAACGGGCTTTGCAGTGATGGTGCAAATGGTTGGGCTTCCGGACCGCTGCCAGATAGCCCCTCTGAACTCTCCGATCCTTGTCGCGAAGAGATAGAGGCGTATGAGAATCCCTAGGCAGTTTCTATTAGCAATGAGATGCAATCAGGCCACGAGGACCTACCTGTGACGAAGTGGCCATAGACTCGTAAGGATATTGTGAAGCCATGCCGTAGGGCGCTCCACTTGTGGGTAAGTAACCGTTTGAAACTGGCCAGGCGCTTGAGTAATAGGAGGTCATCATTGAATTTGTCGTGCAGCGAGAGGTTGGCTTGTACATGGAGTATTCGGTCTAGATCGAGCAATAGAAACACAAGATCTCAAAAGTAGCTAATAGTTGCTAGCTGAAGGCGTAAAGGATACGAGATGCTGACTTACAGAAAGTTGCCTCAGGCCTTTTATAGGACAGGCAGGTGCCCACCTAGAGAGCCTGGAGAGTGTTTTCCTGCATTCTACGCCGCGTGTTACTCAGACTGACTAGGGGGAATATGCATTGCTAAGTTGCATGCTTTGTCTAGAGCAATGGATGAGCAAGCAACTACCCAGTGGAGCTCCAATTAGAGCCACTGACGTCGATGTGGTATGCTCCAGTCTTGGTGCCATTGTTGCAAGTCCGGATACCGCCAGTCTATACACTTGCAAGGCTAGGCGACTTCGGGTCAATGATCCAGCTGCAACGCGTCTTCTCGCTACCGTTGATGTTGCGATATCACAGCGATCTGAGGAGGAACCAGTGAAGAGGCACGCCTGGACGCCTGGCAAGACACCCAGCGCACCCTATTCAGGCAAATCTCCGCCGTATTTGGGCCTCTTTAGGAGAGTACAGCCGTTGAGGTAGATGGAATTCGCGCAGGTTCTGTCTGACGTCTGTCGACAGGTTTTCTTGGTGGTGAGAAGTCGAGACGCCGTGGCTGGCGAGATCCGACGGAGATGGTCTGGAGAAAAAGGGGACCGAACCGCGTCCGACGCCGAATCGTGGCCGAGATAAGATTTCCCCGAATTTGCCAGCAACCCATCGTTCTGAGATATTCGCATCTGATTGACACAACGTGGGCTCCTATTTGCAGATCAATATCTCGGAGCTACCGAGCGTTCCCGGGGCGCACTAGGTCCTCCACCGTTAGTCGGTACCCGTAAATAAGACAGGGTTCAAACCTCCAACGACGTTGCGCACGTCACCTATTGTTGCTTCCTCGGAGCGTCCCATGTAGTCCGGGCTCGATAGGCCTTAGAAGAGTGTTTAGACTTCAGCGCCGATCGTCGCTCATCCCTGGTGTCGTTCACGAGCGCCATCCGAGCCCGACGGAGGACCACCGCGATAACTCCACGTCGAACTCCACGTCGCACACCACGCGCCTTGGCACTCGTACCGCTGCGTCCTCAGTCACTTACACAGCATCTGGCGATATTATCTTATGCCTCACAAAGGCTGCTTGCCATGCGCTGGAGCTGAGTCACCCACTTGCCCGGACGCCGCCTGGTTCCATGGTAGGTGTTCTCTGAAATGCAACGCCTAACTCGTGCATCTGCTCACCCCTGCGCAAGTCACTCACCCTGCGGCCAATCCCCTGTGCAGTGCATGCCGTCACGCTTACGTTTCTTCGTTGAATGGCACCGTGATCTGTGGCTTCACGACGTAAGCTTCATGGCCCCCTGTCGGCCTTCCGAAAGGGGGAATTCGGTGCCGACAATGAAGGTCGTACGCCGTGTCTCGAATGGCAAGATTGATATAAATATGCCTATAGTCCCGTACGATAGGAGAGTGTCAAAAATCCCGAGCAGCATAACAACGCCGAATAACGACGGGTCAAAGTCTACTTGTTTCTTATTACGTCCATCTAAACACCCTTTCTATTATGGCTGTCGAGTCTACTGAGTTTGACTTCATTGTCTTGGGAGGTGGAACAGCGGGCAATGTCGTCGCCGGGCGTCTCGCAGAGAACCCTAATGTTTCAGTTCTAGTCGTCGAAGCCGGCATTGGGTAAGGAGCCATCATCCAGAGCTTTGCATTCGAGAATATACTAATATGCACGGATAGTAATCCTCAAGAGATCCCCGAGATCACCACTCCAGCTCGTGCCTTCGAGCTTCGTGGGAGTCAATATGACTGGGCGTACAAGACGACTATGATCGCTAGGCCCGACTACGAACGTGTGGAGAAGCCCAACACCAGAGGCAAAGCTCTCGGCGGTAGCAGTTGTCTCAACTACTATACGTGGGTCCGAGGAAGCAAGCCTACCTTTGACGATTGGGTCGAATATGGTGGGCAGGGCTGGAGCTGGGACAATGTCAAGGAGTACTTCGACAAGGTCAGTAACTTCATTTACTTTTTATCAGCTTCGAGCTTGTGACTGACCACAATTTATAGCCTGCAAATTATCATGACGACGACCAAATCTACAGTGCAGATCTCTCGAAAATCGGTCGAAATGGTCCATTGAATGTCTCTCATTCCGATCTCGTGCCCGAAGTCAAGCCATTTCGTGATGCCTTGATCAAGGCCTGGGTCAGCAAGGGAGAACGATTAAGCGAGGACATCTACTCCGGTGAAGTCAATGGCCTTACTCACTGCGTGAACACCATCTACAAAGGCATCCGCTCCTCCAGCTACTCCTTCATTCTTGGCAAACCCAACGTGAAGGTCCTGTCTGGATCTTTCACCAAGAGGATCAACTTCGACGGAACCACTGCCATTGGCGCTACTGTGATAACACCAGAAGGTGAGCTGACTTTCAAGGCAAAGAAGGAGGTCATCGTCTCCTCCGGAGTGTTTGAGAGTCCTAAACTGCTCATGCTTTCCGGTATTGGGCCGGAAGACGAGCTCAAGGCCCACGGTATCACTCCTATCGTCAAGTCCGCCCATGTTGGCCAGAATCTGCTTGATCATCCAATTATGCCGTATGTCCGACGCCTGAAAAATGGCTACGGGCTTGATGGCCATATTCTCCGCGCCGGTCCGATGAAAGATGGAGCTATTTCCGCTTATCGCAAGAACAAGGGTGGGCCCATGAGCAGCGGGCTGCTCGAACTCGTTGGCTTCCCGCGTATTGACGAGTACCTTGCGAAGAGCAAAGAATACGTGGCCTTCAAGAAAGCTAATGGAGGCATTGATCCGTTTGGTCCTGCCGGTCAACCGCATTTCGAGATTGACTTTGTGGTAAGTTTTGGTTACCTTGCAACTTCACTTCCGTTCTCATACTTACAAATAACAGCCTATGTTCTCCGATGCATTCCAGTGGCATATCCCCACACCTCCAGAGGGTGACTGGATCACCATAATTGTCGATCTCCTTCGTCCGCTTTCCCGAAGCGGTGTGATCAAACTGAACTCGACTGACCCCTTGGAGCAACCTTTCATCAACCTCAACTACTTCTCCAACGATCTCGATCTCATCGCCCTCCGTGAGGGTGTACGATTTATCGATGATATCTTGACAACTGGCGAAGGCTTCAAAGACATTGTTGGTGAGGACTACCCATGGCCAATGCCAAGAGCGTCCGACGAGGCCATGAACAAGGCTATTCTGGAACGAAGCCAGACTGGATTCCGTAAGTCACCACAGAAATAAGCAAACGCTCAAGAAACGATAGGCGCTAACTTTGCGTAGATCCCTGTGGATCTACCCGGTTGTCCAAAGACATTGATACAGGTGTCGTCGGAGAGGCCTTAAAGGTCCATGGTGTGAAGAATCTGAGAGTAATTGACGCCTCGATCTTCCCTGTCATTCCAGACTGCCGCATCCAGAATGCTGTGTATATGGTCGCTGAAAAGGTGCGCAGAAAATACCTTATCCAATACGGTTCGTATGCTGACTGCAACCTAGGGTGCCGACTTGATCAAATCTGAACACAAGGACTTGTACGCAGATTTCAAGCTGCCAGTTCTTATTTAGTCGCAAAAAGCTATGGCAGCCAGTTAGATGCTCCTACGTACATCTATCTACGCGCCTCAGCTTGTCAAGGTTCACTTCTCAGTTTGCAATGTACAGCTGAAGACTCCGTTCGCTCGAACTCAGCTGAATGCTCAGCTCGCCTGTTGTTTGCCACTGTTGCCATCTGCAACCCCTATTCTCTCTTCACTATATAGCCACTCGTTAGCACCTCAATACAACTCATGCTTTCCTCACTGATCCTTTGCCCTTCCTACGCCAGCTGCCAAGCTATCCCTTATCTCACGTCCTGGGGTGAGATCTCTAGTAATGAATCTAACAAATTTCGAGTTTAGTCATGTTAATGTATCGTACAAATGAAATTGTTCAACTTCAAGTCTGTCTATGAACACTGCAAATTTGGATACATTTATGGAGCTGACGCTCGATTATGTGCTAGCAAGGCGGAATGTTCTATACAACCACATCTCTCGCATCTCTTCCTTTTCACGCCGGTGACTTTTTAGGACTAGACCTAGGTCCAACCTGGTCTAATCGGGTTATAAACCTGTGACTAAAGCCCGCACACGCGTTTTGTGGCGTTCTACGAGTTGTTTTGACACCCTACAGCCCCACAGGTACCCCTTTCCTACACACGGAGTAGTTAAGAGGTCCGTGCATTATCTATAAACGGATAAAACCGCTTCTAACTCCTTTCTACTACATTCAAGCTACGTATGATGCGCAAGGCAAGACTTTCTGGAACAACGAAACCGATCCAGGCTACACTCTTCATTTGGACGTTGACCGCTATGGCTACGCATACGGCTCGAGGAATACTGTAAATGTTCTCTCCATGGTTGCAATTTATGTCTACATCGCTATCATACTACTACACATTATCCACGCAGCTGTCGTCCGGAACTTCAAGCGGGAGGTAACGTCTATCCGCAGCTGGGGCTCTCTGCAAGAACTCGTAGCGCTGACGATGAACTCGCAGCCGCCGTCAGAGTTGGAGAATACGGGCGCGGGAGTCAAGACGAGCGCGTTGTGGAAGCAAAGAGTCAAGGTCAGGGCGGATTCGGAGGATAAGGTGCAGATGGTGTTCAATGACCAGCCGGGAATGTCGCAGGTGCTGCCGGGGAAGAAGTATTCGTGAGTGGTGGGGATGAGGACACCTGTATACTTAACGTTACATCTCGGTACTGTAGAGACCCAAATATGCCCAACGTCCTCAACTTTCGCAACCTTCCATTAAAGTACCCCTTAACCCATGCCATTCCCATTCCCACCCCCACTCGTCCCAATAAAAACAACCTGCACAGCCGCAAACCTATTATAACCCATTAGCACCGCTCAACTCCCCCAAATCAGTCAGAAAGAGATCACAGAACACTCACGCAGCAGTAGCCGCAAAAACCTCCCCCCGCCTCACCGTCGCGCACCCGGCCAACAAAAACGCAAAAAGCGTATCAAACCCCGCCATTACCCCCAGCCTCGCCTTCATACTACTCAGCGAATACAGTATCACCACCGACACGACCGGCAACAACGACGCGATCACTGCGGTTACGATAGCGGTGATGCGGCAGATGACCGAGCAGCGCTGGAGCTGGGCCTCGAGGGCAGATTCGCGGAGGAAGGGGAGGGATTGGGAGGCCGTGGATGTTTTGGAGGTGGGGAGGAGGTAGGAGAGGAGGTGGGCGGAGAAGCGGTCCTCTCGGTTGGCGAGGGGGTTGATGAGGTCACGGGCTTGGTCGGTGGTCGTGAAGCGGTAGCCCCAGATGCGGCAGTCTTCCAACATGAATACGGCGCGTGAAGAGACCGGGGGTGGGAAGCTGGGTACGGGACTTACCACGGCCGATGAGAGAGTAATTCCCGTCGGTTGGGCGAGCGAGCCAGTCTTGCACGGTTCGGAGGGCGGATTTCGACGGCGTTTGGAGCTTGGCGAGGCTTTGTTGTTGGAGGAGTGCTTCATCTGGTGTTATGCTGTATTAGCACCTTTCTCTATGGCGAAGGGAAATGTAAACCTACTATACTCCTTCAACACCCCTCGCATCCTCTTCACGATCCCCCACTGTCTCCCATCCTCATCCTCCTCGCTCATACTCAACCAAAACCAATCCCGTGCATACATCTGCCTCTTCCCCTTCTCTGTCTGCGCGTCAAACTTCTCTTGTGCCCTTAACTCGGTCTCGAGATGCTTCAACTCTGCTTGTAGATACAGCAGATTCTGAATGTTTAGCGCGGTGAAGCGTCTCAAAATCACAGTCTCGGGGGCTAGGCTCATGAAGCCTGCGAGGCGGGGGTAGCCGGCAACAAGCTCATCGACGGGAGCGCGGCGGGCGGAGGTGGGCCCGGGGAGCGCGTCGATTGAAGTGTGGGAGGGTGTGAAACAGACATCTAACTTCTCGTCGGTGGAGCCGTCGATTTGGAGGATGAAAGGGGTTTCTGTGTGCTGTAGAGGGGGACATGGCGGGCGAGTAGCTGTTGTCAGCATGGTAACAATTCTCTATTCGAAGATGGGAGTGCTTTGTTGAAATCTACAAAAGTGCGTATGAAAGCGTGAAGAGTGTAAATACTCGTTGGTCTGGGTTTAGTATCAGGAGGCAGTCTGATAGAAGTCAAGCCTCGTCTCGACGGCTTCTTGCATGAAGTGCCAACGGTGATATCACCTAGGCCGCCGATCCTACCATTGAGTGGTTGTAAAGCCCCCGAGGCAGCCATAAGAGAGCGTGAGGTCAATATTGTGGGACCGAGTCGATGCCTTGCTGGGTGCAAATCGATGTAAATGGAGCCGATCCTGGTCAGAGCAAACACTGTGACGTCGACACCGGGTGGTGCCTGCGTGTGTAACCTTGGAAACACAAACAGGAGGGCTGTGTCGAAGCTTGCTGCGCATTATATGATAATAATGTAGTTTATTTCTTGGTCTACATACCCTCATAACCATAAATCATGCTCCAGATCACCCGTCTTTAACTTCCAATTCCTAAACTCCCCAAAACTCCATGTTTTCGACATCTATTGTGGTAATAATGTCCCCTTCCTATCTTGGCGTAAGATGGTTCCATGTCTAACCTTGCTAGATACTCCGTCTGGCATATCGACCATCTTGGTCCAATTCCATAAGTCGTCGCTGTCGGCATACTTCACGTGACCATGGTAGTCGTCTGCCCACCTATCCTTCATTAGATCCTCTGCGCACTCCGACTCTCCCATAGTAAACGATTTTATAGATGGAAAATGAGGGACTTACATCCTCCATCCACCACCCGGCTTCTCCACAACCGCTGGGCCCTCCTTAGTACCCCACCCCGCAAAATCCCCCTTCTGCACGAACTGCCACGGGCCCTCTACGCTAGCCGCTGCAAGGTGCTCGATGTGTTTCTCGACCTCATTTTTCATAAAGCCGTGGTATGGCGTTGCTTTATCGCTGCCATCGTAAATAATAAACATGTCGATATAGGAATCCGCAGGCGTGAGTCCAGTGACATTTAATGGGTTCCCAGGAGTCCAAAATTTGAGATCTCTCGAAGTGGCGGTGAAGATGTAGGGGGCGAAGTTGGTTTTCATTTCAAAGTGCCGGAGGGAGATGATGATGTGGATTTTGTTTGTTTGCGGATCGCGAAAGAATTCCTGTAGACTAAGATCAACGGAAGTTCTTCGGCAACTTGCACTCTCACACGGGGGCGGAGTATGCACTTACCGGAGCCCAAGACTGCGCTACTCGAGGTTTGTCGTCCGCAACTTTCAGGTCTTCATCAGTCAATTTGATTTTGATCGTGACTACGTGATCCCAAGTCTTCAAGTCTTTACTCTTGATGAGAGCAAAGTCATTTCCGTCCCAGCTCGTCGTGTGGACCACATAGTACCACCCATCGTCATGCAAGATAATGCTAGGATCTCGCAGCAGACTGTTCTCGGGCTTATACGCCCCCATCACGTAAGGGGTGAAATGGATTCCATCCGCAGACGTGTAAACATCGAGCGTGCGTTCATCTTTGCCATTTTTACCACCAAACGTCGTGAATATGTAGTTGAAGCAAGCTGGCGGCGAATCGCAAACCGCCTGTTCCTGTGCGGCCTTCGGGACCAAGGGAATGGGTGAAAGCGGAGAGTTTGGGCTGTCTCGAAAAGCGACGGTGAGGAACGAGGACAGCGCAACGACTTCAAAGAGGGAGTCCATAGTCAGTAAACGGGATCCAATTGATAAGAAGTATGAAGAAGCGTGATCTTAAGGACTGGTGATTGGGAAATACGGTGGAACTAGGGAAACTTGAAGAGAAAACTCACGCAGGAGCGCAACAACTAAAACCAATTTCACAACGCGCTGTCTACTTCTCCACCGGCCGAACATCGTGAACACGCAATGCTCACGGCACACAGCCAACGCTGCAGTCGGTCGCAATCTAACCCAATCGTCCAATCGCCAGGACTTCATCGGACGCAGTGTTCGCCACGCTGTTTGCCGCCAAATGCACGATAGGTGCCCAGCTCAGCACAACAACTCATGCTACTGCAGACTCTTTACCTCCATCCGCGTGCCTGCATTGTGGCCAACCTCGTGATACGTCGTCTTGGCACAGGCGGTGGGGAATTGCTATATCGAGACGGTCTGGCCCGCCGGACTGCCGAACACGTATCAGGTGGAGACGGCACGGCGTTGTCGTGGCGCAACGTGCATGCAGTGCACGGTGGAAACACAGTTGGGAGGGAAATACAGTAGATGAAGTACGCTAACAATCGATGGAAAAGTGAGGCGTTGATGAAAGAAAGAAAGACAGAAATGCACAGAGGTCAGACAGGAACACGAGTCTTCGAGGCTAACTGGCAAGCGCGACGGGAGGACAGCATCACGTGATATGCCATCGTGTATTCTATATATAGTACAGCGAGGCCTCATTCAAAACAAACGTCTAGAGCAGACAGAGTATAAGGATAGGAGTGTTGGGATCGCACCTGCGGTTTCCAGACCGGGCCACGGAGCGATCTGGCCTGCTGGCTGTCGCGAGCGTGAGGCGAGTGCGCATGAAGGAATAAAGAGTCCGTACGTTATGCTTAATTGCGCACGGACCCTTTATGCCTTAATGCCTCAATCCGCACTCGCGCACTCTCTACGAAGTACAACGTGATCAGCCATATATCTAGCATCATCGATATCACTTCTCTGCGTCTTGGAACTATTCTGCAACGTAATCATGCCAGTATTTCTCTCCATTAAATGCTTTATCTCTACACATTCCTTTGGAGTGCTGTGGGACTGATTGATTTCTTCCAGACACTTGCGAGCTTATGCCAAGACCCCTGAATCGGTGTGTTAAGAGCTTCCAATTTGGGTTTGCGGCGCTTTCATCTCATGGCTCTTGTTGTGCATTAAGTTAGAAGTGTTGCAGTGATCGCAGAAGGCGTAGGATCTTTCACTAGCTAAAGCTAAGGTTGCGGCCTTCCTATTCGATGCAAGTTTAGCTCCTGGAATCTTGAAAAAAGCTCTTAAATGGAGCAAGATCTAAGCCTTGCAAGGGCTTTCAGCCTTACCGATGGCCTGCCAGAGACTCGAGCGTTGGGGGTGGCTTAAAATAGCTCGAGTGGCAGGCGAAGTTCAGGAGGCCTGTGCAACTTCAACCCTGGGAGGCTCACTTCCTCTTCATCCCTCAGCTGCCTGAGAATCTAATCCACATAATAGTCGACGCCCATTACCGGCTTTGGGACTGCAGTTTTCTAGATATCATCGATCTTGTAATTCTGGAATAATTATTGAGACTATTCGCCCAAAATAGCCGGTAGGCCCCGTCTATTCTCGTCTCAAGCAGCCCAGATGCAACGACTTCCCTCGCTCCCATGGTACGCACCGCCCGCACCAAGACAAGCGCGATACCTATCCGCCTCCGGTGAGCTGACCGCGGCAAATGGCGTGGGGAGCCACTCTTCTCGTCCAGCAGCAGGATCGAATATGGCTCATGCGCGCGTCGTAATATTCTAAGCCCTCCCGCTCGGCTGACAAGATTGACGAGCCACGGTAGGTCGTCTCCTCGCATCATGAAACCAGAGTCGAGCCAGCGGGGCCTGGCACCCATCATCCAGCAGCCAGGGCGGAATTTTTAGCCATGTCTGCCTCGGGGAGTGCGCTCGTGCATTGACCGTTAAACACCGCAGCATCCTCGTCATGTCGTATTGGTCGCCCGTAGTCCTTTTCTCTATCTAGAGTCTTCGAGCGCTGATCGTTATTGTGAGTGTATGAGAGGTGGAAAGTGTCTTCATATGAAGGGTAGGATGGCGGAGGTACTGTCTGTGAAGCAGCGTACACCTGAAATAGAACATCCGACATCGTCATCGTACGCATTACAATTCTCTGCAAGTCAGACTCAGCAACCTCAGAGGCCCAGACGGCCGGAGTTGAAGATCACGACGGACTTCGCTGTGGTACCGACTGTGCTGGAATGGCTTAATTCATTCGATCATACACCTACCATTCCAGGTTTTTCCGTTTCCACGAGAGAGCCTCGGGCAGCGCCTACGCAAGGATCTGGACGCGGTATAGCTAAGAGGCTCATTGATACTATCGGGCCGTGTTCGTTGAATCGTGTGCGTCTGGCATCTTCGAGGGGAAATCTGGGGAAGAAAAAAGTACCAGCCCGTGGCGCGGCGTCACATACGTCTTTGGAGCCATTGCATGCACGATTCGAGACTCCGGAAACGTTCCCACCGGAGACGACGCAATCGAATCCTGAGAGCGTACAAGGATATGTTGAAAGCAGACAAACCCTAGCGAAGGCTACAAGAGATGTGGCTTGGACCAAAAGAATCGAGGCGGAGACCAGAATACTCCACGAGAGGACCATACAGCTCAATGCGGAGACCAGACGCATCAATGCGGAAACCGACCGACTTATTCATTCCTTAACACATCTAAGCTACGAATATACAGCGGCAGGTGAGAGCAGCATAAGTCTCAAAGATGCTCCTCGACCTCAGAATAGCGAGCGTCCGAATGTGGTTTCGACCAATAGTTCGGAACCTCGAAGTGCGCTACCACTGATACAGTCATTAGCTGGAAAGCTTCGTGCCCTAACTGCAATGGAGTCCGAACATTCGTCCGACTACCACTCCGAAGACCGTGTAGCGCAGACATATGATTACTTTTTTGGTCAAAACTCTAGCACTATCACGCTGCGAAGAATACCTAGCACAGCACCAGCTGGTGGACTTCCGCCATCTGAGCGTCTGTCCGCGAATCTTATATGTGTACCATCACTACCAGCGCTCTACTCAGGGAAAGAGTCATCGGTACCAGCAAGATCGCCAATATTACCGATCACAAACCATTCTGAGTTAGCACGTTCAACAAGACTGCTGAACACAAAACCATATGGACCGCATCAGGGCGACGCACTACCGACGCGGAGAGAAGGTGTATCGACAGTAGCGCCATCTATTCCGCTGAGACCAGTAACGCGACGCCGCTTCGAAGGCATCCTTCCTAAGCCTGAGTGTCAGACATGTGTAGTATGCAGCGATCCAAGACCTTTAGGGGACTTTCCCGTACGTGCATCACGCTGCAATCATCCTTCGCAAACCTGTCGCGACTGTTTCGAGACATGGATAGCATCGAGCATGGAAAGCAATGGCCATGATCGCATCACTTGCGCCCAATGTCCCGAAAAGCTGGAATACAATGAGATCCAGAATCTTGCTTCCGCGGAGACATTTGCCAGGTTAGAATCTAGTCCTATTGCTATCACTAAGACAGCCATACTAATCGGAGGCGCAGATTTGACGCCCTAACCACCCGCGCTGCCCTCTCCGCAATCCCAAAATTCCTCTGGTGCCCCTCCCCCAATTGTGCATCTGGCCAAGTCCACCACGGGCGTCCAGAGCACTTCCCCCTCTTCACCTGTGTCGCGTGCAAGCACAGCTTCTGCACTAACCACCCCGAGTCCCCGGACCCCATCCCTTCACACCCCAACGAGTCGTGCGAAGCGTACAACATCCGCATCGCCATGTCCCGACGCACTCGCGAGCGGCTCGCACAAGACCGGGAGAGCGAGCGGATGCTCCAAAAGCTTGCGAAGCGCTGTCCCGGGCCAGACTGCGGGTGGTGGATCGAGAAGAAAGCTGGCTGTGATCATATGACTTGCTCGCGGTGTAGGTGGGAGTTCTGCTGGCTGTGCAAGGCGGACTATGTGCGGATTCGGAAGAGGGGGAATACAGAGCACAAGAAGGATTGCAGGTATTATGGTAGATAGGGATGAACGTGCTGTTTAGAGCGGTTCAGAAGAGCAATGTTGTGGATTACTCTTGGCTAATCAAATGCTAGCTAGCTGGGCTACTCCTGACGGTAGTAAAGGGCGAGCAAAACTCACACGTAAGCACTGCTATATCGACGTACCTGAACAGAAAGCCTAGTATCGTGCAAAGTTAGCGTAGATCTCCGTACGCTTCCTGGGGCTAATACGTCACACTTCTTACCCGAGTGCACCCCTCTGACGCCGTCAGAGGTGCCCTCGCAAGGTTAGAAGTTGTCCAAAATGAAGATAGTTCGGCAGTTAGGAATACCGTGAGGCACCCTAAGCAGTCGCAAGAAAGTGTACGAAGAGGTGCTATATTTCGGCACATTGTCGCGAAGTTCTTTAACTTAAGGCCACGTATGGTATTCAAGTTAACATTTATATAATTACCGCTTATGTCATTATTTCAACTTTTTATAGCTACGCCGAGGCACTGCAGTCATGCAAAACATTACGAAGTTCTTGAAGTTACGGCCACGCCTGGTACTCATATTGTTACATTTATACAATTATATACAATTACAATCTATTTCCCCATTTCGACCCTCTGCCCCTTACAACCACCCCATCTCGCTCCCACGTCAAGGGTGGGGGCCAATCACCCTCTGTGCCCTCCACGCCTCCTCTCTCGCCTCATTTGCCGCCAAATCCGCCAATTCGTTGCCAAAAAGGCCCTTATGACTCGGGACCCAGCATAGTTCGATCTTGTACCCAAACTGTTCAATCGCGTACGTGGAGGCTGCAATGTTCTTGATCATGGGCCATATTGGGACGATGGGTCCAAGTGGCCACGTCTTGATAAGGTCGAGCGCCGTCGTGCAATCCGAGTAAATAACCACCACTTTCCCTGCCACGCTTTCGGTCGAGCTGTTCGCATTGTCGGAAATTCGCCTCTTTGCGGTCTCTAATGCGTCGATAATGGCCCAGACTTCGGCGTGCGTCGACGTGGTTCCCCGCTCACAGGTCATAGTCTTTGTGACCCATGGCGTTCCGGTTGAGGCCATGTTGTGCTTGTACGCGACGGCAGCACCAGCCGCGCCTGCTCTATTCACCGAAGCGTCCGCCCAAAACACGTATCGTACTGCCGCTTGGGTGCCATAGTGGCCGGTGTACTCTCGGGAGGCGATGCGACAAGCCTTCGCGTGGTTGTCTTTGATGACCTTACCTGCGAACCCGTGGTCGAGATATTGCGCGAGAGCGTCGGTCACGGTGTCCGTCTCGTCGTCGCTCAAGCTCCGAAGCGTCTGGTGCCAGTCGATCCACTTCTGCGAATGCGCCATCGTCTTCATTAAGTCCTTTGACTGCTCAAACTGCTGTTGTTGCATTTCCCGGAACTTCTCAACCGCTCCTACCCAGGTGGCTATGTCTGCTTGCGTGTGCGCCACGTGGTTCTTGAGTACGCGCAGGTCTGTCAATATGCGTTCTTCAGCTTTTGCCTCGTCCCGTCGCTGTTTGACACGGTCTCTCTCCGTCGTGAGTATGTCCACCACCCGGTCCCGCGCGACTTCCTCGGCTTTCGTACGCGGAGCAACATTGCGGACCGCTTCCAGCTCGGTTTTTCTCAGCTCGGCGTGCAAGTCGTGGTTCCTCTGCCCGATAAGTTCTTCCATTTTCGCCAGCCATGCACGCGCCCGCCCCTCTTTCCGTTCAAGTGTTGCTTCGACCGCTTCTGTTGATTCAAATGGCACCGTTTCTTGCTCCTCCCGCTCTCCGAGCTCCTCTTCCCACCCTTCAGGTCCTTCTTTTGTCAACGGACGTGCCACATCTTCCTGCTCTTCCAACTCTTCTAACCGTTCCGCCCGCCTCTTGACCTCTCCAACGATAATTTCCAACAATACTTCTCTTGACGCCACTTCTCGTACTTTTAGGAACATATTCAAAGTGTGAGTATCAGGGTCAGTTGCGTCCGTGCTCGCCTGCGCCGCGGCGCCCTTCCGCTCTCTCTCATCTTCTGCGACAACTTCAAGAAGATAGAGAAGTTCGTCCCACGCAGCGTCAGTCTGTGGCACGTTCTCTGCCGCATCATCGAGAACATCCGCGAGCGAGAGAGCGACAGCGGCCATGGCCAGGGCGGGGTGACGTGAAGCCTGGAAAGCATGATTAGTACGTGTGGTGCAGGCTACGTGGTCTCGTTGGACGCGTTCCAGTAATGTCAGTCTTTGTGGGTTAGTGAGGATCAAGCGCAGTAGCTGATGCGCGAAGTTGTGGTTGTTTTGCTGACGAGGTTGGAGGCAGAGTGTTTTGAGGCAAGCGAGAGGTGTTGTGGGGCAGGCGCGACGAACGCATGGTCATAGCTTTACCGCCAAAAGAGGCTTAGCGTGATCTGTCAGGCTCCGCTCAGCGTGAAGTGGTAGTCCGTGATGATATCGTCTGAGGTGGCCCGGCATATCATAAAATTTCGTGAAGTGATGGTTTTGGCTAGCCTGATAGCTCGCTGGAGGACCTCGAGCGGTGCTAGGCCAGTGTACACAAGCAAGTGTAGACCTGAGAATGATGGAACTTTTTCGAGATAATGGCACTTCGCACGCATTCACGGACTGGGGAACGTAAAGTGGTAGTCTACTCTGATATCGTCTGAGGTGGCTTAGAGAGCTTTTAGACTGACCAAAACTACTGCTTCACGAGCTTTGATGATATGCCGGAGGACCTCAAACAGTATCAGACTAGTGTACACTCGCAAGTGTGTCTGAGAATGGGAAGTTTTGGAACTATAATGGCTTTGTGGCTCCGAGGAACATGAAGTGGTAGTCTATTCTAATGCCGCTTGAGGTGGCCCAGCGAACTATAAAAATACTACTCCACGATAATTTATAATATACCAAAGTGCCTCAAACAGTGCTAGGCTAGTGTATACAAAAGTGTACACCTGTAAATAAACGGAAATGTTTGAAATGGGACTTCACATTCGTGGGACTGCTAGGCTCCGTGGCTCATTTGAACGAAAAGCGGCAGACCATTCTAATACCGTCTGAGGTGGCCTAGGGAGCTATCCGGCTTTTCAAAACTGCAGTTTTCTATTCTTTGACAACGTATCAGAGGACCTCAAGCGGTGCTCGGCAAGTGCACACCAAATAAGCGAGGGTTTAAAATAGAAGCAGAGATTTGTGAAGTGCCACTTTTTGTTCAGGTCAGCTTGGGTGTTATGCTCCGATCCACACACCACGCGATAAAGAATGCATCTTGATATGACATGGACACTATGGCCTGATCCGTAAAGCCACCCAGCAACTCTGCATCTCACACTTGATGACACTGCATCACTCAGCTCCACTCTGCAACGTCACAATGTCGCCTCTCGGGAGAACTGATTAAAGCCAGTTAGCCAACGGTGATCTGAGGGGTCCATGCAGCGGCAGGTGTGTCTCCGCTCCACCCTCTCGTCCTCTTCGGCCCTGACTGGCATTTGGCACGCGATCTAATGCACGCTGGCGCCGCTCTCGCGACTCCGAGGCGGGTCCAGCTGCGATGCCATACTGCCGGACACTGGCTGCCTCATTCTGAACCGTCAGACCATTTGTCGAACCTCTTTGCGTCCTCAAAGTCTGTATACGAGGGTGGAAATCGGCCAGCTCAGCGCTCATGCGTCGCCGGCCCAGCACCGCCTCGCCTCGCATCGCAATTCGCCACGGCCCTGAGCAGGTTCGCCCCCATGTTCGATGGTTGATGCACGCCATGGCCGGCCCCCTCGCTGCGGCAGTAGAGGGACACATCCCATTCGCCCCCGCTGTGCCGCAGAGCGGAAGGGTGCATATGCCGTGGGGTCCGCTGCCACCGCGATGGCCCAAATCTGCGCCGCCACGATGCCGGACGGGCTGCATGTCTTCAACCTCATCACTCGCCGCCTCTGACTCGCTGCAGCCCGCCGTGCCCCGCTGGAAACGTCCAGCCAGATAGCCGCAAGCGCAGATCCCCCAGACGCGCACCAACAGCCGCCAGACCTGCTAGGACGCCCACATCCCCCCTTCCCCCCCCAACGCCCACCGCTGCCGCTGCTCCCAGCTGTCCATCAATTGGCACAAGCCGCGCCGGCTCCCAGTCGCAGCAGTCATCGTGGCCTCGGGATGGTGTGCGTCTCGGCCAATCGCTGACGCTTCCGTCGCTGGAGACGTAGATGCTTTGCGGTGATCGTCAGCCGCTGGGGGTCGACCACCACTAACCTGCGAGCCAAGTCTGGGCCCTCCCCGAGCAGAGTGCTCTCATGGACCTATATTCAGACTCCAGCCCGCCTCGCAGTTCCTCCTCACTCTCCAATATTTCCTGCTCTCGCGCGTGCCAATCGGAGTAAACTGCGCGCCCCAACGGCCACCATGTGCGACATAGGCCTGGAATTGTCTTTATCATCTTGCGGTACTAACCTTCTATAGTGCGTGGTCACAGCAGCGCTCACCTACCTTTATATACACTTATCTCCTTCACCATGTGTTGAGACTCGGGCCATCCCAGTCTCTCCTTGTCTGCCCAGACTCGAGCTGCACCTAAGCCCGCAGCTAACCCCATGGCTGGCGTGTTTGGCCCACAGCGACCCAATTGGTTGTTCGAATCCACTCAGCAGTTTCTCAGCCGTCAGCGCCCGCCAACCTCACTCTCACCTTCATGCCCCCCACCCGTCAATATGTACTTCAACGGCGTCTACTATCCAAATTGGCGCATTTATAAGAACCAACCGCCGTCTTCTCTCAATCTCGATGTCATCTCCCACGTTTTCTATGCCTTTGCATGGTTAGTTGCGGCTCCTAGCTCATGTCAGGACCGTTACGCTAACAGCATCACTAGGGTGAAGACCGACGGCACTATTTATGTATGTTTCATTGTGGTCTTCCGGGATTATCCTGCTAATAATTTACAGCTTAGTGACGAATGGGCAGACTCCCAGATCGATGTGGATGGTGTCAAGGGCTGTCTCAATGCTTTCGCTGCGCTGAAAAAGAAGTACACTGTCTTGAGGGTCATCTTGTCAGTCGGCGGGGGCGGCAAAGGTAGCGAAACATTTGCAGAGGCGGCTCGCACTCCAGCCTCGCGAGAACGATTCGCACAGACGGCGCGAGACCTGTGCATCCAGTACAACCTTGATGGCATCGACAGTGAGTAATGCTACCGCCAGCAACCTCTCTTTGCTCACTCGTCCAGTCGACTGGGAACATCCAGCGGACCCCCAACAAGGCAACGACTATGTCCAGCTTCTCGCGACCTTGCGTGCTTTCCTGCCCGCCCCGCGCTTTACGCTCTCTTCAGCCCTTCCGGCTGGCGAGTGGGCACTTAGGAACATCAATCTCGCAAATGCAGCGCAATATCTAGACCTGATCAATCTGATGTCTTACGACTTCTCGGGCCCTTGGGTAAAAGCATGCGGACACCATGCCCAGCTTTACACTCCTCAGGTGCCGCATAACGATGACGCATCGATATCCTGCCATTCAGCTGTAGCTTATATCCTCAAGCAAGGCGTTTCGCCCAACAAGCTTCTCCTGGGGGTTCCTGCTTATGGACGCTCGTTTCTAAACACCCATGGTGTTGGACATCCCTTCTCAGGCACAGCAGGAGAAGAAGGCACTTTCGAATACAAAGACCTCCCTCGCCCCGGGACACAAGAGCTGGTCGATGAACAAGTAGGCGCTGCATATTGCGTCGGGGGAGACGGAGGGTTCATCACGTATGACAACCCTCAGACGGTGAAGATGAAGGCGAATTATGCCAAGCAAAATGGGCTGGCTGGACTGTTTTATTGGACTGGCACTGGAGATTCGAGCGACACAGCGCGGAGTCTGGCATACAATGGGTATATTGGCTTGCATCAATGAGCGTTTCGGCTGATGAGCACATCGGTCAATGAGCGTATCAGTTTCCTTGATGCAGCACAGTCAGCTTTTGACTAAAGTAGTGCATGCAGGACGGAAAAGGTTCATTTGGGTTATTGGAGGCGGCTCGTGGGGGATGGAAAATACAATTTCTCAGAACGCGATCTTGAAAGAGTATAATGTAAATCAGTATCCTTCAAGGCGGCCCTTCAAGTGACGTGTGGAATACCGGGAGAATACCCCTGAGGCCTCATGACACTGCAGCTGAAATCTCGTGGAGCAGTTTATTTGATTTCTCATTGTGTCAACAGAACCACACGCAGTTCGCATTCTTTGAAACATCCAGAATTAGTTATACTGATTCCTAGGGAACTGTCAAATGTCGTCGTGACATGGCGTTCTGCGCTCGGACCAGGCTCGCCAACGACCGTCGATCTGACATCTGGCATTGAAAGGCGACGACGACTGAAACAGACCCGGATGCCAATTATATCTCTCCTAGCTCAACTTTGCAGCGTCGTACCTCTCACTTTATTTCTGATTCCTTCTCACATCAACCAGGTTCCCGCGAACCGCGTGCGTCTCAATGCAGGCGTAAACTGACTTAATGCCTTCAGCTGCTCTGGACTCCGGTATACCCCAGGTGCCCTCTTCCAAACAAACAGCCCCCTTCTGTAACTGACCGGCCAAACCCAGTGGACTACGACCCGATCGACCACCTCAACGCCCTCTTCTCGCACCCCTCGACCCTCCCCGCCGTGCGCGCCACCTCGGCAACGCTCCGCAACTACCAAGATGACCTAGACGAGGACATCGCGGCCTTCGTGGCCTCGCAGACGGCCTCGGACGCCTCGAGCGTGCAGCGCATCCAAGCCGCGAAGGCCGAGCTCGCGGACCTCTTCCGCAAGATCGAGAATGTGCGCGCCAGGGCTATCCAAACCGAGCAGGCCATCACGGAGATGACGGCGGACATCAAGCGGCTGGACCACACGAAGCGCAACCTCACGCTGTCGATGACGGCGCTGAAGCGCCTGCAGATGCTCACGACGGCGTACGAGCAGCTGCGCGGCCTGAGCAAGACCCGGCAGTACCGCGAGTGCGCGCAGCTGCTGCAGGCCGTCATCCAGCTCGTCGCGCATTTTAAGAGCTATAGGAGCATTGATCAGATTGCGGCGCTGAGTCGGAATGTGGCGGAGCTGCAGCGGGAGTTGCTGGAGCAGATTTGCGAGGATTTTGAGGTTATATTCGCGAAGGGGGAGGTGGGCGCCCGCAAGGCGATGCTAGGCGAGGCGTGTTTGGTTATGGATGCGCTGGGGGAGCATGCGAGGGTGAGGTTGGTGAACTGGTATTGCAATACGCAGCTGAGGGAGTATCGGCAGGTGTTTCGCGGGAATGATGAAGTATGGGCTTTCAATTTCAATTCTTTCAGCCCCGATTCCTTTCTTCGTCTTGATCACATAGAGCTCCCAACGATGGCAATTTGACGACTAATTGGTTTTTAGGCTGGCTCGCTGGACAATATTTCCAGGAGGTATTCGTGGTTCAACCGGATGCTGAAGACGTACGATGTCGAGCATGCGTCGATATTTCCGCCGTATTGGAAGGTTAATGAGATGCTTGCGAATGCTTTCTGTGAGGGCACGAGAGACGATTTTAAGGCTATACTCCAGCGGTCAACGCGACGGACCGATGGCCAGACGTTGGATGTGAATTTACTGCTCTCGTGTTTGCAAGAGACTCTAGATTTCGAACACAATCTGGAGAGGAAATTCTCGAACGAGGTAGGGAAGGCTTGATTTTAGCTGATGTTCAAATGCTAAATCAGACAGTCTCGATCTTCGATAGACACCATGGCTTCGAAAGACGATCGGCCACACGCGTTTGGTCAAGCCATATCTGAGGCTTTTGAGCCTTATATGAGCCTCTGGGTTGAGTCTCAAGACAAGTAGGGTCTTTGTATTTGCACATTACGTACCCACAACTGACCATCATAGACAACTTGGAACACTAATACCCAAGTATCGACAACAACCTCTCCGTAACGCTGAAGAGGAATTCTCGTCTCAGGCAGTCATTGCTTCATCTACGGAACTCTTCCACTTCTATCGCCTCACGCTTGCTCAATGCGCGAAGCTCTCTACCGGAACTAGACTGCTCGAGCTATCTACAACGTTTGCGAAGTACCTAGATCAGTATGGTCAGCAGGTGCTGTATCACTTCCTCAGCGAGCGGCCAGGTCCGCAGGAGCCCTCTCTAGAAGACATTGTTCTCATATTGAACACGGCCGACTATTGCTATCTCACGTCCAACCAGCTTGAGGAGAAGATCAAAGCCCGTATCGACGAAGATCTAAGATCTAAAGTCGACCTCCAAAGCCAGGCCGATGCCTTCATGGGTATAGCAAGCGCAGCCGTTCGAACTCTCGTCCGTAAAGTCGAGATCGACTGCGAGTCGAGCTGGAGAGAAATGCGCAACACGCCATGGAGCAAGCTCGAGAGCGTAGGCGATCAGAGCACGTATGTCGCGGAGCTGTTGCGACACGTGAAGGCCAAGTCCGGGGAAATCCTCGCTTTACTGCACAAGCAGCAATACGCGCGTGCGTTTTGCGACAACCTGGTCGACCTAATGGCGAACACCTACATCGCCAACATCGTGCAGAGCAGGCCGATCTCCGAGGTCGGCGCAGAGCAAATGCTGCTAGACTCGTACGTCCTGAAGAAAGGCTTCACCGAAATCCCCGTCATCAACGAAGAGCCCGGCACACCGCCCCCAGCCAGGTACGTCCCTCCCCCTCCCCCTCCCCCCTCCCCTCATCCAGATAGCACACACTAACACCGCCTCCCCCACAGCTTCGTCAAACGCGTCACGCACTCCATGTCCAAAACCGACCCGCTCCTCAAAACCCTCCAAGTGCGGCCCTCGCCGCCCGAAGCCCTCGTGCAAGCCTACCTCATCCACATCGCCGACCGCTCCGACGCAAACTTCCGCAAAATCCTCGACCTGAAAGGCATCCGCAAGGCCGACCAGCCGCACCTCGTCGACCTCTTCGCCGCGTTCCGCGCCGCGCCCGCCAACAACGCGAACCTCGTGCCGCAGTCCGCGCTGCTCACCCCGCTGCTGATCCCCTCCGGGCATATCGGCACGGGCATGGGCAGTCTGGGGAATGCGTCGAGTGTCATGGGCACGCCGGGCTTGGCGGGGGGCAGGTTTGATCCGGCGACGTTTGGGAGCGCGTTGATGAGTGCGGCGAGGGATGGAGTGGATCGGTTTGGGAGTCCGGCGTTGGGGAGTAGTAGTGCGACGATGGGCGGCACGGCGGGTGGGGCGCAGCAAGGCGGGCAGCAGGAGACGGAGAAGGGGGCGGCGGGGAATTTGGAGGGGAACTTGAAGAATATCGGGAAGTTTTTTCGGAGGGATATGAGTAGTTTTGGGCGGTTTGGGAGGGGGGAGTGAGGAGGGGGAAGGTGAGTTGAGTTGAGGATGAGAGGAAGGGAAATGATTGGGAAGCGTGAGGCGTGGCGTGTGACACTAACTTAGGGGGCGGCTTTGTTAGAAATGTATCATAAGTTTTGGGTACACAGATATTTCACAGCACGCGTTCCGATTGTGCTCGCTCAACACCACCACCGTCAGGAGTAACCCGCCGAGGTTGCAGGTAGTTAGTCTAATTCCCGCTACATCAACCGTGCCGAACTGGATCCCGAACAATCCCGTCAAATAAGTCATTATAGCTACATAGGTGAGCGAGGCGCTTAAAGCATGCCTGCAACTTGTAAGAAAGGGAGCAGCCGGCCCGCCAACCGCTAGCGCCGATTCCAGCGGTGAGAGAGGAGGATTAACCTAGCGCCCGGCGGATGGAGATGTGCTGCATGAAAGGCCGTTCTCGTTCTCTTAGCCGGGGGTTCCGCATGCTTGCATGGATGCTGTGACGCCGTGAAAGGATGGGCGATCATCAGCCCTATCCGTCCTGTACATTTGCCCTGTTGGGGTCCCCGCCCGTGAGGCACAGCCATGCATGCCTGCCCAGAACGCCTCGCTTAACGCAGTTGCAAGAGGAAGATAACGCGGGCCCCCAGCTATACGACATCGGCAAGAGGATGCTGAGGACTCTGGTATTATCCATTGGATGAAATGGCTGGTGGTCGTGTTTCAGTGCCGGCGGTTCCTCCCACCACCACCGCCCCGACGCTTCTTGCGATTGTCCTGCCAGCCGCCCCGGAACCGTCCCTGCTGTCCACCGCCCTGATTCGGGTTCCTATCCTCCCGCTCCCGCTCCCTCTCCTCCTCCTTCTCGCGCTCGATCTCCCGTGCGAGTCGCTCAGCCTCCAATTCCTCCCGGGACTTCTCCACTCGCACTTCTGGTTTCTTGAGGTCCAGCGGATATCGCGGGTGTCCGCCGTTCTTGCACGCCTTGCCCTCTGGGCAGAAGCCCGCGAGGTAGAACGGGCACAGCTTGTCCTTCTTCACATGCTTGTTCGCGCAGTGCGGGCCGAGCGGGCAGAAGCCGCGGTCGTAGTGGGGGCAGGGCGGGCGCTTCGAGTCGGGGTCGATGTGCAGATAGAGGCAGTCGTCGCCGTTGGAGCAGGTCAGGGTCCGGGCGTAGTACGAGCACTCGGGCATCCGACGCAGGTTGTACTCGTGCAGGAACTCGCATGCGTCGCCCTTCTTGCACAGCCCGCGCAGCCAATGCTTGCATACGAGACTGGAAGATCGGATGGGGTTAGCGATGGGTTGGCGGCAGGGATATGTGAGGGAACGGCACGGGAGGGGGTGAGGACGCACTTGTTGTAGGATGACGAGACGTGGTGCTTGTCGGGACAGTTGTTGCCTAGCGGACAGTGGCCTTGCATGTAGGCCTTGCAGGATGGCCGGTTCGGGTCGAGGCCGAAGCGGTACTCGCGCCGCAGGAAGTCGGAGAAGCTGAAGTTGTAGGCGGGCTGCGCCGCGGGCTGGACGAGGTCCCCGGGCGCCCTCTGCACCTCGGCCGTCATGATGGAGCGCCGCGCTGCTGTGTGTGACTAGAATCAGGAGCTCTCTGGATGCTCAGCGGCTGGCTGGGGGCGATGGCAGGCCTTGGGATGAGGTGCAGCGGCGGGCGTGTTCTGCAGGCGAGTGTGGGGAAGCAGCAGGATGGTGTCGTGCGTCGGGCACGGGCTGGCTGAGGTCTACGCGGTCGGCTGCGTGAAGTCCGAGACAGGTGTGGATGGAGCGGGCAGTGGTTGGAGGGATGGGTAGTGCAGGTGGACGAGGTGTTGGTGAATGTTCGAAGGCGCATCGGAGGTGATCCAAAATGCAGCTTCCAAATCGGAGCTTGTGCACGGACTGTTCCTGCTAGCGTCCCGACTGACAACGTCTTGCCATCAATTTGTGCACACTCGTCTGCCATTGCTTGGGGTAACCCCCATATGTTACCATATTACCAAACCTGCTGTAGAATTCAATACCGTGCAGACTGGGCTACCTCTTAACCGACCAGCCGCTAGCTAGCTAGGCCACTCCAGGCGGGGGCATCAAGTGAGCAAGAGTCGGACTGAAGCACTGCTGTACTTGTGTGCCCAAGGTCATGGCCCCAGACTTAAGTCTCTTCACACAAAAGGCTCCGTATATCCGCTCGGCACTGACTGCCTGAGGTGCTTATGCTTTCTATCGTGATAAAGTCAACACCAACCAAGAAGCGCAAATAGTCTCGGAATAGGGACCTTATATCCTCAGCTTTGTCTATACTCCATGCTGTCTTTGGAAAATTCCTACTTGGCTGGCAATACCACAATTCACTGTCGACGTGCACGATAGCATCACCTCGGACAGCCTCGGATATGCCACAGAGATAATGCATTCGGACCAGAAACTTGCAAAGCTGTAAAGGAACACGTAAACATTATATCTCGAGCACAGTATCTGCATATCTGTGCTGCTTGAGCGACAGTAGAGATCTATAGCTGCATCACAAGAGGTTAGGAGCGGACTAGCGGTATTCTAATCATGCTGATGTCAGAACAACATACTACAATAACTACACGCTTTACTAGCTTGGATCGGGGGCCGGTACACTAGGCTGATTTTAGCATGACTCTGCCTATGCTGTAATTGACCTTACTAAACTATTTATTTGCGCACTTGTTCTCGCGATGCCTGCGAGTATAAACAGGTAAATAAGCGCATGGCGATAGCTGCATAGTGTCAAGCAGCGTAGTATGTATATATATACACAGTCCTTTTATTCAACAGAGGATCTCGAGCTTCTAATGCCAAGCATCTCTAGCCCACGTGATAACCATGCGTGCATCTTGGCTTTAGTATAATGATCGCAACACGCGCGGGTGGTTGAATGGTCCTTCCCAAGGACGGTGTGGTACGCTACGCATGCTCTTTCGTACAGAGTAAGGTACTCGTTGTAGCAATGCCGACTTGCGAGGAGGTGAGCGAGGCAGTATACACTTGTTAGCGTGTCTAGATGCTCAGGCCCTAGCACCGTCTCCCGCAGCGCCGGTCTGGCGTGGTAGTATAATCCTTCCCAAAAGATTATGATGCACTGTCCAGAAGACTCCCATTAATCTTCCCATTAATTTAGCTGTCCCTTTGAGTGCGCCTCGGTTCCCACTCAGGAACTCTCCCCGATGCGGAGTGGAAAGTGAACATGGCCATTAAACTCATCCCATTTTCGATGGAGCATTGCTCGCCAATCCGGGTCTTTCAACACCTTGCACTCGGCCTTATGCCCTTTTTCAATCCAATCGGCTTTTTGGCAAACCTGTTTACACCTTGTCAGTATTCAAGCCAATGGGGCGTTGGGCTAAATGAAAGAATACCTTACCCTGTTGCAATACCAGAAAGAGGAGCACTTGCCGCACTGCTTTAGAGAAGTCCCCTTCTTACCGCATCCATGGCATATCCTGACACCGTCAAGCTCCGTGGAGAACTTCTGGACATTTTCACTCAAGTTCTGCAACCTATCCAATGATAAAGGAAAGATCTGCAGGCTTTTAGTTAGCAGACTATAGTCAAGTCATGTCACAGTCTGGATACCTTACCTTCATCATCTGGGGATTCTCGTGGCGGATACCGGGTTCGCAGGACATGAAGGCATGGCGTACAGCGTACAGAATCGCAACCGTATATCCCTTCTGAATCTGTGACTAGGCCAATTCACCGCCTCTGCAATTGGTATGAAAGAACAGTGGAAGAGTTGCGCCATCGACATCCTTGACCGTCATGTGCAGGCGAACGAAGAAGTCAAAATCCCGAATCTCCGCCAGAAAGCACCAGTGACGCACCGGTCGGCGATTGGCCATATCTCTACACTCAAAGTATTTTGATTCAAAGTCGCGCTCGTCCGGGAGATCATCGAAGCTAGGGAAGGTCTCAGGGTCGCGAAGACCTGCCAGTTGTCCTTGGGCAGTTTCCTTCCTCCTCTTCCAAAGCCAGTCTTCGAACTCCTTTGGTCCTAGTCCCTGCGGAACTTCATCCAGTGTCGTCTTCCACTTCATTGACATGCCGTAGTAATCATGTGTCGCGGGGTCTCGAACTAGCTTGCTGTACTGAATCACCTCAGGGCTGTCGTCACCGATGGTGGTCAGATACAGAGGCACCAATCTCTCTGCGAAGATGCGCCCCCTCGCCAAGTCTCCATTTGCGATAGCAATTTGAAAGGCGTCGGGATATGCCCGAGCCAGGCTGACTTCGTTCGGAGTTAGTTCGTTCCAGAGCCGGACCTGTTCATCGATGTAGCTAAGCATCCGCCGGGCAGATGAAACGAGCCCTGGTACGCCACCTTGATCGATGATGCAATCTAATTCATGAATACGATCCAACTTTGAATCGCTGTCCCTGCTCTGGTCGGGCGGTAAAGAGCAGAGTCGACACGAACACGTAAACTTGAAATTCTCCCAAAGCTCTTCCTGTCGTGCCCGACGGTTTCTGCGACTGCCCAGGTAAGATATAGTGATTTCCTCCCCTTTGCGGATATCTCTTACAGCATGGATCGTGAGCTGGTTAAGATTCTCGTTCCAAAAGTTTTGTGCATTATTGTCACAGGCGTGATTGATCCGGCATGCTTTGAAAAAAATACCCTCTTCATCTAAAACCGGTCCGATACGTAGGGCATTCGTTCGAAAGATGCCGCGCCACCTCTCTGTAGAGTTGGTGTAAGGATAGATATTGTCCATAGAAAAGAACTCTCGTTGCTGGCCTTCGCTTAGAGAGCTAACTTGCTGACAAATGCGAATCTGTAGTTGCTCCATATCTGCGACATGTCGACCCGAAGCGATAATGGGTTTCTCGGAGATGATCCGCGTGCCCTTGGGAATGTCCTTAGTCGCGATGAGGCCTTTACCCTTCCCGGGCACATCTTCAACAGCGTACATGGGTAGGCTCGCTGTAACTCCCATTGTGCTAGCTTTTTCCTCTTCCCAAAGTTACTTTTCAATCACCGCGCCTTGGTTCTTTATTTCAGGTTCCATAAGAGAGTTTGGAGGACATGTGCGGTGTCTCCGTTGAGATAAGCAGCGGGGTAGTGCGCCAGCCGTGACATCTGCAGCCATCGATCGCCTGATGGCTGCATGGAACAACCTGTTGTAACGGGCTGGGCATATGCTCGAGGCTGCGCCATCGTGCACGGATATACGGCTCGTGCGCGGGAAACTGTGTAACTTTGCACCAACGGCATAGCCCTAGCGCTCAGCCTGGTCAGCCATGTGCACGAAGGACCTCAGCGCTATGTGGCTTCGACTGCGCCCCTCCATTCGCACGAGCTGTCACGCGGAGGCAAAGAATGTAATCAGAAGTCCAAAATTGTATCAGAACGAAAGGGCCTTCTAAACGTGTGTAGAGCCACGCTACTCAGCATTGCACGTACTACGATCTCGTAGTTTTCTTTCTATACCTACTAAGTTAGCACGTGTTACAGGAACAAGCGCGCGCAATGGGGAACACTGTCAGGCGTGCGATGTGTTGTACAGCAGCTCGTCGATGCGCAGCCCCAGTTCCAGCCTTGCCTATCTCACTCCTCTCTCTTGCCGCCTCGGGGGAACCGTCATATTCAGCCAACTTGTCGAGGAGGCCAGGCGTCTTTTAGAGGAGGCCAAGTAGGAGAGCGCTTCCGGGACCCAAGAAGGCCGTTTAGCAAGTGAATAGACAAAAGTATAGGCCTCCGAGCCTTGTACCAACATGAGAATAGTCTCCGTTAAGGTCGACCAGCTCGAGAGGGACTTTGTCCTTGAACACCGCCAAAACGACGGAGCTTGTCTAAGCATTGTGCTCTGCGTACATCCGTTTCTAGACTTCGGGGGAGGTTCGAGAAGCATACGGTCGAGCAAATACCAACCACGATGACATTTATATTGGGAAAGGCAGGATGGACTACAGCCCACGGATGTGGACTTGAAGAATAAGAAGCCCAAGGAGGCATTCTCAGCGACTCAGGCGGCTTTGTTCATCTAGATATACGATGACAAAACGGGGGAGATTTGAGAGGTGGCTTCTCGTACTAATGAAGATCGCGATGGTTTGCACAGCCCGTGTCTATGTAAAAGTGCTTTGGAATAACAGACTTATGTATTGAGAAAGATATCGTTACTTGGCGTAGATAGAGAAGTCGCGGATATGTCCTTGTGAGAATATTCGCACACAAAAAGACTGGAGGCGAAGATCCGCGAAGGATACGAGAACCTTACCATCGTGAGAATCGTACGGGACCAGGACACGGTCTGAAGTAGCCTAGCAACCTTATACACCGGACGACGAGCATCCGTGCGAGTATAAGTCAGTCTAGATTTTCCGGCAGGTTTAGACGCCGAGGCGGCAGTGTTTCGGGAATCCTTTCCGAAGATACCTGTAGACCTCCGCATAGACTTTAAATGGGCGTTCCATCGCATATTAGAGAAGGTCGTCGTCGATTCCATCATACCATGGGAAAAGCTGCCGTGTCCAACCTTGCTTCCGCATTTACTCCTATTTTGATAACTCTTCATATTACTCTCTAACATAACTGGATTCAAGCCTATATATATAACCCTGGGAGCGATGATGTCCTTTATAACGCTCACCCGGTAGCACGCTTCTTGGGAGGATGATTTTGGAAGGGAAGAATCTAGGTCTTGCAAGGAATAAAAGACGGAACGGGACTTCGAGTCTCAGGGTGGTATTGAGGAACTAGTGACTGGGAAGTCTAGAGGCGGGCGGCCTTGTTTTTACGCTTGTAAGGAGTTCAATCGAGACACCTGAACTGGCATACGACAGCTTTCTCGTAGAAATGGCGCGTATTCCTGCATAGCTACACGTGCCGTACTTCTCCCACCCGTATTGACGTACAAATAAGGTAACCAAAAAGCAGATCAGAAGAAAATAAGTAAACAAAGAACTGCCAAACTCACGCCTCGCTTAGTAGTACCACGAACTTCGCCCTCTCCTATTGACACCCCAATCGGGCATTCTTTATCTTTATCCGCCACAAAGACCACGAGCCTCAACCACCACGAAGACAAGCTCAAATACCAAGGATATGGGCTCATATACTCCAAGACAACCACAGCGCCATCCAGGAAGACATCAACCCACCGCAAACAGTCCGCCTGCATCGTCCATAATGGCCCCATACCAGCACCTCGACGACCCCTATGACTACGAATCATCCCCTACCCCGCGGAAACCCATCTTCACAGCCTGCCGCGCCTTCTCCGTCGTTTTCGCCGTCGCCGTGTTCGCCGTCATCATCTTCCAAGCGCAGATTTGGACACTGCTGCAGAAAATTCATTTCGGGCAATGCGGAGGGGCGATAACGCACAACGTGCTCTTCCACGACCGCAAGGATCTAGGAGATGCGGGAGCGGTGGGGGATCAAGCGTGGAAAGCGCTGATGCCGCCTCCGACGGCAGATTCGCGCGAGGGGGTGATCACCGTACAGATCAACGAGACGTATACGCTTCCGTAAGTGTTGTCTTAGACTATTGGGGTAGTTTCTTGGGAGGCATTTGTAGGACTGCGCGTGCTAGTCTCCGAACCCATGAAAGAAACTCTGGATTGATGCACTTACCCAGCAAGACTCAGAACACCGATAACCTCTCCGTGCTTCTGTTATCTTCATCTCCTCCAGCTTCAATTTAGCAGTGGACCATCCTATCTTCAGCAATGCTGACATACGACTGAATGCACAGCTACGAAGCCTCCTACACCCACGCCCTCCACTGCCTCGACGCCATGCGCAACATGTTCTTCCACGAGCCCGCTTCCGTCCTCCAAGCCAACATCAAAAAGCGTGAGCACATGGGACACTGCCTGTCTTACGTAGCACAGGTAAGCTCCCGTTCCACAATCATCCTTTTGCCTCATTTCTTCTCCTTTCTCACACATAAAATACTCTTTCTCCCTTGGCACACAGACTGTATTTTCCTACACCATCTTCTTTCTCCCCTTCCCCTTCCCCCACCCACCCACTTCCTCCCAGCTAACACCCCTCCAGCACGTCCTCTGCTCCGCCGACGACACAATCGAGCGCGTGAAACCCCCGCGAGATTCTGCGGGCAACTACCTCCCCGAAGAAGGCGACGGGCAGAGCGCGCGGCAGGAGTTGCATACCTGCCGCGATCGATCGAAGACAGAGCAGATACTGCACGAGTTGACGCACGCAGAGCCGAGATCGCTGAAGTATCCCGAGGTGAGGAGGGAGGTTGATCGTCTCGATGAATACTATGAGGAGTGTCCGGGGTGTTTTTATAATTGAGGTTTAGGAGGGAAGAGGGAGAGGGAGAGGGTGTTTGTTGTAAATGTTATGAATATGATTGGGAATATATACACTCATTCTCAGAAGAAACATTGATGTTGTGTGCGAGTCGCAGAAGGGAGAATCTCTATATACGCAGTCTTGAAATGTGGACCTAAGATGCAAAGGACAAGAGGAAAGAGATTGACCTCCCACATGGGAAAGCCGCTGCGACATTATCTGCGTGTCGAACTACCAAGACACAGAAATTACTTAAGTATGGAATGCTTGGCAAAATCAACGGTGGAAAAATGTCGAACACAGACAAAATCTGCATCTTGACGTTTCTTGGACTGCCACACTATCCAAAGAGAAAAGAATCTGGGTATTGTTGCTTTCAAACCCCGTACCTCTTGGATCTCAGGTTTAGAACTATACTTCCAAGACACATATTCAAAAGAGAAAGAAGAAAAATCTTGGTAAGTATTGTTATTTCAAACCTCAAACCTCCTGCTGGATCTCAGCCTCTAGATCGCGATCCCCCTCTCCACCACCTCCGCCAACCTGTTGCTTCCCTTTCTCACTCCACTCGCCCGCCACGGTATCTAACTGCGGCTTAACACTCTCCCTTTTCCCACGTCTTATGTAAAAGTCGGTGATTTCTTCGCAGCCCTTAGGCGTTCGACAGATTTTCCTGGCGGATTCAGGGGCGGTGCGCCATAGGACCTGTCGGACCTCTTTGCCGACTTTCTCGATGCTGTCCATACTCCAGAGGGGATCGAGGTGTTCGTCTATCAAATATGTGAGCTTTATCGAGATGGTGGGGCCGGGTAGGTAGGGGAACTTACAGCCTTCAATGATCTTAGAATGAACAAGATCAACATGCGGCTCGCGGTTACGATCAAATCGGCGTAGAAGCCTGCGACCATCTACCAGATCGTCTGCACCACAGACCCAGAGCGCGAAGGGGGGAGTTTGCGGCCCGTACCACGCGTAGCGCGAGCGGTCTGTGTTTCGGCGGCGGAGTACGCGGTCTTTAGTTATTCGCTGCTCCGTTGTGGACTCCTTGAGGCCGGGCCTTGAGGGCCTTCCTTCTTCGTCATCCGAAGATTCATCGCTTGATTGTTCCCGCACTTGGTCTTCTTCCTCGTCCTCGCGGTCTTCGGTTGTTTTCTCCTCTTTTGTGGCTAGGATACACTTTTGTCTCGCGAAGCATTCTCGTCCTAGCCACCATCGCATTGACTCCGCGCTTACGTAGACAGGCGCGAATTGGAACATTCGGTCTCTTAGACCGCGCTCCCAGCGCTCGTCGGTCCAGTTGAACAAGAAGGCGAACACTCGGTAACCCATCGCGCCGTAGAAACTCCCTGGTAACAGCGAATGCATGGTCATCATGAACGGGATGAACGCATGAATACCAAAGAATATACGAAACATACCCGGTGATATTACACGCATGAACTTGAAGTACATCTTCCCGATCAGCGGACCTGCATACGCTGCCGGTGCCAATCCGCAAAACACGCTAATCTTCTCACCGATATCCGGACGTTGCTCTTTAGCAAGGGCAACGAGCGTTTGCGTTGTTCCTTGGCTATGGGCGACGAGGCCGAGTTTCTCGAATGCGGTTTCGGACAAGACGCGTGAGATGAGAGCGGGGAGATCTAAACATCCCATCTGCCGAATATTCCAGGCCCACATGCGCGGATCGCTGTACTTGAGCACGTTGTGTCGTGGGTGGAATCCGCAACGATTATTGCCAAGCCAGACGTCGTAGCCGGATTTGGCGAGGAAAAAGGCGAGGCTGTCGTCGTCGTTTGTGCAATAGGCGCCGGCAGATTGGAGGAGGCCATGGATGAGGAGGATCGGGTATTTTTTATTCCCGGGCTTGTATGGAGATGATGGGGCGGCGTCATTTGGAGAGTGTGAGGGGAAGATGTCTGGAGAGTGGTGTTCGCGGTCTTTGGCGGAGTGAGTGCGCTGCTCGCGGGGGTTGTAGACGTGCCATAGTTCGATGATGAAGCCGTCTTCTGTTTGGACGTCGAAGATCTCGCAATCTAGGCCGACACGGCGGGCATAGTAGCCAACATCGCACACTATAGGGTCCTTTCCTCCTTCCAACGGGGCAAATTCCTCAGCATCCTCTGCGCTGTCACTGATGATGCTTTCGGTCACGTGGCTGTGCCTTTTCGATTTCTTCTTTTTCTTTTCCCAGGCTCTCTCAGCAAGTTTCCGCGCTTTTTTTCGCCGCTCCTCCTCTTCATAAAACGGTCGCCTTTTATCAGGGTTCCGGAATGTAATCCTGAGCCATATATGGCTCCACATTAACGGTATGCTAGTGAAAGCGGCACCTAGTATTATGACTAGTAGGAAATTTAGAGATAGCACAGCTGACGACACTCTGAGAGCCAAGCATTGGATACGACGCAATAGCGTAGGAGGGCCATATAGCGGTAATGGAGGAAACAAGGGATTCGTTCTTGATGGTGGAGCTGCCTGTCTCAATGGGGCCTCTGGCTCTATGCTCTGCTTTGAGTCTCCTTCGCTTGGTCGTGCCCCATGGATAGATTCTCTCCCTGGACCTTCGCTATCATGAACAGGCTCTGTTTCTGACGGGTCTCGGTCCTCGATAATATCTTTCAGTCGGTTGAGCTTGATTGCTTCCTCCACAGGTACAGCAGGCAGCCGTCCTCCATTAGCTGTCTGGATTACGGGATCGTTTGGAGTGATGAACTTCGCTTCAATGGCCTGAGTGGATCCTGTGCTTTCGTCTTCCTGGGATGGACTGTACAGTGCCAATCGCTCAGATTGGTGGGCGAATCCAATGGCGGCTTCGGCCTTGGTGGAAGCCTTGTCCTCAACTTTCTGTTTAACGGCTGAGAGGCTAGGCATTGCTAGATTCCCTAGCGCAGTGAAGCTGTGGAGAAGACAGTGGAGAATACGAGGTACATGTGGAATGTCCCCCGGGATAGTAGAGAAAGACGATGACAGAAGGAAATCTCGGGAGACGCGATAATATAACGTGCCGCGACGGGCGTCTATTGTATTTGTAGTAACGACTGGGGACCGGGCACCACAAGCAAATGCGTTGGAAAGTGCGATATAGATAACAATGGTGGTGGCGCAGAGCGTTCGCCCACACCTGCCGCTATCATGCAAGTTTCTTCGTTGTGCCGCCGCTTGTGTGCAAATGATGTCAGGCTGCGGCCGGGGAGATCATCCCTGCTTTGGGTCTGACGGGTCAACCTGGGGATCGGGGACGTGGAACATATGCTTAAGTTGGTGGATATGCGAGTGATTGGAAGAATGAGGCATGGAAAGGACGGCATGCCGTTGGACCATCTCCAGAGCATATCATCAGTTCTTTCTCCATTCCGCTCTGCCAAGACTTTCCGCTATTTCCGCCAAGCCTCCACCCATTATTCCTTTTTCCATCGGAAAGCATAGCATCCCAAACGAGATCGCATGCATAAAGAAATCACTTGAGCCTCGCTCGTATGCGACCATATGCACCAATTCTATACCCTCCCGCCCAAGCTTCTAGAGTCAGCTGCAAAGAAATAGCCTCGGTTCGCGCATATTCACATCCTTGGCGCTTGAAGCCGAACATCACTTCTATGCGCTGCTGAGCTTGTGCCTCCTCGTCCTCTGACCGCAATTGGGTCTTTACGCGTCCGTCAAATACCATGGAGATCCAAGAGAGGCCGCTCAATCCTCGCAAGAGGCGCAGGCGGAGGAGAGCAGACCGGCCCGCCATCTCCGCCCGACTGCTGCTGGACGAGAGAATGAAGGGAGAAGTTGGAGTGCTCTCCGAGGATCTGTTTACGGATTTGTTCCCAGAAAGTAAGCAGCAGTCTGGTATGTATCGAAGCGGGTTTCCGCCTGTCTAGCAGTCTGCTAATGCGCGATCACAGCGAACGAGCAAGCTCCCGCACCCGATCGCGTCCATCATGTAGCCATAACCCCCTGGCTTCCAAGCTCCATAGCTTCGCCGCGAAGCGCATCATGGGCCATACTGCCTGTACGAGCTGCGTTGAAGGCAGATTCCACCACGACTCGACCCCATTCGTCCCTCCAGTTCCCCGCGACATCGCTTGCCCTCCAGTCCTTCATACACACATTGCATACTTTGTCGCCCAACAAGCAACAACGAAGAGACACTCCGATTGAGATCAGGATACTAGATGTGCTTCCGGTTGGCCTCGATACTGTCTTCGTTAGCCTGGACACAGATGCGCTGAGGAAGCTGGATGAGGTGCACGCAAAATTTGGGGGAGGCTTCGGGGTTAGACGCGCCAACGGCACCGTCAAGGGCCCCAAGGAACGGTTTCTCGAGGTCAATGGCGTATCTGGAAAAGCAAAAGCAGGCGTGGATCTTACCACACAAGAGCAGATGTGGAAAAATGCCGTCCGTGATGCCCTCAAGGAGCCTACGGTCGTCCATACTGGAGATCTACTACCACTGCCGCTTCCGTCCCATCCTATAACACATGTTCCACCGCCCCCAGCCAAAATCACGGCATGTGAGCCCGTATCTCAGGGATTACTTCTACCAAACACGAAAATAGTGGTCCTCCGATCCCATGGTCATTCTAAATTATCGAAAGTGATTGCGCCTGTAGCTTCTCAAATACAGAGCGGAGTTGGAGAAGATGATGAAGATACGTCAAATGAACAATTCTATTCTGCGGCAGAGGAAAGAACTTCGTCACAAGGAGCAACCCCACCGGATGAGGAACATTCAACAACCGATAACCTAGATTCCGAGCTATCAGGCACAGATGGTGGAGATCTATCCGATGACGATGATATGATATCCCTGAGCGCCCCTATGCTACCCCCTCAGTCTTCCGGGGTCCTTTCCTCATTTTCCTCTGCAACACCCCGTCCAGGAGGATTCCATACGAATGGCATTGCCACACCTGGATCAGTCTTTTCTAGCTTTACAGCAACAACAGCACGTGGGCCGACCTCATCAAAATCAAAAGTGTTCAAAGCCCAGGGACTGGTACAACCTATATCAGATGAGCTACTCCATCCAAAGCCAGGAAGTGAGGATGACGAAGAAGCACGGGTTTTCGTTGACACCAATACCCTAGTAAAGGTGGGGTGCTTCTCTGGAGACTGGGTTAAACTAGAAGCTGCTGCAGAGCCCCCACAACACGGACTTGGGGCCTGGGGCTTCGGCGCTTTTGGCGAAGAGCATGAGGACCCTCCGGAATGGCGGGCGGCGAGAATATTTGGCTTGCCCGAGAGCTTGTCTAAGAAGTCTCATCGGTACCCTGTCAATAGATTGACGAATCGGAGGTCAAGTTTCTCTGGCATGCTTCCATCTGCTCCAGCATCACAAGCCTACGTATCCCCTGTTCTCTTGGCCAACCTAGGAGAACCCACACATCTACGCATATCATCTCTTTCGCCCCTTCAGGTATCCCACTTGCCACGAGGTTCAATCCAGAAGCCACGTTTAACCAGTTCCTCTTTACCTCCCTCGGCAAAGGAGGTTACGTTATTGAAGCTTTCGACTCCCTTGTCTACCGATCGGTTGCTCCAATCTAGCCTTTTTGCTGCTCTAAAGGAGTACTTCGAGCAGAAGCGAAGATTAGTAAAAAGTGGTGACCTGGTGGGGATCTCCATTGACGAACGATTGGGTAAAGCCGTGTTCCAAGCGTCTGCTACCGAGGACGATGCTGGAACCGAAGATTTACTATTCAAGTCAAAACAAAAAAGCTCGCAAGACTCGTCAGCTGTCGAAGAATGGAATCCGAAGGCAGTTGCATGGTTCAAAGTTGGCAATGTCATTGCGGCCCAGTCCGAGACTTTGGACAATGATGAGATGCAGATTTGGGGCGGAGTAGTATCAGTGGATGCTGCAAGCACCAAAATGGTACAAGCAGGAAGCGAGCAGGGCAAGGTTCCTGCTACCATCAACAGCTCCTGGCAGTATTATCTAAATGCAAAACGAGCGCCTGTTTCCTCTGCGCAGGCTTCCGCACAAGCTATGGGAATAGATGACCTTCCAAAGCCCTATGTATCTTCACTTCGACGTCGCCTAAGAGAGCTGATGTCTGCAGCTACGAGCCTACGAGCCATACATTTGGGACTCCCCCCATTGGCTATTCTGATCACTTCGACCCAGCGAGGCATTGGGAAAGCCACTGTTGCCACACTCGCTGGCGAGGACTTGGGACTTCATACCTTTTCCATTGATGCGTTCGACATCTTGACCGAAGGCGGCGCAGGCGGAGGTGATGTCAAGACAGAAGCTTTCCTCAAAGCGAGGGCAGAACGCGCTCTCACCTGTGGTGCAGAATACACAACCCTCCTCGTCAAGCATGTCGAAGCCCTAAATGCCGACCGGATGACCACAGCTCTCAAAGAGATACTCGCAGACTCTCGAGTCCTGATAGCAACCACGACAGAAATCGATAAAGTCCCTGAAGGAATCCGCGGCCTCTTCACTCACGAACTCGAGATGTCCGCTCCCGACGAAGGCGAGCGAGAGGGGATACTTCGAGGCGTAGTTGAGAACTCTGGCATCCGTCTATCCCCCGACGTCGAGCTCTCCAGCGTCGCCATCAAGACCGCCGCCCTCGTCGCTGGCGACCTCGTCGACGTGGTCGACCGTGCTCTCGTGGCGAAACAAACCCGCCTTGAATCCCTCGCCGAGTCGGCCACCAAGGCGCTCTCCCTCCCCTCCTCCGTGACTGTCAAAGACATCGAGCTAGCCGGAGGCCCTGCTAGTACTAGCCTCGCGAAAGTTGACCTGGATGCTGCCGTTGACGCCGCCCGCAAGAACTTTGCCGACGCCATCGGGGCCCCCAAGATCCCCAACGTCAGTTGGTCCGACGTCGGTGGCCTCACGCACGTCAAGGACGCGGTTATGGAAACGATCCAACTGCCTCTCGCGCGCCCAGAGCTTTTCGCCAAAGGCATGAAGAAGCGCAGCGGCATCCTCTTCTACGGTCCCCCGGGCACTGGAAAAACACTCCTCGCGAAAGCCATCGCGACCGAGTTCTCGCTCAATTTCTTCAGTGTTAAGGGGCCTGAGCTGTTGAATATGTATATCGGCGAGTCTGAAGCGAATGTGCGGCGTGTATTTCAGAGAGCTAGGGATGCGAGACCTTGCGTTGTGTTCTTCGACGAGCTGGACTCCGTTGCACCCAAGAGAGGAAATCAAGGAGACAGTGGGGGTGTCATGGACCGTATCGTCTCCCAACTCCTCGCCGAACTCGACGGGATGAGTGATGGCGGAGAAGGTGTTTTCGTCATCGGAGCCACCAACCGCCCTGATCTCCTCGATCAAGCACTATTAAGACCTGGGCGGTTTGATAAAATGCTCTACCTAGGAGTGTCGGATACACATGACAAGCAACAAACTATCCTCGAAGCTCTGACGCGAAAGTACGTATACTTCCCTCCCCTCAATCTATTTTGGAACCCGTATACTCACGACCCGGCATCCAGGTTCACACTCCACCCCACCCTCTCCCTCCCCCGCATCGCCGCCGCCCTCCCCTTCACCTACACGGGCGCGGACATGTACGCCCTCTGCTCCGACGCCATGCTCAAAGCTATCACGCGGCAAGCGCGCGCCGTGGACGAAAAAGTAAAAGCGCACAACGCGTCTAACCCGCCGATCTCGATAGCGTATTTCTTCGACCACTTAGCTAAAGAAGAGGATATGGCTGTCATGGTCACGGAGCAGGATTTCTTGGAGGCGGAAAGGGAGCTCGTGCCGAGCGTGAGTGCGGATGAGTTGGGACATTATGATAAGGTGCGGCGGAGCTTTGAGGGCGCGGAGGAGAAGGGGAAGGGGAAGGAGGCGGGGATGGTGGTTCGGCAGCAGGTGTCGAATGCGGCTGCTAAGGGGAAGGGGAAGGGGAAGATGGGGGCGCCGCCGGCTGTGGTTGATGGGCCCGCTCAGGCAGCGGGGGATAGTGGGAGTGATGATGATTATGTCATTCGGACTGACCATCTCATCACGAACGGCTCTGCTGGTAGTGGGGACGGTAAGGGCAAAGGCAAGGGAAAAGGAAAAGGTAAGGGGAAGGGGAGTGTTGATATTGCGGAAGGCGGGTTCGGTGACGCGGCGGAGGGGGAGGAGGATTTGTATAGTTAGACATCTAGCAAGTATTGGGAATTGTATTACTACTTAAATGGGGCGTCTTTCTACGGCCGCCTCGGCTTACCCTCCCCGTCTTTCTTCTTCTTCGGCATTAAGAATCTGGATGCTAGTGCTTCCATGACACTGATCCTCTTTTCCCGTTCCGGCTTCCGCCGCGCTCGCCATGCGTCCACGGTAGGTGGCTTGCCCCTCCCGCCGGCGAAGAACCAGAGCGTTGATGGGATTCTTGCTTCGTTCTTGTTTGGTTTGTTACTGCTCTTGTCACTGGGCATGATTTTTTGGTTTCAAGAAGGGTGATTGAGGGATATGGTTAGTAGATGAGGAGATCGTTTGGACAGATTCAGGTGGAGATGGGGAGACTGGTATGAAAAGACGAGGGAAACTGTAATCAAGCGCCGTCCACGCAGACTTTACAGGGGCGGGCAAAGCTCAGGATGAGGATTTAAAGAAGGGGAAATAGGATTAGAGTAGTTACATATATAGGTGGCACGCCACGTCTCTACACCACGTGGGCACTTATCCCTACAAACGGCAGCCTTCCGTCACAGCGTAGATAGACCACATCACCAACCACCGCCGCACCATCTCGAGCATACAGCAATATCTCCAGTGCCCAACAGACTGCTATATTATAAACTAGACGTATAACAGATTGAAAGCTAGCTTAAATCTGCTAATAAGCAACCCAAACACCCGGCCCCCCCCCCAATCTCCTCTCTACTCAACCCACCCGAAACTCTCCTACTTCAAGCTTCCTTCCCTTCGGTTTTCAGAATCCCAACCCCGCTCCCCCTAAAACCTCCAGATCGCTCCGCACAACCCACTCCTCCGTCCCCACTTTCCCGCACGCTTCCGCTCTGCGCTGAGAACTGAGCTCGCCCCACCTGCGCAACACACCCCCATCCAACACCCCGCGGTTCCCGAACCCCTCGCTCTCGACTTTCCGATACGCGCGCGGATTTAGCCCGCATGGGTGCTCCAGCGTGTTAGTAAGATGCGTAGCGAGCGCGCTGAGGCGACGGTATGTGCTCTCGGACAAGGGCGTGAGGAGGGAGATGATGCCGGAGGTGGAGGTGTGCAGGATGTGATGCAGAGGCCCAGTGGCGGTGGGCTCGTCGACGTCCATGGGGGTCGCAGACGAAGTTTGTGGATCTGGGATAGTGGCCATGGAAGGGGAGAGGGAGGAGCGGAGGAGGGTCATGCTGGTGGGGAAGTGGCCGGTGTGGAAGGTGGATTTGTGGAGGAGGCGTTGGCCGGAGAGGGACTTGGGGTCTGCGAATGTACATGTTAGCGTGGGCGGTTAGACGGGGAAGGGGATACGTACGCTCTGGGTCGAATTGCAGCACGTGGATGTTGCAGTCCGCGTCGGCGACCATAATGTGCAGTTGTTTTTCGTGGGGGAGGAATTCGGCGGCGAGGACTTCCATGTGCGAGCGGGATTTGCCGAAGTGCAGCATTTTGTAGGGTTCTTCCTATATGGTGGGTTAGTATGTTGTAGCATTTGCGACGAGGGGATACGGCTCGGGGAATTTACAGTATAGCCGGTGAACCACAAGCCCTTCACTGCGTCACCCATGAGTAACATCCCGGTACCCGAGAGTTCCTTGAGAACTGAGACGTAGCACTGCATATCCATGAAAGCGACAGGGAGTAGTGTTCCGTCTTCTTTCAAACCCCGAACCATGCACTTCTGGCCCTGTGCCATGATCATGAAGCCTTGGGTCCCGATAGCTGAGATGGCGCTAACAGCTCCTTTCACCTCCTCGCGTACGATCAGCCTTAGTTTGCGGCTTGTCTCGGGGCGCCCCGGCTGTGGAACTACGGTGATGACCTCGAAGATGTAGATACACCCTTTGGTTGCGAGATCCTCTCCTTGAACGATAGCTGTACCGACGGCGATAAGGGGTTTCCGCTCGTGCATGGACTCCGAGACTTCTAGGTCCAGTGTCTTTACACAAAGTACTAGTTCGTAAGGGTCGAGTTCGTGACTATATACAGTTAGTCAGATCCTTGTTCGGGTTCCGACGGCAAGTAGCCTACCTGTCAATGATAGACCACGTCCCGGGATATAATAGCCTGATGATGCCTTGCTCAACCTGGGGTTTGAACGTCGTTTCTGGATTGTCGGTAAGCCTCAATGTGTGACTAAGAATATAAGCAAGTGTACCTTCCCGAGCCCATTCATAGTGATAAGAGTCGTCCGGAAGGCTGAAATCAATCATCCGACCAGTTCCAAGCACATAGACACCTTTCGGGTGGTAGTCTAAAGCATGGATTTCCTCGCCAAGTCGAAGCTTGCGAGCAGCCCAGCCTAAGTCGCCGTATCGGAATTGATACGGGAGCTGGCACACGCGTAATTCATCCTATCAATGACATTAACCTAATGCAGAAGCTCAATGAACCGAAGTGCCTTACATCCGCATCTATGAATGCAAAGCCCCGTTCACAAGCTGCAGTATTGAATCGTGTGAGACCCTTTACTGCCTTGCTTCTGAGACCTATGACTTTAGGAGTACTCGACGCTTCCTTAAATATGAAGCATGGCGATGCCCCGCGTTGGAAGACGGTGCTGTACCCACCAACATTATCTAGTGCTTTCAGAGTGCTGTTGCTACCGGTGTCTCCTGAGTCTAGATTCGACTCTTCAGAGTATGCTGGGAGGTGCATTTGAGGCATCTTTTGCCACCGAAGATTTGACGTAAAGGGCGCGGATGCATCTTTTGAAGGGTAGTGGTAGGGTTGGTATATGTTCAAATCGTCGCTGGCAGTTCGAACCTATTGGCTATTAGATCACACGAGTCGCGTCGGTCTGCTCGATTTACTCACAAATAGATGCGGTGACCTGCAAGTTGTGTCACCCAGATCCGCAACGAGTATCTCCGTGAGTGTTGCTTTCGCGGTTGACCTCCGAGGCGCATATTCTGCAGTCAAAGTGGGAGGAAGAAACCCAAGACCCTCTGCTACGTAGCTTGGCTTTTCCAGATCGCCCACATCGAAGATCTGAACTTTCATTAGCGGCGAGATTTAACAAATGGGTTGATCAGGGTTGAAATATACTTTCAGTCCACCTTCTGCGGTCAACAAAAATGCCAAGGGTTGACTACTAACGGACGGAGAGATGTACAGACACCCCGAGAGCCATTTTGTTGATGAAAATAGATTGCTTTCAATCTCCTCAACCTCCCCTTCTTCGTCTGCTTTGAATATTTTGACGCTAGAATCATCTCGTAATACTAGCATGTAGGGGTCTGCGAAGCTAGTATTGATGATTCTTAATTCAGCACCGGTCTCTTCATCCTCCATTGGAATGATCTGGCTTAGGCCGAGTTCCGAATCGTATATTCGGACCTCGCTTGTAAGAATTTGGACAATCTTGGTACCCTTCGCCATGACTCCGACATCTGTTGTCGAAGCATCTTCTCTCTCGAACTCTCCAGTTGTGATCTCTTCGAGATTCGTGCCATTGACTTTGTACGTGGAACTGTCTTCATTGCCAGTTGTGTTGGTTTTGCAGACTACTAAGTACTGGTCATACTCGGCGTCGGCAGCAATGTTGGCCTCAGAGTCTTGAGCCCCGGAAGTGATCATGCCCTTGGGTCTTGGTTTCCGTGCAGAAACCGCCCAGAGCCCACGAGCTGATGATATAGATGTTCGCTTCAGGATTTTCGGTTCCACTTCACGCTTGAGAATGCTTACAGCGCCAGCCCTTCCCCTGCCAGTAGAAGCAACGAGTTCTGAGGAGGCGACCTGAGATGCTTTTGTAGCCGGGCGTTCCTTTGCAGGAAATGTGATATCTTTCATCGGAGCGAGACTAATCATGGAATCATGTATCCTAAATGTGTACGCATCAGGCGCGCTCGTCCCCGTGGGTGATACTACTGATTGTTTGGTAGGACTATTGCTATTGTCGTAGAGATCGTCGTCAAGGTCATCCAGATCGGCTTCATCAAAAGATGAGTCGCTATTATCAACAAGCATATCTGCGTGCGATCGCTTTCTCGCGAGTTGAGTTGTTTTGCTTGCCCATCCTAACAGAACAGAATCTCCACTCTCACTGCCAACGAACATCCTGCCACGGCCCAGATTAGTGGCACACGACGCAGCGCAGGAGACCAATTTACCACCACGCTCCTCGTCAACTAGCCTTACGGTCATTCCAGATACCGAACGCCCATCCAGAGTGAAGGTGAGGATGACGAGGTCTCCATTGTTGAGCATAATGAGAACGTCGCCACTGTCTGGGGAGAGCTGTTCTACCGTACATCCTTCGAGCCTAAGAGCCAGATCTGACTGATCGGCCATGGAAAAGGCAGTGCAAGCTCTTGCAAATTCGTTGACGCCGACTGCATTGGTCTTTCCGGCCTGGTCCACGTGAATGATCTCATTGCCGCCCATAAGTAGAGCTCCACCGACTGGCAGTGGTAATGGCACCACTCGAGACACGTCATACGGAATTCCTGGCACGGTGAGTAGAGTAGTTGATGCCTTTTGCTCCAAGTCGAGGGTGAAAACGGTGTAATTGAGAATGTCCTTCCGCTCGGCCAGAAGAGACCCCGCTGGCGCTCTGGACGACGATATGATTCCAAAGGTAGGCTCGCGATATTCGTGCAAGAAGGCCAGGTGGACCGGGTTGGTCAACGACGGGTCTAGCGCCGTCAAGGGAAGCACAAAAGACGAGGCGTATGGAGTCTGGCTCTTGGCATGTTCACCGTCACCATTCGTGGTTTTTGTCCTTGCCAATGGTCTGTCAATGGGGCTGTCCAGGTCCGGGTCATAGTCCTCTCCCACGAGGTCATCTCCGACCTGGCGAAACGGTAGAATGGCAAGATTTCGGACACCAAACTTCAGCGCGGCACACCTGCTGCTGGGATCGGCACTCAAGTAGTTGCAACAATCTTCAAGTTCAGGCGACCAGGGAGCTGCGCCGAGGTCATGGCCTTCGTAGTAATGTATTGAGATTGTATTCAAATTGTGATATTCTGGGTCCCATTCCACCAAGCTGAGTTTGGCGTCTCGAAATGCGAGTAACAGCGCTTCTCCACCTGATTTTGTGTCGAGAATCTTCACGCGCGCCAAAGAGATGACCGTCCCCGACAAAGGATATTCTCCCACCAGCACTAGCTTCGAGGTGTGCTCCGTCCGCTGTATAGCCAAGTCTTCGGCGTCGGCGTCTAGATTTGCTGCATCGTCTTTGGATGCCGATGCGACCTCCGTAATGGTGGATTTGAGCTCGAAGATTTGGAGAAGTGAAGCTTTCGCGACCACGAGATTGTTCGATTTCGAGGAGAGGAAGGGGAGAGAGACTGCGTGGGTCACGGCGGTGGGAGGGGTGAGCTCAGTGTAGCACTGCATGGTAGGTTATTGGAGGCACGGGCTGGGACCCGGGCATGCTTCGTGGGGCGGGCAATGGAAGTTGGAGTTGGTGATAGCGGTCGTGGTGTTGAGGCTCTCCAGCAAAGCGCGCCTCTAGCCAAGCGCGCCTCTAGCCAAGCGAATAAGTGGGCCCGCGCTCACGTACCACCGTCGTCATCAAACAGCTTGAACGGTGCAGCCATCCCGCGCCTCTAGCTCCGGCCAACTTCCACCCCAAGTGCTTCTGCCTCGCCATTGACAAGACACGAGAGTTTCCTCCGATCTGTGTATCTGCGAATTGCTCGGTTCGTCCTCCGGACTCTGGACCCATCTAAAGCTTCACGGGTCTCCTGACAACAACAAACAGCAACGCCCCTCAAGATGGCACTCATCCAGACCAGCTTGATCTGGGTCACATACGCCGTCGCCATAGTCATCCTCCTCGCCATTGCCGCTATCTTCGTCTACCTCTATCAAACCCCGCGAGACCGCGCCGCCTCGGTCACTACCGTATGCATCTTCACAACGAGCGCTCTGCTGGCTACGGTGCTGTTGACGCCTGTTGATATTGCCCTCGTTTCATCGACATCATCCTCCAGAGACGGCCGCAAGAAGGACTGGGCCACTCCAGACCGCGTCGACAATATTGTGCATACCTTGCAGATTGTATACTACACCCTATACTCGCTGGATGCCCTTCTCTGTTTGCTCGTCGTGCCCTTCACCTACTTCTGGTACGAAGAATACGATGAAGATGCGACTGCCGACGGAACGCAGACTGTCGGTAGCAGACTCTGGGGTGCCTTCAAGTACACCATTGCCTTCATTGTATTGGTTGTGATTCTCTTCCTCGTTGGCTTCTTTGTACCCTTCGCGAAGAAAGCCAAGCAGGACAAGCACCTCGATCTAGACTTCTTCAAGCATCTTCTAGATCAAAACCGTGAGTATCTACCCCCAATAGACCCCTGCTACAACTCAGGCTAACATCCGCCTAGATGGAGAACGAGCTCTGACCTTCGCCCTCGGACTGCTCATTACTATTGGAACCATCATCTACGTAATCTACACAGCCGCAGGCCTCGCTCTACTCCCTGTTACCCTCATCAAATCAGCGCCTTCGATCTCCACACCCTCGCTTGCCGCAAACACTGCTTCTCAGCTCGAACAGAACCGCGAACGGCAGCGGCAGCTTGAAGGCCGGAATGAAGGCCGCGAAGATGGTCTAGACGCAAGAGACAGACGCGAACTTGAATCTCTGGTTCGCGAAGAACGCACTCTCATCCGACGGGAACGCCTTGCCGCTGAATCCAGCGGAGAGGATCGCAACTGGCTCGTAAAGAGCTGGATCAAGATCGAAGCCGTATTCCGTCCGCTGAAGCTTATCGGCGGCCTTCTACTCATGATTATTGCTCTATTCATTTTCACCAGTATGCTCATCACCGGGATTGACAAGGCCAAGAACTCTGTCTGTAAAGTTGGTTGTGGATACATTCTCGGCCATATCAACATCTTCCAGCCCATTAATTGGATCTTCGTCAAGTCTTCTAAAGTTTTCCCCATTGATTACATACTGTTTCTTCTTCTCGTTCTTTTCTTCTTCTCCGCTTCGGTCGTCGGGATCGCTACGGTTGGAATCAGATTCCTCTGGATCGTCCTCTTCAAGATCCGTAAGGGGCACACTTCCCCGCAAGCGCTCCTCATGGCCACCGTCATGCTCACCCTCATTGTCCTCGCAATCAACTACTCTGTTGTCATGATGGTAGCACCGCAATACGCAACTTTTGGCCCCCAAACCTACTGCGACCGCGCCTCCCGTCATCCGGGTGAGCAGCCCGACTGCTCCAACCACCACAACGCCATCAAGCACTGCACCGAGCTCGCCGACAACCCAGTCGCCAAGGACGTGTGCACGCCTAGTGTTGTTAGCACGTTTATCAACCGTGTGACTATCAACTTCCCCGTATTTGGGGTTATCAATTTCTGGGCGCAATTCGCGTTCCTCGGTAAGATATTCCTACAAGTCCGCTCGAGATCACTGTCTAATTGACCACAGGTATTTACCTCATTGTCTTCATCGCAACCCTCTTCCGCACTCCGCATCTGGACACTGAACAGCTCGACGCCGATCTCGAGGAGGAAGAAGAGGAGGGACTTCTGGCTAGTACTGGTCGTCGTTTCAACGCTACTTGGCAAGATATTACCGGCCGCGCGAAGAAAAACTATGGCACCACGAATAGTGCAGATGGTGAGCACAGTGATGCTTGATCGCGAGCGCTGGCGATGAGGCTGCAAATTGTATATGAGTGGGTTTTGGGGGTGGATATCGGGTCTGAGGAAGTGTGGGTAATGGATGGATGCAAGGTTACAGGCTGTATAACATGATACCACAAGGGCATGGCGTTTTTGGCGGAGTGTAAAAAAGTCGGCGAATATAGCGGAACTTCCAAATTGTTAGTGCCATTGATGCGCTTCGAGTGAATTGGTGGTACCCCGTGATTTGACATCTTCGAAAGCGAGGATGACCAGACATTGAAGCTTGCTTGAAGTGGCGTTACGGACCCAGATTTTGCCTTGCGACTCTCCATTGAACGTCGTCGCGCTGTCACCCTTGTCCAAGTCACTGAAGTCTATGGAAATGTCTCCGTCAAACCCCACACATCTTCCCCTACAGTAAAAGGGAATATCATGGTCTGACGCGAAAGAAAGAAGCGCTTCTTCACATTACTGGACTGTGTTTCAGTTCAGGAGCGGTGAAGAAGCCTGTCTAGAAAGTCGCTGGAAGTGTCTCGCAAGCAGTACACCAGCGAATGGCCCTGATTGGCTAGCACTCCGCAAATACTAAAGCGGTCTAGCCGCAGAATGCCGCATAACATTTGACAGTCAACAGTTCGTGATCTTCTCCACGCTCTTGACTCCACTGCCTCCAAACTCAAACGCCTTTTCGCGCGTAGCCTTCTTACTCCCCCAGATATCTCGCTTTTGCTCTTCCAGTTACAGCCCCGCAGTTTCACCGCGGAATCGCGCTGTCGCCTCTCGGGCAAAAGTTGCCCCTCCATCAACAAGCCCAAAACACACGGCGCGAAGCGGAGCACACGAGCTCGCACCACACAGCTACAGACATGACATCGATGGACATAGACTTCACACGGCGCAACAAGAAGCCGCGACCACTGTCGGAAGCGGAAAAGGAGAAGCTGGACGAGTTTATTGAGGCCATCCACTACTCTGCACGGTATGTTGGCGGATGGTGACACAGCATGTGAACGAGCACGGCTAACAGTAACGCGTATAGATATTCCGACCCCGAATACGAGTACCGACACGTTCAGCTGCCCAAGCAGATGCTCAAGGCTATACCTAAGGACTATTTCGATGGCCAACGGGGGACCCTGAAACTGCTGTGGGAGGAGGAATGGAGAGCCCTAGGCATCACCCAGGTACATATCACCACCCTGGCACGCAGGATATAATGGATCTGACTCAATGGAACAGAGTCTAGGCTGGGAGCACTATGAGGTCCATGAACCGGAGCCTCACATATTATTGTTCAAGTACGTTTGCATCCCAATCCTTCCATACCCCTCAACCCTCCCGATACCCGCCGCGAATACGAATTCAAGGCACTAACAATATCCCAGACGGCCGATTAACTACCAACCCCCACTGCAACACTGATACCGCCCTTTCCTCTCATCCGCCCTCGGGGCGCCCACCCACCTCCCAAACCCACTCAGCCACAACGCGCCCGGCTCACGGCGCGCATGATACCTAGCGGCGCCCACAAAATTGCTACAACAGACGGCTATGTCATGCTAGATGCCCTTTCCAAGGTCTCTTTTCTCCATTACTTTGAGCGGATCGACATTCGAGCGGGACGGGGTTCACACGAGGTTTAGAAACGGGAATGTTCGTGTCTTCTTCACACGATGGCGTGCCTGGATGATTACACACGGCGAGATGTTCTTTTAGCAGGCGGGGCGTACAAGATGTGGGTCTTTCTCTGCTCTGTTACTTTCGAGTCACGTGAAATCTGGCGAAGGGCATCGGGCCGGGCTGGACTGGACTGGACCGGTAGGGAAGATGGCTAGGTGCGGTTCTTGTATATACCTGCAATCAACAGGATGTTTGCATGAGGACGGTGCGTGCTCTTTGGGGGAGGTGAGTCGTGTGATATGGCGATCTGGTGAGTGTTTCTAAAGATATCGAGCTTTCGCAACACAAATTCGTCCCCAGAAGTGTTCCCAACCAGCCCCAAAAGGGAGTTCTGTGTTTCTTTCATCTCAACTCGAAGCATATAGGATACTTCACCTCACTTTTGACCTCATCCTGTGGCGTCATTAGCACGTGGCACGTCGGATAGATCTTAAACTCCAGCCTTTCCACCTCACAACCTCCGCCACAACACCACACCTTCAACATCAACGACTAGTGGAGATGGCGCCACACTCGCCCTCTCCATCACGTCTAGCCCTACTAATAACTGTACTCAGCGGCTCGCCGCCCATCAGCTAAGGTGCAAGATACGAACGCGGCCTCGCGGTGTCTCTCCACCGTCGAGTTGCTCGAGACCGTTCTACTAAAGCTGCGTATGCTCGATATTGTCCGCTGCCAGATGGTTTGCCGCCAGTGGAGGGATGTTATCAACAGCTCTCTTCACCTTCAGCGTGCTATGTTGATGGCACCGCCGGTGTCTGGGCCGCTCGATGTTCGCCATCTTCTCGAAGAATATCGAAAGAAACATCTTACGGATATCTCTTATATAGCTATAATCTAGGACGAATGCTCTCCGGCAGAGGAATTCGATACGAAGATACCTGCCATGTCGTACAATCAGCCTGAGCATCCAATCTATCTCAAAATCAATCCACTGGCGAATAGAGCTACCGCTCCTACATTGACCACTCCAGGCATATCAGGCCTTGTCTATTCTACGACTACCTTTGTACGATAAGGTCTCAGTACCATACGCACAAGATGCTGCCTGCGAAGACCGGCACCTCCAGCGTCGAGTTTATTTCCAAGGGTCCATCCGGTAGGCACGACTTTTCGCTCGCTCTCTATCCTGGAAGATGCAAACAACCGGAGCAGTCGTGGATGAACATGTTTCTCACGTACCCTCCGTTCCCAAAGATCAAGTTGTCAGTGCCGGGATATACTAGCTGGGGAAAAGAAAAGCTGATTTCCGTCACTATCCATAATCACACTGGCATCACGATCGGAGATGTCGTCAGGGTTACCAACAGAAAGATGACATGGCGGGAACATCTAGAGGGAATCGAATGCTTCGGAGTGTTTACGTGAGGGGTAGAGCTCGCAGGGACAGGTTATGTTTAGTGCTTCCTCGAGACTGAAGAGTTGCTGAGAGGGTCGCTCATAACGGCGGGCATACTAACACCTTCGAATCCTACATTCCGTTGCTTGGGGTGGGATAATCACGTATCTGGTTGGTCAAAAGTATCTTGACAGCGGTTTATGCCACTCCGATTCCTTCAATACAAGAGGACTTCTACCTTGTCACTTCAAACAAACCCTTCAAAAACATTCACCGCTTGTTGAGGTGCGCGTGACAGTGACTTAATGCTGACGTAAGAACTTTTCGAGAGCTGATAGTGTCAGTAACCCTTCTGTAATTCCTTGGCCAGATCTCTTGCTTACAGTCGCAGAGCCTTCACAGTCCCCACTACATCACTGCACAACCACAGCCACACAGTCAACTAAGTACTAGGCGTCATGGCACCATACGCTCCCCCCAGATGTAACTATCATTCCCCGTCGCCTCTTATCCCGCTAACCTCGACGTATCAGACACGCCAGTCGAGAAAGCCCGACAGGTCAACCGTATAGACCCGAGCACCATCAACATCCGCCTGCCCTCGTTGCAACAATGGTCCGCAGCCCAACGGCGCAGCGCCAGACTCTTAGCTTGGGTCTCTCGCCCACCTCTGCCTCGCTATCTCCCCAAGCCGCGATCCCATCCCCCTCAGCTCCCACCAAACACACCCCAGCCTCATCGCGCTCTCGCTGTCGTCGAGCTGCTGGAGGGCGTGCTGCAACACCTCCCCATCCGCGACATCCTCACCTGCCAACGCGTCTGCCACTAATGAAACGACGTCATCTCCGCCTCGTCTAACCTCCAACGCATCCTCTACCTCTCCCCACCCCCCTTCGGCCCCCTCGACATCGACAAAGCCATGGACGTCCTCTACACCACTAGCAGCATGGCCTCAGGCATCATCATTAAGGAATTCAACCGCCCTCACTGCATCAATCTAGCAATCAACCCCGAGCTGGACGCGCGCGACCGGACCCGCACCAGCAAGCCTCACTCCGGAGACATGATCCTCAGTTGCCCAGACCGGATTGTGGGAATTTTCCCGATCCGCTACGTGTCGAGGTGCTCGCGACGTCAGCTCTTGCCGCCCAACAAAACCACTGGCGTCGTCCTCGACAGCGGATTCCTCTCCCTCTTTAGCTTTTCAAAGGGGCCGGTGAAGTTGTATTATTATCCTGAGAGATGTAGGGAGTAGGGGCAGAGTTGGAGGGGGGTGTTTCTCACAAGTCCGCCGACTGTGAGTGTGGAGTTGACGCTGCCGGGGTATAAGCGGAATTTGGTGGTGCCGGTGAGGAACGAGGCGGGGGTTAGGGCGGGGGATGTGGTCAAGGCGGTTGAGGAGCGGTGGGGGGAGTGGGTGGCATATGACGGGATGGAGTGTGAGTTGAGGTTTTGAGGAGGAGAGGGGTTTGCTGGGTTTTTGAAAGTTGAGATGGGTGTTGGGTGCGGTGGATTATTTCGGCTAGTGGCGCGCGTGTATGGTGTGCCGGGGGGTGTCACTGATTGAACAAGGACGAGTAGCTTCAAGACGTTGCGGTTAGTATGGGTAAAGTCTCCTGCCACGGAGTGCGGCACTAGGCTTCTTCTAGATTTATATAAGGGGCGTCAGAGTGGTGTTATAGTAGACCGGAAATAGTGCTTGTTGTGGTGTAGAGGGGCCATTGAGTTGGGAAGTGTATTATTTGGCAACTTCTACGTAGGTAGCAAAGAAGCGTTAGAGTATTGTATATTCCCTTATATTCATAAACTGTTCAATGACCCTTGGAAATCCCATGTCTTGAATACAGCCTTTTCTCTACCATTTAGGAATTTCCCTGCTACTCAATATTCTTTTAAGATTGCGGCACATTTGTGCTCTTTTACAATACAGGATACAGTACTAAGACACAAGTCTGGACATGTCGACTCCTAATCTCTTCTAGAAGTATCATGATGTGCTGAAGCACCACAAACAGCGGCCAAGTAGGTCGACTGAAGCGCACGAGACCTCTCTGATTCAAGCTCTCAAGGCCTCCAAATATCATCGGAAGTTGTGTAATCTGCTGAAGTAACTCAAACGATGGTGAGCGAGTGTTCGCAAGCTTTGGCAATGCTCTCTAGTATAACAAGCTCGTGCACACGTATAGCACTGGCTAAGTTTGACTCTTGACCACCTAACAACGCTGTCAGGGGTAGCCCAGCTGATAGGCAGCCGGTGCGGTAAAAGGTAGCGTAGTTTTCACGCCGTCAAACTTGACATCATGCGGGAAGTTTTGAAACCTTGTTGGGATACCCCAAACAGTGGCAGACAGGTGTGCATAGGCTTGTGGCGAGAACTATGATAGTCATTCGTACCTTCATAGTAAGATGTAAGATCCCATCCTCAGCCTCAGCAATAGTCGTCCTACCATATCGTATGGGAGCTCAGCAAGGGGTTGGGGGGGCTACAAAGCTGAGCGACTCCTCAAGTGAATGAGTCTAGTTGGGTTATACCTAGCTCACCTGATCTATAAAACAACTACCAACCGCTGGCAACCTACACCTTCGTCTCTCTATCGACACACACCACAACACCACAACCTACAACATCAAGGAATGGGGGTTCATGGCACCGCAATCTTTTTCCGAAGGCTCGTATTCCTACCCCAGTGCGTGGTATCCTACTGACGTTTAGGAGCAGATAACTTCACTTCCAAGGCTCCACTTTCGAAGCAACTACTCGAAAATATGCCCCCCCCTTGATCTTGCGTCGTCGCGTTGCCTCACAATCATCGAACTCCTGGAGAAGATACTCCTAGAATTGCCCATCCCAGATATTCTTCACTGCCAGAGCGTGTGCCAGCTTTGGAAGGACGTCATTGCAGAATCTCTCCCCCTACAGCGAGCCTTGTGGATAGCAGCACCAGCCTCTGGAGTACTTGACGTCTGCCAGGCTGTTACCCGCGTCGAATGCTACAAGCCCACTCCCCACGGCCTTCTCATTAACCCCCCGGGGCTTTGGTTTAACCTGCCATCTGTGCTTTTAGAACACAGCCCCATGGTTCCCGGCAAACAAGGCGAAGAGAAGTGCGGTTTCGAGCTAGAGATGTTCCCTGGGGGGCCGCAGATACGGTACAGCCAAGAAATTCACCTCTTTCCTCCACGTTGCCTCCAGTTGGACCAGTCCTGGGCAAACATGTTTCTTACGAACCCCCCCCCCATCAACACTGTTGCTCTTTTCTACGCAGAAGGGTTCGATTTCGGGATAACGGGACACGTGCGCGTCTTTGCCCCCGACGAAAATGGATGTTTTCACGCCGAACGTCGCGAAACTCGCGGCCGCTGCTCAAAACGCGTAATAGGTCGCGTAGAGACAATCGTCAGTCCAGGCGGCGTCAAGATTGGCCACGTCGTTAAGGCTGTCTTCGAGACGTATCCGGAGCTGGCCGGCTATCACCATATCAGCTGCATGGCGAGGCTCTGGTGAGAAATTCGAGCGGTCCATGAACTCTAAGCGGTGTTTCTTCATACAAATACGACATTCAGCTGGGGTGTCAGTCTGTTTTCCATGAGAGGAAAATTCGGAGGATTACACTTTGATGGGCGGCTTTTACTAGTCAAGCTCTCATTTAGCAAATACGAAAGTCTTTATCTCCTCAAGCCCCTGTCATATTCGTGGTGCTTGCTATCGCTCTGACCCTCTAGCTCAGCCAATAAGCGTCATTTACAGAACGAAGACATAAGTTTGGACACTCCCTGCCACTGCTTGGTATGCCCTGCTAGGCTTTATAAGATCCAAATACGATGTGAAGGTCAACGCAGTGGATTTCAGACTATCTTCTGACTTAGTGAAGACATGTTAGCTAGGGCACCCCTTGCGGTGATGTCGAGAAAGCAAGTGTGGAGCCAGAGCAGTTACGTATCCAAGGCCTTGATTTCTGACCTAGTACTGTGCGCAATCGGGGCACTTGTCTAACGATTAATATAGGCTCCCAACCAGTAGTAGATGATTGATCTCGTACATAGTATAAAAAAGGAAGACTGAGGCGAGTTGCTTAAGAGAGTGGTGAATGCACTGACTGAGAGTAGGCAAAAGCAAAAAACAACGTCTGTGTTCTTTTTCCTATCCTAGCGGGACTTAAACCCTGCACCTCTTTAATTCTCAAGATGAGTCGATTTCGAATATACCTGGCTTAGTATAAGAGCATGTGACTGATCGGATACGGTATAGGTTGTATTCTGGGGGTCAACTCCACTAGGTCAGGTACGAGACTATAAGGGTCATCTTTAGAATTTGGAAGCTGGGAACATACGTCTTTAGTTGTAGTCTAAAAGAGATCTACGGCGCTACACTCTCACTTAGAGCTAGCAGTACAGGCATTAAGAGGTGGATGAGCACTACGTAAGTGTGTAAGAGCGCACGCTTTACTAATGGAGCCAGCAGAGAAGCAGCTACTTCACAGATGAATCGATAAGAAAGCTAAAGATGGCGTAGATCTACACTACTGCATTAGTGAAAGAAGCACGAGGTAGAATGAAAGAATTATCACCTTGGATGCGGTCAGTAAATAGTAGATGAGCGGACGTTTGCCTGCCTATTACTCTGCCACGATCTTCACTATCCGCAACGTCTGCATGGCCATAAGTGCAGAAAAATAAACATCTTGTGGCCGATGGGGTAAATAAACATATAGGAGCATTCTCCTAGCTGTAAATAAAATACAAATGTGGTTGAGACAGGAAGCACATAGGAGAAGGTTAAAATAAATATCCCCAAGGCCCACTAGGACTCGAACAGCGTGCAAAAAAAATCTGAGCCCTTTCCCGGTTTCCTGGACAAGTGGGTGCTTGCGACAAATCGGATACTGTATGTTGTATCCCTAAGTCACTCCGCTGCGCCATTTGACCGACCGCACTAGCCGTTTCGCTGTTACTCACAGCCTCCCCCCAATCTTCATGAAGCGAAAACAAGTGAAGGGAGAAATTTCACATGTGGAACGCAATCTCTTGATTTTCGTATCATGTTTTTCATGTATTTTCTAGAGAAACACCCATTTCACCTACTACGCAATTGAAGAAGAAGCTGAAGAAGGAGCTGGAGATATTATCAAGTCGCACCGCCTAACTGCTGGTAAAAGCTTAGAACGAGAAAGAAAGGGTACATTGAGAGTCGGATTCGAAAAAGATACTATAAATCTCATGAGCAGATTTACAAAACTTTACCCCTTTGCTCTAGGAATTAGGATGGTTCTGCCGAACTACCGCCAAGTACCGATGGCCAAGTCATCCGCGCTCTCTTGCCGCAGTCAGAACAACGATATGAACGAGAGCCGGATTTGCTTAAGATGAGAGTGATACGAAGTGATCATGGACGTTCAGGAAGAGATGAAGAGAGGAAAGGAGAATGGTAAGAGGGAAGAGGGCTGAGCTGTTCTGCCTGTATAGGTCAAATTGTGTAGACATCATCACCGGAGGCGTACATCGAGGGACGCTATTTGGTCCAAAACTACAAGGGGATGGATGTCGGCGTGGTAAGGCGTTCAGGCCGGTCCGTATGCCTTTTCCTCCACCTGCTCCCAAGAAGGTGAAGAGAGACGGGAGGGTCGTGTGTCGCAGGTCCGAGACTTTCAGGAGCACGCTGTTCTCGAGTCCGCACGATGAGCATTCGGCTCGTCAGTTGTGCGAGAGCGAGACGTCTTTCGGGCCGGACCCCGTGTCGGAGAAGGAGGGACTGTTCTGTGATATGGATGAGAAGAAGCTTTGGCCATTGTGTTCGGAGAAGGTCAAGGTGACTTGCTTTGATACGGATACTAATTCTATGCGAGGCGGGTCTGCGAAGAGAGAGCCTGTTCCGTTGAAGCAGTCCGGTACGGTCAAGAAGTGGGGCGCAGCTGGAAATGCTTGATGGCTGTCACAAAAACTCCTGTTCTGTCTCGAGACGGATGGTAGCAGCTGGTAGTTTGGAAGATCTCTGTACTTTACTCATGTTATTATTCAATGCTAGATCTTGTGGATTTTGTTCATATTGGAACGCACTGATAGCCTTTTGGTCCCCTAGCCGTTCATGATAATGTTTTAGGAGCTTTATCAAGTAGCGCTGATGTTTTTACAGCCCAATTTCATGTGTAAGTTGCTTTCACCATGAATTTGACTTTCAAATTTGCAAAAAGGGGTGCATTTAATATGCCGCGCACGCAAGATCAATGCTACAGGGGTTTAGCGCGGGCAATAAACAGTTTGCGGAGTAGGGGTCCACTGCACTAAAGCTTGACGAAGTGCTTAATTCCACCACAATCTGAAGCCCCTTTCTATACTTTGACCCCAGATATATCCGTCTTGCAACCGTTTCTTCTTTATAGTCAACTGGAGATGCACTCTTTCGGTCATACCTCTTCGGTCCTCTGAAAGCACTCTAGAAACAGACCTCGTGAGCCTCGTGGCATCCTCCTCTGTCGGCCCTACTCTTTTGCGAGTTTCGCAGTACTCATAGTTTGCCTCGTCTATTCACCAATCACTCGTTCAGATTATCAACGAGCAGGAAAACCGCCGTGATGCGGTGAAGGCAACTAACCAGATATACTGACCCCCTGTACGAGCTAAAGGTGGGGTGACAGCTTGAATGAGCGAAACCTGGGACGAATCGGCGGACGCGGTCGCGGCGTCGGAGTCGGAAGATGGTTGGAGGGACCAAAAAGGTTAAGAATGCGAAATACGGAGAATGAGATGCGCGTGCATATTTCTACATATAAACCCAACCACCCTATCTCTTTACTTCCCCTCGTTCTCTTCCTACCCTCTCCTCCAAGTTTTTACTTCAATTCTTTCCAATTCCACTTTTTAAACATTACGACTCAAATCCGCATCATGTCCACCACCACCCCCGACAAAGACAACACCTTCCGCAAATACGCGCCCGAAGCAGCAGCCCGCTACCGCAGCTTCCGTATCCCTTACCCCCCCACACTCATCAACACCGTCATCGACACCCACAAATCCACCGGCGGCCACCTCGACACCCTCCTCGACGTCGGCTGCGGCCCCGGCACCGCAACCCACTCCCTCGCGCCCCTGTTCCAACACGCCTACGGCGCCGACCCGGGGCCCGCCATGGTCGAAGCCGCGCAAAAGGACGCACCCATCACCGCATCCGGCGCCCCCGTGCAATTCTTCGTCTCAACCGCCGAAGACCTGCTCACCTCGATCCCAGAGATCAAACCTGGGACCGTCGATCTGATCACCGCGGCGACGGCGGCGCACTGGTTCAAGCTGCCCGGCTTCTACGCCGCCGCGGCGGAACTGCTGAAGCCAGGCGGGAGCATCGCGATGTGGTGCACCGGCCCGCAGTACTGCGACCCGTACACGACGCCGAACGCGGTGGCGGTGCAGGCGGCGATTGACAAGCTGCAGGAAGAGGTGATTGCACCGTTTGAGGTGGAGGGGAATCGGTTGTGCCATGATCTCTATGCGAAGTTGGATCTGCCGTGGACGATTAAAGATGCGGATGCGAAGACGCAAGCGGGGTTGAATGAGTTCGATGAGGGGGGGTTTCAGAGGATTGTGTTTAATGAGGGGGGGAAGTTGGAACCCGGAGAGGAGTTTGTGAGGGGGATGAAGCATGCGTCGCTGGAGATGACGAAGAAGGTGTGGAGTACGGCGAGCCCGGTGCAGCGGTGGCGGGAGGCGCATAAGGAGCAGGTGGAGAAGGGCGAGGTGGAGGATTGTTTGGATCGGATGGTGAGGGTGGTGAAGGAGGCGATGGGGGAGGTGGAGGAGGGGAAGGGGAGGGATTGGATTGATGGGGGGAGTTCGCTTGTTCTGCTGGTGATTAAGAAGAAGACTGCGTAGGTCTATGGAGTGGGTATTTGGGTGCAGCGTGAAGACACGACCTTACGAGCTGAACTGACAATACTAAGACAGTATTGATTCCATATCTTCATATCTAGATGGGTCTGAGAGAGACTACGAAATTACATTGACTAACAATTGCCTCCCTCCTGACTTTCAATGTAGTCACATGAGCGCTTCCTACGTTCTGCTGCCAGGCTACTTAAGCTCTTCAATCTATGCGACAGCATCGATCGTTATGGGTGGAGAAATCGGTCAGCGTTTCAAACACACAGCTTACATTCATGGAATGTTCTCTGCGGCCCAGTGTTGGGTGCAAAAAACACATTCACGTGATTCAATGGTGCAGACTCGCGAAGTCTAGACTTCCCTCTGTCAATTCCTATAAATGATAAACAACACCACTCTACCCCTTTAATACCCAGCCTAGCCACGACACCAAACCAACGCTTACCGTCTCAGCATCTTGATACTCATCACCACTGCGACCCCCCTCCCTCCCCTCCCCATCATCCTCCTCGTCGTTGCCGTATTTCACACCCGCCCGCCCATGTTATCTGCGAGCACTGGTTTTGATGCCACTCCCACCATTAGGTAGTGGACTGCTGGGTGTGCACCAACTCCATGCCACCTCAACTTCCGCTCTTTCACTCTTCCCAACCACCCAGCCCGACCGATCGCTGGCATCCTTGTCTTTTTTTGCACCGCTCCCACCATCAGCAAGCTCCTCATCGGCTGTCGAACCCTTCATATTGCGGAAGCTGACGACGTTTGACACCCAGTCTACCACTCCGCCCGCCCACATGCATCTCTGCGAATCCGAGTTTGCACCACTCCCACCATCGACATCCTGTAGCCCGGCTTTTGAACACCATAAGGGGTTGGCCAGGGTGATGTTGAACCAACAGACCATCCACCGATTCTGTCTCCCTGTTTGCACCTCCCTCCCCCACCTCCCCAAGACCCGCAAACTCCAACCTGTCTTCTCCAGCTCCTCGCAAGTCGCAGTAGGAGATTTTATATCTAACTACAAGCGCCAAGACTGATGGCACGTGAGAGTCACATGACCCTCACATGCCTCAGCCCCTGTGCCCCTGTGCCCCCTTCTCTGCGACTTTTCCCGTGCTGTGCGACCTAAGGAGGAACAGCGCAGAGGTCACACGGACCCCCACGTGGCCCCGCTTGGCGCTTCGTCGACGGGCTTTTCTTTCTTCAGTGACAAGGAGCACGGAGGATAGGAGGCGAGTGAGGAATAGAAACGAAGAAGAAGAATGGCTGCATGGGGTGCGTGGGTGCGTGGGAGTCAAAAACTCTCCTCCTCAGTTATATCTGGGGTGGTGGGCTGTGGGGATCAAATCCTACTTACGCAGGCCTCCATGGTGCGTGGGAGTCAAACGCTTCTCTCGACATACATACGCGGATGGAGCGGTGGCCGCTGTGCTTCAAGGATTTACTGGTGGCATCTTTCCATGGGTGCTTGGAAGTCAAACACACAGTCACAGAGTTCCGACGAGCAGCAGATTCGGCGCGGAGACGACCTTGATGAGTGCCGGGAGACGACTTCACCGGAGCATGGTCTATGATGGTGTGGTGTTGCTGTTGCTCGGAAATATACCAGACGAGATTCCCCCATGGCTGGCTGGCTGGGAGTCAACTAGGCTACAGCCGATTCTCCATGGTGTGGTGGCTGGTGGAGATCAAATATGTCTTCTGTACTGGTTTATGGGTGCATGCGAGCCAAACACTTCTCTCAACATAGACGATGGAGCGGTGGGCGCTGTTCAACAACAAAAAAAGGTTGTTATCATGGCTGGGTGGCTGTCGAACTGTGCTGTGCAGCTCGTGATGGCGTGGTCTCTGCGGTGTGCAAAAACAGTGCTCACGCGATGATGATGGCTGGGTGCTCGAGAGCCAAATCGAGCAAGTATCTCCACGATGGTGTGCGTAGTTCAAAGTCCTCGACTGTTCCTACCGATGAGCGGGAGGCAAAGCGGTATTGGGCAACCACGATGAGTTATGGTGGGCGTTCGGAATCAAACCGGATGATGCCATCATCGATGGTTGCTCGGGGAGTCAAAGATTCGAAAGCTCAGGCACGATGGAGCGAAGGTGGGCATTTGGCATCAAATGAGAATGAACCCGGCGATGGGTACTCGGGGAGTCAAAACAACAAAATGGCAGCCCCTATGGTGTGGTGGAGGGTGTTCTTTGAAAAGGGGAATTCAAGGAGGGTAATGTGGGCTTGGCGGAGTTGGGGGGAAATCAAAACCTCCAGACAAAGATCCGATGGTGTTGGCGGTGTTGGTAGCGTCGCCTCCTTCGAGCACTGATGAGCGTTACTACCTTTCCACATAGCCGAATGGCAGAGTCATAGGGATAGAAGGCCGTTGTCGAGAGGAGGACCTAGTGCTCTCTGGCATGATAAAGACTCGATGGAGGCCAGTAGGAGCGGAGGGTGATGAACGCCACTCGTGCTCGAAGGCCTCCCAACATCACCATCGTGCCACTTCTTTGCGACTGTTAATCCCACTCTCCCACTCCCACCATTTCATCGCGGCTTCTTCTTTGTTGATCCTCCCTCCGCCAACATCGACTTGTCTCTTCTTTGCTTTTGTTGCTCTCCCTCCCCCTTCCTCCACCCCAACCATCACCATGCCGATTACGAAGAGTTGATCACCCTCCCCTCCGCTCCATTGTGGCATTTGTTCCGCTTTTGCACTCCAGCCGCCGCAGGCATGACACTCAGCTGCAACTACTGTTGATAGCTGGGGACGACTGGAGCGCTCCTCTGCCTCGAAGGAAAGGTTGGGCGGGGTTTTTATAGGAGATTTTGGATGCCAAGAGGGGATGGCACGTGATATGGACGTGATACTGCGTGATATTAGCGTGACTGTAGAGGTGGGGGAGGTTAGAGGGGAAAGTGGAAAGGGGAGCGGGAAGGTGATGAGGAGAGAAGGGTCAGGAAACTGGGAGGTTGTGAGCGGGTGAGGCTAGGATGGGAAAGGCACTTGGAGACTAATGCGTGAGAAAAGAAAGGGGAGAAGAGTAGCTAGACTAGGTCGTGCAGCGAAGGGTATCGGGAGGGTGCTCCAAAGGCTAATAAGATGGTTTCATGGCGATGTGGGACGGGATTAGCGAGATAGGATGGGGAGAGGGAGAAAGAAATCTAGGACGGATCAGCTAACAGCATTAGATCTGGGGGCTTGGATCAGACATACCTCGTAGAATTCCGAGATCGCAAAGACACGAAAGACAACTACTCCATCATCACATATCACCACATCCTTATACCAGAGGACGAGTATTACCGCAATCGCATATCGATTATAATACAGATAACCACACTATATTCCGAAATCCCAACCCCAACCCGTCACCCAATCCACGCAATGCATCCAAACCTGAAATCAAATGGCAAGGAAATCTCAGAAGCGAGCGGGGTATGAGGAGTAGAAGGAAAGAAACCCACGCCCACCCCCTTGGCAGAAAGAGTTCTCGAAAAGAAAAAAATATCAATATTCGCATTTTAGTTGTTTACCGGCGACGGCAATAGTCCTTCTATTTCGTTGAACCCCACCCCTCATCCATCCATCCACATCCCTTCATCCCTAGCGAGTGTCCACTCCGAAAACAATGCATAGTGAGGGTATAGAAGCAATATCTCTCGTGGGATCAGGTGAGAGGGTTAGGTCGTAGCCCTTCACTCTCCCCGAAAATCAGATCAACGCCTTCTGGAGGTATTCCCATCCCTATTGGCCCCCGCCTAGTATGTGTGTCGCTATGCCCACGCCCTGCCTTGCCCCGTGATGCCATTTCCCATTTCCTATGTTCCATACCACCACGCAATTTCAATTTCTTGGGTGCAGTGCAGAGAGATGCCTAAACAATAACAGCGCAGGGGGTTGTTTCTTTCTTTCCATTTCATTCGTTCTTACCTCGACTCGAAACAAGTAAAGGTTCCATAAAAATCACAAAAAAGGAGTCGCTTGCTTCGTAAATCATCAAGAGAGCAGATTCGAAGAAAGGAAAAAAACCAGGGATTAAAAGATAGGGTGCCTCCGAAGTTCTTCAAAACCAGTTTAAAAATGATTGGGGCTATCGACGCTCAGCCGTCGTCGTCGGCATCGTCGTCGTCGTCCTCTTCACTATCCTCGCTCGTGCTGGGCCGTTGCACCGGTAGGCCAGTCTTGACTTTCTTCGCAGATGGTGTGCTCTTTGAAGGTGCAGCTTTCCGCTTGGAGCCGGAGCTTACTTGGGCCTGTGTGGCTTTGGCGGGGGTGTTTAGGTTTTCCTTGTCACCGCCGTCGTCGGCCTCGCCTCCGACACCCTTAGCGGCAGCATCCATGGCTGCAACTTCATCGGCAGTCAAGAAGCGGCCACCAGGACCACGCGGTCGCCGCATCGCATGATTGTGGCGTGACTCGTGGAGGTATGGTTTTCGTCCTTTCGACGTCAAGCGGAGGGCGTCCTCGAGCTTCTGACGGGCCAAGCGTCGCTTAAGGATGCGATGGAATTGTTTCGCATTGACGTAGAGCGGAGCCTCTTCCGCAGCGCCGGCCACGAGCTCCGGTGATTGTTGATGTTGGGCCGGAGCTTGTGACATGGGTGGCACGGAGGGTCTTGCGGCGTGGTTCATGACGGGCTGCGGATGCTGCATGGCCGGGCTGGTGATTTGAGTGCTCATCCTCCGCTGCGGTATTGCCTGGCCTGGAGGCATCTGTACTTGAGATGGCATACCACCGACGCTCATGGCGCCTGAGGCTGAGGTTGGCGATCGCGGAGCAACACGGCCGTCCGTCTTGATCTGAGTCCCAGCCATCCGCGGCGACGCGCGTGGATCTTGTGCAAGCTGGCCCCCAAGGCCTGCTTGATTGTAATAGTCCGGACCTACAGCAGCCGCAGTTGCCATTGCTGCTGCTTGTGTCGGTGATATCCCATACTGCTGATGCATCCCGGGAGGAACGCCATAATTCTGGGGGTAGCCCATCTGCTGGTGGGCTTGGTGTTGCGCATTCGGAGGGCCACCTTGATTGTAGCCCTGCGATGGAAGTATTGGTGAGGTTTGTTGGTACTGGGGGTGCATCTGCGTCTGTTGGTTTGGCGATGTTATTGACGCGTTGCCCGAAGGATTCTGTGGTGCCCCGCCGTAGTTCTGGAGGTGTGCTGGCGCATGGCCATGGTGCGGTTGCTGGTACTGCGCGTAGTCGGTCATGTCTGCGGTCTCCTAGGTACAAGATACCTGAGAGGGCACAAAGACAAGCTTGATGTACGCGACGTGAGAGTCGTGCCACTAGGTATTACCCCAGAAACGCCACTACAGAGCACAGACAGGTCTTGCTCGCTTGGTCTAGACGGCCGCCAGCAGTGATGTCGCGTCAGCGAGTCACGTCCGAGTATGGGAATGGGAGGAGGCGATTGGGAGGCGCGGTATCGCAAAGGTCGCGAACGGACGGCGGAGGATGCTGGGGGGGCGCGGCGTGAGTCGAGGAGCGCAGCTAGTGGCGGAGCAGTGCAGCCTGAATGGCAGGTCAGATCAGCGAGGTCCAATAAGTGATTCGGTTAGAGGGCGCGGACAGCCAATACATACCTGGAGGGAGCAGCTGGAGAGTCCTTGGGCGGAAACTGATACGGCACTGTCTCTTTGGCCTTCGGTCCGTCGTCGGATTATGAAGCTGCCTCGATAATGGCCTTGTTTGCTGGCGCGTGGTGTATGTCAGGCGGGCCGGGATATCAGGGCTTGCTGCGGCGAGCTGGGGTCACGTCACGGCAATCTGATGCTCGATGCGTTGTCAATGGCCACGCTGATGAGGCGGGATCGGGGGATGTGCGCGAAGCAGCCTCAGCACGGCGCTTGCAGTGCTTGGTGCAGCAGGCGCGCTGCTCGTGCGGCGGTGCGGTGCGGTACGGTGCGCTTCGACGGGCGGCTTCGAGGCAGCGGGATCAATGCGGGCGGAGAAAGGGCCGCGCCGTGTGGGGACCGTGTGCGGAGAGTCGCTGGGAAGGCGCAGGCAATTGCTGGGTGACTGCTGGAGCGGTGGTTTGTTAGCTAGTCGCGCGTGAGAGCAATTGGAGGAGGCAGAGGGTGGGCATGTGCTGGCGGGCGGGCGATTGGAGCGATGCGCTGGCAATGCAGGTTCATGCATGCCCAACGAGGAGCCCTTACCGTCTTAATCAGCGCGCGCTCCACGTCGCAGCTGCGAGGTATTGCGGTGCCGTCGCGAGGTGACGTTGGACTGCTGAGGGTGTTCGGGCGATAATCTATCCGCGGCTGTCGCTGTGTAGGCCTGCGGAGTCGCGCGGTGGGCGGAATAAATTGGCAGCGCGGCGCAGCGGAGGCAGTTCACGGGCCGGCGCTGTGTGTCGCGAGCCTGCGCATGTTAGCCGTGCGGTGGTGAAGGCTTTGTCGCGGTGCGAGATGCGACGGATGCGCTGCGCCAACTGCCCTCGCGGCGGCCGTGCAGCGGCCGCTGGCGGTCGCAGAGCGCGAGCCAGGCGAGAGCGCGTCTGCGCAGGTGGATGAGTGGACGACAACTGTTGGAGGACGTACCGAGAAATCTGGGACCGCAGGCAACGTCGGTCACGAGATTTTGTGGTGGTGAGGGCGCGCGCTGGTCGTGGGATTCGCTCTGGGGCCTTAGCCTGTCTTACCTGGGACTGCGGTGGGTGGCTTGGGGGCCCTGGTGCTCCACGAGGCCGTGGTGGTGCAGACTCGTGATAACGTCGATAGCTGCGCCGTGGTGGTGCAGGTTGATTGGGCGTGCGGCGGGCTGGTGGGTGAAGGAGACAGAGAGTGGATTGGGTGTGGGAGCGAGGCGACTAGGGATTTTATTCGACCGCCAGCGCTGAAAGCCCGCTGCGCCGCCCTATGGCCGCCGTCCGTGCCTGGGAAAAGCGATATCTGCAGCCAGCCAGAAGCGCAGCCGGACGCGCCAGGGACTCGCACGCAGTGGGCAGCGTGCAGCAGGCGAGCCAGCAGTGAGCAGGCGAGCAGCAAGCTGCGAGAGCGTCTGCAGGCGGCTGGGGCGAGGGCGATGCGCGGTGCAGCCGTCTGCGCGGGCGTGGAGGGCTGGCATCGATGATGCTGGCGGTGAGGCCCGGGCCTGACGTGTCTCGATGCCGGCAGTGACTGCGACACGAGCTGGGACTGGGCGGCGTCAGCGGTGGCCGCGCCCGAGCTGCGATTTGAGCCGCACTTTGCTTCCAGCGTCCCGGTGCGCGTGCAATTTGCAGCGGCGAGCAATCACAGGCGGGCACGGCGGGGTTTTCGCTGCGGCGGCCAGTTCGAGGGCGTGCTGCGTGAGAATTCGGCGGGCGGCAAAGGGATTGGCTGCTGCCGCCTCAATTTGCAACGCCCGTCCGGCCACCTGCCACCTGCCACCTGCCGCCTGCCACCTCGCACCTCCCTCCGAGTCCACGCCCGCCCAGCCCCGAGACACCTGCATCGGCATCCGAGTCAGGCCGGCTAGCGTTGCCGGTTTGTCGCTGCTGCTTCGCTGCTGCTTCGCTGCTGCCGCGCTGCTGCCTTGGAGGGGAGAATTGCAAGCTCTCGCCGTTCTCGCGTGCTCTCGCTCGCTTGCGCTCCGTGAATCGGCCTCCTGTGTCTGTGACCTCGTCTCCAGCCGGCGCGATAGCCACTCCACCAGCCCGTCACAGTCACACGGGGTACGGGCCACGAGGTACGTCGCCAGCGCCTACAGAGATGTGCATTCTCTTCACGCGCGCCGGCGCCAGGCACTCTCACCACGCCCTCGCTGCCCAGACGGGCGCTGATGCACCCATTGGCTGCCGTGCTGTCGCGGCTTCGTTTCACCCTGGCCTCGACGTCAGCGCGTGAATCTGCGCGTCGCCCTCTCCAACAGAAGACCGAGGGCTGCACGCCGATCATGCAGCCCTCAATCGGAGGCGAGAAGCGGCCCCCAAGCTCGATCCTCATGCACAGAATCCAGCCGGGCCTCGCTCACGCGTCACAGCCGAGCTTCGTTGCAGATCATCCATCGCGACCCGGTCGCCGTTGGAGTCGTGGGAGCTGTGCCTCCCATCAACTGGCTGCGCGCGGCGCCAGGTACCGCTGTTGTCCTGTCACGCACTGCGACGTCCCTAGAGCAGGGTCCAAGCTGTCTGCGACACCATGGAGGCTATCGCGAGTTTCGCCCAGCCCAAAATGATGACAAAATCCATGCCGCCAGCCCCGCTGCAAACACGATTCCCAGCATGCTGGTTCGCCCGCCCTGGGCTCCTTGCACGGCTGGCATGTGTGCCTCGGGCTCTATCCCCAGGCCGTCAACCTCCGGCCGCCTGAAAAGCAAAGACGAAAGCAAAGCCGGGGATTTGGGCGCCCGTGGAGCACAAGAGCCGGTTCTTCCGCTTATGTTTCGTCGTCTTACAGAACGAGTCCGTAGACTAGCCAGTACACAAGTGTATTAACCTCCAATCTAACAGGACGAGAGGATGCCTCTGAATGCTCCAAAAGAAATTTGGACGGGATATCAAGTTTGTCACGCCATGATCCAAGCGAACACTAGATGCGCTATTCACACCTGTTTAGCAGTGTCTGAAAGGCTCAAATCTTAGTTATCACGTGATCTCGTTCCACAGCTGTGAATAGACTTGTGCATGCCAAGTACGGCCAGTATACCAACTCCCTGCTCATTTCTCTCGTCCTCCCGTCCACAGTCTCACAGACACGCTCAACACGGACTTCATGTCTCCAGTCAGACTCTCCGTGATCAGACTCGTATAATCCCCCGCACCGCCGACTTCCTCATCGGGACTCGTCATCTAATTCTGCAATTACCCGTCACTGACAGCTTCCAACCACCAGACTACCGACAGCGCTCCCTGTCGACGCGGAAGCAGTCGCACAACCTTGGAACTCCTTCTCTGCAGCCTCGTCAGCCACCGGACTCGCCGACGCAAGGCAAGCCTCCCCAGGTCCCTTCTGTGCTTCAACCCCAGGACACGGAGCCCGACCCCAGCAAATAACCCAGGGATGTTTTGCAGCGCAGTCGCCTCATTCAAGCCCAACGCCGTCACCTGATCGCGCCCGCTCGCCATACCCTGTCATGTGTGTCTCCCAAGGACCGGAGTTCTCTCTGTGCCGATTCCACGCGATAGGACAGCCCTATATCTCGCCCAATCACGGCGCCCTTCACATCGAACAGATCAGATAAGGTTACTTCTCCCGCACGTCCTGCATCACGCACACACCCATTCCCCCTCTTACACCATCTGCCGAGCGGATCATCCACTCAGCAAAAAGCAAAAGCGCGTGCGGGATTGCGGATCGCGTTTTAACTTTACAACACGAATCACGCTTCCTGCGTTTAGGAAAAGCTCAGCAGGGTTGAGCCTGATTCGCTGCCGCTTCTATTGCCTGGGGTTTTCTGTTTCTCCACTTGAGCGCCCTGGCGCCCCTTCCGAAGACTGCAAGGGAGAAGCATGCTCACCCTCCTTAACTCCAGACTACAATGCTTTGGCCGCACGCATGTCTGTCATCCGACAGACCCGGCTCCCGTACCGACCGTGCCGAGGGTATCACCACTGCGCTGCCCGTGGGGTTTTCGTGATGTAGATTGGGCAGCGGATGGAGATATACATGAAATGAGGTGCAATCTCCATTGGATAGCGCGTCTGACCATGAGATCTCTTGACGCGGGAATTCTCGCAATCGAGGAAAAAGGATTGGTATGACAAGCGCGATGATGAGAATCGATTGTCGTTCGAGTGTGGAGTGTGGCTGCAGGGTCATATTGCTTTTCTGACCGGAAGCAATCCTGGGCTAAGGGAACCATATGATACTCGTCTTATAGTCGGACGACGTCTGCATATTGCGCCTCTCGGGGATCTACGGCCTCGAGCAATACCACAGATGCGGCCAGCTACGCTACACGCAGAAGCGGGGTGAGGCTGGTTGCGATTCTCTTTTCTCTACCATGCTTTACCTTGGATGCGCAATAAGCGTAAGGCTTCTAATCCTTAGAGGCGATATATGTTCGAAATCTTGGGAATCTTCTTCTCGAAGCCCGCCAAGAAGGACTGTTAGGTCTTAGATTGCCGAATCTAGTCACAGTTTATTCCTAACCCTCGAAACACTCAGCCTTCTCATCGTAATAAGCTTTGCAATGATATTATCTTGAGCAAAACTCCGAGAGTTTTTTCTCAAAATCAATTTCCATTTTAAGCTTAGTTGCGCAGCCACTAAGTAGATGTCTCTCAGTGTAACACTAGGGTATTGCGCAAATCATATTGGTTGGTTCCAATTTTTAGAGGTCTTGTACTGTATCGCTTCTCTTTTGCGTACTCAAAAAAGGACGCATACCAGATACTACGATCTACATAGCTACTAGCTTCAATTAGTAAGCTATATTTCAATGAGGACGACGTCATATTCCACCATAATTACATTTCTATCAAAAACCTCGGCACCAAATTCAACCTCATAAGAACTTCAACAACCGAGCAACGAATCCTTGCTCGTATTAGGGTGTCATACTCAAAAATGTTCTTCCTGATCCTCGGATCAACAGCTTCCATAGCCTCCGCTCTAGCTCTATCACTACTCTTTTTCCCATCCCACACCTCAAACCTCCTCCACGCAACCACCTCCCCAACCGCCAAACTCTCCTTCACCCCCACCCGCCTCACCCCCCTCGACACCGCCACCCTCATTCTCCTCGTCCTCCTTAAATACCTCCTCAAACTCATCGGCCTCCACCCCCCCTTCCACCCGTCCAAACCAGGAAATAGGGACATCGCACTCCCGCCCCTGATCCTCTCAGCACCCTTCCAATTAAACGCTTCCGACCTCCAGAAATTCACCAAAGCTGTCCAGAGTACCCATCCCGACGACGCAACAAGCTCGCCGCTCCTGCTCGCCGCCGCCACAGCCCCCCTCCTCCTCGTCCTCCTCGCCCACCGCGCTAACCCCGTCCTCCCCTTCGGCGCCGTCAACACGGGCAACCGCTTCGAGTTCCGCGAACCCGCCGCCTGCCGCGCCGTGCGCGCACTCCGCGCCGCGCAAGTCACGGCGCGGGTGGGCGGGGACGAGCTCCCTGGCAGGCGGGTCAAGCGCGGGGTGGAGTTTGCTGTTGTTGTTGAAGTCACATCACACAGCCAAATTGTTTTCAGGCAGGTCATTAGTATCTTAGCGCTCCTGCCGAAAGCGGCTCTCCCGCTTCGTGAAACACCCCAGCGATCCCTTCACCTGGAATCCGCGACATTATCTTCCTCGTCCGCCCCTCCTCCCGCATCGGAGATGCTAGGCAAGACATGGATGGGCGAGTTGGAGCTGGCGTATGGTGCGCCTACGGCGTGGGCTGCGGTGTGCAAGGACGTGAATCCTATACATGTGTCGGCGCTGGCGGCGACGGTGTTTGGGTTTCCGGGGAGGGTGGCGCATGGGAATCTTGTTGTTGCGAGGGTTGTGGAGATGATGCGGGAGGAGGGGAGGGGAGGCGTCGTCTGGCAAATGGAGAAGTCGTGGTGGATGGAGGTGGCGTTTCGAAGACCAGTGGTGCTGCCGGTTGTGTTGGGGGTGAGGCTTCAAGGAGGTGAGGGGGAGGGGGCGTTTGAGGTGCTGAATGGGAAGAAGGCTTGTGTGGTGGGGAGGTATGGGGTGCTGTGAGCGGACTGCTTGGGAGTCTGTACGTTGACGGGACGCTGTCTATGGTGGGCTGGCTAGCTAGCAGATTAGTCAAAATGATAGGCGGTAAGAGGTTGTGAAAGTTCGTTGAAGGACTCCAGACAATGGTAGATGAGCGTACACACTTCTTTAACTCTTAAAGGCACATAGATGGCCTAGAGTGTCTTCATGGGTTTTTAACAATCCGAAAGAGATTCAAATTTATCATTTTTGGCAAGAGGTCAACTCGCTAGACCCACCCCTAATCTAAGAGCGCGGAACATATATGCTTAAGATAGCATACGGTAGTCAACACCGCTTTTGGGAAACCTGGCTCGGATTACTGCCTTTCCCGTGACATCACAGCGAAATGGTTGATGTCTTAAGTGATGACTGGTGGTTAAGAATAGAAGTTGCCTTTCGGTCCTTTTGTAAGGCTGAGATCTAAGATCTGCTTTCTAACCGGGTTGGTGCTAGCGTTCGGATAACACAGCTCACAGTCTCACAGCCCACAGCCACAACCTCGTCTCTTCATCTGCACCGCTCAAGCTTTGACATGAACGCTTAGCACCGCCACAGAGGTGGTCTCGACACGGCCACCGGTTTGAGATGCCTGGAGAAATATGTATGATTGCTGGCTGGGTTGCCGGCCCACTAATCCTAACCTACTACCCAGATTCCAACATGCTGAAACTACATCGGATTCGCTCGGATCACGCATCTTGCAAGTAGTTAATGACTGGAAGGAACAGTTAGAACCCAAGTCATTGTATCATGCCCCTCGCCATCGCTTCCTTGGCCATATCTCGCTTCACATTACTCCACGCTTCTTTCGATGGTCGGTCTCGTCCCCAATGCTCTGTGCGCGACCACGGAATACTCGGGCAGACGGTCAGATCTCCAGATTTACATAATATTGGCCCCAGCAGCCCGAGTAAGGCGGCCGCCAAGGGCTGTGTAGTAAAGATCACCAACTCTACTCTCTTGATGTTTAAGCCCAACCTATCAGATCACGCCGCTAGTAAAACCGGCTATGCTCGTCTCATTCAGCCTCCACTACATGCACGTACACGGCCCCGGTCTGACGCCAGCGGCCATGAGGCTATGCTACTGCCATGGCGAAGCTTAACGGTGCTTGGTGGTGCTTGACAGTGCTGACTTCTAAGTGGACCTCTGTAGGATAATTTCAGCAAAGATGGAAAAAAAGGCAAGCAGTGCAAGGCTGAGGAGCTTGGGCTCTGTGTATAGCCCCATGATCCAGCGTCATCAGGCTGTTCAAGATGGTATATGAGGTGGTGAGAATCTTTCGGATGAGGGCATCACAATACCCCAGTGCCTATCAGTCGTTCTGATATAGCAGAGTTTCACCTGCTGCTTTCCTTTGTTGTCTCCTATCTCGTTTCGTTTTTTTTCACCACTCAGTATGCACTTCTCTATTACTACTATCGTTGCGTTCGTCGCGGTTGCGTCGGCTCTTCCGGCTTCCTATAATAATCACGTTGTGCATGAGAAGCGCGATGCTGCTCCAGCGAAGTGGGTTAAGCGATCTAAAATGGATGGGAGTGTTCATTTGCCGGTAAGTGAGGCCTACCCCCAGCTGTCAGCGCCCCGTCGTAGAAGTATGTACGCTGTCTTGCCACTGCTTGTGGTGCCTCATGGTATCTTCATCAGAAGGGAGCTCAGCGCTTTGGACAACCGGGAAACTCGCGAAGCCACGTCAGACAGCGGTCAAAGGACGTACACAGACTGGAACTTTGCTGACTGCGTTTTTTAGGTGCGAGTCGGTCTCAAGCAACGTAATCTAGAACGTGGCGATGAGTGGCTTAATGAGGTGTCAAATCCAAGTTCCAAGAAGTACGGCCAGCATTGGTCGATCGAGGAAATCAATGACGCTTTCGCTCCAAGTCAAGAATCTACAGACAAAGTGCTTGAATGGCTTGCTGAGCATGGCGTTACGTCCGCGGGCAAGGCTCCAGCCCTACATACCCTCGAGTTCGATATGAGCATTGCCGACATCGAGAGGCTGCTCAAAACCGAGTTCTTCGTGTACGAACACACCGAGTCCGGAAAGCCACACGTCGCGTGTGAGGAATATAGCGTACCGGCCCACCTCCGTGAACATATCGATATTATTACGCCAACGCTCCACTTCGACTCCAAGCCAAAAGCCGCGTCCAAAAAGCTTTATGGACTCTCAAAATCTTACAAAGATACTGATGTCCAATCTTGCGTCGACACCATAAGCCCGGACTGCCTACGCGCCCTTTACAACATTCCAGACGTCTCTTCGACAAAGCCATGCGGCGAGAACAGCTTCGGCATAGTTGAATACTCTGATAACTCCTACATTTCGTCCGACCTCGACGCCTTTTTCGCGAACTACTCCAAGCCCGCCGTCGGCTCATACCCTGAGCTCGTCTCCATCGACGGCGGTGTCGTCGACGATTCCAACGTTACCGACTTCGGTATACATGGCGAGTCGGATCTCGACTTCGAATACGCCATCCCCCTCGTCTACCCACAAAAGGTTACATTGTATCAAGTTGGCGACGGAGGCTTTTCCCCCGCCAATGCGTCCTTCATTAAGACCAAAGTCGTCAGCACGTCGTGGGGCCAGAACGAGTGGGAGCTCACACCCTCCTACGAGCGCTCTTTGTGCAACGAATACATGAAGCTCGGCCTCGCAGGCGTTTCCGTCGTCTTCTCCACCGGCGACTACGGCGTCGCAGGCAGCGCCGTTTCCGGCGATAAGTGCAGCAACGGCACCAACAGATTCCAACCCGATTTCCCCGCAACTTGCCCCTACGTGACCGCCGTTGGAGCTACCATGGTCGATCCATCCATCAAAGACCTCGCCAGCGTGCTCAAGAACGGCGGCCAGCCCGAAATCGCTATCAACCACACCGTCACCACCGCCGACGGCTCGATCGTAAGCGACGTCAAGAGCGGCGGCGGCTTCAGCGACGTCTTCCCCATCCCGGACTACCAGAAGGAGGCCGTGGGCAACTACTTGAAGAACCACAAGCCGTCGTACTCCGCGGCGCAGTACAACAACTCGGGCCACGCACGCGCGATCCCGGATCTGAGCCTCAACGGCGCGAAGTATCTTACCGTTTTGGGGGGCGGGCTGACCACTTCTGATGGCACAAGCGCCGCGACGCCCGTGCTGGCGTCGATGATTACGCTGGTGAATGAGGCGAGGCTGAGTAAGGGGAAGAAGAGCCTGGGGTTCCTGAATCCGGCGATCTATAAGAACTTTGATAAGTTTGGGAAGGATGTTACCGAGGGTGCGAACCCGGGGTGTGGTACTGAGGGGTTTGAGGCTGTGGAGGGGTGGGATCCGGTGACGGGGCTGGGCACGGTGGATTTTGAGAAGATGCTGAAGGTGCTGGGGGAGTTGTAGATGGTGGTGTACAGCTACTCGGATTCGTGTATTCTCGGGCTTTCGTTTTGGGAGATCTGAGATCGGTTTAGAGGACCTGGGGGGTTGCTGGGGTTTCCAATGCACGATGTCACGTTTTAGACGCTGTATATTATAGGTACGGATTTTACGTAATAGATGGCCAGTTTACGAGCAAGAGTGTGGTGCTTTGGATTGAAAGCATGACTTCTTCTTTCCTGTTAGAAGTTTTACTATAAGTAACCACGTGGTGTCAGTTTTTTAGATAGTTTAAACTATGCTACTTGGGTGTTCCTTTTGCGGTTTTAAATACCTATGGGAGACACCTCACGAGGTATGAGGCGCTCGCTGAGGTGGACGTCATTCTCCACATGGCGGAAATCACACTGCAGTCGAAGTCGTTAAGCTTATTTAGGACCACTCTTAATGGCATGTTCTCCTGCGTTCCTTATTCAGGGGGGTAAGATTGGTCTAGAGGGCTTTAAGGCATGGAATAAGGGCGCTTATGCATTCTGCTCCACATCGTCGCTTCATGAGCTCTCGCAATCACCTGTCACATTGCGAGTATCATTTCCAGCGCTGTCTCATCTCAGTAGCATTCTTTTTGCTTTCTGCCCATAGTCGAAATACTGAAGCGTTGCCCTTCATTAGTCTCATGATTTAATGCCCTCTCTGCTGTGCTTTCGACGTCAAATAGTAGTAAAGTGCAACGTTCCACTCAACTAAATCCACGTGCATTTCTCTGGCTGCGGTTTTGAACCCCCTTCAGGCCCATGATCTTCTCCTTAGCAACTTTCTGCGACTCCAAACTCCGCTCCAATCAATAAGATCCATTTTCCGCAGCAGCGACAGATCTTATACCTCTCTCGATCCCATGTCACGTGCTTTCACTCACCGCTCCCGCTCCTTATTTATCATCCCGCGCACTTTGTCCGGCGAAGCGAACGCGTCGCATGATCCCCCTGACTCAGCAGCTTAGCAGGTATCTTTCGAGTACTTAAGTCCTTCGCGACCGTCATTCTTGGAGTCAGCAAGAGGGAAATAGTTCGAGGATCAAAAACTAGAACTCCAGTGGTTCCATGGGAGCCTGGTGGGAGGGATTTGGGATCAAAATTAACGACTGGGCAGTACATGCCTTGTTCGGTACTCGGTAGCTTCACACAAGCTGATCGGGAGGCTGCAAAAGAACACAAAGAAACATGCCATAGTTTGCTTCGGGGTGGAGTGAGAGGTCTGGAGGTATTAAGAGTTCGATGATGATAGTTACCTCCCGACGGAATTCTCACTCAGCGGCAGCAGATTAAGGGGTACATATCCCTCTTCTTTCCCTAGCTCCGCTCGCTATCTTAGTTAAAAGCGATTCTCAACATCACTGCCGGCCTACTTCAGCACAGAGCCACTCCATGCTCCCATTCGTGCTCCCCTTGTTTTCACATACCCGCTCAAATCCCAGGGTTCCGCGCCAAACATAGTACACCGGCGGCGGCGATGTTGCAAGCCAAAGCTTACCATGTGGATAAACTTCAGGTCTGTTCTAGATCCTTCAAGTCTCGACCTTCGCTGCCAGAAGAAAGCTCGTCGAGCAGTGCTTTTGTACCCCGCGGCGAGCTCCCCGATGGCTGGTCACATGTTATCCTCATGATTGGAGAGCTTAGGAGAGTCCAATCACGTTCCCGTGGAAGTGCTAGCGAAGTCACGAGGGTCGCATGTGATTCGCGGCTTGGCGGGGTCTCTTATAGGTATATCTTATAGGTATATAAACTTCTTCCACGCTTGGCTGTGCGCTCGGCAGGGAGAAGGAGTCGTGTTCTATCAACATTTCAGAACCATTCCGCATCATGGAGCGGCAACTGGAGGACCTGTGTTGCAAAACGTTCCGTATGAGCGCATGATGGCTTGTCCTGGCCTTCTGGGGATTAAAAGCCCAGACGTAGTCTGTAATGGCTGGAGTGGCTGAAAAACATGGACCCTGCATCTACATGAGTCCTGAGTCCAACGAAAAACCATTTATAGTGATGATTAGCAGCTGAACCACTTGGTCGAGGCATGCTCTAGAAGTGATTTATTAAGAGGAGGGGCTAGGTGCCTCCCAGGTCTCGATCACTACCGATGAGAAAAGGAGCTCAACATCACCAAGGAACAACATTCAAAGTACCGCACCCACAGCACCACTCCATCGGGTGTAATTCCGCTGGGTTTGACACCATTCGACCGCTCCCAGTACCCGATGAATTGGCACTACGTCAAAGGCTTAAAGAACCCAGACCACTCCATTGTGTGGTAAGCTTGTCGATTTCGACCCTCCACCCCCACGCATTCTCTTCCATATTCAAGAACCCCATCATCTGCTCGAGAGAAGGATTTCGTACTCTCTCCGGGAGACCTCTGGCGCTAAATCACGTGTTTCACGTGCTCACTGCTCTAGCCCAATCTACCCCGTGGCAGGTTCGATTTTCCCCGACTATCGTAAGTCACGTCCCCACCACGTGTCTTCCTCTTTACGCCGTTTCTTCGACTACTTAAACTATCTCTCTCCTTCTTCTCCTCAGCTCAGCGAGGAGATTCGGGTCGAAGGATCAAACTCGAATGAGGGAGGCACGATGGAGTGGGAGGCGGTACTCTGCGGTCTTGAGATCAACAACGCCAGAAGGATGTGGCCATGGCTCGACGTCGTGGGTGGAAAGGGAGTATGGGTGGAGGGAAATAGAGTGAAGAGGAATGCAATGGAGTGGGATCAACGATTGCTATCAAAATGCACGATGGAGGTTTTGTGGTAGCACAATCACGGAGCACAACAACCAATGGAGGTGTGTAGAAACAAGTGGATCAAACCTCGATGAAGTGGTTGCTGGCTTGGCGGTAGACATGCGGACTGCAATGATGGAGATCAGTGAAGTTTAACGAGGACGACGAAGGTTTCCTGGAAGTTCTGGTTCCCGGTATTTACGGAAACGTTCAGGATCTTTGCAAATGCCCGGTGAAAAATGTCCTATGGTTAGAATTATGCAGTGCTAATGTTAGACACCACCATGGAACTCTAAGGTTTTACCATGGTCCATCACGCAATAAAAAAAGCTGGAGCCATGTGGCCAGTTCTCAGACCAACTGTGCATATAAGTAGGTTTCCTGTAAGACCAGCGCACCACCTTATCACCCGAAGCCAGCTATACAGACTGTGATACTCCCCCCCCCCCTCTCATCGCCAAAGAGAAACCCACCAAAATGAAGCCCTCCACGACCGCCGCCGCCGCTACCCTTGTCTTCCTCTTTGTCTGGCCTTCTCGCCACCGCTCTCCCCGCGGGGACACCAACTACCAGCTCTAAGACACCAACCACCAGCTCCAACGCAACTTACACTCTCACTCTCGGTCCCTTTCTCAGTCCTAAAGCTAAACTCCTGTTTGCTGAGTGGTTAAACAGGACTTAGCCTCAGGATAAACTCCTTGAAGATGATACGGTTAGGATGCCCATCCCCTCTCCCGGATATTTCCCCGAGTCTCCCAAACATCCGGGTATACTCCCTGATAATAATGAGATCGGGATTCATAACACTACTTCCGGAGGAAATTAGGGACAGTGGGAGGCACGACTGAGTTGGGATCGACAAGGCCATTTCCGATTCGTCATGGGTGTGGGGGATGATCAGAAGCGGATTAATATCGACGTGATGGAGACATGTTGGATTTTCGAGGAGGCGGAGGTTTCGAAAGAACTTAATCAAACTGATACCTTGGAAGCACGGATCTGCGCTATGTTGCTGAGGCGTCTTCAGATATCTCTAGTGCCGAAGTGCTTCACAGTTCTTAGAATCCTTAAATCAAATTACGACGTCGTCACAAGCATCCAGGCCTGAATCTAAATGCATAAGAAAGATGAAATGAAGTTTGCTTGCTTCCATACATTCGTTACTCGTATTCTCTAGCCAAAACACCTTACCCGCCAACTCATTCAACTACTGTCTACCCCAAGACACGCCCATCCCTCTCTGTCATACTCTCCCTATCCTCTCATACGTCGACTAATACTCCTTCTCATTTCCCTCATTATAGGTCACGCTCCTCTTCCTCTGTGCCTCCAGCTCATAATCCGTCAAGCTCATCTTCCTCTGCGCGCCCTGCTGGTGCTGCACATCCGCGACATCCTGGAAGCTAACACTGGGCACGAAGCCGGACGACTGCCACGCATGCGGCACCTTGGCGTACAACTCGTCGACTTGCTCGAGGGAGAGACCCTTGGTCTCGTAGATCATGCCCCACACGAAGAAGATGCAGATGAAGCAGCAGCCGCCCCAGATGAAGAAGACTTTGGAGCCGAGGTTGGCGTCGCCGGGGTCGTTGTTTACGAGATAGGGTGTTGCACTGGTGAAGAAAGGTTAGAGCACATTTTTTGAAAAGAGTTGGGTAACTAAGGTAGCACTTACTATGCAATAGCCCAGTTCAGAAGCCAATTGGACGCGGTGGTCATAGAAAGCGACTTTGCACGGACTTTGAGCGGGAAGATCTCACCGGTGACGACCCACGCAACGGGTCCCCAAGAGCAGGCGAAGAAGAAAATGTAGATACACACGAAAGCGATCAAAGCTTTCTGAGCGGCAAGATTCTGGACACCAGCTACAGTTCCGGTAATAGCGACGATGAATTGGCAAACGGCCATACCGATGGCGCCAAAGAGGAGTAGGGGGCGACGACCCCATTTCTCAACCATGTACAAACCCGGGAAAGTCGATCCGACATTGACACAAGAAGTGATCAAGCTCACGACGAACGGGTTGGAGATGCCGGAGTTCTTGAAGAAGGAGGTACCATAGTAGAAGATGAAATTCACACCAGTCAGCTGCTGAAGGGCTTGGAGGAGGCAGCCAGTAGCGAGACGGAATCCTAGGTTGCCCTTGAAGCAGTCGAAGTAAGTGGCCTTGCCAAGAGACAGCTCGTATTCGTGGTTGGCAGTGATCTCAGCCAACTCTTCCAAGAGAGCAGGGTGTTCGACGTCGAGTCTTCGAAGCTTGGAGAGCGATCTAGCGGCCTTCTCCGGCTTGCCCGTCTTAATTAGGTAACGTGGAGTTTCAGGAAGAAATATGCATCCCGTGATCAAAATGATGGCCCATGCAAATTGAACAGCAATTGGAATGCGGTAGGAGCCGGTATCATTGCGATTCTTTGCGGCATTGTCGACGATGGCGGCGAGAAGGAGACCAATGGTTATAGCCAGCTGGTAGCAACCGACGACAGCACCACGAATCCACTTGGGAGAAGTTTCAGACTGGTAAAGAGGGACTGGTGTCGTTAGTGCGAGCTTTGGAAAGGTGGGGGAGGTGCACTAACTTGTGGCTGAGATCATTCCGACACCATAACCCGCAAAGAAACGGCCAGCGACGAACATGGGAATCTGCGTAGCAGCGGTTTGCAGAATGACGCCTAAGCAGAAGACCATTACGCATGCAATCAATCCCAATCGTCTACCAATGAAATCGGCAACGGCTACTCATGTATTAGATTTCATTGAACCCGTTACACGACACAAAACTTACGAGCAGCAGTCAAGGCACCAAAGAAAGTTCCGGCGGAAAGAATAGATACAATCTCAGATGATTGGCTGGAAGTGACATCCGGTAGGTGGTCTTTGGTGTTGATATAGCCGGTTGAGAACTCCTTCCTCCAGTAGTTCATGCCCAGGATGCCACCAATCGTGCCAGTATCATATCTAGCGGAGGTCAGCTAAAGCCCAGATAGCGCATGAAGTTACGTATCCTACCCGAAGAGAACACCACCGAAGGCGACGAAGAGACCGATAAAAATGGCAGGCAAGGCAGAGCCAGGAGTGCCCGGAGGCGGCCTGAGCATGATACCCATCTTGAATTCGTCGGGAGGTTGCGCAACTACGATACTGGGTACAAATAGGCGCGAAGAGCGTCGGTATGGTGTGCTTGACACTTGGCGATGGTGGAAGAAAAAGAGGAGACCCGATGATGTTTATGTAGTGCTCGGTAGGTTGGTAGTGGTTTCCTTCAAGAAATAGTACGTGTCTGAGCTCCCAAAGCACTAGCAGCGGGCAACGACAGTGGCGCGCCGCGGCAGGATGGAGAAGCATCCTTTACTGGACGCCACCCATGTCTAGGCTATGATGACCACGGGATCCTAGGCCCGTGGCGGCTTGGGAGTGCGTGACACTAACGATCCATGGACGGCTCGAACCATGACGATGTGACCAACCGTCAAGGTGATCCCCGCTACCGCGGTTGAACTTGATGGAAACCGTGCCTCTAATTTGTTCACGGGACTATAAAATCAGAGAACACGTTTGAACTTCAGAATGACGACAACGCAAAAGTTGAAATCTAGACGAAACAGGAGTACTATGAAGATGGAATTGATGCTTTGGGTTGGAGGCTGATATCGGAAAGATCGCGGGAGAATAACAGAAAGTTGGAGGCGGCGCGCGGACACTACCAGAGGGTGCAGCTTTTAGCTTCATGCATGTGGGGAGTGGATGCGGGGAAAGAAGCTGCATCGTCAGAAAGTCGTGCCACCTACCTCAGCGAGACCCCGATGTGGCCAATTTTCGATCCCGATGCTGTCATAGTCATAATTGATCAGCTGCTACTTCGTGGATGCTCGCGTAGCTGTGACCGATCGAGTTTTTTTTGCCATGAAGCTTTACGAATTGTTTCTTCATGGATAGATTCAGAAGTGAAGCCTCGACAACAGCCCGGTGGCTGTCCACCCGAGAATCTTTCCGTGGGACTGCTTGCGAAGCAGGTTGCCGCTAAAGTGGTCTAGATGGAGTATTGCTCACAGTCTGCTTCTAGCCAAGCTTGCATTCTTCAGGAATAGTTACCTTTGTATGGAAGAATTCTAGAAGACTTCCAAAACTTGGCTTCGAGATCGGTCTATGACCAGCTAGCGTGGGCATCCGTGCAAACTAAGTGCCTTCTACACTCCTAAATGTCGGCAGTTGAAAACCCCGCCAAAGTCCAGAGCCTCCACAGTGGTGTAGAGGGATGGTTACAACAGGACCTTGTCAGCCTCCAGTCGTAGTCGACGCCAACGTAGAGAGGGTGTGGAGACACCACAGATGTGTTCCGGAGTTCCCCATGGAGAAGCCCCGAGCATCATGATCTGATGAAGCAAGGCGTGAGCTGAAACCCGCATTATGGAAGAAGTAGACCGGACTGAAGACTAATGCCAGGAGCCTGTCAGGCGGTTCAACATCGAGGCACAAAGCGACGCTGGATCTCGAGGCGGCCCTGGCACGATCGTGGAGTTTGGAAACGGAAAAGCGTTGATTGGACACGGTGGGAAAGGCCGTGGAACTTGCACTACTACTGTGAGGAGCGAGAAGATAATGCACGTAATCTTGGTTGGTGGCGTGGCACTACTTAGATGAGATTCCCAACGCAGGGTGTAGCAGGCCTCTAGAACGGAGTACATGGTGTTTGTTGGGATACAGGGAGTATCGACCCAGGGCATAAACCTATCGGAAACAAAGGTGGCGATTGACACCGCAAGTCTAGGTTTTGAAGAGGTACTGGTGGTTGCAAGGAGGTTGAATTCTGCCTATGCGATGATCTACCTAGGCGATGATCTACTCGAAGGATCTTGCTGAAGTGTGGAGAGCGGTGCTAACGAAGAATGAAAGATGTCGGGTCTACATCCCGAATTCAAAGATTAGAATGACTTGTCAAATATAGGAGAAGTTCTCCAATCAAGGGAGCCGTCACTCATACCATAGGTCAGTAGAGCTCAATGTATTGGACCTCGATCTCTGTCACATGATTTACACGTGATAGCTTCACTCGTAGAATCACTACTTCTGTTCAATGCCCTCCAACTCACGAAAAAGCTCGAATTCTATGCAACAACCTTGAAACGGTGAAGGACGACGCACGTCTGGTTCAAGATCTCGAACAGTTCACGTCCATATCAATTGACCAATCAACGCCCTCCCGCCCCTCCAACAACGCGTCGCGTTCCCTTGCTCCATAGATTTTCCTCCAACACCACACCGCTTTCTCCACCTTAACACACTCCACCAATTCCTCCCTTTCCTCTCTACCATGACCACTCCCATTGACTCTGCCTCCACCCCCGCCGCCGAAATCCTCCACGAACCACCCTCTCTCCCATCCTCCCCCCTCCCCAAACGAACAAAAGTCATCGATCCCACTCCCCTCAACAGCTCCTCCGCCCTCCCCCGCGGCTCAGACAGCGGCGCCGCAACACCCACTCCCCTCGCGACGACATCAATAGGAACACACCACCCCACACACGCGCTCGGCTCGTCAACAATGGCAGAAGCGGCCCCAACGCTACAGGTGCAGTTCCTGAGCGACAAGGCCAAAGCCCCAACGAAGGGGAGCGAGTTCAGCGCCGGCCATGACCTCTACGCGAGCGCGGATATCGTGGTGCCAGCGCGGCAGCGGGCGAAAGTGGCGACTGATATCTCTATCAGCGTGCCTGTGGGAACGTGTAAGTGCCCCGTCCATACCCCCTCTCCTCTCCTCTCCCTTCCACCGGGAAATAGTAGCTAATCAGATATTGGATATCCAGACGCTCGCATCGCCCCCCGCTCCGGCCTCGCCGCCAAACATGGCATTGACACGCTCGCTGGTGTGATTGATGCTGATTACCGCGGCCCGGTGATCGTGCTGCTGGCTAATCTGTCTGACGAGGACTTCGAGATCAAGGCGGGCGACCGCATTGCGCAGTTGATTGTGGAACGAATCCTCATGCCGACAGTCGTGGTGGTTGAGAAGTTGGAAGAGAGCGTCAGGGGCGCCGGGGGGTTTGGGAGCACGGGAGGGTTTGGGGGCGTGCTGGGAGCTACTGTGGTTAATGGGGTTTAGGAGGTCTGAGAAGTCCGAATGGTGGTTCGTCGATGCTGGGCAATATAGATGGGGACTGGCACGTCTGGATTGGCGTTTGCATCTGGGATAAGACTGGTATTACGAGCATCTGGAAAGATGAGATTGTTTCAGATTACCCCGATTAACTCACACAAGGTCTTTGATGGTTGGGCATAGAGAATCGATCGACGCTCTCGTACAAATGACTCGGCCTCTCGTGACACTTCTCTCTGGTATTATGAGTAGTAGCCCAGCTTGTCAGTAGCTAGTCAGTCAAGGAGCAGTGTGATTTGCACCGCTTGAAGAATGACATCGCCACTGGATTTTTGTAGTCCCATGAGGGAACTTATGACCTGTCTCTGTGCCAGCGGCTTTCTATGGCTATCCCAAAATTCCACCAACTCTCTAGCTCAAAACTCATCCTACTCATCGTCATCCCCCACATCATCCACTCCCAACCACTTTGCCCGACACTTCACCGCTTCCGTCCTGACGACCCTCTTCCTATCATCCAACGCGCCCGTCAACCGCTTGATCACCTGCCTCCGATACGGCAGCACAATCTCCGTCCTCAGCGACGCCGGAACCTGCGCCAGACACTTCAGCGCCACCGCGCGGACTCTCGCCGGATCCTGCAACACCCCTTTTGCGCCTGCCGCGGGAACCTTGCCTACAGCTGGCGCAGCAATGTTCAGCAGCCGCGTAATCAAGCTGCCCACATGCCCTTCAACCGCCTTCGGCAGGTCGGTCAGCAGCATCTCCAGCATGTCTACTGCAGCCTCTTTGACTACCTCCTCCCCCTCCAGATCGAGGCTCTGTAAAAGGAGCGGCGCTAGCGTTTCCAACTCCTCTTTGACGACGGCGAATGGAACCCATCGCAGAATGCCGCTCAGTGCGATTAGGTAGTTTGGTTTCGTTTCCGCGTCCGCTTCTCGGACCCTGGTTGCGATTTCGGGGACCAGGAGTGTGAAGACTTTTTGCTTGTGGAGACCGGAGATCGTGCAGTGGTTCTGCTTTGTCAGCAGGTCGTCTGGCTGTAGTAGAGTCGCGAAGCCGTGCGCGAAGAGCTTGCCGAGGTTTTGGTCGGAGAGGAAAGAAAGAAGAGGAGGAAATAAGGTGTTGAGGAGTGGACTGTTCCTGAGCACTAGGCCTTTCAGTATCGAGAAGATGACGCGGACTGATGATGAGTTTAGGGCTCGCGGATCGACCAGCCCACTTTGAGACGAGAAGATTGGCTCGATGATTTGTTTGAGTAACGAAGTTGGGATGAACTTGTTAACGATGAGGGAGATTTGGCAGAGTGAGGCGGCGCGAACCGGGGATGACAGAGACAACTGATCGGAAAAGCTTATTAGAGCATTTAAGAGACTTTGTGGTTCACTAGGTAGTGGTACGTCTCTGCGAAGAGCGGCTAGCAGATGGGCGGAAATTATTGTCCATTTCGTTTGTTGAGGAGAACAAGCCAGCTTGAAGGGTGGAAGGTCGCTCTGAGAAAGGCCGCTCGAGAGTGTGTATGTTGAACTCGCTATTTGAGATTGTGAGGGGCTGGGTTGCGATCGGATGATAATGTTGCATATTCGGCCAACGAGGTCCAAAGTCGATTCATTGTCGAATGCCAGTTGAAGGGATGGGTCTGCGCTAGAGACTTGCGAAAGGAGAGGCACGACGATATCTTCGTAATATGGAGACGTTTCGGTCGCCTGTTCGATTTTGGATGACCCTTGGGTAAGTGCGTACAGGATAGCAGTCAACAGAGCTCCCAGATAGGCTGACGAGGCTCCTTGTTTGATGGCTGCATTGAGCTTGTTCTTGAGCCGTAATATTACGGTGTCGAAGACTGCTCCTTCGCTGCTCAGTTTTGCGAATGCCTCGAGAACTGGAATATAGCTGAGTGATCCATCCACATCACTATCGGGGAGCTCCGCCATGAAAGCGGGGAACGCTCTATCCACCACCAACTGTGGTTTTTGATGAGCAATCTCAAGGAGGCCATTGATCGCAGCGGACTTCATTTCATCGTCGCCATGTGATTCCTCTGTAATTACCACGTCGTGGAAGAGTTGGATTATCCTCGTGATTTCTTCGTCCTTAAGAAGTTGCCGAACTTTTGTAGATTGTAGTAATCCGTTCAGACATACCACACGGAACGAGACTTCTTTGATCGGTGCTGTAGTGAGTCCGTTGATCATGACTTGAAGAGCTTGCTCGTTAAATTCGGTCAAAGCATTACTCGCAGGATCGACGTCGGCCTTTTTACTCAGGTACCGCCACTCTCCGAAGACTTTCGAATTAGCTTCCACCAATTTCACGTAGACCTCAAGCAAGCCCCTTCTCTTTGCTATGGTATCGGCAGTTTGAAAGAGCGTGAAGAGGTTTGGAAGAACGATGGCCAGGATAATGTTTGTGACTTCTGGGGAAACACTTGACAGTTGATATAAAATCTGGCCTGTTGCTTGCGACTGCTTTGTTGGAGCGTCTTCAAGGTGTTCGTTGCACTCTTTCGTGACTGGCCTCAAGTAAGCGTTCAAAGAACCGGTGGTACCCTGAGAGAGCGTATTGGCGATTTCTCCTAGGGCTGTAAGCGCTTCCTGGGCCAAGTCATCTTCCTGCGAGTTCAAAATCTCAAATTTGAGCGCATCCCAAAGGGTCACTGAATATAGTGAAACTGTCCTCGGTCCGTATTCCATGACACACGAACTGATGGTTTGAAGCACGTCACGCTACAACAGATTAGCCTTCCGGATATACGAATCATATATAAAGCATCGGAATCATACCTTAGTGTTCATAGACGTGGAATCTAGCTTGTCAAGTAGAGCCGGGAATGAATATGGTGCAAAATCGGCCGTTGATGCAATGCAATCACGCAGTCGATCTTTCAAATCCTGGGCCGTAATTCCATACGGGTCGTCCGGAGGCGGTCTAAAGGTAATGGGGAAATAGTTGAAGACGGCGTCAAATAACTCCTGGAGGCATTTAGCAGTTGCACAAGACGCACCCTTAGGACCATTCACCTGAGCATCTGCACCAATTGCCCATTCAGTCATGGGAACCTTTAGGATGGAAAAGACTACCATCAAATTGCGAGGGTCCTTCTCGCCGTCGAAATAGGAAATGAAGCGCGACATAAAGTCAGGTGTAGTATCATGTAGAGTTCGTAATGCTCCGCGGAGATCAGCTAAAATTCCCAAGAGTGTTATGTTCACGGTATATCCTTACCATTTCTATACTTTGCCATCAAGGCATCTATTAGGGTCAGAACCGGGTATCTTTCGCTCTGTTGTTTGTACTGTCGTAGCGGGTGGGTGTTGTTGATCAGCCTATCCTCTCGTTAGTATGAGTAGACCCCGTGAAGGCTCTTTGTACGAACGATTCCGTGACAGCGGTGGCTCGCTCATCATCCCATTTTCCACGCTCTTCCAGTGCCATCAACGCCTTCGCGCATGCGCCTAAGCCGTTCCCATCGTCGGCGATGCGAGAGAGCACGAAGTCGCAGAGTAGGTTTCCTGATCCGTCGGTTCAATATGCTGTTCTCACGTATTTCCGGGAGTATAATGGGGAGTCTTGTAACGACTCGAGAGCGAGAAACGTACGCTGGTGTCTCGACAAGATTTTCGGGGGGACGAAGGATAGCACCTCCGCGAGGTAGGCCATAGCTAGCAGCAGTCAGTATAATTCCGTAATATCTTGCCAGGATATCGTACCCTTCGCCCTAATTGTAAAGTCCTCATTGTTGATATATTCCCCCAGCGATTCTATCAACGCGACAAGCTTCAGCTCATTATTCTGGAGCCCTAGGATACGCGTCAGTAACTGTCAATCACGAGTCGCATGCCATCTTACGGGTAGCGGACTGCTCCGCAATGCGCGAGGCCTCCTTCTTGTTCTTGTCAACATCCAACAGGTAGAGTTGGATATCTGACATCCTCACGGCGTCGCTGCTGGTAGTGTTGAAGCTGGAGGATCGCGGGCTAAGAAGTTCAGACTTCGATGCTTTTTTGATGACGGAAGAATCGCGCGGCTGTGATTCGTTGGCGACGATCCCAGCCGATGTCGCTCAGACGTGGGGCAGAAAAATATCTGAGGCCGAGCGGTGACTTTATCCATCCCAAGCACCATTGGAACACTTCGGATGGAAACTTCACTTCAGATATGAGGGTTTCTACTCCATAATCTCGCCCAGTATCCTTTCTTCTTCTTCACTCTCTTTCACCATCCCAATTGCGCCCACCATGTCTGCGCCCGAAACTGATACCCCACATTGCAAGGTCGTGCTGGCCGGAACCATTGCGAAAAGCCTTCTCGCAGAGGTCGCAGAAGGACTCAAGCAAATCGAAAGGAAGCCTTTACTGGTCGGCTTCCTCTCCAGTGCAGACCCCGCTGCCAGAGTCTACGCCGAGTGGACAGGAAAAACCTGCCGCGAAAAGTGAGCATGTTCGTGTTTTTCCCCTTCATCTGAAAGCAGTTCACTCGTAAAACAATTTGAAGCAGAGACCATAGCTAACATTGCCAATCTAGTGGCTTCGAATTCTCTCTCCGCGAAGTCCCCCGCGACGACCTCGAAGAAGCCCTCATCACCGTCAACACCGACCGCACCGTCGACGGCATCATAGTTTACTACCCCATCTTCGGCAACCGGCAGGACCAGTACCTCCAGCAGATCGTCGATGTCTCTAAGGATGTCGAGGGCCTCTCTCACCGCTACATCTTCAACATGTACCAGAACATCCGCTTCCTCGACTCCCACAACGCGAAGAAAAGCATCCTACCCTGCACGCCTCTAGCCGTTATCAAGATTCTCGAGCACTTAAGGGTGTATAATACGATTCTGCCGTATGGGAATAGGCTGCATGGGCACACGATCACGGTCATCAATCGCTCAGAGGTGGTAGGACGGCCGCTAGCGGCGCTGCTGGCAAATGATGGGGCGAGGGTGTATAGTGTTGATATCGGGGATGTGCAGCAGTTCCATCGCGGCCAGGGGCTCAAGAAGAAGAGGCACGAGGTTGTAGAGATGCCGGGTTGGACTCTGGAGAACTGTCTGCCGGTGAGCGATGTGGTGATCAGTGGCGTGCCTGGGGACAGCTACAAGGTCCCCGTACATTTGTTGAGAGAGGGTGCGGTGTGCATCAACTTCTCGAGTGAGAGGGTAAGGACCTACCTTTTCGGAGAAACATCTTTGGTGTCCTTGAATGCTGATAGATGTGGCACAGAACTTCAGCCCAGAAGTCAAGGAGAAGGCATCAATCTACGTCCCAGCCATTGGGAAAGTCACGATCGTCGTGCTCCTACGAAACCTTCTCGTAAGTCCACCTATTGTCCTCCCGTAATTTGTGCTCAACCTCAATAGCGGATCGTACAAAACCGAATAGAGACCGAAGCCGAGCCCGCAAAAGCCGTAGAAAAGCCCGGCACGGTAGAGGAGGCGGCACCTGCTGCGTCATAGCACTGTAATATACACATAGAGTTCCCCTTGATACCCTAGCAATCAGATCTAGTTTTCCACTGGGCTATGTTTGCTTTCTGAGCTACAAAACCTGAGTTGTGGGATCAAAAGTTATAAAATAAGTATAATTTTCAACCTCTCGTCCCCACGCATCACGTAGACGTGCGCAGACCGTGACCCTCTGCCTCACTTTGCCCATGGGAAGCACCCGAAGCGTCACCCAGAACTCTAAAAAACACTACTATCAAACCTCATCCGTCAGAGCCACAGCCAAAGCCCCCTTCTGTCTTCCCCATCTTACTCCCTCTTCACCCTCCCCTCCCAAGCCGCCAGACTCCACCGTTCCAGCCCCCACGCAACCACACATCCCACCGCCAACCCCGTAAACACCCTCTTCTGCGGATCCTCCCTCCCGCCCCACTGCCCCCTAAACTCTGGATCCACCCACGCCGTGCCCGGATACCAGATCGCGCTCACTCCCGCAACCCAATACAGCGAGCCCAGCAGCGCAGCCGTAGTGATTGAGTCCTTGCGCGTAGCGACGGCAGCGGAGACGGTAGTAGCGACAGAGAACGTCGGGGTGAGATAGGGGGTGCGCCAGGTGTAGTAGAGCGTGAGAGCGCCGAGGAGCACGCCGAGCGACATGGTTTGGCCGTTGTGGAACTTGGCGTGAGGGGGCCAGGCGGGGTTGTGGATGTGGGTGTGGCTGCAGCGGGTTAGTGGTGGGAGGGAAGGGGAAGGGGGTGAGGTACTTGAAGTCTGCTTTGAGGGGGCCGATGATGCAGAATAGGCTGATGAGGGTGAGGAGGAGGCGGCCTGGGGTGATGGTTGGAGGGTGAGGCATTGTGGGGTGGTGTTTGGTTTGCGGAGTGAGTTTGTTTGTCCGCGGGAGGATGAAGACGATGAATTGGGGGAGTGGATGTAGAAGAGTGACGTTGGTTTTAAAGAAGGTAGCAAGGAAGGCACGATTGGTCACCTGACGATCTTGAATAAAATTGGGGAGTCAAAGTATCTCTTCTTCAGTATTTGCTCCTCGTGAGCCAGAGTTGGTATGACAAATGTAGCACGTGGCAGTGCACAAATTGAGGTGTGACAGAAATGTTACCCGTTCAACTGCTGCCAGCGATAGATGGTTGTACCCGTTCGCCACTGCTTGGGGTCCTCCCATGGAATCTCAAAAGTTTAGACATGATGTCAAGTTTTAAGCGGTGCAAATTACACTAACTTTCAAGTTAATAAATACTAGCTAGCTAGGCCACTCCTTATAGTGGTGTTATTAAAGCAAGATTGGAGCTAAGCAGTGGTAAATCCTTGTGCCCAAACTTTTGGCTTACTACTCTATATTGGAAGCGAAAATTCACAATGCCGAAGAGTGAAAGCAACATAAAAGTCAGAGGCAACGATCCCCCATTGTTTCCACACATGGTGTTGGCTGACTCAGCACCTTTGAAAACGCGCAAATACGCGGCGTCTTATTATTAGTTAGTCTAGTATACAACCTAATGGCGGAATCTTCACATCCTCTACTTGATGAAATAGTAACTTTCTTTCTACTGACTAGAACGTATTGTGATTCATACGAGGAGTCACCCAGATACCTGGCTCCATCTTAACCATGAACTTTTGCCTCGAACACCGATCAATCGAATTCACAGTAGTGGACGACTCCAATCTGGGTACTCTTGGACAGAAAATTGGCTCAAAGGCTCTGACTGGTTCTTTGCAGCCCGGCAACGAAATTTACTTCCACTCTCCCTAACTAAGTGATCTAGAGGAGTCGGCTACAGCAGGACCAAGCAGTCACGGGTGCACTTTTGTTCTCTAATGATTTTAATCCATTATAAGCTCAAACATGTCTCATATATGTTTGGGGAATATGATGAAAAGGGTACACGGCGCCCGAAGAATGAAAATTGTTCTCCCGTAGTTATCTGGCTAATTCGAGATGGTATCGAGGGGACACTTGGGATCGATTGCGGAGAGAGGGGATGTTTAATGAAGCTTGCGCGCATACCAGGTACGTCTTACAACTCATTGCTGCCGCTTTTTCATTGAGGATCTAGCATTAGAGCCAACTAATGATCTTCGCAGAAGCACTGAAAAGGTTTACAATCGATGATTATGACCCGATGGATACAAGTACGGGATCCTCAAAAAGCCTTGAGCCTGCAAACCATTGGCTCAAGAAATGCATTGAAAGCAATCCAATTTGTGCTCGATATTGAACGAAGAACCGGCCACAACTTCCCACACGAGTCGTTGATGTGGGATCTCTTCGGGCGGTGACAGTGTACAACTCTTTGTCTCTCAAGGTTTGCCTGCTCAATACATCGCCGTTAGTTATTGTTAGGAGCTTGACGGAGCCGTGACAACCACAACCGCCAATCTCATTCAAAGATAGCAAGATATACCGCTCTCATCACTCTCGCAAAATTTCCAAGATGCAGTCATCACCACTAGAGCGCTTGGAGTGCGTTATTTGTGGATTGACTCTTTATGCACATATTCCGATCGATCTAGCATCTAGAACCTCAGAAATCTGAGGTCTCTTTTTATTAAACATCCTCAGGAGCCAAATCGGGACCTTCGGAGTACGGGAAATTTTTCGTCCGGGAACATACGATTAAGTTAGCCTGCATGACGTGCGGAGGGTACATTATTCCCATCGATCCACACAACAAACAACGCAGAAACTTAAGGTGTTTGATTTCGCACATTTAGCGTTCCGGATTGGGAAATCTCCCCCTCCGCGTTTTTAAAGTGGAAACGTATTAATACATCGCTTTCTAACCTCCTATCCTTATTTTAAAACAGCGCAAATTTTGCTTCCGCCGGCGTCACTAATCGTAGGCGGTAAAGCATAGAAAAGTAATAAGATATACTTAGCGTTTTTGCTCTACTTCCTAGCTTAGGGAGCACTAAGATGAGCAGCAGTAATAGGCGAGTGCGGTGGTAGGTGAGTAGCGGGTGAGCGCTAGGTGAGTAGGTGAGCGCGGGTAAGTAGGTTGGTTCCTAGGCAGGAATCTCAGTCCGTCTTCTGGGCCCAAAACTGCCCTTTCAAAATAGCCTCTAAGAGCCCATTTCAACCATTGGATTTCATAGAGCCTCGCTTGCAGCCACACCCTTTTTTGCTGCGCCCACACCCCTTTTCTATGCACTGCCTCACGCCCGAGAGAGAGAGAGAGAGTTGTATTAAACATGCTGATTAGTAGGCCCGACCGTAGCAGGAATCTCTCACTGAGTTGCTCAGGCTCAGCCCTATGGAAAGGCCATCCGGCGATGGGACTCCAGCTGCCGGCCAAACCCAGAGGGCCCAAGCAGTTATTGGTTGAATTATTAATGTAGTGTGGGTATTCACGATCAAGAGCTATGGTGATCATAGGCTAATGACCGGATCGCGGTCATCTTCTTGGGAGGAGAAGAAGCAGACCATCTGGGAGGAGAAGCAGATGAAGCCTGCACAACGAACGAACAGCAGCGAGAGAGGACGAACGAAGGACCGCGATGAGGATCCAGAGAGACGACGAAAGGACGTGCCTGTATAGGCGAGAAGCCGATTGCTCCTAAGGCGATAGCTGCTGTTTGTTCATCGTGCATAGAACATTCAATTGTTGTGTAATTCGTGTTCTTTGCCCTCGGTAGCGGGGCAGGTGGCCCACTTGCTAGTGAAATAGGTTAGTTAACCCACCCCTGTAGCGAGAATCGCCACGTCAGCGCTGAGCGGGGCTCACGAACTCAGCTCGCGCGCAACCTACTATACCTGAGGAGTATACACCATTCATCAATGAGTTATGGATACACGCTCGAAAACATTAAGACGGCCCGATTTCAATAGGGTTCTCGTCGCGTTGGGCAACAAGAAAGAGGCAATACAAAAACCTAGCCTCGCGACGAGCAAAAGTCTCAAAACCAATTTAGTAGGGAACACAGACAGGTAGATACCATTTGATATCACTTCGAACTTCTTGACGGCTATACTGGTACTGAGCCGTGCTTTTCAATAAGCGACAAGGAAAATACTGCTTTCGATGTTGCGTTCCAACAGCACCTCGAAAAGCTCCAGACAGAGGAACGGAACACTTTTAAGAATGCTTACGACCAGATAACCCCAGAGGCTCTCCTCGACAAAGTCAAACTCTTTGACGAAGCCCACAATAAAGGGTCGTTTGCCCGCAAGCGCATTGGACCACTGGAGAAGTTCCTCACTGTTCTCGACGGACTCGTGAAAAGTGTCTCAATTGGCATACAGGCCTACCCGGACGTATCCTCTCTCATAGTTGGAGCAGTCAAGCTTGTGGTCGACCTTGCGCTGAGATGGGTGACGTTCTTCAACAAATTTGCGGACATGCTATGTCAGTTCTCCGAGTACCTGCCCAGCTTGGAGAAGTATGCCAAATCCTGCGATGAGAGAATTTTGCAAGACGTGAGAAACTTCATGATCGCCATCATTACGTGCGTTGCTGATCTTCTGAGAGGCCCTTGCGAATGTTTACGGAGACCTTCTCGATTTTTGTAAGAGCGGGCGTTCTATATTTGTACACGAAGACGGCTCTAAGAAAAGTAAGTCAGCGCTTTTCAGATGTAGTAAGTCTAGTAGCTAGGTATCTAATTAACTTGTGTACTTAGAGCACGTTTCCCTAAGGAGTCTCCTCCGCGTTCAGTGGGAGCCTTTCGAGATCCGTTTCGGGGATATCAAACAGCGCATCGTCAACCACATCAATCAAGTACTTCATGCAGCTCAGGCAACAATCCTTAATGCGGTGATTGACCGGGAACTGATACAAGAGCGTAAAGACTTTCTACAATGGATTTCAAAGGTGAATTTTGAGGAATCACATGACAGAATATTCGCCAGAAGACACCCCAACACCGCTCAGTGGATTTTCCAAACACCGGAGTTCGAAGAGTGGTTCAGCAACACTTCACCGGATACCTTGTGGTGCTACGGAAAACCAGGGACTGGGAAGTCCGTCCTTGCGTCCAGTGTAATCGAACATATTACCGCAAATTTCGCCTTGAGTGAGAATGTCGGCATGGCGTTTGCTTACTGCAACTTCGAGTATCCGGATACGCAAAAACCATCTCAACTACTTGCGTCTTTTATCAAGCAGCTGTGCTGGAAGAAGGATCCTATTCCTGACGAGTGGCTTTCGAAGTTCCATAAGTATGATAGGAATGCTCAAACGCCAAATCTAGACGCGTATCTTGAACTTTTTGAAATGGTTGCCGCAAGCTTTTCCCAAGTATTTATTGTTATCGACGCTCTTGACGAGTGCAAGGTCGAGTTCAGAGAGCAAATCATCGACTTCATATTCAGACGAGATCGAGAAAGTGAATCAAAATCGGACACCAAAGCATCCGAGACCCAGGTTCACTCGAACATGTGTCTAAAGATTCTGGTTATAAGTCGAAATGAACTCGATATCTCAGAAGCATTTAAATGCCGTGCTATTCCTACCATTCAAATGGGAACTGAAAACGTTTCAAAGGATATTGAAATTTTCATTCGTGGCGAAACGAATCGATTGATTCAAAAGAACAAGCTACGGATATACAGTTCAGAGTTGAAAGAGAAAGTTGTCGAAAGGTTGACTTCGGAGGCTGATGGCATGTATGCTACTTCTCGACCTGCAAAAATACGCATTATCTAATGTCAGGAATCAGGTTCCTATGGCCGAGACTTCAGCTTGACACGATATGCCGAGAGAGGAGCGAACAAGACGTCGAGAAATGCCTCAAAAATCTACCGCGGCACTTAGATGAGACGTACTCTCGGATGATTCGACAAATAAACGAGCAGTCAGACTCTCTAAGAACACTCGCGTATAAGACGATCATGTGGGTGTTGCATGCTGCACGGCCTCTCAGAATAACCGAATTGCGACATGCTACCGCCATCGGGGACTCGGGAAGGACTTGGAAAGACCTCCGTCCTTACGATGCAGACGTGATCATTGACGCTTGTGCAAACTTCCTCGTTGAAGAGAACTTAACTATTCGACTCGTTCACTACTCAGCAAACGAGTACCTCAAAGCCTCATTTCATCATTCACAACTGACAGATGCACTGGACCCAAGTTATGCGCATACACAGCTCTCTTTTGCTTGCATTCGCTACCTGCTTTTGGATTTTCCAAAAGAGGGGCCATGTCAAAGCCCGAAAGAACTATACCGAACTATTCAGAGATACACGTTCTGTTTTTATGCTTCAAATTTCTTTGACTTTCATTTGAAAGAAATGCTGAATATTCATGACGATATCGTTAAGTTGATAAACAAGTTTTTCTCCCTTGGAAACGGCGCAATAGCAGCGGTGTTGCAGATCCGAAGGTTGTCGAATGCTTTCGATCACGCTCAGGTTGAATGGGATTTCGACCGAACCCGCTATTCTGTCACTCCGGCAACTATCCTTTTTGCCACTCGCCTATGTGAAGTCCCTTGGGTAGCGAAAAGAGCACGGTGGCCAAAGCCAGGCCCCCCGAAAGCTCCCACAAGGGCTACGATACACGAAGCTGCTAGGGCCGGAGAAGTTGAGGCGACGAAGCACTTATTCAAACAAGGGAAAAGCGCGAACGATCTGGACGAGAATGGCGCAGAACCACTATACTACGCCTGTCTCAACGGACAACAGCCCGTTGCAACCTTTCTCGTTTTCAAGGGCGCTAACGTCAATCATCAAAGCGGATCCTTCGACAAGGGCAGCCCATTGCACATCGCAGCTCTTGGGGGCTATCTTCAGATAGTCGAGATGCTGCTCCATAACGGAGCGGAACCTAATCTAGAAGCTGGACAGTACGGCACAGCCCTAGTCGCAGCATGTCACGGTGGCCACTTGGAGACGGCGAAACTCTTGATCAAACATGGCGCAACCCCTCAGTACTGCGGCTCCAAGGGTTTCACTGCTTTGAACGAAGCGGTGCTCTCTCGAAAAGAGAGCCTTGTACGAGTGCTCCTGGCGCACGGAGCCGACGTCAATGTTGAGGCTAGCAACGGTCTTCCGGTCTTGCTAGCCATCAAAAGTGGTCTGGAAAATATTGCGATGCCGTTGATCGATACCACGGATGTCAACCTCACACAGCAGAGATATGAGACACTCCTCCAAGCAGCCGCCAATGCCGGTCTTGAACGCATCACACGAGCCCTGCTCGAGAAAGGCCCTTGTCCCTCTGTCGTGGGAGGCCAGCGTGCTGCATGCAACATGGCATTGCGTGCTATGACAAAGGACCATGAAGGCATAGCCCGACTGCTATTAGACTTCGGGGCAGACGTGAACCCGTCCGATGAAAACGACGAGTCGCCTTTGAACACTGCCGCGAAGCACAACCTTGCCGATATAGTTGGACTGTTGATCAAACGCGGCGCGGACACGAAAGCGTACGGAATGCAGGCATTGGAATGGGCGATATCCCTTGGGCATGAACACACTGTGCGGGTACTTCTTAACAGCGGTGTTGACCCTAATGAAGGGCTGGCGATCCAATGGGCGGCGGCTGTGGGTGACGGGATCATTGTCGGCTTACTGCTGGAGCATGGTGTAGACATCCGCCTTCATGGATCTGAGTGTTTGAGCATAGCGGCAGAGTTTAATCATAAGGCTGTTGTGAAGGTTCTGCAGGCCAAAGGTGCTAGATAAAAACCAAGAAGAAAATAATAGCAGGAAGCCTTCTTTTTCTCTCTCTCTTTCTAATTCTGCACCTTGCGCACTTCCTCCTGTTCTTGTTTCTCTTCCTTCCTTAGTTGCTGCTGAATCTTGGCGTCGGCCTTGGCAGCTGTTTCCTGCTCTTTTTGAAGCTCTTCCTGACAAATCTGTTCGCGCCGTGCTTGAACCTTGTTGGGACTGTAAAAGGTTGTACCACCACGCTCGGGCTTCTCAAAAAGGGGCTTTTGCCGCTTTTCCGCTGCTGCTCTATCTTAATAGCTGCCTGATAACTCTTCAGCCGACGCTCTAGAATGGTGTTGGTTGTAAATACTTTTTTGACAATCTGCAAGTTGGCCCGTGCCTTCACCCTTTGATTTCTTGGCAGATTTGACCCCATGGTCGACTTTAGTGCTTTTTCAACAGCTTTCCAACTTGAAGCTGAAGCAATAGACTCTCCTGAGCTTGGTGTAGGCCTAGAGTCCTTAGAGCTTCGAACTTGTCCAAGAACAACCTCAGGATTGAATGGAACAAGGCCAGTCTTGGCCCATCCAGAATGAATATTTATTGGGGTAAATGTCTTATTCCAAGCTATCCAAAAGTTAATAAAGAAGTTGCGCTTGCTGAACAATGTAAACCCTTCGCTTCGAAGCTGAAACATATCAAGCTCGGCGTTGTAATTTGTTGCAAGCAGCGAGAAGAGAGACGTCAAGAGGCTGCAGCCGGTGTGTTGAGTGAGGAGGAAACATAGCCAACAGAATCTTGTTTTTATCACAATAGTTGATAAATCTTATGTCAATGTGAGAGCCGTGGCCGTCCATGATCAAAAGCCTCCATTGCCGTCGAGCCTTTTCCTTTGTCTCTCGATCAAAAACAGTTGTTAACGACTCGTAGCCAAGGGCGTTGCTTGTATAGCCAGAGGAAGAGGAAGCGAAGAAACAGCTGTATTCGTTTAGGTCGAAATCATCAAGCCATGTATCTTGGATATTTGCAGTAGTGGCCTTGTAAATAAGAGCAGGAGAGAGAACAGTTCCCTCTCCACCCACAGATGCTGGCTAGGACGGTAATTCACTCTCTATTTCCATCCTGAGAGACAGTTGGCTTTTTCTCCTCCTTTTCAGAGAAAACATCCGCCTTCTTTTCTTCAAAAATCTAATGAGAAAGGCTTTCTCGTGTATCGGAACGCTATATGTGCTATTTCAGCTGCGAATCCCTCAAGTGGGAGCGGCGGCTGCTTTGCTCTACGAGACCCTCGACTACAACGTCCGATTCAGCTTCCACTGAAGCATTCGAGCATTTTGCGCCCTCCAGATCCTGAAGGATGGACCAGCGATGGCACATGTATTTCCCTCCCACTGGCACCGAGCAAGAGGGCCACCCACTATCCCAGCGAGCCTGGGCATTCCAGGAGCAGGCACTTTCCGGAAGAAGTCTAGCATTCGGTGCAAGGACGATGCACTGGTCGTGTCTGACATCCGGCGCTACAGAAAGCAAATTAATGGGATATGATGCTCCGCTTAGTACTCAAGGTGCTCTGGAAGCATTCCAGTCTCTTTCATCTCGGGACATATTTTCTGAAGAGGAAGAAGAGCAGCACTCAGCACCAACCGCAAGCCTATATAAGCTATGGCACTGCATGATGATCGATTACAGCAGGCGACATCTGACGCACAATACCGATAGGCTTCCTGCAGTGTCGGCGGTGGCAAGCCAGTGGAGCCACCTCCTGAAAGATGAATATATTGCAGGCCTTTGGCGAGGGGACGTTTTCTGAGGCCTCATGTGGTCATGCCAAGGTGATGAAGGGCAGAGGTGCGGACCACCTGGTCTATATGTTGCCCCATCGTGGTCTTGGGCGTCTATGAAAGATGCTGCCATCTCAATGGGCTTCGCGAAATATAAAGAGCAGGATCTAAATGGGAGCCTACACATTTCTGATGAGGACTCGAGTGACGAGGAAGACGTTTATGACGAGGGCGATGAAAATGAATCTATCGAGGATGAGGATGTAGAAATGGAAAAATCAAACGACCGCACAATCGAAATTATCGACATTAAATGTACACCATCTGGGCATAATCGTTTTAGTCAAGTAAAAGAGGGTATCATTCAGCTGATCGAGTGGGTGAAGAAAGGTAACTTACGCCTGCAATGAGAACAGCTGTTCGAGCCAGGATCCGATGACGTGGGTGGGCATGTGGACTTTGACGAGCGACCTCACCAGTACCTTGAGAACTCCGAGATTTTGTGCCTTTTTCTCTGTCAACATAAGCCGTCCACGAGTCTTGATGAGGAACGGCGGGGATTACATGTTTAGCTCTTCTTCCCGCTGGGTTGGTGCCTGAGGAGTCTCGTATTGCGTTCTTCCTAATCTTAAGTAATCTGGTAACAGCAGTTACTTACGTCGTAAAGTCCTACAGCCGCGACTACAACCGACGCTCCTTCAACTTTGGGAGAGGTCAGGGTGACCATGGTTCTACGTTCTTGTGAAGAGTCAGTACCACGGCACCTAATTCGAGAATTTGCCACACTTCAACACGAACTCGCGTTGAATATGAGCGCATTGAATATGAAAAAAAGAAGCAAGAAATCCTCAGGTATCCTCGAAAATCTCCGAAAGAGAATTTTCTAAGGATAGAAGCGCAATATAGAGTATTGCGAAAGCAGGACTCCGGCGAGCTTTGAAATCTTTTTCTCACTAGAGCCATGGCTGGGCCAACCGAAAAAGGTCTCCGTGACCACTCTACCATCCTATAGCATTTGTTCCGTCAGCCACAGAGCGTAATTATATCCACAATTAATTCACCTCGAGTCCCTGGCTACTGTCTACAGAGCGCATACAACGACAGCTCTTAAGAGCAAACCACAACCACTTCGTCCTCATCACTTGCAAGAGACAGATACAGTATGACACACACGCCGGTGCTGTACCTCGACTTTCACGATACGCTTTGCCCGCCGGCTCACATGATGTCAGAGAAGCCATCATTTGAACAGCCCTCTTCGCACCACTCACCACGCAACGATCCCTCTCAGAAGGCACCCATTAGCATGTCATACACACCGAAGATACCTTCGCCGCTGCGTAATGAAGTTTTGCAGCCTCTTCAAGTCGAAGTGCCGTCCACCCGGAAAACTCGCTCTTTTCTACCCAGTCAATCCCACATGGAAGAACTATTAGATGGAAAACCTCAAGCGGCTCCTTTAGCTCCTACTCCACGAGGATATTTCGAGGGACATGCGCTTGGGAGCACCATGACTACAGTAGCAAAACAGACTTGCCACCGCCCGCATCCAGGCAGTTTTATGGCCTACCCGATCCGCTCAATCCTGGATACCAGAGCCCAAGATTCGAAACCCGAGTATCTCATCGAGTGGTACGACCACGAGGGTCTTCCTCCATGGTACCAAGGCGGCCGCCAGGTGTGGGTGCTGGGCGAATGGGTTTCTTGGCTGAACGATTACAACGCATTGACTGAGAAGATTAAGCTTGTCCCCTTCTTGAGCCCAATAGTCCCTGTGATGTGGAAAGCGAAACTACAGCGAGATGAGGAAGCGAGGCAGAAGCGACTCCTCATGTTACGCTCGAAGTGGAACGCAAGCGGAAGCCCGGTGAGGCTTGACGAAATCGCAGCGGCGGCCGACGCGCAGAACACAGACCCCGATCTCCACTATTGCTCTGAATGCGCGACACGGAAACATCATAGTGAGTTTGTGCGGCCAGATCTCCGGACCGGACGGGAGCGTTGGCACCAAGGGAATTGCAATCAATGCACGGAGGAATTGAGAAAGAAGAAAGAGGGGGAACTCGAGAAAGAGCAAGAAGGCGGGAAAGAGCAAGAACTCGAGAAAGAGCAACAGGCTATCGCTGAAATGAAGGCACGCATGGCTCAACCCGCGAATGAAAAACAAGAAATACAAGCGAAAATATCGGAACCGTTTCAAAATGTGAGCGCTACTCCGGCTTTGGCACCTGGTCAGCAAGTTGTTTAGGTGCAATGCGATGAGGAGAATTGAATCCGTCTCCAAAGGATACAGAGGAAAACGTCTACGTCTAGTCAGGACTCATTTCTGATATACTTTGGATGTGCTCGCTAACAGCTTTCAAGAATTCCAGATCCTGCCTCCAAATCAGACAACGAGGGCGAAGACTCCGAGAACGCCTACTTTGCCGACGATTAACATGACTCGACCGATAGCCTCGATATCAACATGGTAGAAAGGGAAGGCGCTGGCGATGTTGGCGATGAGCACATTTCGGACGATAGCTTCGAAAAGAGGGAAATGACTCCTCTTCTCTAGTGATTGTCGAGATCTCTAAGAGGGTTTCGGCAACTTGAGCATACTCGGAAAACACCCGGACTGGTCGAGCTGCTTGATATGAATGTGGCGAATTCGTTGCATATACGTTGATTGTTGGGAAGAAGAGGTGTAGTGAAAATGTAGGGATAAAAGGCCGGAAGACGTCAATAAAGGCGTAGGAAGCAGATATTTAGAGCAGGCGTTGCTTAAAGCGTCTCGGACCGAGAGGAAAGAGTCGAGTGAAGATGTTTCTGAATCATGCGATTTTGCTGAAGGATCTTCAAGGCTGGACAAGTGTATAGAAGCAAGATGACTTCATAGTAGATGTGCATACATACTCCCTTCATATTCGTAACAGTTTCTATCTTCAAAACTAAGATCAGAAGGGCCGGTTCGTAATGTCATATGAGGCCCCTCGAGAAGTATCGTGAATGCAGCAAGAGCGAAGTTTTGACGCAGTGAATTGCGGTGTGAAAGTGTAATGCATGTGCCATAATTGGCTAGCGTCAAAAAGTCGCACCACTTTCTCAAGCTTCAATTCATCCCTGAACTAAGTATCTTCAGACGTTGTTCCTTCATCGAAAAGCCCTTCAATGTGTCCCGAAGAACAGAAATACCTCCTCGGTGATGCCATCCGTCGTGCTCAGCCTTCCGAGACGGCGGCTGACCGGCTCGACCCGCCGGCATTGCTGGCATCGGGCTGGACTCCGTCAGCGGGCTTCAACTTTTCTTTCAACCAACACCAAAACCCCCGATGTGAACGCCACCAACGCTTTTACCGCTTCATTCCGATGTTAGACTCACGATAGGGATGCGCCGCACAACTAGCGCCTGCGCGCGCATCCTCTTTGAGCGCAGCAAATGCTTGCCTCGTCCTCAAACCCGATTCAAATCTACCAACACCAATGCGACTCCCACCGAATCGAGCCCGAAGACCATTCCAGGACCCTCTTGGGTCTGGCTGGAGCCTATAGCGACGCCGTTCCGCGCGTATGGACGAGCGCAGCAGCGAAGACCGTATGTCACGCAGTTACTTAGCTCGTTAGCTATATACTTCTGCGGGGATCTGTCAGCGCAGCGGATTTCCCCGAGCCCTACGACGTCCGACACGACAAAGACTGTAACGGGACAAGACAATGAGGAAGGGGAAGAGCAGACATCGGAGCGGAAATGGGATCCCGCGAGGACAGGACGCGCCTTGTTGATCGGAGGAATCAGCTCGATTCCGTCATATCGGTGGTTCCTCTGGCTCGGGAACTCGTTCAACTACTCGTCGAAGCTGCTCTCGCTGAGCACCAAGGTCTTCGTGAACCAGGTCGCGTTCACGCCCATCTTCAACTGCTACTTCTTTGCGATGCAGAGCGCGCTTACGGGAGCCACGCCGGCGGAGATAGTGAGAAGGGTTCAAGACACGGTGCCTGTCAGCTGGGTCAACAGCTGCAAGATCTGGCCGGCCGTGACGGCTTTCAGTTTCACGTTCGTCCCGTTCCAGTATAGGAGTATTTTTGCTGGTAAGTGGTGCAACATCTTTCTATTACCGGATGCGGTTTGCGCCATTCGAGTTACGGCCAGGCGGATTTAGACAACTTTGCGAAATGTAATTACGTGATGCTGACCTCTTCTTAGGTGTCATTGCTGTCGGTTGGCAAACTTATCTTTCAATTCTAAATCAACGGGCTGCTGCAAAGGAGGAGTCCGAGCACGAACGCGAGGCAATTCACCCTCCGTCCCCGGCTCCAGCCACTCAGGAAGCAGAGAAACAACGTGCCCTGGTCTAGAGCACGCGGTGTGTATCACGGTAAAAGTCACGGCATTTAGAGCGCAGACACTGCGCATAGAATAGAGGTTAGAAGGGCCTTTTGCTAAGCCACTCCGCGACATCAGACGTCAACCGTCGTTTATTTCAGCGCCGAGTGTTGTCTACATGAGCTATATCTCCTTCTGTTGGTTAGATTTCCTATGTTCGCTAAAGGATGGTGCATCAGACGGCGTCTTCAGGGATCGAGATGCACACGCTTCAATAGATTATCCCCGCCGGTAAACGCGGTTGTTACTGCGGTACTTGTAGAACTGCCGAAATATCACCTAGGGTGTTTGAGTATAGGAGGCTCTCCATATATGCAAGGGTCGATTGTCTCCCGCGGTCAAATGCCGACTCATCCTGGGCGCAGCGGGTGGCGTTGAGGGGAAGGAATCTGGGGATTCGTGGGGTACGCCTCCAAGCCCCGTCTCCACCCTCCGAAACCCTGGCCACAATCATCACTTCGTCTACAGGATGGTTGGTCCCAGGTAAGCTCTGCGCGAGCCGTGAATGGGGGGGAAATACGAGATGCCCTTCCTCCTGCCACTGAGACGCCTGATACAACTATTCGTTGTGGAGTAAAGCCAAGCTCGCTAGGACTCAAACCATGCTCTCCATCAATGTGCTGGGTATCCCCAAGCAAACCTTTCCCCGCGTCTGGAGACCACTAACCTCGTCACCTTATCGTTGGATCTCCCCTTTCGCCGCAGACGACCGAGATATTGACTGTTGTGGGCCGTGTCGAAGTTGCAGGGTCTTAGTTAAATAGACGACCCAGTTCTCGTTTTTTTTTGTCCTCGACAGCTTCAGCTTCACCCCCCTAACTCCGCATCTCTTCGTTTCAGTTTTGGCTACCACAATGGCCCTTAAGGACTCCACGCTCGTCCCCTCAGATGTGGAGAAGGCGGAGGTCAGCCAACAGGAAGACGTTCACGATGCCGACCTTGCCAAATTCTATGTTGCTGAGCGTGGCCAAGTGGCAACGGATAGGTAGATTTACACTACTGGGAACATGGACCGAGTACTGATATTTATGCAGACATGGACGTCCACTCGTCGAGTTCGACCCAGTCGCAGAGGCTAGACTTCGATGGAAAATTGACCTCTACATTGTTCCGACTGTCTCCCTTCTATATCTTTTCTGCTTCATCGACCGTGCGAACATTGGTATTTACTCTGCATTCCCAATGTGTTCTGGTGTTGTCTCTTACTCTTGGCAACAGGGAATGCAAGGCTCGCTGGCTTCGAAAAAGACCTTGACTTGAAAGGCTACGACTACAACACTGTTCTCTCAGTCTTCTACGTCTCCTATATCATCTTCGAGATACCCTCAAACATGGCCTGCAAGTGGATAGGTCCCGGATGGTACATTCCCGCGATCTCTCTCGCCTTTGGTATCTGCTCTGTCTGCACGGGATTCGTGACCAACTTCAGCGCTGCTTGTGGTGTGCGGTTCCTCTTAGGCATCTTCGAAGCTGGCATGTTGCCCGGTATCGCATACTACATGTCCCGCTGGTATCGCCGCAGCGAACTTGCCTTCCGCCTCTCCCTCTATATCGTCATGTCGCCCCTAGCAGGCGCATTCGGCGGGCTCCTCGCCTCCGGCATCCTCAAACTTCCCCACTTCGGCGGCCTCCACGAATGGCGCATGATCTTCGCCATCGAGGGCATCATCACAATAGGGCTCTCCCTTATCGGTTTCCTAACCCTCACAGACCGTCCGGCAACCGCAAAGTGGCTGACCCAAGCCGAGAAAGACCTCGCCATCGCCCGCGTCAAGTCCGAACGCGTCGGCACCACCGAAGTCCTCGACAAATTTAGCAAGAAGAAAATCCTACGCGGCATCCTCTCCCCTGTCACCATTGGCACTGCCTTCATCTTCCTCCTCGATAACATCACCGTGCAAGGCCTCGCTTTCTTCCTACCCACAATCGTAAAGACGATCTACCCTAAGAACACAGTCGTCAGCCAACAACTACACACTGTCCCGCCATATATTGTGGGTGCCTTCTTCACCCTCCTCTTCCCTTTCCTCAGTTGGCGCTTCGACAAACGCACCATCTTCTTCATCATCTCCGCGCCCCTCTGCATGACTGGTTACATCATGTTCCTCGCCTCGACCGACGCGCACGTCCGCTATGGCGCCACCTTCCTCTGCGCCGCCGGCGCATTTGCCTTCGGCGCGTTGTGTAACGCGCAGGTGGCCAATAACGTCGTCTCGGACACTGCACGGTCATCCGCAATTGGAACAAATGTCATGTTTGGGAATATTGGGGGTTTGATCAGTACGTGGAGCTTTTTGCCGTTTGATGGGCCGGATTATCATATTGGTAATGGATTGAATTTCGCGACGATGACGATGATTCTGGTGTTGAGTATACTGATGCTGTTGTGGATGGTGATGGATAATAAGAAGAGGGAGGGGAGGGATGTGGATGCGGAGTTGGAAGGACTTAGCAATTTGCAGGTGCAGGAGTTGGATTGGAAGCATCCCGGGTTTAGGTGGAAGCCCTAGGGCAGTGAAGGAGGATGTCTTTCTTTGCTGAACAGAGTTGGAGCTGTCGTTCGGGATCTCGATTTCGAAAAGTAATCTAAAAGTGGATTGGGATGTCTCAACGGAACGTGGCAGGTAGGATATTGATATCAGGAAGATATATCAGAAGGGGAACTCCAATGAGTTGGCGGTTTTCGTTCGCATATTTGGTCTTTCCTACATTCCAGGCCCAGAAATGTCTTATCTCTCCCATCAATCGTTGTCAACGTCAGCTTTTCGTCGAGTCTTCTAATATTGTCACATGAATGTAGAGCGCAACATCTGCCTTTTCACGTGGATCCAGTCCTACGTAAGCATCACGTGACCGTTGCGCCGCTTCTCCTGTAATAGTACATCGCTTTACGCAGCTAGAACACCAGACAGCTTCTTCATGGAGCAGCCGGGGGTTCGAAATGCTCCGACTGTCCTTCGCATGGTTCAGACTGGCTGGAGTGGGATCAAATTCAACTTCCTAGGTACCGATGTGTGGAGCTCTAGCGTGATTCTGGGAGCTCAAATTCTGCCTTGCATTCACGGTAACGTATTACGTTTACCTTAGTTATTACGCTTCCGAATATTAAGAAAAAGCTTGGCAGGTGCACAGATTCAGAATACGTGTAAAAGCTTAGACCAGCGTAATAACTAGGGTAAACGTAATAACCTGATCACCTACGTTATGGGATTTGGGATTTGGGATCGTCGCGCGCCAAATGGATCGATACTGAATATTAGCAGTAAGCAATACGACTCCGCTCCACCAAATTCATTTTGTACATCAGCACTACATAATCAAATGAAGGACAACATCTTTTACATTTATTTCTCTACCCTTTCCCCGAGACTTCGTGACCTTCAACGGCATTGAGGGGTGTTGCTCATCATCGAATCTGAAAGAGATGAACATGCCACAAACGCCCCGCTAGCCATGATTCGAATTTCGATTTGGTCTGATCGCCCTCCTCCACCGGCCCCAACGACACCATTAGTCAAAATTTCGTGCGATTTTGCAAGAAAAATCCCACCGCAATACTCCACGGGCGCTGCTAATACCACACCCCCTAATTCCTACACGTACACCCCCTTTTCACTGCGCGTACACCTCCTCCCCCCTGTCGTTTTACCACCTTCTAATTGGCTCGGAGGGCTGCTCCGTAGCCTCCGATTCGCTCTCTTAACTTGCTCACTAATTCCAAATGCTCTCTCCAAATGCGGCCTTGATTACAATTGATTACATCCTCTTCTTCTCCGTCCACAATATAGCAGCGCATACAGCAGCGCATACAGCAGCGCATACAGCAACACATACAGCAACACCTACGGCTGCACTTACGGCTGCACCTGCAGCTAAAAAGCGCGGCCGGCCGCCTGGTGCAAAGGATAAGGTACCACAGAAAAAGGCACGAGCTCAGAGGCAAGATAGTACTCAGCCTACGCCTCAGCCTACGCCTCAGCCTCAGCCTCAGCCTCATCCTCAGGCACAGAGGCTTAGCCGAGAGGAGCTTCTACGTCAGCTTGCGACGTATGATGAAGATATTGAGGCGGAAATTAACCGAGATATTGAGCAGGCGGAGGCGGTGATGCGAGGGGGCTAGGCTCGATGCAAAGGAGCCGTAATAAGGTGAGGTTTTGACAGGTTTAGCATGCTTGTAGACACGTAGGCACTTCTAGAATAGAATTTCTATTCTATACTGAGACTTAGACTTATACTTATACTACGTGAGCTTGTACGTGAGGCTACACGAATCGGTGAGGCTACACAAATCGGCGAGGCTGCATGCCGATTCATATAGCCGTACGTGAGCTCGTACGTAAGGCTATACAAATCGGCGAGGCTGCACGAATCGGAAAGGCTGCACGCTGATTCGTATAGCCCCGCGTATAGCATCACGTGATGTATAGGTGAATGCCCGGAGCTCCGGCGTAGTGCTCCGAGCCAATTAGAAGGTGGTGAAACGACAGGGGGGGGGGAGGGGGTGTACGCGCAGTGAAAAGGGGGTGTACGTGTAGGAATTAGGGGGTGTGGTATTAGCAGCGCCCTACTCCACGGGGGTTTTTGGCAAGCAATTTTGCTCTTGTAACACAGTGCGAACCTAATAATGCTTTTCTAGACCGCTGGAAGGGGGGTTTTATAGCCAGTGGAGGGCGCCGAGATAGGCCACGTGAGAATATGGGTACAGGTAGTTAAGGTCAGTTACTCTACACCCATATACAACCTCAATGTTTGCAGCGTTTCACAAAACTAAAACAACGGACTCCTAGCAACCCGACTCCTCCGCACTCAGTCGCAAGACGCATGTCAAACTCGATACAAACTTACCCCTTTCAAACTTACATGCTGGGCTAGGCCGGTATCTCCCTTTCTGAAGCTACTTTCACTATTCCATGACCTGCTTATAAGTCAGGATGGCGTGAGGTTTTCTACGAGTTCTGGAAGGGCTTCTACTTGTTTGGCTGATGGTCAACCGTACCCTCGTCTTGGAGTCCAAAATTTCCCAAAAAAAAGGGGCACAAATATGGAATTAAGAGCCTCCAACAGCAAGCTGCTGTGAGGATATCAGTGCGCGATCGAGTCGAGAATTTCTAAGAGTGATACAAGTCAAATCGAGCAAAACAAGACAATTAACGAGCGTGATGTTATTCCATATCAAAGGGTAACTAAACTAATCAGGTTGTAGAAACCCAACCGCAGGAGTCCAAGTGAGAGTACTCTGCCCAACCCAAGCCCACCTCATCGCTACCACTTCCACACTCCTCTAGCAAGAATGCTTCCTCCCACACTACCTTGCCCACGATGGCTTTTTCAACTTGCTGGCTGCAGCAACAAGCTCCCACAACCCCCTTCCCCTACCTAGGAGCAGTCAATCGACACAAATCTCACATCATCCGACAACTTCACCCCATTCGAATCATGGCCCTTCTTAACAGACACATTCTCCCGCTCCTTCCCCCCGCAGCTATTCCCGTCCGCTCTGAAGCTGAAATCGCACTTGGCGAAGCCCACATTGGCTTGCACCTTGAGGTCGGCGCAGATCTTGCCCACCACGCCGCCCAGCCCCTCGCATATGCTGCCTGTCCCCTTGAAGTTGTTTGGCGTCCCTCCGCATTGGTTTTTGCTGGTTCCGTCGTTGTAGATGACCATTAGCCAGTCGTCGTCGGTGGCTCGCTTGTTCCAGAGGTCGATGGTGTGGGATGAGCCTCGCTTGGTCAAGTCGGTGGTGTGGAACGGGACTCGCTTGGTGATGCCGGCAGGGTCGGAAACCTCGATTTCGGGGTTGGCGTCGGGGACGGCAATGCCCTGGGCCAGGAAGGGCAGGGCGCCGAGGACGGCGGTGATGGCGAGGGAGAACTGGGAGCCGTTAGGGGAGGGGCTTCTGGCTGTAGGATAGATCCATACGGACTCTCATCTTGGCTTAGTTGATAGTTTGAGCGTGACTGGAATGTAGAAGGCGTTGAGATGCGTAGGGGCTCAGAGGATTGAAGTGATGAAAGCTTGAGTCCTGTGTCTTTCTGTGGGAGAGGAAATGCCCCTTTTTGTATTCACTGAAGACCATGACTAAGAGATCCGTTCACGCCCCGTCTCGTTCTCTGTCAGCTGACGAGAAGCCATTACCACCCGAGGCGTGAGATTTGAAAATGCCATGACGACTGCTCGCCCCATCCTCACATGGAATTTGAGAATCCTGAAGAGAATGTCTCGCCCCCATTTCCATATGGGACTTAGAAATGCTGACAAGAATAGAGTGCCTACAGCCTCTAGACATCTCGTGGTTAGTGTAGCGAGTGATTACGGTGTTGCAATGACTTTTGGTCCCTAGGAAGAGATACTTGGGACCAATGAGCTCGATCTCATGGAGCTCCCGTCCCGTATTTACGTGGAACACCTGCACACTATTCACAGAATGCGTCTAGGGGCTGTACCTCTAAGGATGATTAAATTGAAACCGCGCGGAAACATACCTCTTCCGGCCCCCACTAGACTAGCCATTGAGGAATGTTGACCATGAAGGATTGAGGCCGCATACTGTGGTATCCCGGCTAAGTGGTGTAGGTGGTCGAGCTGTACTATGGTACCTAGCGTAAGTGTTGTGGGTGGAGCATGCACGCCTTCACCTTGTATTCTAAAGGCACCAGTTACAACCTCCTTTGTATGTATCAAGAGGCTCAGGAACCACTATGGTCGGTGCCTTAAAAACAACATGGTGCCACAACACTTACTCTGGGTACTGTAGTAAACAATAGTACATTCACCTCTGACCTCCCAGTTTTCAAGCCAAATGTTTTTCTATCCGCTAGCTGATTCCGTAATCACTTGCTGTGATTGGTGTCTTTCAAATTCACACTACTCACGTGCACGACCCACCCATAACACTTACCCCGGATACGAGAATACAGCGCAGCCCGTGCAAACCTGCGTCGATCATGCGGCTCTTCCCGCTCTTGCCTGTTTGGGAGCATAATGCGCCATCTAGACCACCGCACGCTCGTCACAGTCTGTAGAAGGGCCGACCGTGACGACTTTTCCGGAGGATCGAGGTTGCACAGTGAGAATTGGGGTGACACGGTGAGGATTGGGGTTGCGCGGTGATGATCGAAGTCGTACACGGCACACGTGGTACAGTTCTTAGACGCATGCTAGGGAACGCGTACAGGTAGCTGCAAGGGTAAATTACAGTACTGAAAGTTGATGAGAGAGGCTTGATTGGCTGCAACTGCTTTTGCAGGGCTAGAAAAGCCTTTTTTACGCAACATTTACGAGATATACGAGAAGAGACTGTAAAAGCGCGCAGTACACCGCCTCTTCCGGCTAGACCACAAACAAGCAATTATAAGCAATCACAAGCTTTACAACCATTCGGCCAGCATCGGAGGCCCCTTAGGGGGCCAAAAGTGACGTAATTAACTAGAATAAGCTTGTGGGGGTGTTGAGACGGAGAACTGTTTTGGGAAATCCAATCTATACTCGGCTACTACATCGGAAGGCGGGTCGTACGATTTGGGATGATCTGAGATGAAAATAGTAAGAGGAATTCGTCTCACTACCTAGCAAAAGGGAAATGAACACGCCCTCCTCCGCTCTTTTCCGTTCCCTCAGAACCAGCATCTCACCGCTTGCAATTTTGTGTGCATTGAACTGCCCTCGTCCCTGTGATTCGACCCTATGTTTCCCCATCTCGGTGAGTATGCTCCTTCTTGACGTTCAAATCCCAGCTGAACAAGGTGAACTTGTATCTGCCCCAGCCAAGCTGAAGATCAAAGTGACTCGACACGCCCCCGCCACTAAGTGTGTTCGGTTCGTCTTGAGGCTTGTTTACAACCGCCCACTCCTGACCATCAGTCTTGCCGTCATCCTGGCCTTGAGCCTGCGTGGAAGAATCGGACCGCAAAGCAACGGCGTCGCTTTCTACTCCTTGAACTCAGTTACGCACTCAAAGACCTGAACGAATGCGCAGGTTGGAAAGCTTATACCGTTTTTCTCGTCTGCAGTCGATTCCCCATCCTTGGTCTTCTTGTCCTCGTGGCTGCGAGTCGGAGACCTAGATCTGGACTGCGTAGCCACATTGGCGTCTATTTCACCTTGGATTAGATACTAAAGGGAAGGGAGCACAGAAGTGACAGAGAAGAGGGACGTACCCGATGGACGATAGGTGCCGCCTTTCTGTGACATTTTGGAAAGTGAAAAGGTATCCGGATCCTTGTGTCAAGTTTGTGAGTGGACCGAGAAGAATCGTGAGATCGAGGAGTTCTGGAGACGAAAGTGAGGAGGGCAGGAGTGAAGGCGGCGGTGCAGTGCGTCGTCATACTGAGCCTGCTTAGTCAGACTTACCTTTTGCGTCACACGCCTATTTAGGTAGTTGCCTGGATGATCTAACAATTCTATTAGACCTTTTCGGTCTTGGCTGCATTATGGCCCCTCACAGGGCTGGACACATTACCATGGGGCCAATCCGAGCGAGTACTATTAATCTACTAAATGGGAGCGAGTCACTGAAGCTTGTGAAACCCTAGCCGGACTTCCGGATACTTCGAATCCTGATTACTACGAACGCTGCTGAACGGGGCCTGCAGAATCTGAGGGTCTCGGAGCGATGGCTTTGAGGTGCTCCTGAGAATCGACCCATCCCAGGAAACGACGAATGAGTATTCGTAGACAAGGGTAGGGCTAGCTGTTGGATTATGACGATCAGCTACAGGAAGCAATATAATAGTAAACCTGGCATCTATGTACGTAATTATCACCTTTCATCGTTCATCGACCTTCAGACGTCATGGCGTGCAAACTAACACTAGTGTTGTCTTCGAAAGCTCGTGACCTTACCTACCTATACCCCTGATCTTAAGTGGCCCGCCATATTCACCTTCCTATATCAGGCAGTTGATCGCATAATCGCATTGGCTGGGGCGGCAAGAAGCTGACTTGCAGATTTTGGCGTGTATCATGCGGGACTGTGTGAGAAGACTCTACCACCGGCCGCTCTTACCATTCGGCCTGATTACTACCCTCGCAGCGATGTCCGATGTTGTTCAGAGCTGCGTTCACAAACTGCATTGCCCCCCTCGACATGCTCTTATGGCCTGTGAGGGCTATGACTTCGAGAACCGAGGGGTGCGGTTGGTAAAACAAGACAAGTGAGAGCTAGTAACCAAGAGAAACGACTAAGAACAGCCGTGCCAGGCTAGAGTGAGCGCACGTTATACGAGCGTAAAGAAGAGCTAAAAATAATATCCACATCTATCCAAATCCGCCGGTACGGTGGTTGGTAATCTGGGTGAAAATGCTTTTTGCTGAGGGCCGCATAGACTCTGCTAGTAGAACGCTGCTTCGGTTTGAAGAGCTTGAGGCTGAGACAGTCTCAAATGGCAGCGTTTTTGACCCTTCCAAGGCGGGTATCCCTTGAGGTGTCCATGACTCTTCGAACTTCATGCGCTGCAGTTCTACCACTGAGTCGGTGCCCTCTCCGTCGACCTCTCGACCCCATATACGAAGACTGATTCATTCGATAGGGTGAGATTATATGCCTTATTCTGGCAGTCGTCTTCGTTGCTCTGGATCCTTGTTCCCAAGGATCTTGAGTGAATATACTTCGATAATACGTCATGCTTCAGCTGCAGAGCTAAGCAGCAGCTGGCTAATATGATCTTGGTCTTTCGTCCAGAGCTTGTTGCAGATGTTCGCGAGATTCTTGAATGAGGACTTGTTCTTTGTATCACACGGTCTGTAAAACTCGACTGCCTTTCGATCTCTTCGATCCTCTGTCACTCCAAGTTTGGAAAACCTGAAGTCATAACAGTCATCAAAACGCCCGTCTCTCAAGGACACCTTGTATATGCTCTCTACGAATTTGACGAGGATGAAAGGCCCGTCTCGGTTTACAGGAATGACAGTAAGGTCGAGCCCTTCACCCATTTACTATCCCACAAAAGCATACAATACCTCTACTGACGAGATATATAATAATTTTTGAAACGATCGAATGATGCTTCGAGTTAGAAAGTAGCTGCCCATTCGTCTTGTCCGGTCTTTGAAGAGGCCGCCATTGCCAGCAACCCCGTCTTCATCGATCACACAAAGATAATGCGCTCGTTATGCCATATCTTAAACACCTCAAGAAGAAACAAGATATTTTGCAAAAGAGAGATAGCTTGGAAGAGCTGAAGAGCGAAGATAAGGGGTTAGGTGAGAGCAAGGAGGGCCTGGCACAGAAGAAGATCTGGCCAGGAAGAAGCGTAAACTGCACGTGGATGACTAGGCTGGAGAGCTTGTGGATGGTGGCTGCGATTCTTTTGCAGGCTCAGCACCTGCATAGAAGGACTATTTTATGTAACTTCCATTAAATATCTTGGGGAGGGATATTGGCACACCCCCTAATCACTCCGCGCGCACCCCCTTTTTCACTCCACGCACACCCCCCCCTCTTGGCGCTTCACCACCTTCTAATTGGCTCGGAGCAACGCGGAGCTTCCTCTGGGCATTCACCTTTACATCCCTCTGCACGTGATGCTATACGCGAGGCCGTACGTGAGCTCGTACGTGAGCTTGTACGTGAGCTCGTACGTGAGCTCGTACGTGAGCTCGTACGTGAGCTCGTACATGAGCTCACATGTAAGCTTGTACGTGAGCTCGTAAATAAGCTTGTACGTGAGCTCGTACGTAAGGCTATACATAAGGCCATACGAATCGGCATAGCTATACAGCCTCTCCGTTCTACGGTGCATTCTTTCCAATTCGTGCAGCCGTATATACAGCCGTACGTGAGCTCATATGTAAGGCCACACGAATCGGAAAGAATGCACTGTAAAATAGAGAGGCTGTATAGCTATGCCGATTTGTATAGCCTCACGTATGAGCTCACGTACGGCTAAGTGAATAAGAAAGGCTACACGTGCAAATGCACGTGAGAATAGAGCTCCAGACGAAGCTCCGAGCCGCTCCAGCCAATCAGAAGATCAAACGAGAGGGGGGGTGTGCGTGGAGTGAAAAAGGGGGTGTGCGCGGAGTGATTAGGGGGTGTGCCAATATCCCTCCCCTTATATTACCTATAAAAATATGCTTTATATTATTATTTAGCAGTAAAGGTAGTGCAGCTATAATTCTGTTTAGTTTTGGGTTATAGATATTATAAATCTAGATATCTGTTACGTCCCCCTAGCACGAGCACGATCCAATCACGTGCTATAGATCAGGTGACGCCTGATCACGTGCTCTTCGGGGCCTGCATGGCCCGAGGCTCCGGCCACGCCTACGGCGTGCGCACCGGAAGGCTATAGAAGCCTATAATTCGCCTGCGCTTCCAATCAAAGCGCAGTCGTTCTGTTCTTTTGGGCTGGCCTGCGGGCAGCCTGGCGTAGTGTCGTAACAGGTATTTATAGAAGTATATGAGTAGATTAGATTAATTATATATAATTTATATACAGGTTCTAGAAGTACGTCTTGGCCAGCGGTGCCTGCCCAAACCTGACGAGGGTATCTTTTCCACGACCTTACGTCGCAAAGAAGAGTGCTGGTAAGTCCGCCGCTGAATTTGGAGGATGTTCCGAGGTGAGTATTATCTCGGCCCAGTCCACAGCCTCCATAATGGCTCCAAGCTCCGCAATCTAGACACTGATCCTATCCTCTGCGCCTATCGTACGTTGCTCATGGGCAAGTTCCATGTTATCCCATACGCTACAAGTGCTGGAGTTTAATTCCATTTTCTGACCGGCTCTAAGCCTAAAAAGCACAGGTACGATGTACCACATGACTCGTTTCGTCAGGACCTTGCCAAGAAGCGTGAATAGCTAGACCATATACGCCTTCGAACCAGTAATTGGAATTTGAATTCACACAATATCCCAAAAATTTGCACAAGAATCGTTCAAAATAGCACGAAATTCGTTCTTGGGCTCATCGATTAAGTGGTGGTACTATTGCTGATGCGGTCGAACCAACTCAAATGATGCAAGAGATCTAAAACTCTTGTTTTGTGTCCTACCTCTGCTCATCTTCTCTGTCTGGTACACCCAGAAATGTCCACAGGATTAACAAGTCGTACACCGCCTTCATTAGACCAGCACTTCCCAGCATGATACGCCACGACTTCCTCGCCGCCAGCTCTCCTGAGCTACCTAAGCCACCGGCCTGTGCAATTGTCTTTACGATGTTCACAACACCAAGGATCGCAGTCCTTTCCTCTGCTTTCGTAACAGCTGCTAAGAATGCCTGTCTAGGTGCTTGATCCATGCTTTGCGTACACGCCCTGAGGCTCAGAAGAGCCATAGCAATTAGCGTGCCCCATCCTCCAGCTTTGGGAATTGGTATGAGTGCGAGGAATATTGCAGACGGGAGGTGTGTGAATGTCATCGTCTTCAAGGGACCGAGGCGCCGGGCGAGAGGGAGAGCGGCAAAATTGGATAGTGTAGCGAGGATATTGGTCGTAAAGAACAGAGCACCTAGAGTGGCAGGCTCAATACCGTGGAATGTAGTGAAAAAGTAAGTAAGCCAGGATGGTGATGCCATGCCTGATGCAAACGAGTCTAATGCGAAGAGGAAGATAAGGCGGAATAGTATGAGGAGCGATTTCTGAGATATTTGGGGAAGCAATGCGCGAAGTCGCCGAACGGGTGTGTACTTGGGTGAGGTGAGCGTCTGCTGTGCTTCCACCAGGTCTGGTTCTGCGACACTTGAGGGCGTTTCTTCCGTGGAGGTTCGTGGAGATGACGTGTGGGAAAGTAAATCCTCATTCTCCAGTTCAATGACTTCTTGATATGCGTGACTCCGATCGGGAAGCTCAATGCTGGGACTGAGCGCCAGCGTAAGAACAAGCTTAACAACTCCAAGCGCAGTGTAGAGGACGAAGACGATGCGATATGCTTTGACTTCATTTCCTGTGACCTTACTCGACCCAATCTGGACAATCCAACCGCTCGTGATAGTTCCTAGGGCAGCGCCGGCGGTGCCACACATGGTATACCATGCGAAAATATCACTGCGATCATCTTTCTCAGTAAGCTGAGAAAGGATTGACTCTTCGACCGCGCGGAAGGGGCCGATCTCATTACCACTGTACGAGCATCAGTTCCGAACGCTAGTAAATAGCAGAGCACACTTGCCTTGGACTGATGACTCCAACGACACCCGCGAGGAGGAGTAACCAGTATATGCTGCTGAATGAGAACACCACACCACTCGTTGTCATCAGGATGGCGCCTAGAGCAAGAACTTTTCGCCTCCCAACTTGGTCGGTAATTAGGACTAATACAAAGCTGATCACAGCATCGCCCAGCATAGTCAGCGTCATGAAGAGTCCAGCCAGTCTGTCTGATACTCCGATGCTTGTGAGGAACTGTACAAGGATCAGAAAAGTTGCTCCATAGGCAAAGAGACGAAAGAAGCGCTGGGCAAAAAGATATTTGACATCACGGGACGACTTGAGGACGGTAAACACCCCGGAACCATGTAAGAAATCGAATAAAAGCTCTCGTACAGCCATGCTGAGCTCATTTGTCCGAAGTACAAAGTCGGAAGGACAGCCAACTGTTGAGTGTCTCTTAGAGACAAATTCACTGAGCTGAGCTAAGAAGCGGGGTTGCTTGGCAAATCCGATAAGGAACAAGAATATCATGGCGCCCGTCGCTCCAACCTACCTGTAATCTCCGCACACCCGCCGCTTTTTGCTGAACGGATATTCTCAGCTCGATTCTCACCCATTTGTTCGAGCTGCTTCTTCTGACCAAGTATGCAGAGTCCTGTCATCCTGGCTGGCTCATCAAGAGGCCCTTCAGCAAAGATCTCATACTGGTCGCTCCCTTACAAAGTAGGACCAACGCTAAGTATGCTCCTAAGCCTCAAGCTAAATCTGCGATGCCTCTAGACACAACTTCTCATTCTCATGCTGGCCCGCTTCACTGACTCTCTAGCAACATCTTCGATCCACGTAAGGCATGCCTTATCACTGCACGTGCCTCTGTTTACGTGTCATTTCAGACATACATGTTCTTTCAACTTAAGCGTTTCAGTCCCGATGCACCAACAGTAACAATATCGACACAGTGTGGCCTCTTAGTCGGATGCAAGACCGGCGCACACGTCTGCACAGGGCTCGTGTGGGGACGACTGGCCGATCATGCTCTGGTCAGCCGAAAAACTGTGTTGGTGATTGGGCTGCTAGCCTCATGTGCTGCATCTGTGGGCTACGGATTTTCGACGACATTTCATCAGGCTGTCGCTTGGCAGATACTGGATGGTTCATTGAATGCAACGGTTGCAATGGTGAGATGCATGACTGCAGAACTCAATCCCGAGAAGAAGTATGCAACGCAAGCCAGGAGATTAGCGTACTGCTGACTATTCATAGTTATCGTGTACGAGCTTTGACACTACTTCCCCTGTTCGCCAACGTTGGCTCGGTGCTAGGTCCATTGATAGGAGGGTTTTTGGCCTCTGCCAACGCGAAGCGCAGTATCGTTCCCGGCTACCCCTATGCTATGCCAAATGTGTGCATTGCTAGCATTCAGGCTCTAGTCGCATTCACCGCAGTCTTCCACCTCACGGACACGTTTCATCATCATGTGCTGGACCATAGGAACGATTCTGAGCCTCCAACGGCCACGAGAAACGCGAGGACTGCGATTTTATCCAAACCTCTATCCGGCCAACAGATCGATGAGACCACCGCACTTCTCCAGAGTCCTTCTACCCGTAGCATCATCCATCTTGTACCACCGAGTTCGTCCTGCCAGCCTCCTTCTCTACCTTTTACAAAGATATGGACTCCGAACGTCATGAAAACCATGATCGCGCAGTTCATCATCTCTGGACATTTGGGAACTTTTGCTACCCTCTGGGCTATGTTTCTCAGCTTGCCAATCGCATCCTCGCGGGCGCAAAATTTGCCGTTCCAATTCTCAGGGGGGTTAGGAATGCAACCTCGCCGCGTCGGCATTGCGATGTCTGCATTCGGTTTCGCAGGTATCATCTTGCAGGTCCTCGTGTACCCAGGTTTCCAGGAAAGATGGGGAACAATTAAGGTTTGGAGAACAGCGCTTTGCCTTTTCCCTGTTGTATACGTTGTCGCGCCATTTTGCGCGCTCATTCCTCTACTTGTGAAACATATGGACACAAAGAGCGTAAATGTGTACCCATTGGTTGAGTGGTCTGTATTGTTGAGTGTTCTTCTTCTCTTTGCCGCCGGTCGAACGGGGGTTGTGCCTGCGACCAGTCTGTTGATCAATGACTGTACGCCTCATCCCAGTGCGCGCGGGACTATTCATACCACAGGTGTGATCTGCAGCAACCTCAGCAGATCTATCTTTCCTCCGCTAGCGCTGGCGGTAATGGGTTCCGGGTTGAGAATCGGTGTTGTTGGGTTAGGGTTTTGGTTTGTGGCGGCGTTAGCAGTGTTAAGCATCCTAGCTAGTCTCACGGTTCATGAAGGCACGAACGGAGAATGAGCATCAAGTGCCGCATTCCCGACAACACTTTTCAACCAGGTAACCAGCGCTACGTCATGTTAACATCATCCTGTTGTTCGAGGAGATAGGTAGAATAGAAACTTGGTTTTGATTTGTAAGGAAGTACATACATAGTTATGGAATTGAAATCCCCCGATAAGTAGTGAAACCGAGTCATTCGGTGTATTCCATGGAATTTAGCTAAAAACTCGGGCTTTGAATTCGGCTAGCCACTTTAAATTCGACTGGCCTTTCAGGTGACTGTCCCGCTAAGATTGGCTGGCCTCTTTGAATTCGGCTGGCCTCTTTGAGTTCGGCTGGTCTTTCGGATCGGCTGGCCTTTCGAATTGACTGGCCACTTACAATTCGGATGGCCTCTTAGAATTCGACTTCAGCTTTTTGCATCTCAAAAGTTCTCCGCGCACGGTCTTCCAGCCCCTTTTGGCATAGACTTTACCCGGCTCGTTTTAGTACAAGGGAGCTACCTGAGCGGGCTGCCGCCCTCCCTGCAAGTTTTGGGTGGCATTTTAGTCGTATCCACAGTATTTTCGTAGGGTACGACTATACTACAGCCTAAAACTTGCAGGGAGGGTGGCAGCCCGCTCAGGTAGCCCCCTTGTAGCTAGCAGGGTTCTAAGTATAACGTTTGCTCTAATAATAGCTTTACTAGACTATAGCTTCTAAGGTAACTTTAGGGCGCCATTAACTACACACCCCCTTTTCGTTAATCGCACACCCCCTTTCCTCTATTCGC